TTAAAAAAGTTGAGCACTTTGCTATTCGAGAGTTGATAAATTCGAAAAAATGAACAACTTTGTCTAAAAGTGGTTCTTCTATTGGAGAGGGCTCTTCTATAGGAGAGAGCTCTTGGAATAAAGATGGGATATATTCAGTTCAACAGGAGCCGTGCTGACTCTCTCGAAAGCCATGTTCAACACCGGTTGCTTCTCTCTACCGTACGCATGGAAACGTGGTGGTTTGTGGGTGAGGGTTTAAGTCGATTATTGATTTCCATTAGCCTAAATCGATCAATTTTTCTAAATTTAAAAACCGACATTCTAGGTCTCTTTCATCACCTCAATTCTTGTTCTCTGCTTTAATTGGTATGGCAATCACGTTCTCGTCAAGTCGAGCCAGCATCTAGCGAAAAAGTGAGTCTGCTTTGAGCTGCATGGATCAATTGTTGCCCTTTAGACTTTCAAAATATTCTTTTGCAGATCTACTAAGCACGACGCCTTGGACTACGGGCATCTCGCGCAAAAAGTCTGTCAATACTCCGAGCACAAACTGTTACGAGGTATCGCTAAACCGGTTACGTACGTAAAAGTTCATCGATAATGTTACAATCAAAATTTAGCTACTTTGTCAACGCAACAATACTGTTTTATCAACTTGGACTTTGCAGCGTGTCGGTGTTGTTTATTTCGGTGAACATGGTTGGTTATTACCGCTACTGAACGTTGACTTTTACCCACTTTTGATCTTGCTTTAAGATCTTGACGTTATTAGGACTTTTTAGCACCAAACTCATACTCATTTCCTGTAGTAGAATTGATTTGGTAATTTTAACCATTTTAGATCTAGCTATTCAAATAAATCAAAGTTCACAGCTCTTAGAATATAGATGTTAAGTTGATCTATTCGTTTTTACGCAACAAACAATTTTGAAATTGTTGATTGACCTTTGTGATTCATTATCGAGAAGAAAACATCAAGATTAAGACGGTTGAGATTGGTTACGATATTTTCCAGCAATTTTGGTTACGATCTTTTCTAAAATGATCGCTTTTTAAACGTAACCAATCTCAACCGCCTTAAAAGAAACAAAGAAATCAAAACGTTTATTCTCAGGTTAATCTCGGCGGCGGTTATCTCGGTTCGACGAAAAACGAGCAAATGTTCATCGCTTGTACGATTTGCCTGCCTTTTCTGATTCTCGTAAATATGTTCACAAGGATGAAAGTCATCGCATATTTTGCTATGGTAAGTGAAAACAGCAATTTCATGAATCGGAACACTTTTTAGACGTCAGCGATTTTCTTTGCCGTTGGCATCGTGATGATCTTGCAGTATACCGTTCGACAACCGAATCAATTCGACCAACTGCCGGCAAGTAGCGACTTTACCGGAACGGCGACAATGATTGGAATATTGATGTACGCGTTTGAAGGACAAACTATGGTTGGTCCCAAAAATTTGCTATGATTGGATGAGATTTAAGCGGCCGGTTTAAAGGGTAATCCAAAATTATGGCAACCAATTTTAGAAAACTATTCTTTTCCAAAAAACTTTCGACACAAAGTAGCATCTATTATATACTATTTGGAAGCTCTAATTCTCAGCATCATTAATACATTAAAAAGTTTTGGCCAGAGTTAACTTTTGGCCCTTACTGGCCTTCAGAATGAGCTCGTCGCAAGCACCCCACGGCGACCTGCCATTTTTCGTGGTTTTGAATGTAAGGAGTGTTTTGAAAGAATTGTTTTCAACTGAGTAATCTTTTCCCAATTCTTTTGTTTCAAAATAAAGGCAAATGTTAACCGAGCATGTACAAGTTAGTTAAAACGGGCTCACAACTTGCTGAAAAATCACTATTTTGCGGCGAGTAGTGAAATTCGCGTTTTTTGGGATGTCTGTTTCTGCCGATTGAGTCACATTTGGATTGTCATTTTGGTTTTAAAGTATTGAATTAGATTAATTTTGTTAAAGTATATACAAATTTGATTGTGTTTCCTGTTTTTCTTGGACAAATTTTTACTTAGAAAGCCATGAAAAATGGCAGATCGCCGTTGGGTGCTTGCGGCTAATTCCGAAGGCCAGTAAGGGTCAAAAATTAGCTCTGGCCAAAACTTTTTAATGTATTAATGATGCTGAGAATTAGAGCTTCCAAATAGTATATAATAGATGCTACTTTGTGTCGAAAGTTTTTTGGAAAAGAATAGTTTTCTAAAATTGGTTGCCATAATTTTGGACCACCCTGTAGTATTATTTTGACAAAGTATAGATCTTAGAAAACTTACCCTATTTCAAATACCATTTTCAGATGTTACCCGTTGAAAACAAGCTCAAGCATCCAGAAACGTTTCTCGCGAAATTCGGTGTCCTCTCGACAACAATGCTCAGTTGTGGTTCCGCGATGACAGCTATCGGCTTCTTGGGGTGATTCTAGATTTCTCTGAGCTTTAGAAATATTCAACTTTCAGTTACACAAGTTTTGGCGACCAAATAGCCCCATCGATTACGAGCAATGTGCCAAAGGAGGGGTAAAGAAATGATGATACCACAAAATCGATCCAATTTTAGGCTTTACTCGGCGGTGAACATCTCTCTGATGATTCAGACACTTCTTGTGCATTCGATTGCTTTGTAATGAGTTTTTCAAGAATTTTTTCTTTATCAATCTTTATCTTTGCTTTTAGATATGTCATCATTGATGTTTTCTATTCTGGTTTTTCAAAAGCAATTAACGAGCGTTGCCCGAGGATTCCCGAAATCGTGTTGGACAAAGGGTTCAGGTAAAATTCGTTTAGAAACTATTGAAATAAGAAATATGTCATACTTGATTCGTAGATGGCCAATAGGCCAGATTTTAGCCGATCTGACCAATCGGACCAAGTCAAATTGATAAGTTTTTACGTCATAAACTTTTACAAACGCAAACATTTCAGATTGTTTTGGGTTTTGGTCACGTATGGAATGGCTATCGGGATTCCGCATCTCGAAATCATGATCCCATTGGTTGGAGTCACATCGGGGACTCTTTGTGCCCTCGTCTTTCCTCCGCTCTTCGAGATGATGACTTTTTGGGATGAGTGGAAGGTAAAGTTGGATATGATTATTGATTTGGTCTGGTTGGCTAAAATCTGACCTATTGGTCATCTACGAATCAAGTCACAAATCTAATTGTAAGTTTAGTCAGCAAGACTGGGTCAAACTTTAGCCAAAACCATGCTCCATAGCCTACTATGAAGCATGGTTTTAGATGAACTCGATCGTAAAATCAACTCACAAATGCAAAACTTAGAGCTCAATGTCCTCTCTCACGCGTGGCATCAAAATTTCGTGGAATTGTTTTTGCATTTTCATTGGAGTAGCCGCGATCGCCGCCGGTGTCTACTCAAATGCTATCGCGCTTGTCGACGCCTTTTCTGAAGGCAAAAAGACGTAACGGAAAAGACGTCTTTTGCTAATAATGTTTGTAAATCGAAAATGATGATAAACTTGAATGTATGATGGCATTTTGAAAGCCATTTCTCAAACTTTACCAACTTGATGAACGATAATTGTCTGTCTTTTCAGAGGAATTTTTGTTCAAGAAAAAAACGCATGCAAAGCACCTGGTTAAACTCGCCAAACATACATCTAAAGATTGGCCGTACAATGCAAAAATCGAACTAAAATAAACTCAGATTTATGCTGAAAAAATGCTGATGCACGATGCTGAAAAACAGTTAAATTTGAAATCGTCTCTTTAATAAAAAAATCTTCAATAATTTAATAATCTTTAATAGTTTAAAGTTTAAACTTTAAAGTCTTTGTAAACGATTGGACACTTGAAATCCTTTTTTCAGTTGTTTCCTTATCAACTTCTTTCTTACTAATCGTAAGAAACTTTTTATAGACTCTACGGTTTACATCAAATTTATTTACATTTAAATTTATTCTTGCAGAGAGTTGTACGTAAAAGGTAGAAAAGCAATTTCGCAGTTTTTGTGAAGAAAGATTTTGCGCAGAAATAGAGCCTCAAATTTGCTTTTTCAGCAGCTTTAAAAGTTACTTTTTCTAGCAACACATGATCATTCATTGGATCATTTATTCCAAGATCAACACAAGATCAGCCTTCAGTTTCCCTGTCACGGAGTCCAAAATACTATCTGTATCTGGTACTCATTTCAAATGTTGTTGAATCAAGACTTTTGGTCTGCTTATATAGACAAAATCGAGAGTTGTTTTAGAAGAAAATGCTTGAATGGTAAGAAAATGGAAATTAAGAAAAACGACAGCAAAAAAAATTGCCTGTCACTGTCAAATACCAAAAAAAGTTACTCATTTTGAACGTGAAACTTGTTTATACCAAATTTCAGACTTTTATTACTCCAATGAAAGCTGATTCACGTTCATTTTGCCGCTCAACAATTGCCAAATGCTAAAAGGAGACATTTTTTTGAATCATGCAAGCTTTTTACTTGGAAGATCGATGCCTGGAGTATAAGCGTAGGCTGTGAATTGCATAAATCCGTAGACAATCGCCGCGTATTTCACCGCTGGATCGATCGTCTCAATCGTGTGTGTTCCCGGGGAAATTGGGTAGTCGACCATGTAAATGTTTGAGGTTCCTTGTCTAAATTCTCGATTGAACTGGGTTCCGTTTAAATTGTCGCTCTAAACGTGCTTAGAATTCATCAGTTTAAACTAGGAGGCAAGTTCGTTTTTGTTTACTTTGAAAATGGGCACATGAAAAAAAAGAGATTTCGATATTTCTGCCACATAAAACCCATTCAGTGCACCAGAAATAATGCATTTGCATTCTGAGCAAAGTCTAGCTCTTTAGCAATACCTTTGGAAAAGCGATGTAGAGACTGGAGAGCCATCAATTGATAGTTTTGACTTGCTTTGAGTGGCCGTCATTTCAGTCTCAAGACGAATGAAATGTTGTTCAGCCAAACCTTGCTTTGACTTCAACCCTGTTGTCACCTAGAAATAGTGTTGTAACACGGGTTTTGCCTCGAGTAAAACATAGATGATTTCTTGATCAACTCTGCCATACTTGAATGTAGCTCTGATTGGTGAATTGGGAAACGGCGGGGATGTGAACAAGGAATGGGGAACCTTGACCGTCTTGGCGAACCGACGAGAACTGGAAGAACGGCTTAGCATCGAGTAATCTCCCAAGAAACTCACAGCAAACGCATAAACTGGTTTGTTTGTCGTGATGTACACATCAGTCACTCGGAAAATGCCATATGCGAAAGCGTCAAGCGTCCATATGGCTCGTCCATTCGAAAAGACCAAAGTGTCGTTGTCCTAGACAAAAGAAATTGATGATTTGTTGCTTGCAAGCAGTTGCTGATAGCTCAAAAGCTCACAAGGTACTGTTCTGACAAGTGAAAGCGAAGAGACCTAAGGGCAGCAGCATTGACTGCAGGCGTTGGCCGGTTGGCACGTCGGCAATGACTACAGCCGGGGTCGAACCCCACATTCTAGGATTGAGAGACAAGCGCTCTGGCAATCCACCATGATGACACCTTGAAGGCCACTTTTCCACGCCCTTTCCTTTCAAAGTTGTTTGTGCTACCCTTTATTGAGGATTCTAGGAGGCCCGACTCCTAGAACTCCGACTGCGAATTGGCAACATATTTCGGCCTAGTACGGTAAGTCAGGCCTGCAATCCAGACTAGGTCAGCTAAATCCATTCCAGCTAAATCCAGATCCAAACATTTGCCAGTTAGGTCTGCCAGCTCACTGGACAGGCAAAGCCATGGCATGGCTTTTTGCAGTACTATGACTGATCTGGTCTGGTCCAGAAATTTCCCTTTACATAGTCCAGAAATGTAAGAATGGGCAAACATTAACTTGCAAGTTTTGAAGTAACTCAATTCCCAAGAAATCTTTTTCTCCAAAATTCTTTTCCAAAAGACAAACCTGTGCAAGAATGAGCAACTGTCCCTCTTCTGGGTCGTCGGAAATAAATTGCGTGAATGGGAAAGCGGTGCCAGCAGGAACTGGGAACAACATGGATGCCTAAAATATGTTGAAGATCAATTTCAAGTTGCATATTTTGTATGTTTGTAGAGTTTTTTCAAGTTAAATAGTTTCCAACCTCATAGTTACATAATTTCTCACTCCAGTAGCCAAAGCCGCAAGCCGTGCCCACAACGATCGCTAAAGAAAGTAACGTAGAAAGCGCAAGTATGCCAGCAAACCGATCGGAAAGTTGCTGATGATTTGAGTATTTAGGTTGTAAAAATCATTGGATGAGAAGACCAAGATCTGACCGGCATTCAAAGAGAAACTAGTTTGACCGAAGAGTGGCGGGTTGACAGTGATCTGAAGAAATGAAATGCCGTGCCGGTTGGCTATCGGACAGTTGATCGCCACGCCCCTTTTCCCATTGGGAATCTAACTTTGAGCTCAAATTTCTTGCGGTTGCGCTGTTCAATTGAAATATTCTTAGTATCATTAGATGCGCCAAGTCTTTCTCTATCGATTGGTACAAAAACCAGGCAAATTAGACAGCCCAACACCAAGATATTTGAGCTCAAAGTTAGATTGCCAATGGCAAAAGGGCAAATGGAACGGTGCGCGATTCAAATGTCCCAAAATCGGTTAACGATTAAATTCAGTGCACTGTTGCACACTAAGGATACTGTACCGTTCTCGGCTTAGTCTTTCAGTGGATTCGTTTATTACCGCAGTATTGTCCTGCGTGGCGATGATCGACCAATCATTTCTGACGGGGAACCGGCTTGTGTCGTCGCCCACCGTTCGATAGCTCTTAGCAAGTGTGCAAGTCTAGAACAATTAAGCCGAATTTCGGGTTAGTTTTTAATTAGTACCGGATAAACGACGAACATTCCACCAGAAATCGAGTCTGAGGCGAAATTTTGAGCCACAAGGGAAACCTGGAAAAAGTTTTCATCAAATTGACTTTAGTCTAAACCTTTGTGTCAGCTGTCAGATAAATGCTTTGACTCGAGTAAAACCATTCATTCTTTGGTTCCCTTTTATAGCCGACTTGGATTTCTGCTGGGGCCGAGAACTGAAAATATTGAAAATATTGAAATCTTCAGCTTAAGCTGTTACCCGATAATTCTGCAGTGGAGCTACGGTGAAAGTGGTTGTTTTAAAGATTGCCGATGGGGTGCTAACGGTGACGGTGGCTGGGTTGCTAAAGAATTTTGGGTCGATGCAAATTTTAGGTCAACAATTGGATTTAGACTTTTTATTTGCATTGTAATCTCTAAAACACAAATAAGATTGGAAAAATTTGACTGAAAAAACGCTGAAAACTCACACAGTGTCATAGTTTGTGACGATTAAAGTGATCTCTTCTGTGTAGGTCGTGTCCTTGACACTGAAATGAATTTGTTCAAAAAAGTTTACAAAGAAAATTTTGTTAACAAAATTGATTGTTTCGATTTGAATGCAAGACTTTTTTAAAAGCTTTATACCTAATATGAGAGTTTGGGATGGCAAAAATGAAAGTTGTGCCAGTTGTGAAAGCCCGGATGACCGGATGGGCTTTGGCTGGCTCTTGGTGAAGAAGGAGATTTCCTGAAATAGAGCTTTTCTAACTGTAAACAAGTGTAATTGGCAATGTCAGAGTTAGTGAACTAACCCGATACTGTGTCTAAAATAGTTGCAAACACCGAATGCTCACATTAGTAGCAAAGTACGCGAACCACGCCTGTTCTTTGCTGAGAGTCTGATTGGTGGGAATTATTTATTGATTTAGTTTTTAAAGTCAGACTTGATTAAACCGAGTTGGGTCTCACAAGAGAACCCCACCAGAACCCCGACATTGTTTGGCTGGAAACAGGGTGTTTCTGATGCAAAATTTTAACGCAAGAGCGTTTATAGAGAAAAATTTTGGAGACGTGGCTGCCCGCCAATGACTGCTAAAAAAAAACTTGACGAAAAGAAAAAGTCTAATCTCTTTTTTTGCTTGAGACTTTAGGAAATTCTGATTACAGATTCTAAATCACCGTGAAATTCTGCATCAGGAACACTCGGTTTCCAGTCAATGCCAGGATTCTGGTGGGGTTCCCTTGTCAGTGAGCAAAAAACACAAACTGTTTGTTTGGCATTAAGAAGAACCGAGAATTAAGAAGAATTTAGCATCTCTTTAAGCATCATTTAGCATCTTTAGCACAAATTTTAAGCATATCTTCGGAAATTTACGCTACCTCTTTGGTTAAACGATTGAACAACATAGAAAAGGCTGAAGAAAGCATAAAGTTTCATGAATTCCCTCATATTTTGATAGATTTGATTAGGTTAATGGAAAATAATGACAATAACGAAGATTTTTCAGCGAGGAAAAGCAAGCAAATTTTTCAGCAAGGAAAACGTTCGAACGTTTCCCTTTTATCTAGCTTCTGATTAAAGCTTCGCCGAAAAAAAAGATTAATCCAGCTTAATGACGAAAGTTCATTGAGGTTTTAAAGTAGAATAAAGTTTTGCATTATTGATAAGAGAAACTCTTCTTTTTTTGCAGCGTTCTTTGATTTCATTTTTCTTAATCTCTTCATAGTTTAAGATAAATGACTTTGTGATTTGTACTTGATGATCTGAGTATTTATCTTGACGACAAGTTGATTCAAAGATTCAGTGTTCATCAGCCAATGAAGTTTGGGCAAAAACTAAAAACGCCATCGTGATGCCCGTGTCCGACTTGCGTTAGTCATATAGCTTGGTTCGGTTTCGCGCTTGTGAAATCTGATCGCTCCCTAGTGAGACCATTTCCATATAAGCTCACCTGTCGCATACCAGAAATCGCTCTTCCCGATCCCTTTGACATAACTATTTATGCCAATCGCTTAATTATCACGGTGAACGGAATCTCTTATTGCTTTGGCCATCCACCAGTTCGGCGCTCGTTTCCTCAATCTAATACAGTGCGTTTCAAATTCTCAAACGCACCCTCTAAAATAGCGAATTTTGCATTTTGAACACCGCTACAACTATTATTCTTTTTCCATTAGAAGGAGCATGTCTTAAAATCTAAAAAACACGAGAAATAAGCATACTGTAAAAAGTAAAAATTTTCAAAATAGAAACTTTTTGCTAAATCAACCGTTTCAAATTCTTAAACGCACCCGCCTTTACTGATGTTATTTGAAATTTTTCGTTTTGTTTTGCAAATTTTTTTATTAAATTTATAATTTTTGTTAATTTCCAGGTAAATGGCACACGGAAAGCTGCTCACGGATTATGAGAAAGGCCAGATTGATGCCGGTTTGAGGATTGGCGACTCAATAAGGAAAATCGCAAAAAATTTGGGCCGATCCGGCTCTGCCGTGCGAAATTATATAAAGTCCGATTTCGTTTCTGCACCAAAGAAGAAGCCAGGACCAAAACCAAAGCTGACACCGCGAGCTAGACGCCATATTGTGAACAACATCCACGGAAAAACGATCAATGAAGTGAAAACGGAACGGGAAATCGACGCTTCGAAGTCGACAATTTGGCGAGCCATCAAGGAAAACCCACATATCGATCGACAATCATTGAACATGCAACCGGTCGTGAAGCTTTTGCACAAGAAAACCCGATTGGCGTTCGCCAAGGCTCATATGAATCAGGATTGGTCTATGGTTAGAAAGCCGATTATGTTTTATTATTTTTTTTGCGTTTAGGTGATCTTTTCCGATGAGCAGAAATGGAAATGGGGTGGTCCCAATGGCATTGACTACTATTGGAGGGATCTTCGACGTGATCCGATGGTGTTTGGAACTCGAAACTTCGGCGGTGGCTCTGTGAGGGTTTGGGCAGCCTTTTGTGCTGATGGAACGATCGCTCTGAAGATGGTTTCGAATCGGATGACTAGATAGATGTCTTGAACAATTGCTTATTGCCGTTTTTGCTCCTAAATCCAACCGTTCCCGATTTGTTTCAATACGACAACGCGTCAATTCATCGAGCCGAAGGCACCCGAGACTGGCTGAACAGCAACAACATTGCAACTTTGGACTGACCCGCTCGATCTCCTGACATCAATCCAATAGGGAATTTATGCCGAATATTTGTCCAAGTGCCTACAAAAATCATCGTCAGTTTCAAGACGTGTATTTGTACCTAAAACAGCGATCCGTTTGGCCTGAAGCTACCTCGACGTCTTTGCTTTTCAAAACCTCATCAATTCAATGCCAGACCGCATTTTTCAAGTAATTAATCGTTCTGGGGAGTGTACAGATTATTAGTTTTGATTTTTTACCTTTGATTTTTGAGCCGGAGATACCCGAGACTGGCTGAAAAACAACAACATTGCAACTTTTGACTGGCCCGCTCAGTCTCCTGACCTCAATCCGATAGAAAATTTATGGGGAATACTTGTCCGAGCTGTCTACAAGAATCATCGTCGGTTTCAAGACGTTTCTACACTTAAAACAGCAATTTTTTCGGCCTGGCGCAATCTCGACGTCTCTGCTCTTCAAAACCTCATCAATTCAATGCCAGACCGCATTTTTCGAGTAATTAATTGTTCTGGTGCGTGTACAGATTATTAGTTTTGATTTTTTACTTTTGATTTTTAATTTCTATCGATAAATAAAAATATTTTCATAGTGCGTTTAAGAATTTGAAACGGTTGATTTAGCAAAAAGTTTCTATTTTGAAAATTTTTACTTTTTACAGTATGCTTATTTCTCGTGTTTTTTAGATTTTAAGACATGCTCCTTCTAATGGAAAAAGAATAATAGTTGTAGCGGTGTTCAAAATGCAAAATTCGCTATTTTAGAGGGTGCGTTTGAGAATTTGAAACGCACTGTATTACATTCAAAATTAGAACTGATTTTAGTGGAATCGATTTGCAAGAGCATGTTCATTTTGTAGAGATCGAGAGATTCGGCAATCATTCGCTGAAATTAACTGATTGTACTTGCTTAAGTATTTCATTCCTTGTACTCGATTTTTGAAGATTTTAAGTATTCAAAGAAGTGCTAAAGGTACAAAAATCTTTATCTGAAGCTAAGACTCGGCACACACTTCACGGAAGAAAGAGTTCCAATCGATCGTCAAATCTTTGCAAATACTTAACTGTTGTTCGAAGAAAATCGATAGAAAAGGGGTTCTTGCCCAATTGGTATGCAAATTTAGGGTCTTGAAAGTAAATTACGCTGAATTTTTGGGGAAAATCTCGACATGTACCGAAATTTCTTGAATAGGAGATCGATTTTGATTTAAAAACGAACAATTTTTGAGTGCTAAACGATTATTTGTAACAGATCCACGCGAACGGCGGCGTTTCGATCAATTTTCGCCCGTGGGTCGCCTTGATCGTTTGTCTGACGCTGATCCGCTCGATGTTTTTGTCAAATTTTCAAATTCAAATTCAAAAATCCAGGATGCTCCACAATTATCATAACCAGTTTTTGGATAACAATTCTTTTCCGAAAAACTTTCTACAGAAAGTAGCATTTATTATATACCATTTGAAGGCTCTAATTCTCAGTACCATTAATGTATTAAAGATTTTTTGGTCAGAGCTAATTCTTGACCTTTACTGGCCTTCGGAATGAGCTCGCCGCCAGTACCCCACTGCGATTTTTCGTGTGCTGTCAGGTGAGCTGTCATTTTTCGTGTTTTTGAATGCAAGGAGTGTTTTGAAAAGATTGTTTTCAACTGAGTAACCTTTTCCCAATTCTTTTGGTTCAAAATAAAGGCAAACGTTAACAAACTAACCAACAAACTAAACATGTGCAAATTCCACGAAAAATGACAGATCGCCGTGGAATGCTTGCGGCGAGCTCATTCCGAAGGCCAGAAAAGGGTCAAAAATTAGCTCTGTCCAAAAAATCTTTAATACATTAATGGTACTGAGAATTAGAGCTTTCAAATGGTATATAATAAATGCTACTTTCTATAGAAAGTTTTTTGGAAAAGAATAGTTTGCCAAAAACTGGTTATGATTTTGGACCATTCTGTAGTCTCATTTTTGAAAGTTCTCTTTTTCAGGCCGCCACTCCGGTTGTTCAGACATATTGTATCGCTGAGACACTCTAGAAAAATTATTCCATTTTAAAAAAGGCTTTGTGGGATATTTTTGCAAATAAACATTTTTTTGGGTTTAAAAGTCTGGTTTGAAAAGCGCCAACCGAATCGTTTGACTGAAAAGTTTACATCTTTATTTCTAATGATAATCTGGACAAGGCGTGAGTTGATGTTGATTGTCACAAACGTTGTACACGGAGTCCAAGGCCACCCGAAGCACATTACAGTAGAAAACCCCGGCATTGTAGTCACAGTATCGAGCCAGAACAACGGATTCGCAAGAGATGTACGTGTCATAGGCTCTAAAGTGATTGATGATAGATTGATTCATGACTTAGGCTTGATTGGTGATGGATGAAGACTTTGATACAGCTAGAAACTAGACGCATCGTTCAAAGTAAACTTCTAACGTAAGCATCTATCGGTCCTTCTTTGCCGATGGCAATTTAAGTTTTTTCATCTTTTTCTCAGCACCAATCCTTCGATTTTGACTATGTTGACTATCATTCGACGCAGAATAAAATTACGCGTCGAATGATACCAAAATTAATGCAAAATGTTTTATCCACGCAAAGTTATGAGGCAAAGGGTGACGCCCCACCAATAATGGGCGGGGTCTAGGTTTTTAGCCAACAACTTTGCGTGTATATAACATTTTGCATTAATTTTGGTATCATTCGACGCGTAATATTATGCTGAATCGAATGATAGTCAACATAGTCAAAGTCGAAGGATTTGTGCTGAGAAAAAGATGAAAACCCTTAAATTGAATTGCCATCGGCCAAAAAGGGTAAAAAGGAGATCTTTTCGTTACAAGTCTAATTCAAAGTGCTATCAAACTTTAGCTGGAAATGTTTACAGATCGAAGACAATGCCTTGATTCCGTTCTTCAAGTCAAATTGCTTTTACTTTTGACATTAACAATTCAAGTTACTCACTGGCAGACAGGCATTCCGTTATTCAAATTTTTGTCCAAATCGTCTTGGCATTGCTGGAAAGCGTTTAACTTTACACAAATTTTAAACAAAATCGAGTCTGATCAAATAGCCAATAGTCTGTGCCAAACCTGGAGCAAAGTTGCCTGGTTGTTCTGAACACTTTCCATACAGTAGAACTCTTGGATGAAAACTAAAAGCTTGCTTCTCACAAAAGCTTGCTTTAAGGTCAATTTTACGAGTTACCTTTATACCCAGCACCGCACTCATAGTCGTGCACAGCGTTGTCCTCCATGAATCCATATGAATCGTCAGTCTTGTTACCGGTTAATTGCATGAAACAATCCAAATCGATTGGGCTCATCACTTTGACCAGACATTGACTCAATGGAGTAGCGTGACTGCAAAGTTACAGTTTTTTTTGGTAGGAATCTGGGAGTTTTTGAATGAGTTGAAGTTTTGATGTTCATCACTTTGCTCAAAGATGTTAGCATTGTTAACTTTTTAGCTTTGTTAAATTTTTATACAGTTTTAAAGAAGACACTTCAAGGCTTTGAAATTGATGTAAAATGGAGTGTGAACGTGCCAGAAAATCCTAAGAAAATCAAGTGATAAAGCGCTCGAATTTGAATCGGAAATAGATCACAGGAATTTGGGACACCCAGGAAACGCGAAAGAAAGCTAAGTTTGAGTTTTTTTTAAAGTTAAATCTTCCGGTTTTTGTTTATAACGGTTTAGATACTAAAATATGACAGCTAAAGCTCGTTTTGCTTGCGAACTCACTCGCAAAGATCCTTGGCTGCCTGTTGTCCCAATTGATCGAATTTCTGTTGCATTGCATTCGCCATTGTCATGTAGTCTGGTAACATTCCGGCTGTAAACCCTTATATTTTGCTACTAGTTCCAAGGATACGCTGAGAGTTGACTCCATAATATTGAAGGAATGGGGCATAACATTGGAGGATGGCTGCCTGCTGGTTGGAATTGCAATCGGCTGATGCGAAACCGAAGATGAAAGCTGAAATGGGAAATGGAGAAAACTTGTTTAACGCTAAACTAATCGCGACTGAGATTACGGTAGCCTTTTCCTACGCGTTAATGTCAATAAATCAAGAAATAAACAGCTTACCTCCAAATAAAATCTCGGCAAACATCATTCAATTGTTTAGTAAAGAATGCGCTCTGGTTGCAATCTCGCTTTTGCACGGCTTTATACAAAAAAACCATATGGCACAGCTTTGAGAAATGGTGACAAAGATAAGAATAAATCATCACAAATTCACGAATCCCTTTTTCGATTTTTAGTCTCCCATTTTGTGTGGAAACAGACCATGAGTTAAATTGTTTAACGGTCATGAAATAATTGATGAAATTGTATGCTCAGCTCAGACTGGACAATGAAATAAACAATCACCTCTTCAAGTACAAGTATTTATGCACAAAAGTACAAAGAAATTAAAATATTCAGTCAACCGGCTAAAACACGTTTAGTTCAGTCAAGTTAAAAATGCTAATTTTATGCTAATTTCGTGGAAAGACAAATTTTGTCACTACTATTTTTTTCAAAGCAATGGCTTTTTCTACATTTTTAATATGATAATCAGACACCCATTGCCTGGCTTTGGGCAAAGTTTCATCCCGATGTAATCGCTAGGCTTCAAGCAGGGAGCTTTTGTTTGCAATCAGTCGATTCTGATCTAGGCCAATTCGCACAACAAGAGTTCTTGTTTTTGGGATTTCTCAAAGACTGAACTAACGTAAATACTGTAATAGTACCCCACCCCACCCGCCTCGTACAGTCGCGTAGTCGCAAAGTTTTTTAGTATTTCATTTTGTTCAAAGCGCCCGTACTTTCAAAAATGCGTCTCTGGGTATCAAAAAATAGCCCTGAATTTCAGCTATTTTTTGATACCTAAGCCCGCATTGTAGCATAAATCAGTGTCGAGAAAAGCTCGTTCAAAGCTAGACTACGCATCACTCCGCACCGTCATTATGGGGGTGGGGTACTATTACAGTATTTACGGTATGTGTTTTCTGAGCTATCGCCAGGGGCCTCTATTCAAATAGCTCGCAGAGTTGATCTGAAACTGAGTCTGTTTGATAATTCAAAGGCTTTAGAACTCTTCTAGTAACAGGGCAGTTAGTTTTTTTAAAAAACCCTTGTTTTTGAGTGTTTTCATAACTATAGTAATTATAGTGAAGTAGAATTGAAAGAACTTTTCAACAATGCAGTGAAGAAAAAGTTGCTGATTAAGCTTACGTTCAAAATTCCAATCGAAACTCATTTTTTTGATCAATATGCTATTTTTTTTTCAGCTCTCCAACTCCAACAGTGTGCTAAAAGAGAAACGGGATTCAAGCTCAGCATCGTGACAATAAGAACAATGATTTACGTTTGCTCATTAGTTTCTTTTGCTTGCCCTTTGTTACTTCATCAAATGTTGAAGATGAATTTTGTTCTTTTTCTCGATTAACATTTAAAATCACATCGGAATTCACAAATCTGATCGGAAACGGACTCAAAACAAAGTAGTTAAGTATACGGTAGTTTTTAAAAGTTTACATTTTGTTAGAAAGCACAATTTAAGCTGGAATCACACCACCGCTTGAGTACGCCTTTGCCTCTTCTGAAGCCGAAGTTTTGCTCTCGTAAGAGACTTTAGTCTGAATTCCTGTACAATTCCGCAAATTGCGCAAAGCTCTCGTTTGAATCGTTTTGTTGAGCAAGAGGTAGACCAACGATGGGACGGCTGAAATTTGATGAAACTCTCTAAACGTAACTGGAACCGAGCCCGTCCGAGCCGGCCAGTCATGTTTTGGCCATGTCCTGGCCAGCCTTGGCTCGACTCTAGATTGCCCTGATCTTTCACTAGCCTGGAATGAACAATTCCCATTTGGAACATCCCTGAATCTCACTCACCATGCATTAAATGCCAGCACAATTGACCTAAATGGAGCACGAAGATGCTCGGATCATAGAAAACCATCGAAGCCCAGATTGCGGTGGTGACAAAGGTAAAGAAACAGATGCAGATTGCTTGTCGGAGAATCTGGAAGGATATTCTTCGTTGTTTTCTTGGTCGTCAGACTAGTCCACGTTCGTGGCTTGATCGGGTTATTTGCCTTGTTCTAGCTGGTTCTGGCCTGACCCTAAGTATGAGAACGAGTCTAGCTCAGGTCTGGCTTGGCTTGGATTGACTTGGCTTAGCTACCCGTCAAGGAAAAGCATTGCATTGTTCTTGAACTTGCATTTCTCTGTAATGCCGTCGATTCAACAGCTTGTGTCACCCTCAATTTGTACGCGTGTAGCACAACGAAGCCCACATAGGAGCCACAGATTCCGCTCGTCGTGATGAAATTGTTCACCGCTAGCCACATCGGAGAGTACTGAAACGTCTAGTTTAGAAGCATATGGGTTCCGAAATTCGTTTAACTACTTAAAAACTCACATCTGTGTACGTATTTCCGGGAATTAACGGATTAAAAATCCAAGTTCCTACATCGACATTGAAAGAAAGAGATGGAGCTTTCCAAAAGCACGCCATGCCATAGAGAGCACATAGGAAACACCAGAACCATGTCTTTTTACCCTGAATGTAAAAATGGTACAAGTTTGCAGGTAATCTTACGTGAAAAAGCTTTTTCGCGATGTCTGGACGCCAGAAATCGATGAGTCGATTCATGACGAGGACGAGGGATAATGTGCAAACAGGGCCAAAACAGCCTGAAGTTTGTGAGTAAGTAGTGAAGTACGGTTTAATATTATAGAAACTACAGTACCGAGCAAAAGTCTTGCAACATCACTTTTTCAAAAAAATCGATGAAATTTTTTTATAGAAAATGCCACCCGTTCGTAGGGCTTTTTTGTTTTTAATTAGAATAATACATGTACACTTTATTTACAAAAACAAATTTGAAGTTCAGCGTAAAACAAAAAAGTAAATGACAAAACTACAAAAAAATACCCTAAAAACTGGGTGCAAAAGTCTTGCAACATTCTATGTTTCTCATTTTTATTGTTTTCAAATTTATTAATTTACACTAATTTTTGTTTTTTTCAGATGCCAGGTACCTAATTGACGACTCCCGAAAGAGAAAAACCATGAAAGCAAGAAAAAAAGGAATTTCTCGAGCCGTTGTCTCCGATCTCTTCAAATGCGATCCTTCGACGGTTTCTCGCATTGTTTCAAAAGCAAAAACAACTGGACTTATGCACCGAAGAGAGAAGAAAGGACGGCCAAGAAGAACAACAGCAAAAGAGGATCGAATACTCGTGATGGCTTCCAAAAAGGATCCGAACATGACCCTCAACTGAGGGAGCTCGGCTGATCAAGGATGTTGCAAACAAGGATATCTCTCGATGGACCGTTTCTCGACGATTGACTCAAGCAGGACTGTATAGCCGGAGGCCTTTGATGACCGCTGGCCACAGGAAACAACGGCTTCTATTTGCCAGGATGTACCAAAGTTGGACAAAGCAGGATTGGGCCAACGTGATTTTTGTCGATGAAACAGAAGTGGATATCTTTTCTCCAAAAGGCAACCACTTGATCAGACGACCCATTGGAAGGCGAGTACTCCTTAAATATGTGCGACCTACAATGCGAGCTGGCGGAGAATTCATCATGTGTTTTGGTAAGCCTCATTTCTAATACATGCATTAATTTGCCTTTTTCTAGGGGCGATGGCAAAAAATGTGGCAGGTCCACTCGTCCTCATCCAGTCAACCATGAATGCTCGCCAGTATATGGAAATACTAGAAGGATGTCTACTTCCATTTGCTCAGGATTACATGGCTCCTAGATGGTTTCTCTACCAGGACAATTCGCCGGTTCACAAGAGCAAGCCCATGATGGGTCCCACGGTGTGTCTCTCAAATGGAGGAAAAGCCGAGCTCCCTGGATGGCTTGCCCTTAATAATGTTTTTTTGGTCAATATGCCCCCTATGTCGCCTGATTTAAACGTTATTGAGAATTTATGGGCTTACGTGAAGACAAAGTTACGAGGAAAAGACTTTCACACAAAAGTTGACTTATGGTTCTACATACGAAAAGTTTGGAGCTTAATTCGCCCAGCAATTCTTCACGAATTAGTCGACTCAATGCGTAAACGACTTAATGAAGTGATTTTGGCCAAAGGTGAACCGATTGAATATTAATTTTTGATGTTTCTGTATAATGTTGCAAGACTTTTGTTTTTAGGGTATTTTTTTGTAGTTTTGTCATTTACTTTTTTGTTTTACGCTGTCAAATTTGTTTTTGTAAATAAAGTGTACATGTATTATTCTAATTAAAAACAAAAAAGCCCTACGAACGGGTGGCATTTTCTATAAAAAAATTTCATCGATTTTTTTGAAAAAGTGATGTTGCAAGACTTTTGCTCGGTACTGTATATTGCGAGTCAATTTATATAACAAATAGCAATACAACTTTGGGCCAAAGATTCGACTGGATAGATTCGACTGGATCGAGTCGAATGATTGTGGGACCCCGCCCCTTTTGCATTGGCAACCTATCTTTAAGCTCAAATCTCTTGGTGTTAGGCTGTGCAATTTCAATAGTTTTTGTACCAATCGACAGAGAAAGACTTGGCGCATCGAATGATATCAAGAATATTTCAATTGAACAGCCCAACCGCAAGAAATTTGAGCTCAAAGTTAGATTCCCAATGGGAAAAGGGGCGGGGTGCGTATAAAAGGTCTCCACAATCGCTTGCAGCACAGCTTTTTGATATGCTTCCAGCTAGACTTTAGTACTTGTTGGATTCTTCGGAAAAAGGCGTATAAAAGGTCCTACAATCGCCCCGCCCCTTCGCCATTGGCAATCTAACTTTGAGCTCAAATATCTTGGTGCTAGGCTGTGCAATTTCAATAGTTTTTCTACCAATCGATAGAGAAAGACTTGGCGCATCGAATGATACCGAGAATATATTTCAATTGAACAGCCCAACATTAAGAAATTTGAGCTCAAAGTTGGATTCCCATTGGGAAAAGGGACGGGCGCGTATCAAATGTCTGATAAACACTGATTTCTACTGACCCATGATCGATGAGCCGATGATGTACTGTAAATGAGGATACATACAGTACTCAGCGCCAACCAGGTAGAAATAACCGGACACCTGAGCGCTGAAAATCATACAGACGAAGTCGAATAAACCTAAATTCCTGAATGACTCAAGATCTGTTCTCATTTCTGCTTACTTACCCAAGCATAGCATCATCTTGTAGCAAGAATGCTTTAAAAGGTCCTTTGTCCCAATCACTGACAAAGCCAAGAGATATAAAACCTGAAAGTTTATTGCTTTTATTTATTGCTTATGCTTTACCTGAAAAAAGAAGCCAAGTAAGATGTAGATTGTGCCAACAATCGGATGTTTTTCATGTTTTACTTGCAATTGGTTGTAGGTTAGATTGATGTTGCTGTAAAGATAGTTGGTTAATCGTTTTGTTAGCAAATTAACAAAAAGCAAGATCGTTTTGTTAATTTACTTACCGACAAGTCCATCTCGGATTTGCATCCAGCCCGCCCGCAGCAAAATAAACTTCCATTTGACTTCGTGAATTGTAAAAAAGGCTGAAAATGAGGCAAAGAGTAAGCAGAGCTTCTGTGCTGATTATAAAAAAAGCCTTGAAATTCTAGTTGTTGAAAGTTTTTGAAAGAAAAACTTGACTTTTTGAAAGAGTTGACCAAGGAAAAGTAATTTTATAGACATCTTTTTGGTTCTCCTTTTGTTTTCCAATATTAAATTCTTCAATTGAACGGCTTGACTCATATTTGTACCCGAGACAATAGACGTTCCCAGGCAAAGACAAAACAAATTGATGAAATGAATACGTTGAAAAGAAATGAAAGAATCGGGGTACAAGGAAAAAGTGACTAGTAAAATCATACATAAAAAGAATGGATCTTTTGCTCATTCAGGAAATCTTTGAAAGTTTTAATTAAATGAGAAACACATTTTTTGAGCCATAGATTTGTGAAATACTTTGAAAATTCATCCTTTTATCATAGAAATCATAAAAACAAAAGTTTAGAGTAACTTTACGGAGCCAACAAATCAAAAATTGCATGTTCAAACCAGTTTAGCAGTACGATACATTGTTTATAAACTTTATGTTTTCTTGTAAATTAGTTAAATTTAACTTTTTACGGTGATGATGTCTTGTTTAGCTTTCTTGCTTGATATGCGAGCTAAAGATTGAACTAACTAAACTATTTCTTATGCATGTACCTACATGCATAAGAATTTATTATATTTAAATGAATTTTTCGCTGAAGTTGAAAATTGCGTCATTTAGAGAGAGAGATTTTTCAGTTTCTAGCACCAAATTTCTTCTTTTGATACCTCATAAAAGAATCATTTTGCATTTTGGGGAATTTTAATTTTTACCGCTGAATGCTTTCTTTGCTTCTTTGTTAACCGTTAACATCGAACCATTGAAGAAATTTCGAGGGCGAAATGCGTGTGACCAAAAAAGGGATCGAGTCACTTTAGGGACAAGTTTAGTGTGGTCAAAATAGAGTTAGCTTTCCAAAATTGAAGATTTAAAAGAAAAGGATAACTATATATCAATTCATTAAAAAAGGCTAACGGAAATGCATTTACAAAAATTTAGATAGAGCGGAAGTTCAAAACCCTCGAAATTGTCAAAGAACCGGCTTTTTCACAAAAAAAAAATTATTGTAAAAACAAAGTTTTCCCATGAAATGATCCCAACTCTTAATTATTTTGAATGATATTTTACGGCGGTCATTTTCCACTATGTAGTCAAAACCGAACTCTTGTGGAAGTGGGGTTTTCAAAAAGTGCCCTTTTTTGGTCACTCGCATTTGGCCCTCGAAATTTCTTCAATGGTTCGATCAATTGAAACACGTTTTAGCCTATTTTGTAGAGGAGATTGACAACTTTCAAATAGTATATAACATGCATCGATATCAGGTTTCTATCGTTGGAAATTTATGAAAATGTTGAAATCTGTATTTCTTATGCATGTACCTAATAGTTAAAGCTAGATTTTCTCGGTGATGATGACTTGTTTAGCTTTGTTGCTTGATATGCGAGCTAAGGATTGAACTAAGTAAACTATTAAAAAGCTATTAATTAAACTATTAAAATACCAATTTTGACACTTTTCTCATTATGTCCGAGATTTAGATTTTTTTTTTCGATTTAGATTGTCGAAATGTAGTGAAAGTACCAGAGACTTTGTTGTTTTGGCTGAGTTGACTCGAGACAATTCGATTCGACTGTTCACAAGACTGAAATCTTAGATTATTATCTTCATCGTTTACGATTAAAGACTTGATATTTGGAAAGCTTTGAACAGCATTCAAAGCTTTTAATTTTCACATAAAACTTTGGAAACCAAAACGTTCGCCAAAAAAACGACTTTGAGGTGTCATAATTTTTCGTACAGCAAATATTTTTTCAATCTGGTTTCAGATTCGAAATCTACGAGGAATTTTGCGTCAAATCGCATCAATATTATCTCTTTTCGTCAAGTAAATCTTTTCTTTACATCAATCTTTTCTTTACATCAAGATGGAAAGGCTAGTGTTGATTTTTGAAGTGATCAAGATGAGTTGGAAAAAGAATTAAAGAAGATCCTTGTTGATGCACATCATCTTTTCGAGTGAAAGCCACGCCCCGTTTGCTTTTTTTCAACCTTTAAGCCAGAATTCGTTTTGGTATTCAATTCTTTGAAAAAATTGACATTTAAAAGCTATCTTTTGTCTAGAGGTAACATGATTATCACATTTTTCAGTTTCCTTCGATTTGGATTTGGATTTGGATGCATTTTCTGAATGAATCCACTCTGTCCAATGACTCGTTTGCTTACAATCCGTCTCATGATTCGGAATGTGGATTGGTGGATCTTTGTGAGTGATCTGAATTGAAATTGTTTATCAAGTTTAGTACTCAAACGCTACGCCATTTCTCCACTGATTCTCTTTTGTGTCTTTGGGAATATGTTTAATTTGATCATTCATCGTTTTTCGTATGCTAATGGCGACACTTTATTTCCCTATTTCAAAGCAAAAGTCATTGTTAATTCGATTTTCGTTTTCTCCAGAGTATTTGAGGTAAATTTTTTAGAGACTTCATTTTGAAACGCGGAATAAATGTACTCAAATTAGTTGGATAACGATTTTTGATTACCTTATTATGCCCAAGCGCTTGATTATTGGCTTAATTATTGGCTTAACTATTGCTTAATTATTGCTTAATTAATTACTTAACTAATACCAACTTGCCAGACTAAGTACTTGTGAGATTTTTCTACAATTTCATTCAGATGATCCATGCATGGGGAAAAAAGCCAAGTCAATTATGGGAGCCGATCTTTTGGATGACTCGCCCCTACATGATAGCCATTGCAAATATCAGCGGAACGGTGTCGATCTGGTTAGTGATTCTCTTGTTCTTCACTTGTCAACTATTCAAATAGTGCAAAGGTAGGGTGGATAGATTCATTTCAAAATCAAACAATCCCCTTAAATCATAAATGGAATCGAATCGAATTCGAATCATAAATGGTCTCACTAGTCAAGCTCAATTAGAAACATAAACAGCTTCCCATTCTGAATACTTACCAACTTTGGGTAGTAATAAACAACTAAAAGGTGATCATTGATTATCTAATGGTAATCAATACAAAGAAGAACTTACTCAAGAGCAGCTAGCAGCTTTATTTAATGCTTTGTATACCAAAAATGGCAGAGACAAAACGGCTGATTGATTTTCTGCCATATTCGCTGATTTCGACGGATGGTTTCTATTTGGTTCCAATTTGTTTCCTTTTAGTTCCTATTTGATTCCCATTTGATTCCCATTTGATTCCCATTTGATTGATCCGCCATCTTGGCTCAGAAGCAGGTGATTGTAAGGTTGGCTGATCTAGTTTCTCTTCCTTCCACAAACTTCTGTGTTGTTGACCATCGAATCCTTTTTTTATTTTGAAATGAATATCGAGTTACGGCTGTGAGGCAAGTGCGATTGCTTGCCCAATTGTTCTCGACTTCACTTCCTTTACTTCCGTCTCCCAAAATTTTCTTGCAAATATGGCAATGTTGCAGCAAAATTCCCAATTTTGATAACTCAACAATGATGTCCGTCGACTTATCATCTTCAATAACTTCATTATCGCCTAATCAACTTCATCATCTTCATCATTCGAACTCATCTCAAATGAAAAGTCCAAAAAAAGAAATGATTCTAATTTTCTTGTTAGAGACTTCATTTTGAAACGTTGAATAATTTTACCCAAATTATTTGAATAACTATATTTGATTACTTTATTATGCCCAAGTGCTTAATTATTGGCAACTTACTAATAACAACTTGCCAGTCTAAGTATTTATAAGACTAAAATTTCATTCAGACGAACTGCATGGTGCAAAACACCGAGTCAATTATGAGCCGATCTTTTGGATGACTCGCCCCTACGGCACGACACGGTTCTGCTGATATTTGCAATGGTTATCATAACAATATCAGCAGAGCGGTGTCGTGCCAGTTGACAGTTGCCAGTTGGCTTGCCAGTTGACATGTTCAAACCTTTCTGCTGCGCCAGGAGGTGCTCATCAACAAAAATTTTGCCAAATATTGCAGGAAATCAATTAACCGATTTCTGCCATTTTTGGTATAAAAAGCATTAAATAAAAACAAAATGATAGTTATCGATGAAAAAATTTTTCCACCTGGAATCGGCTTCGATTGTTACTCCTCTTTTAAACCTTGCGGTTAAACCATGCGGTTAAATATTGTGTTTTAAATTCTCGATCAGCGAAACTCAGTCCGAACCTCAGGGAAATGACAAATTTAAATATTGGACCCTAGTTTCTGGGTTAACTTCTAGGTTCCATTAGGTTCCATTCCATTAGACTAGGTTTCATTACATCAAATCAACGCTTCTCAGTTGGAGACTTAAAGGAAAATGAAAGGAAACTAAGTGATTAATAAAATTGTAAGTGGCAAAATGAGAAAGAACGTGTTGCTAATGATTTTATAGGGAATTTTGCCTTTTTATTTGTATTCGTTTATTCAACTGAAAAACTTTTGAGAGTAATTCAATTATTTAGACTTAAAATTTGTTTTCCATATTAGCTACTTCACAATTATGTTAGTAAGTACAATGGTTTATGTTATTAAGTACAATGGTTTATGCTATAAGTTCAGGTTATCTGCAATTATCTCATTGAAAACCGTTTTCTATCTCCTATATCCATTGACATTTCGATGCTATTGCACAAAGAGATTCACACTCATTTGTCTCTTCTCTGTCACCATTTTTGCCACTTTATCTCAAGCTGCATTCATCTATTTGAGAACGGTAAGAAAAACTTATTCATTTTACGTAAAAATGCTCAGCTCAACTTTTTGTTCTTTTGTGCCTAACGAAAAATCCTTCAAATAAGCCAAAACCAATCTCATTCAAGAGTCAACAAAAAGTTTCATTTTGGTAAGAAAAGGAAATTTGGGTTTCAAATCGAAAAACTCATTTGACAATGAAAAAAGAAAAGAAAAGAAAAGCAAATTTCAGCCAATTCCAATCTCTGGGTTTATTTATGACGATAAAAAGCAATGTTTCGATCGAAAAACTTATTACTCATTGGAATTACGCGATCAATCGGACAAAAAGTGGTGGAAAGCGTACACAATCGAACAAGTTTGGTAAAATCTATTCAAAAATCAGCTAACTTGAGGGAATTCTTGGGATTTTCATTCCGATCATGATCATGTCGACCTGCACAGCGATCGTCTGTCAAAAGGCACGAACGGTGAGCTACGGATTATCAATAGTATTTCCAAATTTCCAGGGAGTTCCGGATCCACAACAGAAGCGTGTTCTTTATTTGCTAATCGCCACCACTTTTTCCCATATTTTATTCGACGGGCCGGCGATTCTTTCGCATTTTGCGAGTGCTATTGACCGTGGGTTTTTGCTTTTGTCAACGCTAAAATGGTCCTGTTTTTTTAAGTCAATCAAGACAACCTCAAGCAAAATGAAGCTCGTTTACAGCATTCTAGCTTGATTTAAATTTAACTTCACGACTGATAATCTGAATTAACTTAACCATTCCATTCCGTTGCCATTCGGTTCCTATTTGAGGCCGATTCGGTTCTTATTTGAGAGCGATTAGGTCCCCATTTGGTTCCTACTTGAGACCGATTCGGTTCCCATTTGCCTCCGATTCGGCTCTCATTCTCCGTAAAGGAGATGCACTAAGCAATCAAAACCTCAACTGTTCAAGTGTTTTATTGATGGATTTGAGCGTATTGTTGCTGACTTAAATGTTTTGTGGCTAATTCGGTTCCTATTTGAGGCCGATTCGGTTCTTATTTGGTCCCCATTTGGTTCCCATTCCGTTCCCATTCAGTTCCTATTTGAGGCCGATCCGGTTCCTTTTTAAGACCGATTCAGTCCCCATTTGGCTCCTATTTGAGACCGATTCTGTCCCCATTTGGTCCCCATTTGGTTCTCATTTGGTTTCCATTTGGTTTCCATTTGGTTTCCATTCGGTTCCCACTCCATTCCCATTCGGCTACGATCCGATAAATAGTCACTTTGATGAAATATTTGATTTGATAACTTGATTTGATCAATTTTGTTCAAAGAAAATTTCCCCAACTATTTATTTTGATGAAATATACGATAGAAAATAAAAAGAAAACAAAATTAGGCGTGGAAATACCTAAATAAACAAAAAGCAAAAGATTTAGCTGCAAAATGAATTGAACGCGAGCAAAAAGATGCAGAGCTCGTTTTTGATACGAGCCTCTTAGTCACTATACCACCAAGGGATCTTTTAAGCTTTCATTTTTACGAAAATAGGACAGGTAGAGTTTTAGCTAGGTTTTTGGGTTTTCCGACGCGTGGGAAAAATGACAGACTGCAAGTTACAAAACTGGGTTCATAGAAAGTGTGTATCCCTTGAGCGATTCAAACAAATTTCCAATTTCAGACCCGAATCCCGCTCTGATGTGGTGTGTGATGAACCATATCTCGAATTTCCTCTCACTCATCAATGCCACCATTCCTTTTCTCTTCTACTTTGTATGCTTTATTTGAGAGTTTAATAAACAATCAAGAGCTAAACTTAAAATCAAAATTAACTTAATTGATCAAAAATCATGAGTAACGAGCGATGGATCGTACTCTTCATCCTTCATCCATATCGTCGACGTTTTGATGAAATAGAGAGCTTCCACGCGAATGAGTTCGCGATTCACTAGTTGATCATTTAGCTGAAAACAAATTTTACCCTAAACAATATCGCGCTCACAAGCGTACAAAAGGACGCCGCCTTTCCCATTTTGGCAGAATTTTCTCTCATTTTCTTGGTGAGAGTTTTTCTTTTGTTTGAGTTACTTCCACAATTTTCATCAAAGTGATTTCTTTTATTTCTGGCTCAACGCATTGTTTTCTTTGAGTTTCATTGAAACATTTTCACACCTTTTTGCTCCACATTTGTTGAATAAATCTGATTTTGTTATTCATTCAAGCAAAAGCGCACAAGTCTCGCAACATCAAGTAAATTCAAGGGAAAGCACACCAATAATTCGTCATACAAAGCAAATTAGTTCTGAGAGTCGTAGTTGACAAATCATCAAACAACTCACTAATGTCCATCATCCTAGAAGAAAAAAATTAATTAGATAGTAGTAAAATCGGTATAAAATCAACAAAAAAAGAAAAGAGAAACTGAAAGAAAGGGAGAAAGAAACTTTTTGTCTTCGTCTCCCAAAGAAAAATTTTTAAAAAAGAAGAGAAAATTTTTTTGTTTCCAGTGATCGGGACTATGTTATCTGGATTTAGCATGGTAGAAAACCCTTAGAAAAGTGATTATCGGAAATTTTTCGTAGAGGGAAGGGCGGAAACTGCACTCCAGCCTTAAAATCATAATACTATTAGGCTGGCAAGTTATAAACGATCGTTTTAGGCAACAACTTGTTCATTTCATAGAACGCAAAAATAGAACATTAATCCAAAAGGTATTCTTCATTATTATCGATGACTTCTTGCCATCTTTGGTGCAATTTCTTGATACCATTCGAAAAACTGAGCGTCCTTCTGAGCAAAGTAGAAATCAATTGCGTTTTTGACTTGTGTATAATCATCGAAGAGTTTTCCAAAAAGGAATTGCTTTAACAATCGAAACAAATGGTAATCTGAGGGTGCTAGGTCGGGTGAATAAGGCGCATGTGGTAGAAGTTTCCAACCAAACTCGTCGAATTTTTTGTGAGTGACTTTTGCTGTGTGCGGTTTTGCGTTGTCTTGCAAAAATGGGCCTTCGACGGATTGATCCCCAGTTTCTTCAATGAGTGACTAACTCTCATCAAATGTTTTGAGTAGAGATCAGCATCGATGTTATGCATAGAATCCACCAACTCATAGTGCACCAAACCTCTAGAATTCCACCAGCAACAAAGTATAATCTTCTTCCCATGAATTTCGGGTTTTGGAGTAGTTTGAGGAGCTTGACCTGACGATTCTTTCGTGTTTTATTATCGAAATAGATCCAAGTTTCCTCAGAAGTTAAGACTGAATTCCAGAAGCGTCCAGCTTTGCACTTGTGAAGCAAAAATGAGTTGATATTGACACGGGTTGTTTTGTTGTCTTGAGTCAACTCATGGTGAACCCACTTTCCACATCGATTTCTTTCCCAACAGGATGGAAATGATTTTCGATTGTTGTATGAGAAACATCGAACATTTCTGCCAATTGTCGTGTAGTGAGTGTTGGATCCTCTTCAATTTCTGCCATCAAATCCACATCAGTCACTCCTGGAGGGTGCCTCTCATGCGGCTCATTCTGGAGACTTTTGTTGCCACTTTGAAAGCGTTGAAACGATTTTCGACATTGATTTTTGCTAATAGTTCCATCTCCAAAAGCGGAAATAATTGTACGATGAGATTCAGTGGCTGATTTTCCTTGTTTAAAATCCTAGAGCATGGCTGCGCGGATAGGAAATTTTTTTTTCAGCCCTGATTTGTTTCAGGAAAATAGGGGCCCAGAAATTTGAAAGGGGTCTTATGTTTACGCTAAGATATTGTCGTTGTTTGCAGAAAAAAAAGAAGAAAACTTTTTGAATTCTAAGAAATCATTGAACAAAGCAAGCGATCGTTTATAACTTGCCAACCTAATATTTGAAATCTCTTCAATTGAAGCTGAAATAAACCGGTTCTGATATTTTTGATTCTCAAAGATTTTTCCGCGAAGGGGGAAGCATTTTTTTCTGCTTATTTGCTATCATAAATCTTAAAATCGAAAAAATTTATTTCCTTTTGATTTCCACCTTTCACAAGCATGTCAATCAACCAAAAGACTCTTGAAAAATTGGAGATCCAACGGGTAAAAACCTTGAAACGATCACTCGAGCAGAACTCGTTTCAAGTATAAATTCACAACTCGAAAAACAAAAATCATAAAAATGGCCTCGTTTACCTATTTCCTGCTTTTTGCTGTCATCAGCCATGTGGCCTATTCAATTATATGCAGTCAACGCTTGAGGGGATCCGATATGGTAATTTTTATGCTATTTGTTATGTTATTTGTGCTTAACTAGTAAACTAAATTGCCGAAAATGAACTTAAATCATAGAAAAATTAGTTTAAAAACAATTTTGATGTCTTTCTAGGGAACCGAGGAGGACTGTGGTGACTCGTGCGCTTTCTGTCACTCCATTACGAGGAGGTTTGTCTTGTCAACTAAATATTAAACGTCAGAAAGTTATTAGGATTTAATTGACAGCTACAAAACTTCCTTTAATTTATTGTACAAACATGAAACATCATCGTACAAACAGAAAAAGGTAGTTTTAGTTTTTTGAGAGAAAATTTTCAGTGGTGGTGCTGATGATGAGAATTTCGAGGTTTTCGGATGTGGTTGCGGTGAGAACTCGATCGCCAAATCATTGAAACCAGACGATTTTCAGGATTGTGATGTGAGTGTGGAGATTCTTTGTCAAAAGAAACAAATGCCAAAACAATTCTTTGTCAAAACAATGTCAAAACAAATCTATTTTTAGGGAGAATACGAATCCCTGTCGGTTGGTCCAGAACACGCCTACAAGGATGAGGAGAAATGCTGTACATCAGCCGTATGTCACTAGATTCTCATCGGATTTGCAAAAATAAACACTTTTTACACGTTACTTGAACAAATGACAGCCATAAGATACCAGTTTTACAACAAAAGTCCTGCAAAAAGTTAAGAATCAATCAGAAATCATTCAATAACCTATCTTAAGTACCAATTTGAAGTGAGAAGTCTCGATGAGTGTTTTTAAACGGATCATAGTTCTTTGTTTTTTAAATCTCTAATAGTTTATACATTTATCAATACCCAAATCACTATTTACAACATAATAATCAGGCCTTCCAACAAACTTTCCGACAAACGAAGCGTGCGACTCGAGCGTTTTGACTAGTGGCTTTCCATTCCTTTCCCACGCATTCCAACATCTGGAAATTTACCTATTAAACAAACGTTTACGTACTGGAATTTTAGAGCTTGATGAATAACTTGGTGGGTATTTCTTGATAAGTAATGATTCCGATCTCAAAACATTCTTACAGCCCATCACTCTCACTTGCACACCACTAGTCTAATGGCTTGGCTTACCATGCTTTACATGGTTTTACATTATTAAATATTGGAATAATTCTTAAATCAAATACAGTCAGCTCTTATTATAACAACTCTCGATATAACAATCCTCGACATAACAATTTCCTCGATATAACGACTCACTTACGGTCCCGGTCAAGTGCTTAACAAAATACCTTAACTCGACTATCGATATAACGATTTTCGATAACGATTTTCTCGATATAACGATTATTTGATCGCCATTGCACTAACTTTTGACTTAATACAACGATTTTGTGGCTCAAGTGATACAATCAAGTGCATTTGTGCTATGAACAACATCCCGTTTTAAGAAAATTATCCACATTTTTGTACTACTCCAACTACAACTACACCGGTGGTCTAGTGGATAGTGGGACTACCTTTCGGTCGTAAGATCGGGGTTCGGTCCAGCTCTCGGTTTTTGGTTTTTTTTCTTTAGATGTAATACTTGACCTTGTAACTATTGAATATAACGAAGCAAAAGGCATGTTAACATAGATGAAACGAGATCATGAAGCATCCAAAAAAATAAAAATTTTCACAATGCGAACATCTAATAAAAGCAAAGTGCGTGCATTTTTTGCGTTTTTGTTTCAAAGTACGATTTACATCACAATGAGCAATGAACGGATAAAAACCTGTAAAGTATTAGATTTAAAAAAACCAAAAACCAAACAAAAGCCGTACCGAACCCCGATCATACGACCGAGAGGCCGTCCACTATCCACTAGACCACCGGTCGCCAAATTTCAGTGTATGAAAAGGACCCTTTAATGCTTTAATTCAATTTTCTTCAACTTTCTTCTTTAAAGTTCTTTAAAGCTTTGAAATTTCAATTCAATTTTTACGCGTTTGCAAGCCTATTTGGGAGTTTTTGATTTCAGATTATGAATCTCTATGCTCGAATTAGGCAGATGTATGTAGTCCGGAAACGAAAGCCCACGGGAAGTTCGTGCCTTTCTCTAGTCAAAAAGAATTTTTTGATGGATTAGACGCAAAATAACTCAGAAGAATCAGCATTGGGAACTTTCTGGAAAAAATAGAAACAAGAAGCATTTTTCATTTATTGTCTCTTTTTAATGAAGAATTATTTTCTTTGCTCTTTTCTCGTAAACTTTCGATAAAATCTTTTCACCTGTATACGCCAGAAATGATCGAGTCATGTAGCAGGTGAACATGAGAATTGTATAAGATCTAGTGAAAGAAAAATTGTTCAACTATGTTCAACTATTATACAAATGTATAATATGTTGAGATCAATTGAAGTGAATGTAAATTGGCTGAATGTTTGGCAGAGAACTAGATCTGCATTCTTTTGATACTCTGTATCTTCTCTTAAAGATTGTTTCTGTAAGTGATTATCGAATTTTTGTCTAACTAGGAAAGGCCGCCGACTCAAGGTGGGATTTCGGAATGGGACTTACTGGGGACGGTCGCCAACTTCAGATGGAATTTCCTATCTTATTTCCCATCCTATTGGGTTGGGGACTATGACTCGGCGCCAAACTTTAAAGACACTTTTTGCACGCATAAAGTCTTCTTTAAATATACGTTTTCTTTCATCAAAAGGATCCACTATTTCTCTACAAAATGACTTTTGAGAGATTCCACAAAGCTTTTCTTTCGTGGAGTTTATGAACATCCAAACGCAGCTGATCAAAATGGCAAAGAGTCTGACTCATCGTTTGAACAGTTTCTTGCACATAAACCCTCTTTGGTGTATATGTAAAAAAGATAGAGTATATTCAATTACATAAGTTGCCGAATTTGCAGGAAGAGCCCTCCAACCGCTTTTTCTAGATGACAGTTTGTGGTTTTTGTGAAAAAATGGCCTTTTCTTGAGCTGAGGCGCTGTTTGAGTTTTCTTTTAAATGTCATTTTGTAGAGAATTAGTTAACTTTTCTACTGATATTAAGCGCGTATTATTTGACGAAGTCTGCTAGAAGTTTTAGAAGTTTTTTTTGATTTTTGGCGCCGAGTCATAGTCCCCAACCCAATATTTTGTTCAGTTCTTCAGGCTTTCTGAGACCTATCCGCTTTTAGTTTTTCCTAAATGGCTTGCAAACGAAAGGAATTTGGCTTTAAAGTTTTAGCTATTCCTTTGTAAAAATTCCTAGCTTACCTTACGATATCGACTTTCCAATTCATCAACAGAACAACATTTTAAAAGACGTTTCACAACTTTATCGCATTTGTTGTTCTCCCAACTTTCGGGAAATGATTAAATTTGCGTGGTTTTTGTCGTTACCGGCCGAAATCCCACCTTGAGTCGGCGGTCTTCTCCAATAAGTATGTTATAGCCGTTGGTTTTTTTGGTCTGTCTTCGCACTTAGGTGTTCCTATTTTGCGCAGATCCCAATCGATGAGTAGAGGTCGGTGTAGAAGTCTTGGACAATCTTCTCCATCGACGCTTGAGTTGGCTCTTGTGCCGTTATTGTCCTTGAGGGCTGTGAAGACTTGTCTCTCTTGGATGAGTCCTCGTCTGCACCTCTTGATGCTTTGTCTGCTTCCAGGACAGGAGCTTTCGCTTGCGGTGGTTGCTGAGGTCCATCTTGAGGTGGTTGCGACATGCTTTGTCAGCTGTTCTTCGCTCCAGCTCTGTGGAGTTGGTGTTATTCTTGATGTGGATCTTCATCTTGAGCAGCTCCTTGGTCACATCTGAGATCCTCTGATCTTTTGGTTTTTAATTTAATTTCTCAAGCACTATTTAAGCATAAAAAACTTTGAAAAAGTTGCGTTGCTGTTTTTTGTTATGCATGAAAAGAAATCTTTCTCCAGAAAATCCGCCTTCGGTCTTCCTCTGAGTTTATTGGGTCCATAAATAGTGAAAAATAAATTGTGACAATCAAAATAAAGAAACAGACAGAGAAGGGATGACGGTTCATTCTCAACGTAATCAAAAAAACCCTTCCAAAGTATTGTAAGTTCAAAAAGTTCTCCTCAACAAACAAACCATTCACCTATTTAATGTGTTTTGGCGCCAAAATTCATTTTTCCATCAATTATAATTACTTCTTGGAAGCTATCGTTTCTAAAGAAAACTCGGTAAATGTTTTACTCGGAAAGCTACCTTGTGTTCCGATTGAAAAACACCACCAGGTGCTTGTGCTGATTGTCTAGGATCATTTGTTCATCAAAGATTATCATGGGTTCCTCTTGAACTTGAATCACAACTGCATTCAGCTTCTCAACAGTAATGTCTCTTCCAGAATTAGTTCTCGTCATTGTTATATTGATTGGATTGACAGGTTTGTGAAGTTTATTTGAGAAGCTTGATTTGAATCAACGAAGATATAAACTCGTAGAAGTGTGTCTCCTACTTCCTAGTTAGTTTCTAAAAAGCTTACTACAAGAGTACTAAACATTAAATAGAGCAAACTCATAGATATGCATAGAGTCTTTTCCATAGGTTTTTATCCATGCTTTCCTCACTATTTCTTCAGAACAGACACGCATTTCGTAATTTTTTTAAACATTTTTAACCTAATTCTCAGTGTCGTTTATTTTAGAGGAAAATTATGTAAAAATGCTTAAAATAAGGGGAAAATAGCCACGAATAAACACCAAAACTCCTCGCTGATAACGAGAAAGATCCATTGTTTGTTACATGGAGTCTTTTGTGTGTTTAAAGCTTTTAAAAGTTGTATTCACTATAAAAGCGTGTCATTGTACTTGCAATGATTGACGAATGTCCCCTGTGTTCACTCCTCAACTCCCCTATTCAGCTCTTTACATCGGTGTCATGCAATTTTACTACATCGATTTTGTCCTACCCACTGATCCACTGGGTATCAGTGATGATCTCTATTATGAACTAAGCGCCATTATTAGCACATCCACTACAACTGTAAGTGTTATTTAGAAAACAAATCGGTTTTTATCGATTCAGGTACTCCTTTTGTCACTAGTCTCTACACCGATCGCATGTCTATGCTCGGCAACGAACAATCGCTTGGCTTTGCCGATTCGGTGAGAGAAATTTAGTAGTATCTAGACATCTCGACAGCAATTTGGATTCGTTAAAAGATCTTTCGACAATTGATTGGATTGTTGGCAATCTTCTTCCTGGCCGAATCCTGATCGATCTGCCAATTTTCCAGTCTCTTTGTCGCGCTTGATTGTTTTTGAAACTGTCTGGTGTGGCACTTGCAAAAGCCGCAAAATCTCCATCACTGATTTGCTATCCTTTGAGAGTCGAACCATGGCTGGTAGCAAATCCATCGCAAATTTCATTCTGAAAAAAAGCTAATACAAAATAATTTTAGTCATGAGTAAGAAAAAGAACGAGATAAAATAATAAATCTATCAAAACCGAATCCGCTCCATAATTTTGGGGCATCCTGTAGGTTTTTTGAAGTTTTTAAAATAGTAGATGATATTTGTAGTTTCGCTAATTACAAAAGCATTGAATAACTTGAAAGCAAAGATATCAAGGCAGTTTATGACGTCATGTAATAGAATTATTTGAACAGTCACAAAATCAAATGAATATTTTTGTTTTAAAACTGACAAGATTGTATTTTTTGACACTACCTCATCTGATAAGCAAATCCATTTACTTTCATTTTGTTTCTTTTGCAAAAGTTCTTAGCCACATTTTGAAATAATTCTCAAACTTTGTTTGTCAGAATTTTGTCACTTTGTTTGTCAGAATCAGTTCTAACATTCAGTTAGAACTGTTTTGATTTATCTAAAATTTGATTGAGAGACAATTTGTTCTCATTTAGATTACTGATCACAGCTGAAAACGCGAACAAGCTCGTCTACGCGATCTTCTATGCAGCTCAACTATTTTGTGGTTCAGTGGATGCATGGGGGCCAGGTCCAACTGGAAGGTTCTCTATCGCCATTAGATATTCAAAAGGAATTTTGTCAATGTCATGCGTGCATGCGTTCATCTGCTCGTGCTTTTGTAAAAGTCATGCGTTAATGCGTTCATTTATAAAGTTTGTGCTTTTTGAAAGTTCATGCGTTCATGCGTGACCGTTCATGCGCTCATACGTTCTTTAGTGAAGTTCAACTTTAGTAACTTTTCGCTTATTGTTAAATTATAGTATATACGTTCAATTTTTTCAAGAAGTTATTCCCAGCTTCATCGTTTTACTTGCTGAAACTTATGCATGCGTGTATTTTACATCCATATAAGACGCGCACAACAATGTAACAATCTTTTGCGTATACACTTAGCACTTGTGCATAAGTTTCAGCGAGTAAAACGATAAAGTTGGGAATCACTTCTTGAAAAAATTGAACGTATGACTATAATTTAACAATAAGTGAAAAGTTACTAAACATGAACGCATGAACTTTACTAAGAAAACGCATGAACGCATAAAAGAATGAACATTCCGAACGCATCAACGCATCAACGCATGAACGCATAAACGCATAAACGAATGAACATTCCCAACGCATGAACCCATGAAAGCATGAACCCATGAAAGCATGAACGCATGGAAGCATGAACGCATGAACGCATATACGAATGACATTTACAAAGTGTCTATTCAATATTCAAGATATTGCAGATGTTCTGATGAAATCACTGGAACATTCTATGATGGTTATTTCCTTCTTTCTGGTACATACAAATTGATGGACATCGCTCAATACTGTCAAATGCTCGTTTCGTTAAGGTTTGTGGTCTCAATAGTAGATAGCTTGAACTTGAATAGTATTATAATAATGAAACCAAACAAACTATTTTCCATAAAAACTTAAATCTAGTAATTTAGTCTTGATGACATCCTAGTTTTTGAATATCTAGTCTAACCAGCAACTTGTAATATTTGTAAATCCGAATTTAGTCGTTTCCTTGCCGTCTCCTTTGACGGTCAATACTTTGGATACACTCTGAAATGGCCACTCGTTCAAGTCGTCATTCCTTATTTGCTAGATGTTGCCTATGTACAGGGTAGAAATCTCTTTTTTGGGACATTTATCGGATACGGAAATTCGTACATCAGTTATTACTATGATCAAATTCTTCCCACCGTTCCTTTATTTTTCACCTGTGCGCTCGATTTTGTGACAAATCGAAAATTGAAAAAGGTTTAAATTTTATTGGAAACACAAACTACTCCTTTGAAGTCAACGAAAACGCTGTAAATTGGTCGCTAACGAAATTTACGTGAAATAACTTGATTTCAAAGGGAATAAAAATCCCCATTACATTAGTCATATAAAGAAAACAAAGGAATTAAAGTGGCATAGAGACAGCTTCAATCTTCAATAGGCCCCGAGTCGAGTCACAAAACGAATTCGGACTCGACTCGTGGTTTGACCCGGCTCAATTTTTTTAAAAGTGCCCATGTCTAATAGTGGCAGTTTTACGTCATCTGTGTTACCAGAGTAAACGTTTCAAAAAGTGGCTCAGAAAATTTACCGCAATGTTTTAAAAAAAGCCTGCTCATTTTTCAGATCTCTTCATGGTTCACTACTACAGAGTGTTCGATAATTACGCGGTCTCGGTATTTTAAGTGAAACTCAGCATTCAGATGCGCAATCATCTTACGCTTTGTTTTAATAGAAAATTTAAATATTTTTCTATGATGGATGCTTAGGTTTGGTAAAAAAAATGTTTTTCTGCCTTTTTTATAAAACCTCAAAGTTGGCAATCTTGGCTCTTTGCTGCTTGCTTGGCGCGGCATTTGTTTTTGGAGGATTTCACAACAATTTTGGTGATCAGGTATGTTTCAGCGCTAAATTTAGTTTTATTAGGTTACTTTTACCTAAAAGTTAAAGATTCACATTTAACAGAAACTGAAAAATGAAAAATTTCGGTTCGCAAAGTCATCTTTTGACAGGCCCGTGTGAAAGCAAGATTTCCAAAATAGCAAAATTTTCCCAAAATTTTCCGTGTCACGTTACCTTCCGATTCATTTGATAATCTTTAAAAGGTATTGCAAAAACAAAAGCGTTCAAAAACATGCTTAATCTTTGGTGTTTTATGGAAATGAAAAGCTAAAAACAAGTGCGGCGGCAGGCAATTCCTGACTGCCAACTTTGAGGTTCGATAAAAAATAAAGAAAAACTTTTTTTGTCAAACCAAAGAATCCATCATAGAAATTATTCTAATTTCCTATTAAAATAAAGCGTAAGTTGATTGCGCATCTGAATGCTGAGTTACACTTTAAATACCGAGACCGGGTAATTATCGAACACTCTGTAGTAGTGAACCGTGAAGAGATCTTAAAAATGGGCAGGCTTAAAAAAACATTGCGGTAAATTTTCTGAGCCACTTTTTGAAACGTTTACTCTGGTAACACAGATGACTTAAAACTGCCACTATTAGACATGGGCGCTTTTAAAAAAATTGAGCCGGGTCGAGTCACGAGTCCCGAGTCGAGTCAAACCACGAGTGGAGTCCGAATTCGTTTTGTGACTCGACTCGCGGCCTATTGAAGATTGAAGCTGTCACTATGCCATTTTTTATATTGGCCAACGTAAAAATTATAGATGAGACGAGCTGGACATTCCCCATCAAGGGCGGAAAGTTTGCTGATGATACAAGTGAGCGTTTCAGTGTCTCGTTTTGATAACAAGACACGTCACTTCCAAAAAAAACCCACCCTACACAAGGCTAAAGCTAGATTGTCACATTTACTTTGATAATAGAAGAATCATTGTATTGATCAATACATTCATTCACTGACTTTCCACTTTCCACTTTCCATTCAGTTCACTCTCCATTCAGATCATTCTGCATTCAGATCACTTTTCATTCAGATGGTCACCAACTCGTCTTTCATTTTAACGAACACGATCGTTGTGTATTTTCTTCAAAAGATCATCAGCCTATATTTCGATTGGAAAATTTACTACACGTATTCGAATTTTCAACAGCAATTCCTTGCGGCATTTTTATTCAATTTAATGGCCAGGTTTGGTGTTTTTTAGGAAAATTTCATTGAAATCTACTCAATTTTCAGTGTCATCTGTATTTTGTTTTTGGTGAAGAGAAAAGAGAAAACATCACAGAAAACCACTATTGTCACTGTTGTCTCGTCTTCGTTTACACAAGAACGATAAGAGAAAACTTCAAAAGTTGATATGAAAAGTGAGAAAATAAAGTGATTTGCTAACTTCAGCTCAGTCACTCATCTTGGCAAGATCCTGTGTTTTGACAAAGTGAGCGTAAAAAAAACTGGAAAGCGATGCGGGGGAAATCTCACCTGAGCAAGTTTGTAATTAACCTTGATTATTGATAATGCTTTCAAGAGATTCCAAAAAATACTAATAATAGTAATAAAAAAGTAAACGTATCACACTGAATAAATAAAAAGAAACATTTGTTTTGCTGTATTGGTGTGCAAAGGCAATCCAAGTACTTTAAAGGGTCAAACGTTCAACTTCAAACGTCACTTTTTTTCTTTTCTTCTTTTTGAAATCCATTTTTATGTTTCAAGTATGAATTCTGACGAAGAAGAAGCTATTTCCAACAAACCTTCATTTGTTATCGTCGAATTGTCCCAATTCGAACTTTACTTAAGCATTTGTGGAATCATATTTGTGGAAACTCTCAAGGTGAATGGAGCAAAGGAAAAGCTCGAAATATCTATTGGACTGCTAATGAAACTAGTTTGACTGCTATTATTTTATGTTCCTGCTAAATGGATTCACGGATTGGGTGGTCAGCTCAGTCATGGAATCGCGACGAGAAACGGGGATCTTACCGCAGCACAAATAGCACAGCACCAGTGGATTTTCCAGCTCTGTTGTCTTTCTTCTCTTCGGTGTCTTTCGAATCGGCATTTTCTTCGTCTTTCTAGGATGTTTGTATGGCCAACTGTTGAATTTACTTACCAAGAAAAACAACAAGTAATTATTTCGGGACTGAATCGGTAAGCACTGCAATGAATGGGCACTACAATTCTCCTAGTTTTTCGGCCGAATTTTGCGTTATAGCTACGAAAAACGACATGAATTCGAAGCCTTGAAAAGAAAAACAACTATCAACCGATTTGTTTTTGGTGTTAGCAAGTTGTTTCTTACTCATTTAAAACATGATGATTATCTGAAAAAGAAATTTTTCATTTAGAATCAGCCGTGATTGTCACACTTCCACATACGTTAGACAATAGTTTCCGGAATTATTTATTTGGTTTCATTTTGCAAATGAAGCAACTCAATTTTCGATTTTCTGTCGTTTCGGAAATAACCGATTCCACATAGGTATTTGAGACTGATTGCAAAGCCAGATGCGGTAAAGAATCATTAAAATCTTCTGAACTCACTTTGAACCACTCATTCGGCGGTGGCTTGTTTTCAAAAGTGAAAAAATCGTCTATAGTGTCGTCAGTGTAGATCCGGGTGTTGTTGAATTTATGAAGCCCTATCCAAGCATAATGATCATAAGCACAACCGTCGTCCCATTCGCTAAGGCCTAATGGACCACTGAGGTCGGATGTTGCCAAATCTGAACATTTAGACTTAAGCGTAGCGATCAAATACCTATTGGGTACCTAAAGAAATTGTAAAGACTTATGCGGAAACCTAATATTTTCAATAAACTTTCCTTTTTGGTTTACCTTTCACAAACTCTCGCTCATATGTTGAGTGTACCGAGGTGAGATGTGCTCCAAATCCTCTACAGTTCATTTCTGCCTCACGCCAAGAAAACAATTTCGAGTTAAGCAGGTTTGGATCAGTGAAATTCTAAAAGAAATCGCATCTCTAAACTTTTCAAAAGGTTACCTGAAGATAATAGCACGCATTTGTGTAATTGTAGTAGATCCATCCAGTTTTACAAGTGTTTCCCAATAAAGGAGGAAATATTTTCTGTCGTCTCACTCTATTTGAACGTGTTTTAGACAGAAAAGTTGTAAGAGTTTACCTTTTTTTGCAAACAAATCCATCAGGTCGTTGATCGGGATCGGTCATTTCTGCTGTCCCCAATAGATACCACCAACCATTTAGTTCTATCGGTTTACAACGAATGCATTTCTGTAAACAACTCTACAAGGTGCGGCAAATGTTTCCAAAAAATGTCTATTGTTGAATTGCAAGAAGAATATGAAGAGAGTAATCCGAGTGTTATAAACCATTTAAAAGCTCTTAATAAATACTAAAAAATCGAATAGTTAAATTAACAGTTTGTGTCAATCTTGGAAAAGATTTAAGGACCTGAACGTGAAACTCCTGAAAAAGGTGATCTTCTGTTTTAAACGTCACCTAGACCATTGATTTCCAACTATTAGGTTGATGCAAAAGTCTTTTTCATTTTTTTCGTCTGCCGTTTCAAGCCAACAAATGCACCAATTAAACTACGGTTGATTTCATTAGAAAAACCAATTATTTTTCTGCAAAATAACGTTAAAACGGGTTTAAAAATATTTTATGCCTGGATTTTCTTGAGAGTATGAAGTCGGGTAGTCAAAAAGGGCAAACTCGATGATGCGGTTTAGACATCTTAGCTAAAGAAAACCTATCTTCGTGTCAATAGATAAAAGATAGAGAAAAAAAAAGTTTGATATTTGGCCAAAATTTCAGAGAAATTCATTCAGCCAATTTTTCCGTAGAGTTTTTTATAGATTTTTACGAAAAAGGCGTTTTTCACTCTCGAATTTGCTTGAAAGTGAACCGAAATTGATTTAAAAAGATGGAAATTGAACAAAAAAACACTTTTTTTATAGAGCAAACTATAGATTAATTGGTGAATTTGTTACTTTTTAACAGAAGTACGAAAAAAATGAAAAAGACTTTTGCATCAACCTAATATATATTGGGTTGGGGAGAATGAGTCGGCGCCAAACTTTAAAGGGACTTTTTGCACACATAAAGCCTTCTTTAAACATACGTTTGGTTTCATCAAAAGGATCCACTATTTCTCTACAAAATGACTTTTGAGAGATTCCACAAAGCTTTTCTTTCGTGGAGTTTATGAACTTCCAAACGCAGCTGGTTAAAATGGCAAAGAGTCCGACTCATCATTTGAACAGTTTCTTTCACATAAACCTTCTTTGGTGTTTATATAAAAAAGATAGAGCACATTCAATTACTTAAGTTGCCAAATTTGCAGGAAGATCCCACCAATGGTTTTTTCTAGATCACAGTTTGTAGTTTTTGTGAAAAAATGGCTTTTTCTTGAGCGGAGGCGCTGTTTGAATTTTCTTTTAAATGTCATTTTGTAGAGAATTAGTTAACCATTCTACTGATATCAAACGCATATTATTTGACGATTTCTGCTAGAAGTTTTAGCAATTTTTTTAATTTTCGGCGCCGACTCATTCTCCCCAACCCAATATAAAGCAGAAGAGACGTCAGTCTGTCCGTATGGTAAACATTTGATTCGTTGCGCATGTTTGCTTTTTGATTAGAGACGAAAACGTTAACTCTTCAGTTTGATTTAGCCATCTAACAGTCATATTCGGTATATTTTTATTTTTACTTCCATGGTTATACTGCTTATTCTTACATGATTATGATGCATTTCTTGTTTTTTTGGTTGTTCAATGGTTAAAAGAGCTTTTATTTTAGAGAATGAGGATGTTCAAATCGCTCAACTGTATTCTCTGCAAGCAACCGTGTAAACTTTGCTTTTCAGTAATGGACTTTCTAAATGAGCTACCCGAAATGACTCGAGAAATGGAAGCAATAGAGGATGCCGCGAGAAATGTCAAAGATGAATCTAGCTGCAATGAATGCCACGAAAAGGTATGCCTTCATAAATTGATTCCTATGGAGAGATATTTTAGGATATTATCGACAAGATGTTTTACTGTAGCGCATTCAGCTTTGAAGTGAATGATTGTTAATATTCAATAAGTGCATTTTGATTTTTAGTTTTGTGCTGTTTGTGCTTATAAGAGAATATCATTCGCATGGAACCATTCCGCTATTTGAGAAACAGGTTGCATGTTGTTGTTAGTTTGAAAAGCTGATTATATTAGTTCAATTTATTTAGTCTGATTAAATGTTGATAGAACTTCAACAAGACTCACAAAATGCCGTCCCAATCGTCGTGACCTACAAGAATTTGGTTCCTGAACTGCACAAGGGACTTCTCAAGGGCATTGACATTTTTGAAACGGTATTTTTATCAAATAAAACCATTTGAAGTCGATATTTCTTTAGGAATTACTTTCGAAAGAAGAAATTCTGAAGTACGCATCAACTTTTGCCGACTTACGGGATAAACATGAATCATTCATGTGAATTTTAACATTGCGAAACAAAATACATTTGTTCTTTAGAAAGATGAAGCCCAAATTCGAGTCATCCGCTGAGAAATACTTGCCTCATTTGCGCAAATTCTACACGGAAGTTAAGGTGAGTTGAATGAGTTTTAAAAGAATTGCAATTATCTGTTGAGGAATTGATTCAAACTCTCGACGAGACTCCTGATATCAAGAAATCCAAATAGAAAATTTTACGTAAGGTTTTGATTGTTTATCTTTTTTTCTTTCAAATAAAACGTTTAAATAATTTTGAACTAATGAAAACATAAAAAAGCAATTTCGTATTGTTAAGAGTTTGATTTAATAGAAAAATAGAAATTGGCTAAACTGAGGCCTCTTGACGCTTCAGGGGTTTTAACATTTGAAGTAAGATTCGAAATTTGAGAGCGCTTTTCCCATTTAGAGTTCGTTACTGAAATCGATGTGCACAACAATGTGTCTATAAACAAAAATGCTGCTCTTTGTGGTTGATGAGCTCAAATCTGTTTGAAGACGATTTTATTAGGTTGGTGGGAAGATAATCGAAATAAACAAGACTCAAACTTTGTCTTTGATTTTAAAAGTCCTTTTTTAAAATTTTAAAAGTCATTGATACTAAACTTTTAGCTAATTGTGATTGATATATGTTTTCTCTTTTATGATTTTTTTTACTTTACAATCAGTCTTTATTTTGAATAAAAATTGAGTGTTTTAAGAGCATGGATAGGGAGCAATTTCGGACACTTTTTCTACGAGTTCAAGCTTGCTCATACAGCAACAGAAGCGACTGATAATATCAACATTTAATTAAAAAGAACGTCAAGGAAGGCCTCCCAGAGTTGACGATGAAAAATTGGAAAAACTGGTGGAAGGAGATTCGACCAAAACATCTTGAGGATACGCACAGGACCTTCAGGTTCAACAATTTTGGCTCATTTGAAAACAATCGGAAAGGTAAAGAAGATAAAGCAATGGATTCCGCACGAATTAAGCGACTCGCCGAGGCTGCAGCGTCTGACAGCCGCCTCGACGCTTCCAAGCCGAAATGAAAAAGATCCATTTCTGAATCGGATTGCCCCGTGTGACGAAAAATGGATCCTATACGACAACAGAAAAAGAAGGTCCGAATGGCTCAGCAAAGATGAAAAGCCCAAACGCACTGCAAAGCCAGAGATTCATCAAAAAAAGGTGATTATTACTGTTTGGTGGTCCAGGCTAGAAACTAACGGGGAAGTGGAAAAATTTTGTTTCCCGGTTTTCAAAAGCGGAAAAATTTAATTTTGCAACCGTATCGAGCCATGATTTCCGACCGTCGACCTCCATTGTGAACACAAAAAGGCTATTGGGGCGGTGAAAATTGGACTTCGTGGCAGACACTATTGTGTTCACTTCCTCCCGCAGGTTTCCGCATACTAAGAACACCAGAAATATTTATATAAAAGGCCGAGCTGAGTTCGAAAATTTATCCAAGCAAATGCTCTCTCAACTCATCCTATATCTTCTGGTAGCTGGTAGGTCACCTTTATAATTTATTAAGAGTATAAATTGCAATTTTAACCAATTTTATAACCAATTTGACTACGATGAATAAATCATTACATTTTGGACCAATTGATCATTTTACCTTAAACAGATTTTTGAAAACTTAATATTTCGACGGGTTAGGCGCAGGGTTTCCAATAGAATAGGTAAATACGGTAAAAAATCTACATAAACTGTTTCATCTGCAAATTTCAGTGTCCACAGTGGCCTCTACACTGCCCCCGTGTACGAAATGCCCGGCTGGAGGTGAGTCGTTAAATAAAGGCTAACAGAGTGGGTTATGTATGGTAACTTGATTATTAGATGAATGGAGACAATGAGTGAATTTGGTTTCAGAAATAAAGAGAATAGAAAAGTACCTTCATAGAAAAATACAAACTTATTTTAATAGGAAAACACTTCATCGGAAGTTCATTCGGGTAGCCGATTAGATTGGCCGATAAATCTCCAGACACTTTTTTTCTACTAGTGTTTATAAATGACAAATCCACCAATTCACCTACGGTTTGCTCCAAATAAAAGATGTTTAGCATTGGCTTTTCTATAATTTTCAAGCCGATTTGAGTCTGTTTCCAAGTAAATTCGAGTGAAAAAACTAGTTTTTTCAGAAAATTCGAAAAAAAGCTCTACAAAGAAATCGGCTAAACAGATTATCGTGAAGATTCGGCGATATACCTAGCTTTTTGAGCTCTATCTTTTGTCTATTGACAGCAACATAGGTTTCTGTAGACCAAAACGCCTAAATTGCGTCTTCGGGTTGTCGCCTTTTTTGCGAGTAGAAAAATGTCTAAAGACTTATCGGCGAACCTAATAATACGGTAGTTGTGTTGGCTAAAAAACAAGTTTCAGGCTTTTGGTCGAACTGGAAAGACTACACGAGCTGCTCGGACACCTGTGGGTTGAACGGGCAAAAGGTGCAGACAAGAACGTGCACTTCGTGGTCGAAGGGATGTCCGTGCTCGTGAGTTTTCGATAGATAAGTATCATCACAGTTTTTCTAACGAGTTGGACTATTGGATCTCAAATATCACCAGATCTCTGAGAAAATCAAATCAATTTTCCAAATCCATCGTTTTGCTATGCGTTTTCGCTTTCGGAAAATCAGCATTCCAGTGGCTTCGCATCACGAGTTCGTCCATGTGCACCTGCTGCGTGTGTTGCCCCGCGAGCTGCTTGTAAATCCCCCTACACACAAGTCAGTTTTTATTTTTTCTTCTTACCTTCTTTTAGTTCTTATTGTATACTAAAATCTCCAATTTTAACCCTTCAAACGTCACACTCATTTCCAGTACACAAACAGCGCCACGGGGAAGAAACTTTGCGGAAACGTGTCAAGAACGGACAACTATGTGGCGCCGAAATGTGCCCTAACAAGTTTGTCTTTTTCTTCTCTTTTCTATAAAAAGAATGTTTCAGAAGTGTTCAATACATGCCCGTGTCCAGCAGCTGGTGAGTGCACTAAAAGAAAGCAGATCTCTAGCAATAAGCTTTCAAAACAAATTTAACCAAAATTAATAGTGGCTCAACAGCCAATCGCTAAAGATCTTGTAGCTATGTCGACTTTTCAGGTCTCTGGACCGAGTGGTCCAACGTTGGCTCGTGCAACGCCACTTGTGGTCGCTGCGGAACCGTCAAACAAACGAGAACGTGTCGATCGTCGTCCTATGGCTGTCCATGCCCGTGAGTTTCATATTCTTTTGCGTTTAAGTGAACTTCTAAGACAGATTTTCCAAAAAAAAAAAGCTAGTCAAACAGCAAAAAGCAACATTACCAATACAACTTCTAGCGGAGCGAAAACCCAAAATGTCCACTGTGAGAAAGCGCCATGTGCCGGAAACACGTGCTGTAACGGGAACAAAGTGGTGAGTGAATTGGAGGAAGAAATTTGGGAATAACAACCGGAAAAGAAACTGATTTCTGTGTTTTCAGGTGAAAATCTTGGGAACAAATCCGGTTGAATACCAATGTGGAATGCTGCTGCCACCCTATGAACTACTCCCGTTGCCCACATGTCCGAAGGTTGTCCAATGGGCCTTCCCTTGATAATATGTAGTTTTAGACGACAACCAAAGCCACAACTAAGGCAACCACGAAAACGACAACAAAAGCAACAACCACCACAAAGACAACCACTAAAGCAACCACCACTACCGCGAAAAGTAAGATTTTAAATAAGTATATACTGATTTCTTCAACCAATCCAAGCAATCAGTCATAATACAGAAACAAATCCTATCGACGCCTTAATCTAAACTACCTAATTCCATAACAGGACTCCAAATTCTTAACTTAAGCATAACTCTTAAAAGTCAACGATCGTGATTTTGTGGAGTGACACTCTGCTGGTCAATGAAAGGGAATAACCGTTTTTAATGGCTGCAGTTTATATGCAAGCCAACCCAAGCTAAGTAGTTTAATTTCAACCGGCACGGTGTGTTACATTGCTCTGCGCTTCGGATAACTCCAAACCTGCGACTAACCGAGCCCGACGTTGCTTAACTTGGCAGATCGGACGGGATGCCGCGTTTCAACGCGGCGTGATCGTAACTGAAAGTAGCTTTAAGAAACTGAAAAAGTTGAGGTACAATTGTTCACGTAGTGTTGCACTTAAAGAACCGATCCATCTATCTCTTTCCAAAAATTTCTTTCCTCCATCAAAACGTGAAGTGAATCTTTGTCTATTTTTGCAAATGTAATCTAAAAATTCTGATTCTCTAAATCCTCTAATTCTCTAATTCTCTGTTCTTCAGATTGCAATTCGTGTACGTTGGCCGAACTAAACGCGTTGAATGGAAATGGAGACGGTTTCTACACTCAAGGAGACATCCTGTGAGTCCTACATTTATAAATTCATATAAGGTTAACTTTAGAACGCTAGATAATTACAAAGCCTATGCATCCACTTATTTTCAGAGTTGATGGTGTGTCGGGTTGTAACATCTGTGGTTGGAGCTGTAACACGACCACTTCGATGGTAAGTTCTTTGTTTCAAAATCTTTCAAGAGAATATTAAGGTTAACTACAAAGTCCTGGGCACTGATATGTCGACAGTGATTGTCGATGACAGCACACATTGTGGCTATGTAAGTTTCTATCTCTTTTCATATCTTTTATTCTTGTCGTAAAACCGCAAACCGCAACTTGACGGACACTATTTAGATCAACAACGATAATGACGGACGGTATCAATGCTCGGACACTGGTGTGTGGCAATTCAAAACGGTGAGTATGGCGATAATACATATCGGAAATCGTTTGGAGTTGAATGTGATGAGTCTGAATTTAGTCTGCTGGTGTGTCAACCGATATGGGCAAGTACACGTGCTCAAAGGGTGTCCCTTGCTGTCAATCATGTACTTTGGCACAGCTGAATGCGTTGAATGGAAATGGAGACGGTTTCTATACTCAAGGAGGTGTCATGTGAGTGGGAATCTGAGTCATTAATTGATTCGAATCTTTTACTTCTTTGGATCTCTTTATATGAACCATTTACTAACTTGAATTTGAACGCAAAATGTGATGAGTGAATATTTTAGCGTCGATGGCATCTCGAACTGCAACATTTGCGGTTGGAGCTGTAACACGACTACTTCGATGGTAATTTTTTCCTTCAACAGTTTACTAACTTATTTGCTTGTTACTAACTGCCTTACTAGCTAGTTAGTAAAGCTTAGGATTAAGAAAGTGACAAGAGACTAATTTTAAGGTTAACTACCAAGTCTTGGGCACAGATTTGACAACAGTGGTCGCCAATGACGACACACATTGTGGCTATGTAAGTTCTTACCTTTTTTTCTTCTTGTTGTAAGAAACTCCAGATCAACTCCAGACACATTTTAGATCAACAACGACAATGATGGACGATATCAATGCTCAAGCAATGGTGCCTGGCAATTCATGACGGTAAACCTTTTTGTGAATTCTTTCATTTTCGAAAACCTAATTTCAGGCTGCTGGTGTATACACAGATATGGGCAAGTACACATGTTCCAAGGGTGCCGCTTGCTGATAAAAACCTGTACTTCACTTCAATCAACGTGCCAACAAAGCTTCTTTATCTTTGATTCTTGTTTTATTGTATGCTCACTAATAAACACTTTAATAAAATGTCAAATGTTAATGTAATTTTGGTTTTCATCAAATAAATAGTTCTTAATCTAGCGATTAACACCAAGATCTTCCCGAAAGTGTCTTGAAGAAGTTTTGGAACGCGTCCCCGTCAAGGGGATAAAATGGGAATCTAAAAGCTTTCAAGCTTGGTTTTGTTTTGAAAATACGTAAAAGTAATTTCGACATTTCTTATTTCGACACTCAAAACCTTTTTTGTCTTGCTACTAATGCTAAAAGATATTTTCTAGATGAATAAAAACCACCTTTTCCGATCAATTTCAAGATATAGTTCCGATCTTCAGGTGAAATTAAGAGCTCTCTCAAAAGAGAGAAAAAATTTTTCATTGAAAAGCAAAATTTCCACGTTTCATCAAAGTTCAGGTGAAAATCGTGTTAGAACAGTTGAAAAGAGTAGAAGTTGAAAAGCTTGAGTTGCAAACTTTCGTTTCTTCAAGTCTTCGTTTCGTTTTGGTTGCCACTTTTGCTATGTTTCATCCAAATGCTGATCAACGTTTATTACTGAATGGGTTGTATCATGGATTCAGGTAATTGGTTGTTGTTACTAAATTAACCTTTTTAAAATAAGCTAATCGATACAGTGTCTCTAAATGAGGTACTTGAAGAAAAAACTTAAACCAACTCTTTCAGTATAGTCACCACAACACTTTTCGTCTTCACTATGTACTTTTTGATAGTTCATCACTCACCAGCCACAACCAAACATCGACAATATATGTTTATCATTTCGGTATGGTTTTTGATTGAAAATCCATTTGAGTAATTTGTCTTCTAATTCAACTGAGGTCAAATGCCTTCCGGCTCCTTTCACATGTTTGGATTCATTAGATTGTTGCTTTTCAATCAAAAATCATACCGAAATGATAAACATATATTGTCGATGTTTGGTTGTGGCTGGTGAGTGATGAACTATTTCTTTACCTTTCTTCTTTACCTTTCCGATTGATTTCAAATGAGCCAAAATTGTTGAATGATCAACCTGAAGGTCCTGTCCGTATTCTCGAGATGTTTTGGTCGAATCTCCTTCCACCAGTTTTTCCAATTCTTCATCGGCAACTCTGGGAGGCCTTCCTTGACGTTCTTTGTCATGAAACGTCTCATCGCCCGAGTGAAATCGCCGAAACCAAAAAGCGACCCTTTCATAAGAAACACTTCCCTCGCCAAATGCCCTGTTGATATTACCAGTCGCTTCTGTTGCTGCATGGCCAAGCTTGAACTCGTAGAAAAAGTGTCCGAAATTGTTCCTTATCCATGCTTTTATAACAATTTAAACAATTTTTATTCAAAATAAAGACTGATTGTGAAGTAAAAAAACATAAAAGAGAAGAACGTATATCAATCACAATTAGCTAAAAGTTTAGTATCAATGACGGAAAAGGACTTTTAAAATCAAAGACAAAGTTTGAGTCTTGTTTATTTCGATTATCTTCCCACCAACCTAATAAAATCGTCTTCAAACAGATTTGAGCTCATCAACCACAAAGAGCAGCATTTTTGTTTATACATGCATTGTTGTGCATATCGTTTTTAAGTAACGAACTCTAAATGGGAAAAGTACTCTCAAATTTCGAATCTTACTTCAAATGTTAAAACTTCTGAAGCTCTGTACATAAAGAGGCCCCAGTTTAGCCAATCTCTATTTTTCTCTTAAATCAAACTCTTAACAATATGAAATTGCTTTTCAATGTTTTCATTAGATCAAAATTATTTAAACCTTTATTTAAAAGAAAAAATGTAAACAATCAGAACTTTACGTAAAATTTTCTATTTGGATTTCTTGATATCTCGTCGTCGAGTCTCGTCGAGAGTTTGAATCAATTCCTAAACAAATTATTGCAATTCTTTTAAAACTCATTCAACTCACCTTAACTTCCTTGTCGAATTTTCGCCAATGAGGCAAGTATTTCTCAGCGGATGACTCGAATTTGGATTTCATCTTTCTAAAGAATAAATGTGTTATCTTTCGAAATGTTAAAATTTTAAAATTTCGACATTTCTTATTTCGACACTCAAAACCTTTTTTGTCTTGCTACTAATGCTAAAAGATATTTTCTAGATGAATAAAAACCACCTTTTCCGATCAATTTCAAGATATAGTTCCGATCTTCAGGTGAAATTAAGAGCTCTCTCAAAAGCGAGAAAAAATTTTTCATTGAAAAGCAAAATTTCCGCGTTTCATCAAAGTTCAGGTGAAAATCGTGTTAGAACAGTTGAAAAGAGTAGAAGTTGAAAAGCTTGAGTTGCAAACTTTCATTTCTTCAAGTCGTCGTTTCGTTTTGGTTGCCACTTTTGCTATGTTTCATCCAAATGCTGATCAACGTTTATTACTGAATGGGTTGTATCATGGATTCAGGTAATTTGTTGTTGTTATTAAATTAGCCTTTTTAAAATAAGCTAATCGATACAGTGTCTCTGAATGCAGTACTTGAAGAAAAAACTTAAACTAACTCTTTCAGTATAGTCACCTCAACACTTTTCGTCTTCACTATTTACTTTTTGATAGTTCATCAATCACCAGCCACAACCAGACATCGACAATATATGTTTATCATTTCGGTATGATTTTTGATTGAAAATCCATTTGAGTAATTCGTCTTCTAATTCAACTGATGTCAAATGCCTTCCGGCTCCTTTCAAACGCTTGGATTCATTAGATTGTTGCTGCTCAATTTGATCCTTTTGCTGAACCCATCGCAGAATCATAGCTCGATTGACACCAAATTTCTCGCTGGCAGCCTTGTTTAAAATTTTCTTAGTGTATTCCACAGCTTTTGATTTTAAACTTCCCGTATAAGCCTTTCGTTTTCGTGAAGCTCCGAGTGACTCATCTTCGTTTTCACTCGAAACGGCATCGCCACGTCGATCTTGGCTCCCAGCCCCGTCTACCAAATCAGCATCATTGCGGCTTTCGTTATCCTTTTGCAACCGATCGACTTCTCGCGCAACTTCGTGTCCTTCTTCATACCATCCGTCGAGTTCGTTTTTCCGGCGCAAGCTAAATTCCGCGAGGTCGTCAAAGCTTGAACGCTGTTGAGCTGGCGACATCTACCTAAAATTTAAAAATTATTTGCGTTAAAAGTTAAAGTTAAAGTTAAAACGAATAAAATAATAAAAAGAACATAAAACTGAATTAAATTAAAAATTAAAGAAGCTGTTTGACCAATGACATTTGGAGGCTCTGCTTAATTTCGGGAAACGTTCATTTCGGGAATTTTAACAACAATTTTACTAATGCCATCATTAAGTGCTTTTTGCAAAAATTGTGTTTTTCAGTGTTTAGTTGAGAAGAGTCAAAATTCTACTCCAAAATTCAATTTCAAGAGTAAATATATAACATATTTGCAATTTTTTTTCAAAAGATGAAAAATCTTTTGAAATAGGAAAAATGTAAAGAAAACCGCGCAAAAGAAGCGGCCTACAATACGGACAAAAACACTGTCAAAATTCCTGAAATTTAGTAGAGTCCATTTGGATAGTTTCAGAACAATTTTAAGTTAGCTGGTGTACGATAGGTTTAGCGCACAATAAAAAAAGTGATGCTTCTATTGGAATAATTAGGGTAACTACAATGCAAGCTAAAGGCTGCCAGGAATGTATGGCTTAGGCTGCCAGGAATGTATGGCTCAAAACCTCTTTATACTTTCATTTTTTGATTTTTCTGAAGTACACGTTCAGGTCAGCTCCCAACTTCTCGATATATTGGCCTGGATGTATCAACCAATTTTCATGCGTCCATACGCGGCACTCTTTCAAATTGCACCCGTTCCCTTTCCGTCGTTGCTGGCCTTTGTAAAGCAACACAAAATATTTGCCGGAATAGCTGGAATTTGGATATTTCGAAAGGAGTGCCTAACTTTGACGGTTCTTAGCTTACTTCAATAACGACTTTTCAAATCTCTTATATGTTTTGATAGAGAGCGATTCGGGCTTTCGAATGAAACCAAGAAAAGACCTTCATTGACCTATTTGAGTCTTGAGAAAACAAGGTCAAACTTACAAGGGAAAGGCAAAAGTAGGACGTGGCCAAATGAGATGAGTCATAGACGATTGGACGAAGAATTTCACGCTGATTCCTAATTTGCTTTCCACTTTTGCGAAATCGCTTTCTATAAAAAATTTATACATGTTTTAAGTTTTAGGGCGAAACTGAGAAAATTTGGAGCCGAATAGGGCCTTTAAAAGGGTTCTTTCACATGTCTTAAACACGCCTTGATAGAGTAGTGGATAAAATGCTTGCATACAAAACGAGCTCTACATTTTTCGCTCGAGTTCAATTCCTTTTTGACAGAGCTTTTGTTTATCGTCAAACGGCAAAACTCCGTTCGAAATGTTTGAATTTCAGCCAAGAGTCAACGATTCTTTCTAAAATCCGAATTTAGTTGATGGTAATAAGCCTATTGATCGTTATCATTGGAACCCTTGAGCTATCAGCTATTTACAAAGGTTCACAACCCAATGAATCGTATCTAAGCATCTTCGAATTTCAGTTCATCTTTCCACATTTCAATCCGAGGAGCTAGTCAGGTTTCTGTACAAGAAAGCCATGGCACTCATGGGTTGCTCAATTTTCGCGTTAGTCACCGTGGTCTTCACTGGTTCAGCCTACAAGGAGATTTGCGTTGGAAGCTTTTTAGAATGTCAGGTAGGGTTTTGTGGACAAAAAAAAACTATTAATATGACAAGCTAACAAGCTGTAGAAGATGTTTATGTTTAGAATTACTTCGACACATCGATCTCAAATGATTTCTCGCAAGAGCCACGTCTTCTCGTGTTCCGAAATGGACCCTTAATCTATGTTGGGATCGCTATTGCGACCCCAGTTTTCTCGGTGGCTATTCTAACGTTTATATTTTTAAATCACCTCATTATAAAAGCTCGAAAAAAGCTTCTCGAAAATAAGTCTGTGTCGAAGAATGTGATCGAGATGCAGAACTACTTTTCGTTGATTTATTTTCTCCAGGTTTCTTTTCCAAACATCGATTCAAATTTCGTAATTTGAGAGACTAGATAAAGCTGATTGTCAGATTTTTGACTAGAAATGACTAGAAAAGGAATTTGACTAGAAAATTACAGGATGAGTAAAAAGTTCTGCAACAGATCTTTGTAAGACCAAATGAATGAATTTCCCTGCTTATTCGTTGCCAATTTTTATTATTTATGAATTTTCAGTATGTTTAAAGTGTTTATATCAGGTTGGCAACTAAATTATGGCCCTTTTCAGTAAAAACAAAAAATTTATTAACAAGATGAACAAATATCAACATCAATCCGAAAGGTATTCTCCGTCATTCTTTATTACTTCTTTCCACTTTTGACGGAGCAACTGGATTCCTCTCTTGAAAAATTCTTCTGGTTGATCGTCAAAGAACTTCTGCACTGAAATTCGGACTTCGTCAAGGTCATTGAACTTTTTCTCGGCTAGAAAGTGTTGCATCGATCGAAAAAGATGGTAATCACTAGGCCCCATATCCGGGCTGTATGGCGCATGAGGAAGAACATTCCAGCCCAACTCCTCGATTTTCTCCATTGTAAGTTTTGCAGTGTGTGGTTTTGCGTTATCATGGAGAAAATGAATTGAAGAGGGTTCGAGTCCTTGAGAGCGAATTGCTTGATCTACACGATGTAGTTGAGACGAATAAAGTTCTGAATTAACCGTTTGCCGGCTTTTGAGAACCTCGAAATGCACCAACCCACGAGAACTCCACCACACACAGAGGAGAGTTTTCTTTGAGTGAATATCCGGCTTCGGAGTTGGTTTTGGGTCTTCGTTTGTGCTAAGCCACTGTCGTTTTTGCGTTCGATTATCATAAAAGATCCATTTTTCATCAGAAGTGACAATGGAATCCAAGAAGCTTCCCTTTTTCGCAACTTTTAGTAGTATTCCAGCTGTGATAACACGAGTAGCCTTATTTTCTTCGCTCAATTCATGCGGAATCCACTTTCCACTGCGGTTACTTTTCCCCAATGCATGAAGTCGCTTTTCGATTGCAGTATGCGAAAAGCCCAATCGATCCCCTAGCTCGCGTGATGTTTGACTTGGATCCTCCTTTAAAGCTGCTTCCAAAATATCGTTCTGCAGAAGTCCGGGTCGTCCTTGGCGAGGCTCATCTTCAAGACTTTCATCCCCTTCCTTGAACCGTCGATACCATCTCTTACATTGTGTTTCGGAAAGAGCTTCATCACCAAAAACTCGCAATAAATCTCTGTGGGATTCGGCAGCTGTTTTGCCTTGTTTGTAGTCGTACCAGAGACAGACACGCATTCGATATTTGAGATCTTCCATTTCTAAACAAAATTATTTGAAAAGTATCAAATCAAGGAAAGTAAAAAAACGTATAATAATGCACCAGAAATTCAGTAATATTCAATTAACAACAAGCGAGGGTAGATTAAACGCAAAGATTAAAAGATTTTATCAAAAAAGGGCGAGGGCCATTATTTAGTTGCCAACCTAATACATCGATTGGTTTCTCGCATGAATTTTATTTTAGATGGTAAAGGCCAAAGATCTTCGGGGCGCAATCGAGGCTCTTCACTTTCGTGGGGGTTTCTGATTCGATGATTGCAAAACAACTCAAAATTCATCGAAGCAGGGTATTTTGCAATGTCCAGCGTTTAAAGGAGACTGGTTCCATGAATGATGGTCCCAGATCGGGCCGTACGAAAAGTGCCACAACTTTTCGATCTCCGATCGTCAAAAACATCCGAGAGAAAATCCGGCGAGATCGATGAGAAAATTGACCAAAGAGCATGGAATATCGGAAGGATCTGTTCGAAAAATCTTCAAGATTCACCTTCACCTTCACCCCTACAAGGTTCAAAAAGCTTATGAGCTCACTGAGCAAATGAAGAAAACTAGGGTCGAACGAAGCAAAGTATTGTTGAAGCATTTTGCGTTGGCACACCATTTGGACATCCTTTTCACCGACGAGTGCTTCTTCACAATCCAACAATTCACGAACCACCAAAACGATAGGATATTTGCAAAAGGCATGAAGGAGGCCAACAGAGGTGGTAGAATTGTTGGCAGGAATGGTTTTTCGAAGTGTGTGATGATTTTTGGCGGAATCACATCGGACGACAATACGCCTCTGTTTTTTGTCAAAGACGGAGTGAAAATCAACGCTCAAAATTATTTGAAAGACGTTTTGTTGGACCAAGGCTTGCCCTGGAGCCGATCCCACTTAAAAAATCGCCACTAGAGTTATCAGCAAGATTCAGCACCTGCTCATCGCGCCCGATTCAAGGCTGGTGTGAAAACAACTTTCCGGAGTTTATCAGTGCTCAAGAATGGCCCCCATATTTGCCCGATTTGAATCGGCTTGACTTTTCCATCTGGTCAGTCCTGAAGACAAAGACATGTGCAAAGCTACACACAAGTTTGGCCTGAAGAAAGCTTGGGCTGAATTGGATGTATCCTACCTTCGTGCATGCGTCGATGGCTTCCCAAAAAGGTTCCGGGCGTGTATCAAAGCCAAGGGCGGATATTTGGAAAACGATTGTTAATGTTTGTTTGCTATCTTCTAAATGCATCATTTTTATCTTTTCAGTACCTCTTGCAAAAGTTTTCTTGTTATTAACGAGCTTTTACTGTGTTGCAGAACTTTTTGCGCACCTTGTAGAAAGACTAAAAAAGAAATTTTTTTAAAATGTTGATTAGTGTGACTCAATTGTCAGGTGTCAAATTGATTTTTCAGGTGTTAAACACATTGATTGGACTGTTATTTCCGTGTTTCTGCGTAATCTTGGGCATGTGCCAAATCACAGTGCTGCCGGATTATGGTTAGTAAGAAATCTAATTTTTTACAGATTTGTATTAGCTATCCATCCTAAATTTACACAAAAAAAGCAATGTAAATAAAAAAAAAACATAAACCAAGATGACGGGCTAGGTTGAGAAGTTTTGGGAATTCACTGTTTAGTGACCTCATCACCAATGCTCTTTATGTATCTTCACTCGGGCTCGAATTCGTTGATTCTGATCTTTTCGACAAAAACGTATCGGGATGTGATTCGAAAGTGGTGTTCAAATTGGTTATCGCCAAGAAATATCGGTGAGATAGACAAAGGGGGCAAATGTCTTGCACTTACCGTAAATACTCTAATAGAACGGCACCGATAACGACGGCCGTACAGTCGGGTAGTCTAACTTTGAACGTCCTGTTCTCCGCGCTGCTTTATGTTACAATGTGCGCTTGGGTGTCAAATGATAGCGCTTGAAATCTAGGATTTTTGGTACCAAAAGTGTACTTGGGAAAAATCTAGCGGCTGAGAAAAAAATTATTTTCTAAAATGTTAGACTATGCTACTGTACGAGGGGGTGCGCGTCAATTACAGTATTTACGGTATGCATCAATCACTTTACATACAGTACAGTACGTCTTTGTGCAGTTTTTGGGCTGATTGAATCCTTGACTTTCTGAGGCAGTTCTTTATAAATCTCAATCCATTGACATCTTTCGAGGATCTATCTCGTTTGGAGAGTAAAATAATACGCGAGTCATCCCGCGGAGTCGTTTTCTTAACTCATCCAGTGTGTTTGAAAGCTTTGCTTGATCCAGTCAGGGAATTCCTTTGTAAAATCTTTGAGACCGTGCCTTGAGATATTCCCAGAAATGAGGCAATCCTCTTCTGACTCAAACCCATTCGTCTCATTCGCACAACGTCATTTCGTTTCTCCGACGGCGTAGTAGTACCCATCACTAAAACAAATTATTAATGAATTATTAATATTCGAAAAAGAACAATAGGGAAAGCATGTGCAAACAATTTTAATTAGAACAACAAATATTTTATAATTATGTCCTTTGGGTTGATCATAATTTCCCTAAAAATATTTTTTTTAGCCAACGAACAACGAGTTATTTCAAGTGATTAAGAAGTACCGTAGATGCTGTATTAGAATGACACCCTCTAATAGAATGACACTCCCCTGACCCCTCGAAAGCTTGACTTTAGACCCTCCTTGTGGGGGTTCTATGGATAGATCTAGGCCTAAAAACTACTAATATTTTGACGACAGTAAAATTTAAAACGTTATTTTTGAAAAAATCCCCCAGATGGATTTTTGGTCCCCCACATGGGTTTTTTTGGAGATTCAAAGGGGGTCGCGGGTAAGAAAATAATTTTACTTTTAAACGTGTTTTTTTGGTACGTTTTCGACAAAGGGCCATCGTTTAAAATAGTTTTTAACGAATTCTAAATTTTTGATTCATCTCATCCCCCCTTACCTACTTTTTGGATCAGTCGATTTTAAGGGGTTGAAAAATAGAATAACATGTCATTCTAATACAGCATTTACGGTAAATTAAATTAGCTTTATTTATGCAAAATAGCAGCCTTTCTGGTTTTAACTAAATGGAGGCCTGAAATAAAAACAAAAAATATTCCATAATTTTGTCCCCTACTGTACATTGCTGTATGAAATAGCTTTTCGGTTCAGGCAAAGAGACAACTGAAAAGTTAGCACAAGATTTGTCAACTCTAATTGAAATTCAATTAAAGGTGATCAACTTTTATGTAAATGATACCCTGTCATGTTTTGTGTTGTTTTTATGAAAAAAAACACAAGATTCGTTCCCTCTAATCGAAAAGCACCGGTTTTTCGAAAAGAAAAATAAAGTTTTAGTGTTATCGAGAAATGTGAGAGTCGTTGAAACAGTCAATCATTCACAACCGGAAAACACACATTCAAATTCTCGCTTGCAACGTCCTTCTTTTTGATCATTTGCCATGGTCTTTGTTTCGACGGATTTTTGATCAATGAAAAATCAACACAAGCTGTTTTCATTGTTCCATTTTCATTGTTTGCATAAACAAAATTCTCAAAAGGCATTTGACAGGGATGACGATCAAGAATGGCTCTTACGAAAAAATCTGTTTCTTGACCGGAAGTTCTGTTAATTTCTAGGGAAAGATTGCTTTCTTTAGAGTGAGTACCTCGTGAGTAACGTACCTTTTCAAGGGTGGGTAATTTGGGAAAATTCTTGCGGTAGTGTTTTGATAGCAAACCGGATAGCAAAATTTTTGGATACCGGACTTTGGGTCATAACTATTCGGAAAATGGTTTCCCTTCTGACGCCAAAGTTCACAATTTTTCCAAAAACAAAAATTTTCGTCTCAAACTCGTCTCAAACGTCAACAAACAAAAATTTTCGTCTCAAACGATGATAAGAAAAAAAAAGAACTCTTAAAGAAATGATGAGATCTTCAGATAAACGATCAGAGATTAAAACTTTCTGCAAGAAGCTGAAAAGCCTTATTTAAACCAAAACTCATGAAAACTTTGATGTCATTTTCTCAAGTTCAATAGTTGGTCAAGAAATTAGATTCAAAAACTGTTTCGAGAAGCAAAAAAATACGGAAATGCGGTCTTTATGAAAGAACAAATGAAGTCCACAAAACGGTAAGGAGATTTCAAATTGAAGAGCGTTTTTCTCATTTGGAGTTCGTAAAGGAAATCGATGTGTCCAAAAGTAGAGTAAAAAATAAAAAAATCTCCGAATATTCCAGTCAATCAAGAAAAGTAGCAAATTATCTCTCTGCATATCTTGATTTAAACTTTAATCTCAATGGGTTCAATCAAACATGAAAAGGGAAAGAATGCGGTTAACTTTCGAACAGTTGTTTTCAAAGTTTTCAAAAAGGCCCGTGTTTATAAAGGGTGTCCGAAAAAAGTAAGTTTGCCTCGAATTTCCTCAAAATCTGTGGTGGCTCTTGGTGGTCACTCTGGCGCCAAAAGTGTTTTTTCTGTGGGGAAAAGAAATGATTTTTTCGAAATTTTTAAATTTCGGTGCATCTTAAACACTCTTAGGATCACTACAAATTTAAAAACATACACTTTATTGATCAGCGTTCCCTTGGAAAAACAGGGCACTTCTTTTAAAAAGGCGAGTTGAAAATCTTTTATGTACGACAGATTATCACATAATGTAGATGAGTTAACTGTTTGGCCAAAAATCTTAGTTTATATATTACCTCTAATATGACACCACGATGCCAGTAGAAAGTTTTAATTTTATGGCAAAAATCTCATGGTGGTGGTGAAAAATTTTCGTGTATATGATCATGAAATGCCGGGGTAGTTTCCGCAACTTTTTTTGCGCAACAGGGTCATTTGCGCAACCCGCCATAACTTTCTTCTAGATGGGCCAATCTTTATGATTTTGGCTTCATTTTGTTGCATCTACAAAATGAAGCCAAAAGTCATAAAGATTGGTCCATTTAGAAGAATGTTATGGCGAGTTGCGCAAACGACCCAATTGCGCAAATGACCGTGTTGCGCAAAAAAAGTTGCGGAAACCAGCCTACCCCGAAATGCCCGGTCATGAAATTGAAAAAATTTCAAAAAGTAATTTCTTTTCCTCACAGAAAAAACACTTTTGACACCAGCGTAATCACCAAGAGCCACTAAAGATTTTGATGAAACTCGAGGCAAACTTACTTTTTTTTCGGACACCCTGTATTATTTTGGAAAAACACAGCTTTTGCCCCCAAGCATCTAAAAGTTTCGTTAAAAGTTAAAGTAGAATTTAAAATATTCTCTCAATTTTACAACCCTCAAAACAGAAACTCTCAATTTCTTTCTTGCGTTCATTCTTTTTTTGTTGATTGTTCGATGATTCTAATGCTTTCTTTTTAGGAAATGACGGTGTTTGAATCGCTCAATTGCATTCTCTGCAAGCAACCGTGTAAGTTTTTGCTTTTCAGTTATGGATTTCGAAATAATCTAGATTTTAAACAGTAAATAAAGTGGTTTTTGTTTGATTAGCCAATTTCTTAGCTGCTCGAGTTGCTAATCAACCTCGATCTCCACTTCAGTTGGGCTGTGGATTGGCCATGTGCAACGAATGTTTCAAGAAAGAGCAGATGTTGGCACGAAACGAGAGAAAACATCAATGTGGACTCTGCACATCGATTACACCCCTGTGTAAATTTTTTTTTTCTTTAAATCAAAAATCCGAACACTACAAATTTTAAGTTAGGCCCAAAAATGAACGGAAAAATAAAATGATCCGAAAAGCATCATCCAAAATTTCAGAATTAAAGGCGGCGACTTTGATGTTAGTGAAATTTCATATTTCATCGAACCATAAAGTGTTATATGTCATTCAATAGCTCTTTTCACGCTCTTTCAGAATGCTGAATTGAGTTTTTGTGGAATTCTATTTTTCCATGAAATTTTTTCCATATTCGGCGCCGAAAAGTCAAAATAATTTTTTTCACGGAAATCTAGCTGATAAACTAGGCTCAAAAAGCAAATTTCTGAATTCTACGCAAAAAGTTGGTCGGGAATTTTTTTTAAATTTTGTTTTTTGGTCAATGGAAACGCGAGCTCTGAAACCTAGGTTTTTTAGAAGTGCGCGGTTATATGGCCCGCGCGCACCTTTGATGTTGGTAAAATTTTTCTTTTGTGTCAAATCATCAAGTGTTATATATCATTCGAAAGCATTTTTATGTGTTTAAACATGGCGGAAAGAATTTCCCATAAAATTTGACTTTTTATTAGTTTTCTCCGATTTTATAATCTGGAATGCAGTTTTTTTCTGGTTCTGCGGTACTTGCAGATCTGGTATAGTCTAGAAAAAATTTATTCTATTTATAAGCATGAATTAGACAAGAAAAAGAATCACAATTGAACATTAAGCAAAAAGGAGGAAATTAAGATGTCATATTTCCATCATCATTGAGGAGAACAACATAACCGAGCCACTTGAGCGAGCTCATTAGTCGCTCTTCTGGTGGTCCTCTCTTGTTTCGAGCAAATTCAGATTCTAGCCTGCTGTGAACTGCCTCAATGCCCTCTTCGGATGCATTTCCGATGAATTTATGCTCATGGACAAATGGGCCAAGATGGAAGAGTAGAGCATGGACCAGTACACTTTGTCCAAAACCACCAACTTTTTCTAGTTCATCGCAAAGAATCGCTGTTTGGCAGCAGTTTCTGGCTTTTGAATGTTTGCCTTTGCAAGCCAAATCTTTTATTTCTTTATCCGAAAGAACACTTTTAGTGGTTGAAACCATTTGAGACCATTTGTTGAACTCACGTAATACAGAAATGACTACTTGATAGGAACGGGAGGAAGAAACGACTGCGAAATCCGAAATCACTGAGGATCGACAGAGATTCTTTCTATCGTTTCCGTTGAAACGAGCATAGATAATCCCATCACTCTTCCGATTCACATCCAATTTCCATTTTCGACAAACATCTTGGAAAGTCTGAGAGGACCCTTCGAGTTTCATCAATTGTTCAAAAAGTTGGTTTCCAATCTTGATTTTTGCATGAAGTATTGGGGGAATTACCAAACTTCAAGAAACATTTAATAGATTTTCTTTTTTTGCCTGCAGACCTTTTACTTTTGAAATCATCGCTTCCACCGAAGGGTCACTCCGATCAGCATATTGTTGAAAATCAATTGAATCCTTATCAGCGGATGGTTTTTTGTCAAACCTCTTGTTGCACCATAAACATCCAAACATCATCGCACAGGAAAGACCAAAATTGGTGTTCAAGAAAGATAGATCTCCACCGAGAAAAACCATATATCCGGCTTGCACCAAAGTCTCAAAGTTTTTCCAAATCCTCTTTTCCTTCAGCGAGTCGTAGGAATCTGAACCTTCCCAAACTTGTAATGGAAGACACTTGCGAGACGAGCACGATTTTTCGCAGATTAGGAATGAAATGGATGAAATAACTCGACCTTTTCAACAGCTTTCAACATAGCTTCCAATCTTACTCCTTCATTGAGAACTATTTCATATCTGACAAACTGGTCCAGAGTCTTCTTGGCCTTTTCGATAGTTTGCTGTGAGCCAATGGTTATCCCTTGGTTTGACTGAAGAAAATGGTTTACAGATAATAGTCCTTTATTTGATAGATTGGCACTTTTTTTCATACCGAGCAGAGCTTCTGGAGTTGGAGGAGTCGGTGATTTGGTTGGAAGATGTGAGGTTGAAGCAACAGAATCATTATCTGTTGGCTTTGCTTTTGCCACATAGACGGCGTTTTGACGATTTTGCTCGGCTCTTTTCATTATTTTTCAGAATCCTTGCCTCCAGTGCTCCTTTCAAATGTGCTTTCCTGTCGAATTCTTTTTCTTTTTTTTGATTGTCTGCGGATCGCGATGAGCTTTCTTCTTTTGATTGCACAGGATTTGCAAGAACTTTCCCACTTCGTAATCCGTGCATGTTGTTTTGATTCGTTTGGCGTCCATGTTCCAAGTTGGCACTTCTAGACTTTTTGGCTTCTGATGTTCGTCCCATCTGCAAATTATAACTTTTGTTTTGAAAGTGTAGGAAATACGAATGTAATAAGAAAAATAATAATAAGCTAATAATCAAAAAATAAATAATCGGGAAGCAAAATTGTCTGTAACTAAATGATTTTCTCCTGCGATTGACATTTATAACTTTATCATCTGTCATGCCTTTGGCATAGTAATTTATCGAGTAATTGTCAAGGCAGTCTGTATTTGTCTGTGCACCTGGGTTGCCTACCCGAGATTGACAAATACTCTCAATTTCAACTTTCCTGGAACTCTTTCTTCAAAAAAAATTGCGTTTTTCACTTTTTTTAGAATAAATTTTTTCTAGACTATACCAGATCTGCAAGTACCGCAGAACCAGAAAAAAACTGCATTCCAGATTATAAAATCGGAGAAAACTAATAAAAAGTCAAATTTTATGGGAAATTCTTTCCGCCATGTTTAAACACATAAAAATGCTTTCGAATGATATATAACACTTGATGATTTGACACAAAAGAAAAATTTTACCAACATCAAAGGTGCGCGCGGGCCATATAACCGCGCACTTCTAAAAAACCTAGGTTTCAGAGCTCGCGTTTCCATTGACCAAAAAACAAAATTTTAAAAAAATTCCCGACCAACTTTTTGCGTAGAATTCAGAAATTTGCTTTTTGAGCCTAGTTTATCAGCTAGATTTCCGTGAAAAAAATTATTTTGACTTTTCGGCGCCGAATATGGAAAAAATTTCATGGAAAAATAGAATTCCACAAAAACTCAATTCAGCATTCTGAAAGAGCGTGAAAAGAGCTATTGAATGACATATAACACTTTATGGTTCGATGAAATATGAAATTTCACTAACATCAAAGTCGCCGCCTTTAATTCTGAAATTTTGGATGATGCTTTTCGGATCATTTTATTTTTCCGTTCATTTTTGGGCCTAACTTAAAATTTGTAGTGTTCGGATTTTTGATTTAAAGACGATTATTTTTGTAACCTATGTGCTCTGTTATTTTCCCACTAATCCCAATTTTGCCTACTTTTTGATTGGTGAATTTTATTATGAATTTTGTTTCAACTAGAAACGAGATCAATCAATTGAATTGTTTTAGACGTTTTGTCACAAGAGGACACTCTGGTGCTTACTCCAATGGGATATGTGCTTCTAAAGGTTGGATTTGTGATCTACAAATGATAATGATTCTTTTAGCCTTTCAAAATTCCGGAATGTCCAATTTGTCAGGATGAATGTGATGACTGTTTGATGACTTGCTACATTTTTTTTGCTTTAGATTCGGATGAAATTGAAGCGAAGAAATCGTTTGCTCTTAGTTGCGGTCATATTATTTGCACGGAATGCTATTTGAAGACAAGAAGTTTTAACAACTGTTTTGGTTTTGGAACAAAATGTCCAACTTGTTGCAATCTTACGCACACTGGTCTCAACCAACGGAAAGATCGATTTCATGGTAGATGAATTCTCTTTAAATTCACTAATCCTTCTTTAGATTTTTTAAATGAACTACCCGAAATGACTCGACAAATCGAAACAATAGAGAAAGCTTTAATGAATGCTAAGGATGCACGTAGCTGCAACGAATGCGACGAAAAGGTATCACTTCTTCAATTTATTTCTATGAAGATATACTTTAGGATACTATCGACAAGATGTTTTACTGTAGCGCATGCAGCTTTGAGGTGAGTGATTGTTAGCATTGAAAAATACTTTTTAATCTACAGATTTGTGCTGTTTGTGCTTACAAGAGACCGCATCCACATGGGGCTATTTCGTTGTTGGGGAAACAGGTATCTTTGGTATCTTCTTGTTAGTTGTTGTTAGTTGTTAGCTTGAAATTAAAAGCTTGCTTTTTTAATTCGATTTCAAGGCTAACCAAATGTTGATGAAACTTCAACAAGCGTCAAGAAATGTCATCAAGACGCACAAGGATTTGGTTCCTGAACTACACAAGGGCCTTCTTGAGGGCATCGACATCTTTGAAACGGCATTTTTATCAAATAAAACCAATTGAAGTCGATATTTCTTTAGAAATTACGTTCGAAAGAAGAAACCCTCAAGGACGCTTTAACTTGGATCAATTTACAGGAAAATCATGAATCATTTACGTAACTTTTGACACTTTAAATAATATAGATTTATTGTTTAGAAAGATGAAGTCCAAATTCGAGTCATCCGCTAAGAGATACTTGCCTCATTTGCACGATTTCGATACTGAAATTAAAGTGAGTTTATTGGATTTTAGAAGAATTAAAATTTATTTGTTTAGGAATTGATTCAAACCCTCAACGAGTTTCCCGATGTCAAGAAATCCGATTAGAAACTGGAAAGTAAACTTTTTTACTGCTTTTTTTACAAAAATCTTTACTGCTAACTTTACTTGATAATAAAATGTTTCATTGGTTTGGTTTAACATGAAATATTAGTTGATTTTTGTTCTAATTTAAACATGAAAATTTGTATTGGAAATTTCAAATTTTGAACTAGGGAGCTGAAAAGTTGTGCCTGGGGGTAAAAAATGTGAATTGAGTGGTCAGTTTTTTCTAAAATTTCACTTTTTAAACCAGTGCATCGTTTCCCTCGTACGGCGTATCCCCAGTTGGTTTAAAACTAAAAAGTCGTGGTTTAAAGGTCAAGAATTGAAAAAAATGGGTGGTAAGAGTAGAAGATAAGATGGAGGTTAGTGCCCCAAACTGAAACCATGCTTTTAGAAGTCACAGAAATTCATTTTCCGGATCAGAGGCTATATCGAAATTTGGAAAAGGGACTTTTAGAGAAGTTAAATTCAGTATTTTGGCGTGTCAGCTCTTTTTCTAGACAATTTGCCATATCGCGGGCTGCCACGTATCGCATCGACACCTGAAAATATCATACTTTCCACTTACTTTTACGTATTTTCAAAACAAAGCCAAGCTTGAAGGCTTTTAGATTCCCATTTTATCTCTCACTTCATTTGTGCACCCCCTTGGCGGGGACGCGTTCCAAAACTTCTTCAAGACACTTTCGGGAAGGTCTTGATGTTAATCGCTAGATTAACTAGATTAAGAACTAGTTATTTGATGAAAACCAAAATTATATTAACATTTGACATTTTTATTGTTATTGTTGACAATGTTGATATTTTATTAAAGCGTTATTAGTGAGCATACAATAAATCAAGAATCAAAGATAAAGAAGTTTTGTTGGCACGTTAATTGAAGTGAAGTACAGGTTTTTATCAGCAAGAGGCACCTTTGGAGCATGTGTACTTGCCCATATCTGTGTATTCACCAGCGGCCTGAATTTAGTTTTTCAAAAATGAAAGGTTTCATAAAAAAGTTTACCGTCATGAATTGCCAGGCACCATTGCTTGAGCATTGATATCGTCCATCATTGTCGTTGTTGATCTAAAATGTGTCTGGAGTTAATCTGGAGTTTCTTACAACAAGAAGAAAAAAAGGTAAGAACTTACATAGCCACAATGTGTGTCGTCATTGGCGATCACTGTTGTCATATCTGTGCCCAAGACTTGGTAGTTAACCTTAAAATTAGTCTCTTGTCACTTCCCTAACCCTAAGCTTTACTAGCTAGTTTTCTTGTCACTTTCTTAATCCAAAGCTTTACTAACTAGTTAGTAAGGCAGTTAGTAAAGTGTTAGTAGTTAGTAACAAGTAAACAAGTTAGTAAAGTGTTAAACGGAAAAATTACCATCGAAGTAGTCGTGTTACAGCTCCAACCGCAAATGTTGCAGTTCGAGATGCCGTCCACGCTAAAATATTCACTCATCACATTTTGCGTTCAAATCCAAGTTAGTTAATGGTTCATATAAAGAGATTCAAAGAAGTAAAAGATTCAAATCAATTAATGACTCAGATTCTCACTCACATGACATTTCCTTGAACATAGAAACCGTCTCCATTTCCATTCAACGCATTCAGCTGTGCCAAAGTACATGATTGACAGCAAGGGACACCCTTTGAGCACGTGTACTTGCCCATATCGGTTGACACACCAGCAGCCTGAATTCAGACTCATCACATTCAACTTCAAACGATTTCCGATATGTATTATGGCCATACTCACCGTTTTGAATTGCCACACACCAGTGTCCGAGCATTGGTACCGTCCGTCATTATCGTTATTGATCTAAATAGTGTCCGTCAAGTGGTGGGTGACTTACACTTACATAGCCACAATGTGTGTTGTCGTTGGCGATCACTGTTGACATATCGGTGCCCAGGACTTCATAGTTGACCTTAATAGTACCTTGAAAAATGTTGAACCAAAAATATCACCATCGAAGTGGTCGTGTTACAGCTCCAACCGCAAATGTTGCAGTTCGAGATGCCGTCCACGCTAAAATATTCACTCATTTCTCATGTTTTCAGTTTTTGCTTGTGAAAAGCTCTAATAGTCTATTGATCAGCAAATACTGAAATACTTGAGCTTATCATCATTTTCGAAAGCTATTCTTTGCTTTGACTTTTACTGAAAATAATTTGTATATCGTAGTTCAGAGCTGAAAACTGATTCCCTACAAAGTCGCTGCATACTTACAAACCGTCCCAGTTATAAAAGTCTCACAAAATTCTTGCAAAGTACTAAACTTTCTATAGGAATAGGAACCGAACTGGATGGAAAATAACATTAAGTTAGTTAATAAGCATCTCAAGAGAAGAAGAAGTAAAAAGTAAAGGACTTCAAAACAATTAATGACTCAGATTCCCACTCACATGACACCTCCTTGAGTATAGAAACCGTCTCCATTTCCATTCAACGCATTCAGCTGTGCCAAAGTACATGATTGACAGCAAGGGACACCCTTTGAGCACGTGTACTTGCCCATATCGGTTGACACACCAGCAGACTGAATTGAATTCAGACTCATCACATTCAACTTCAAACGATTTCCGATATGTATTATGGCCATACTCACCGTTTTGAATTGCCACACACCAGTGTTCGAGCATTCATACCGTCCGTCATTATCGTTGTTGATCTAAATAGTGTCCGTCAAGTTGCGGTTTGCGGTTTTACGACAAGAATAAAAGATATAAAAAGAAATAGAAACTTACATAGCCACAATGTGTGTTGTCATCGACAATCACTGTCGACATATCAGTGCCCAGGACTTTGTAGTTAACCTTAATATTCTCTTGAAAGATTTTGAAACAAAGAACTTACCATCGAAGTGGTCGTGTTACAGCTCCAACCACAGATGTTACAACCCGACACACCATCAACTCTGAAAATAAGTGGATGCATAGGCTTTGTAATTATCTAGCGTTCTAAAGTTAACCTTATATGAATTTATAAATGTAGGACTCACTGGATGTCTCCTTGAATATAGAAACCGTCTCCATTTCCATTCAACGCGTTTAGTTCGGCCAACGTACACGAATTGCAATCTGAAGAGAATTAGAGAATTAGAGAATTAGAGGATTTAGAGAATCAGAATTTTTAGAGTACATTTGCAAAAATAGACAAAGATCCACTTCACGATTCGATGAAGGGAAGATATTTTTGGAGAGAGATAGATGGATTGCTTCTTTAAGTGTAACACTACGTGAACAACTGTACCTCTACTTTTTCAGTTTCTTACATCTAAAAGCTCACTTTTCGCGGTGGTGGTTGCTTTTGTTGTGGTTGTTGCTTTTGTGGTGGTTGTTGCTTTTGTTGTCGTTTTTGTGGTTGTTGTGCAAGCGGCACCCTTTGAGCACGTGTACTTGCCCATGTTTGTCAGCACACCAGCATTCTGAATTGGACTTTTTTCTGTTTACATACACTCACGAACCGTCCTGAATTGCCACACACCAGTCGCCGAGCACTGATAGCGTCCATCATTGTCGTTGTTGATCTAAATCGTTGATTGTTGAGGTTACCAAACTTAAGTACATAGCCACAATGAGTATTGTCGTTGACGATCACCGTCGTCAGATCAGTTCCCACGACTTTGAAGTTGACCTAAACGTTTTCATATTGAAGTGAAGACATCATTACAGCGCCATGAAGCGGGATAAAGTGTGTTCTTCTCAAGTAAATTTGCATAAACAACTTTCTACTTGAGTAAAGCGTCAAGTAATGTACATCCTTAAAACGCCATTGGAAATCTGACTTTGCGCTCAAATATCTTCATGTTGAGTTGTCCAATTGAAATATTTTTTGTACCAATCGACAGAGAAAGACTTGGCGCATCTAATGATACCAATATTTAAATTCGACAGCCCAATACCAAGATATTTGAGTCCAAAGTTTGATTGCCCATGGCAAAAGGGGGCCGGCGTGTATAAATGTCCGATGACCCTTAAAAGGTGCATTACTAGAGATGTACACACTCTAAAGCGTGCAAAGCTTTACCATCGAAGTGGTCGTGTTACAGCTCCAACCACAGATGTTACAACCAGTCACACCATCAACTCTGAAAAAAGTTTTCTTAACAAAATCTTATAGAGTTTTTGATGTTCTAGTAAATTCTATAGATAATACTGAAAATGCAAATGGATAGAACAACTTGAGAAATGATGATCTTTATCACTTACATAACTGCTCCTTGAGTGTAGAAACCATTTCCGTTTCCGTTCAACGCGTTCAATTGAGCCAACGTGCACGATTTGCAATCTTAAATGTTTTTCTGAATTTCAAACGCCAAGTCTTTTCATTTTTGATTAGCCGAAAAACCTATAAGGGTGTTGTTTTTGGAGCTCTAGCTTCTCCCATTCTCGAGGTGAAAGTTGCGTAAAGACGGACAGACGAACAGATACTGCTCTTTTACAATATAGTAGATATAATAATATCGTCAGCTTTGTCAGCTTTATTTTTGTGCTTACTTTTCGGAGCTGTGGTTGCCTTTGTTGTGGCTTTGGTTGTCGTCTAAAACTACACATTATCAAGGGAAGGCCGATCGGAAAACCTGCGGGCATGTAGGCAGTGGGAGTAGTTCATAGGGTGGCAGCTGCATTCCACATTGGTATACAACCGGATTTGTTCCCAAGATTTTCACCTGAAAAACCGAAATAAGTTTCCTTTTCGGTTATTATTCCCAAATTTGTAAAATTGTAACGATCAAAGGGTAATAACAATCATAACCATGTGTAAAATTTGTGATTTCATAACTTTCATCCTCCAATTCACTCACCACTTTGTTCCCGTTACAGCACGTGTTTCCGGCACATGGCGCTTTCTGACAGTGGACATTTTGGGTTTTCGCTCCGCTAGAAGTTGTGTTGCTTTTTGCTTTTTGACTTGTTTTGTTTGTTTTGTTTTTTTTTGGAAAATCTGTCTTAGAAGTTCACTTAAACGCAAAAGAATATGAAACTCACGGGCATGGACAGCCATAGGACGACGATCGACACGTTCTCGTTTGTGTGACGGTTCCGCAAAGACCACAAGTGGCGTTGCACGAGCCAACGTTGGACCACTCGGTCCAGAGACCTGAAAAAAGAACATAGCTACAAGATCTTTAGCGATTGGCTGTTGAGCCACTATTAATTTTTGTTAAATTTGTTTTGAAAGCTTATTGCTAGAGATCTGCTTTCTTTTAGTGCACTCACCAGCTGCTGGACACGGGCATGTATCGAACACTTCTGAAACACTCTTTCTATAGAAAAGAGGAGAAAAAGACAAACTTGTTAGGGCACATGTCGGCGCCACATAGTTGTCCGTTCTTGACACGTTTCCGCAAAGTTTCTGGCCCGTGGCACTGTTTGTGTACTGGAAATGAGTGTGACGTTTGAAGGGTTAAAATTGGAGGTATTAGTATGCAATAAGAACTAAAAGAAGGTAAGAAGAAAAAATAAAAACTGACTTGTGTGTAGGGGGATTTACAAGAAGGTCGTGGGGCAACGCACGCAGCAGGTGCACATGGAAGAACTCGTGATGCGAGGCCACTGGAACGCTGATTTTCGAAAAGCGAAAGCGCATAGTAAAACGATGGATTTGGAAAATTGATTTGATTTTCTCAGAGATCTGGTGATATTTGAGATCCAATAGTCCAACTCGTTAGAAAAACTGTGATGATACTTATCTATCGAAAACTCACGAGCACGGACATCCCTTGGACCACGAAGTGCACGTTCTTGTCTGCACCTTTTGCCCGTTCAACCCACAGGTGTCCGAGCAGCTCGTGTAGTCTTTCCAGTTCGACCAAAAGCCTGCAACTTGTTTTTTAGCCAACACAACTACCGTATTATTAAGTTTGCCGATAAGTCTTTAGACATTTTTCTACGAGCGTTTATGAATGACAAAATCACCAATTCATCTACAATCGGCTCCATTAGAAAGGTCTACTATTTTTCTACAAAATAACGTTCGATTTTGATGAAAATCTTTTGTCCATGGTTTTTTATGGGGTAGTCAAAGTTGAAGTCGGGTAGACAAAAAAGGCGACAACCCAAGACGCAATTTAGGCGCTTTGCTTCACAAAAACCTATGTTGCTGTCATTAGATAAAAGATAGAGTGCAAAAAGTTAGGTATATAGCCGAATTTTCACGATAATCTGTTCAGCCGATCTCTTTGTATAGCCTTTTTTCGAATTTTAGGAAAAAGCTAGTTTTTGCACTCGAATTTACTTGGAAACAGACTCAAATCGGTACTTTTCGGTACAAATCGGTACAAAGGTACTTTTCCATTAAATTTATTTCTGAAAGCAAATCCACTCATTGTCTCCATTCATCTAATAATCAAGTTACCATAAATAACCCACTCTGCTAGCTTTTATTTAACGACTCACCTCCAGCCGGGCATTTCGTACACGCGGACAGTGTAGAGGCCACTGTGGACACTGAAATTTGCAGTTGAAACAGTTTATGTAAGGTTTTTTTTACCGTATTTACCTATTATATTGGAAACCCTGCGCCTAACCCTTCGAAATATTAAGTTTTCAAAGATCTTTTTAAGGTAAAATGATCAATTGGTCCAAAATGTAATGATTTATTCTTGCTAGTAAAATTGGTTACAAAATTGGTTAAATTTGCAATGTATACCCATAATAAATTATCAGGATGACCTACCAGCTACCAGAAGATATAGGATAAGTTGAGAAAGCATTTGCGTGGATAAATTTTCGAACTCTGCTCGGCCTTTTATAGATATTTCTGGTGTTCTTAGTATGCGGGAACCTGCGGGTGGAAGTGAACACAATAGTGTCTGCCACGAATTCCTATTTTCACCGCCTCAATAGACTTTTTTGTTCACAATGGAGGTCGACGGTCGAAAATCATGGCTCGATACGGTTGTTAATTTAAATTTTTGCCTTTTCAAAACCGGGAAACCAGAATTTTTCCACTTCCCCGTTAGTTTCTAGCCGTTTTAACGACCGAGCAAAATCATTTTTTGGAAAATTTTTTAGTTTCAAAGCTAAAGACCGCTTAAGAATGTGGTTCTATCATGGTCCGAATCTCAAAAATTTGGATGAATTGACATGGGACCCATCGTTAGCTCGCTAGCACTTCGAGAATTCCCACGAGCCATTGGTCCATGAATGGGGGAAGCACGATGCATTCCGAGGCGATTGTACAATAGAAAACGTCGGTGCTCATCACTTCTACTAGGTTGGTGGGAAAATAATCGAAATTTGGAGCCTCTAATTTCAAGTCCAAAACTAAAAGTCAATAACAAATGAATTTGTTCAAAGTAAAAACCATCAGCATACACTGTTGCCAACGCGAAACAAGTTTTCCAATTCCATCAGAATAGAAATTTGGCGTTCTCGAGTCGATAAACTGCTGGGAAGCGTTTTCGGCCTCGCCCTGATTCTTGAACTATTTATTTTCTAGAAAATGGCACAGATGCTTGAAAAGGTGGAAATCCGTGGGAGAGTTTGGGCTTTTCATCTTTGCTGAGCCATTCGGATCTTCTTTTTCTGTTGTCGTATAGGATCCATTTTTCGTCACACGTGGCAATCCGATTCAGAAATGGATCTTTTTCATTTCGGCTTGGAAGCGTCGAGGCGGCTGTCAGACGCCGCAGCCTCTGCGAGTAGCTTAATTTGTGCGGGATCCATTGCTTTATCTTCTATCCTTTCCGATTGATTTCAAATGAGCCAAAATTGTTGAATGATCAACCTGAAGGTCCTGTGCGTATTCTCGAGATGTTTTGGTCGAATCTCCTTCCACCAGTTTTTCCAATTCTTCATCATCAACTCTGGGAGGCCTTCCTTGACGTTCTTTTTAATGAAACGTCTCATCGTCCGAGTGAAGTCGCCGAAACCAAAAAGACCATACCATAAGAAACACCATACCATAAGAAATACCGACATCAAATGGTGAATCGAGAAAGTGTATCGAAGCAATTTACAATTATTGTTCAAGTTTGTGCTTAAATAAAAGACAAATCAAGAAAACAAAAAGCAAAATCAAACATTTTAAAACATTTATTGCCCTTTGATGTTCAAGCTTTGATGAACCTGAAATTTGATGATAGGCAAAAAACATAAGCAATCAGAGATCAAAGACATTGAAATTGAACAGTTATTGGCTTTCTTTTCACAAATTTGGATTTATGCTTGAATTTTTTCTAGAAAAGGCGCAAAAAGGACAATCGGAAAGGAGCAATTCTTTCAAAAATGAACTTTTTCCCTTGGCGATTTCCATTTTGGGAATGGTGATGGTTGAGGTGAGCGGGCTAGGAAAGTTACAAGTGTAAATTTATAAAAAGTATTCAGTTCTATAAAAAGTTCTAAAAAAAGGATTAAAAAGTCTTCAGTTCTACCAAGTTCTCTTACAATTCTTCGTCAAACTATTAGCTAACATCATCTTTAATTTAAGCATTCATAGAGAAGTTTCAAGCATCGCCTGAATTCAAACGACTCAAGAGGCAAGGGGTGAGTTTAAAAACGGTTTCTTTTCAAGTAAAGAAATAAGTTCAAATCGACACTTTCAGTTCAATTTACACTGATTTCAGAAGATTTGTGGCAGCAATTCGGACTGTCCATCGGGTGAATCGTGTGTCGCGGGCGGGAATCGAAAATATTGTCGAGGAAAATAATTGATGAGTTTGAATAAAAATAAAGCTTTTGATTTGATAAGCTAAAGCTTTGAGAACCAATCAAAACAACTTCTTTCTAGCAATAAATTACGTAATTTAACCGAAAACTGTCTTACAGCCGCCTTTTTCCTAGACAGTGTTGTTTTAAAATCTAAAAACATCTGTATTTTGATGGCCCTGTTTGTTTTCTCTTTATTGTCAATTTTGTGTATTTATTCAGTTGTTCTATAGATCTTCAAAAACCTTGAATGTTTTTAGAATCTCGATTTGGATAAAAAAATTGAATAACATTAGTGTAAGTAGACAAAACTTTTTTGGAAAAGCATTAAAGAAAATATTTTTCTGAGTATAAAAGGCCGGTTTTCGAGGAATAGTCAGCAATCAGCTTTTGTTTTGAATTCGATTTGTAAAATGTTCAAAATCGCCTTGATTACTGCCTTGACCTTTGCGGTGAGTTTAAGCTTAATCATTCTAATTGAAGCTAATAAATGGTTTGTTGCAAGATCTGATTGTTTCTAAATCTTCTCCCTTTCCTTTCAGCTCTCCCTCGCCGATGACCGCAAGAAACGCCAGGTTCCAGGGATGCTCGGATCAGTAAGCCTTGACAATTATGACATTAATTTATCAGAAACAGTATCCATCAAGGTACCAGTATTAAATTTATACCATTCAGGGCCCAGCCAGCATGGGAACAGGCCTAATGAGCCAAGGTGGACTGAACGGGATCTCAGGAATCTCGGGAATCAATGGAGTCTCCGGATTGACCGGGTTGAATGGAATGTCCGGATTCTCGGGTATCAATGGAATCAGTGGAGTCAATGGCTTGACTGGTCTCAACGGTATCAATGGACTCAATGGAGTCTCCGGATTGACCGGGTTGAATGGAATGTCCGGATTCTCGGGTATCAATGGAATCAATGGAATCAATGGCTTGACAGGTCTCAACGGTATCAATGGACTCAATGGTGTCCCCGGACTTTCGGGCTTCTCTGGACTCAATGGCCTTGGTGGACTGAACGGACTCAATGGACCTAATGGAATCAACGGAATCAATGGATTGAGTGGACTCAATGGAATCTCTGGTTTAAATGGAATTAACGGACTTACGGGTCTCAGCGGCGTCAATGGACTTACCGGACTTAATGGCAATGGAATCAACGGAATCTCCGGATTGAATGGAATCTCAGGGCTCACCAACGGACCTTTCCCATCAAATGGAGTGAGTTTAATGACTAAACCAGTTTTGCAATCTTAAATTTGAATAGAGAATTGATTGGAATAGCAAGTAAAACTTGTTGAATCGTCTAGAGCAATCCTTTGCTATTTCAACTTTCCTACGATCAAATTTCAGATCAACGTTTGCCTTAGTGTGCTTGATTGTGCTGGAGCTCAGGTAACGAATAGATAAGGAAAGCAACCATCACCTGTTAAAGCTAGCCAGCTATTGTCAAGTACTATCAATCCCAGAGATGCTGCGGAAATGTGAGCGGTGGTGGCCTCCTCAGCAGCATTTTGGGTGGAACTAGCGGCACTCTAGGAAAGCTCCCAGTTCTTGGAGGGGTTGGTTAATCGAAAGCTTGTGAATCTGATAATTATCAATGACTTGACAAGTATTTTTTACCCAGTTTTGTCATTCTAAAGCCTACCTTTTCTACATTAAACCTTATGGCTGACGGTATCATTTCAGCTCGTTGGCCGCTGCTCTCCAATCTGTCTTCTCGGAGAGATCAACTTGTAAACCAAAAAGGGAACAATTTGAAACGTGTTGTAAATAAAGGCATTCATTTCTTTTATTCAAATTCACATTTCCAGGAAACCGCTTAGGGTTTTTTGGCATACTTACTTTTTCACTAAGGTTGCGGGTTACGGTAATTTATCCACAATTTAGCGTGCAGAAAGTCGTAAAACTTCATTTTTAGATTCAAAGTGTTATACAATACCGAGCAAAAGCCTTACAAAATCACTTTTTCAAAAAATCGATTTATAGAAATTTTATTTATAATTTATAATTTTATAGATTTTTTTTATAGAAAGTGCCACCCGTTCGTAGGGCTTTTTTGTTTTTAATTAGAATAATATATGTACACTTTATTTACAAAAACAAATTTGAAGTTCAGCGTAAAGCAAAAAAGTAAATGAAAAAACTACTAAAAAATACCCTAAAAACTGGGTACAAAAATCTTGCAACACTTTATGTTTCTCATTTTTATTGTTTTCGAATTTATTAATTTTGCCCTAATTTTTGTTTTTTTCAGATGCCAGGTACCTACTTGACGACTCCCGAAAAAGAAAAATCATGAAAGCAAGAAAAAAAGGAATTTCTCGAACCGTTGTCTCCGACCTCTTCAAATGCGATCCATCGACCGTTTCTCGCATTCTTTCAAAAGCAAAAACGACTGCACTTCTGCACGGAAGAGAAAAGAAAGGACGGCCAAGAAGAACAACAGCAAAAGAGGATCGAATACTTGTGATGGCTTCCAAGAAGGATCCGAACATGACATCAACTGAGGGAGCTCGGCTGATCAAGGATGTTGCAAACAAGGATACCTCTCGATGGACCGTTTCGATTCTCGATGGACGATTGACTCAAACAGGACTGTATAGCCGGAGGGCTGTACGAAAGCCTTTGGTGACCGCTGGCCACAGGAAATAACGGCTTCGATTCTCTAGGACGTATCAAAGTTGGACAAAGCAGGACTGGGCCAACGTGATTTTTGTCGATGAAACAAAAGTGGATATCTTTTCTTTAAAAGACAACCACTTGATCAGGCGACCCGTTGGAAAGCAAATACCCCTTAAATATGTGCGACCTACAATGCGAGCTGGCGGAGGATCAATCATGTGTTTTGGTAAGCCTTATTTCTAATGCATGCATTAATTTGTCTTTTTCTAGGGACGATGGCAAAAAATGTGGCAGGTCCGCTCGTCCTCGTCCAGTCAACTATGAATGCTCGCCAGTATATGAAAATACTAGAAGGATGTCTACTTCCATTTGCTCAGGATCCATGGCTCCTCGAAGGTTCCTCTACCAGGACAATTCGCCGGTCCACAAGAGCAAGCTCATGGGTCGCACGGTGAATCTCTCAAATGGAGGAAAAGCTCATCTCCCTGGATGGTTTGCCCTTAATAATGGTCTGTTGGTCAATGTACCCCCTATGTCGCCTGATTTAAACGTTATTGAGATTCTATGGGCTTACGTGAAGACAAAGTTACGAGGAAAAGACTTTCACACAAAAGTTGACTTATGGTTCTACATACGAAAAGTTTGGAGCTCAATTCGACCAGCAATTCTTCACGAATTAGTCGACTCAATTCCCAAACGACTTAATGAAATGACTTTAGCAAAAGGTGGACCGATTGAATATTAATTTTTGATGTTTCTGTATAATGTTGCAAGATTTTTGTACCCAGTTTTTAGAGTATTTTTTAGTAGTTTTTTCATTTACTTTTTTGCTTTACGCTGAACTTCAAATTTGTTTTTGTAAATAAAGTGTACACGTATTATTCTAATTGAAAACAAAAAAGTCCTACGAACGGGTGGCATTTTCTATAAAAAAATTTCATCGATTTTTCGAAAAAGTGATTTTGCGAGACTTTTGCTCGGTATTGTAAGTTTCTTCAGAGTTGATCAATCCGTGTGTTTTTAGTCTCAAAATGTGCGCCAGACTTTATCGTCCATAAAAATTATCGGCTAGGATTTTGTGGGCTGTTATCAGCGCCGAGAATTAACCCCTTAAAAGGAGGTCATTGATTGTAAAAATGATAATATTTTCGGTTTTAGCGAGTCAGATGGATTTGATAAATTCTTTTAGGTTCGTGTTCAGCACATTTTTTTACATTGAAATGACATATTTTGCAAGCAAAATCCAAGGCGATTACATTTTTACCTAGATTTTACGCGGATGTGCAACTCCAATAGAGCTCAAGGTCGTTGCTAGTGAAAACTAATAGATTGCCAAAAGAATAGGATATAAGTTAGAGGATATGATACAGAAAAGATAAAACTTGACAGAGATATCACGAGAGCTTTGACAGAGATCTGTGCTAATCGTAACTATCAATATGATGAACAATCTTTCTGAAAGCCACTCCAATTCTAATCAAAGCTATGAAGAGTTTGAGTTGCCGAGGTGAATTACAAGAAATTTCAAATCAAGAAACTTTTAGAGCCAACAACGTTGATGAGCTTAAAACTGTCTACACTTTATTTCAAAAAGCTCTCTTGGCTCTGGTCATAACCAGCGCTTTCACAATTGGAGCCACTTGCTTTATTCTCTTTTTGCTTGGGACTTTATCGTATGTTTAATCTTTTGTTGGTTGGTGGTTACTTAAGTTAAAGAAACTTACATGGAAAGCTTCTCGAGGAACAGTTATTTCTGCGACAATTTCAAGAAAAAGTTAAAGAAAGCCAAAGAGATTCGCTTTCGAAATGGATCGAAGAGAAAGATAAAAAATGCGATAATGGATGGAGATATCAACAAAGTCAGGGCATGGAGTTTTGTTATAAGGTAATGTGCTTATAAAATCAAACTTTTCTTGCAAATCAAATTAAATCAAATCAAATCAATTCTTGTTTCTTTTCAGGCATGGTACCAGGCTGGAGTCACCAACAATGAAGCCGCGCAGTTTTGCAAATCCAATCACAGTTCACTCGTCTCAATTCGATCTGCTGAAGAGGATCATTTTATTTATGGTAGACTCTCAATTAACCTTAAAGTTTTTATTTTAGCTGTGGCCTACAATGTGTCCAATATTCACAAAATATGGATTGGATTGGAGAATTCTCTAGTTGGTCAATCGGGTCAAATATCTAAATCTAATCTTTAGAACGGTCGAATCTGGACCGATCAAACTTTAGACAGATATGGGAAAGCTTATTACAATTTGAGGCAAGGAATGCCGACAAACAGAAGGATAGATTTCATGGTTAGTAAACTTATTTAGTCTTTATTGATTTTTTCAAAAAGTTCAATGAATTCTCTTTGCATTCACTAAGCTTTGTTTAGATTTTTTGAATGAATTACCGGAAATGACTCGACAAATGAAAGCGATGGAGAATGCTAAACTAAGTGTCAAAGATGAATGTAGCTGCAATGAATGCCACAAAAAGGTATGCCTACTTAAATTGATTTCGATGGAGATATTTTAGGGTATTATCGATGAGATGTTTTACTGTGGTAAATGCAGCTTTGAAGTGGGTGTTTGTTAATATTGAATAAGCGCTTTTTGATTTACAGATTTGTGGCGCTTGTGCTTACAAGAAGCATCATCCACATAAAGCCATTCCGTTGTTGGAGAAACAGGTATGTTTTGCATCTTGGTGTTGTTGTTAGTTTTATTAGCTTGAAATTAAAAAGCTTGCTTTTTTAATTTCAAAGGGACTTCTCAAGGACATTAACAGCTTTGAAATGGTATTTTTATCAAATAAAACCATTTGAAGTCAATATTTCTTTAGAAATTGCTTTCGAAAGAAGAAATTCTCAAGGAAGCATCAACTTTTGCCGATTTACGGGAGAAACATGAGTCATTCACGTAAATTTTAACATTTTAAAACAGGGAACATTTGTTCTTTAGAAAGATAAAGTCCAAATTTGAGGCATCTGCTGAGAATTACTTGCCTCTTTTCCGCAGATTCAACAAAGAAGTTAAGGTGAGCTCATTGGATTTGGAAAGAATTTCAATTTATTTATTTAGGAATTAATTAAAACCCCTGATGATACTCCCGTTTTCAAGAAACCAAAAATGGAAAATTTACCGAGCTCCCAAGATGATCATAGCTGCAGTGAATGTCATCATAAAGTATACCCCATTAAATTAAATTTTTACGGGATATTTTAGGGAACTAGCAACGAAATGTTTGATTGTAGTGAGTGCAATTCAGTGGTATGTAATTGCATAAAAGGCCTAAGGTCATTGTTTAGATTTGTACTACTTGTGCTTTCAAGAAGCATCATGCACATAATTTTCAACTACTTTTGGAAAAACAGGTTTTTGTAGTTAATGGAAAGAGATCTAGACTCTACTTTGTTAAAGGGTTATCAAACGCTGATGGGACTTCAAGAGTCAAGAAATGTCATCAATACGTACAAGGACTTGATTTCTGAATTGCAAAAGAAGCTTCTCAAGCACATTGACTTTTCTGAAAAGGTATTTTTATTAATAAAACCAGTTAATATTTCTTCAGAAGTTGCTTTCAAAAGAAGAAATTCTTAAGTATGATTCAACTATGGTCGATTTACGGAAGAAACATGAATCATTCACGTAAGTTTTGTCGCTTTAAATCATAACACATTTTTGCGTTAGACAAATTGAATCAACATTCTAATCATCCGCCGAGAATTACTTGCCTCATTTGCGTAAATTTGATACTAAGGTACGGTGAGCTGATTGGAGTTTTAAAATATAGTAAAACCTCGATAGTGATCGATTTTTGGACTCTCATGGACGTCCGTCTTATGAAATACATTAGCAAAACCTCGATAGTGAGCGGACTTTTTGAAAACTCAAGATGCTAAACTGGACCATTTTGAACCTCGATAGTGTACTATAGCTCTTCTATTGAAATTTGCATATTTTAGTTGAAATTTAAAATTTTTTGCACCTTTTCAATTTACTTTTGCATCCAAAATTCCTTTTTATAATTGAGCCATGAAGTCGGCGACCGAACACTCCTCTAATCTAATATCATTTTTGTCTAGGTCACTATCGAGGTGGTCATACTCTATGCTTTTATACTTTATTAGCAATAGATAAAGGCGAACTTTGTTAGTAAACTATTGAATTTAATTTTGGGAAGCCCAGTCGTGATCATTGCTAGGTAACTATCGAGGGTTTTTAGGTGCTTTTGAATGGGTCCTAGAAAGCCTGATCATTTCAATGTTAGGTCACTAATATTGCTTAGACGGCTTTTATTTTAAGCCACCACATTTTCAAAAACTTACTTTTTATGCACTAAAACTGCACCATTCTATTAGAAAGTATTGTTTTATTAAGGAAAAACACGTTTAATAGAGAAATTTTGGTGTTTTTGGGGTTCTATAAGTCAAAACCCTGATAGCGAATGAACCCCGATAGTGAACGATTTTTTCAGGATCCTTTCCATATTTCACTAACGAGGTTTTACCGTGATTTAATTTTAATTTGTTTAGGAATTGATTCAAACCCTCAACGAGATCCCCGATGCCCAGGAAATCCGAATACAAGATTATATGGAAAACTTCTGATTATTAATTATTTTGATGTATTTTGCGAATATCGTTTTACTATTAATATTAGCGAAGCTCATTTGCAAGTTTGATAAATGTCCTCATCAGCTTGTGCGGTAGCAGTCGGTCGTCGAACGCCGTGCAGGAATTCATTCATTTTGTGACATTCAGCACTTTCTTTTTTAGTTTAAATTTAAAAATTTTGACATTTTCGTTGACCTTTACTGATATCATTATAGTTTTTCAAAGGAAAGTCGCGCAAAAAAATTGCATGTTAGATCCGTCAAGCTTTCTAGGACTAAAATGCAAAACTTTCAAGAAAATTTAAAAATATGTACTGCTCTCAAACAATCAATTAGTAAATAGTATAGTGAATTCTAGCGAGTTTCACACTCCGATCGAGGCACCATAAGTGGGCATGCATACTCTTTACATAAACTTGAAAATTTCAAGTTGAAAAAATTTCAACTGAAACTATATTGGGTTGGGGAGAATGAGTCGGCGCCGAAAAACAAAAAAATGTCTAAAACTTCTAGCAGACTTCGTCAAATAATATGCGTTTGATATCAGTAGAATGGTTAACTAATTCTCTACAAAATGACATTTAAAAGAAAATTCAAACAGCGCCTCCGCTCAAGAAAAAGCCATTTTTTCACAAAAACTACAAACTGTCATCTAGAAAAAACCATTGGTGGGATCTTCCTGCAAATTTGGCAACTTAAGTAATTGAATGTGCTCTATCTTTTTTATATAAACACCAAAGAAGGTTTATGTGAAAGAAACTGTTCAAATGATGAGTCGGACTCTTTGCCATTTTAACCAGCTGCGTTTGGAAGTTGATAAACTCCCCGAAAGAAAAGCTTTGTGGAATCCCTCAAAAGTCATTTTGTAGAGAAATCGTGGATCCTTTTGATGAAACCAAACGTATGTTTAAAGAAGGCTTTATGTGTGCAAAAAGTCCCTTTAAAGTTTGGCGCCGACTCATTCTCCTCAACCCAATACATACAAACCCAATAAACTTGCGTCGCGAAATTCCCGTCTTGTGTATGCGACGAACGGCTGATTTCATCCGATCAATAATACTAAGCAAAAAGATTTGCTTCAGAACTCTTCTCGCAACGAGATTTAGCTTGCGGCCAAAGCAATTTACCGTTAGGGTAAGCAAAAAGCAAAAAAATCAAAAAAATTAAAGAAAGTAATGAAAATCCTGCCAGTTCAATTTTAGATGATCTCTGATAGCCTTTTTTACGTCAGATCCTCCGTTAGTGGTTGCCGTTTTCACCTTTTGTTCAATCGGTCAGACCTGACCCTGGCTCTGCCTTGGTCCCATCCTATTCATTAACTGGCAAAATGTTTTGAAATTTAGCTTCCAATGTGTGACTTGGGCAATTGTACCATTATTGCTCACTATTTGGTTCTTCTGTGCTCCAAAAAACGTAAACCCACCCTTTCTTGTGTCCTCAAATCTTTATGAAAAAAAGCTTATAAAATCTTTATGAGAAAAGCATATAACTTGCATAAACCCACCCTTTCTTGTGTCCCTCAAATCTTTATGAGAAAAGCATATAGTTCTGACAAATTTAGCCAATTTGTGTGTCTTTTAAAAGTATAGTAGTAGTTAGATTCAAAGATATGCTTTGGCAACAAATTCCACAAACTCTATTTATATATATGCTTTATTCAGAGGGCGGATAAAAGCGAGTCAGATAATCATAGACACAACATATTGTCATAATAGAAAAACTCAAAATAGTAGAGTAAAACTACTAATAGGAAACACAGATTCAAAAAGATTTAAATATAGGGCAGATCTGACATGGCTACAAGATCTAATTCCTTTACAGATTATTGCATTGAGACGGCATGTAGAAGGCCAAAAATTGAAGATAACGATCGGACCGAAACACGTAGATGCAACTGGTCACTGGGTCGATTCGGCGGCGAAAACACGAAGTATTCTCGTCGAACAAACAATTAGCATTCTCGTATATTTGTCTAAGCAGCTCGTTTGCACGAGAAACGAGTGCTAAGTGATTTTCGCCACCATCGACTCGTTGGAGTCCTTGCACCTGTGAAAGAAAATCACCGACTCTGGCACGAATCACCTCCGTTTGGTCGAAGCCCTCTTCAATGTGAATCCACGCTTCAGAATTCTTACTCGGAATTCCTTGATTGACAATCAAGTATAGGATTTGATTAAATTCGCGGGCAGGAGCCTCAATTTGAATCATTTTGATTTGTGTTTTCATCATGGCCTCGTGATAGACGTAGAAGCAACCCTCAAAGGTCCAGAGACCCGGGCCCAGAGCGACCTTCTCGCATCCGTTTAATTGGTTTTCGATGAATTTGCCAAGTCGCTCTTTCATTGCTTGATCTTCCTCAAATGAGCCGATTCCGATGCGCAGTTTTGCGTTCTTTTTGACCGATCCACGAAAATTGGTGAGGAACTTCAGGAAATGTTCCTTCGTGTAAACGTCGACCTCGAGTTGGTTCACAGATTTCAGCTGGTCTAATAACATTCCGTCAGTGTGGCGCCTTTCATGGAAAACCAACTTGTCGCATGAATCGACCCGTTTGGCGAAAGGAAGAGTTGTATCCAGGTCCAGGTCAACAATCGAGGAGCAACAATCGACAAACTTCCAGACACAATTTTCCGGACTAGGCTTCTGTCCCAGGGCAACTTCAGCGACGTGCTTTCCGAGAACGATCGATTGATCCATTGCATAGCTCGAGTAGATCCTCTTGTTCACCATCATCAATTCTAGCACCTCTTTCACATCGAGATGGCGTGCAATCTCCTCAACTAGCTCCAACGGCAAATCAGCGATCGTTGCAACCGGCATTCTTGTATCTGAAAATAAAAGGACGTCATTGGAATTAACATTTGTATGATTTACTGAAGTCACTTTTACCACCAAAACCACTTTTTTTAGGTTAATCTAAAGCAGTAAACATTTTTCAATGTAAAAACCATATCAAACAGTCCAATAAATTGTCTCTGATACTAAAAATGACTTTAATAAATCATAAAATCACCGAAAAATGTATAAAAAACGAATTAGAAGCGACCAAACGTAGATAAAGCTAAATTTTATCCAAAAAATCCTTCATAGCTTAAATTTTCCAGATCAACAATCAAAGGTGCCCTTAAAAGCATACAACTATTTAGATTCGTGTTTTAGTTAAAAGGAATTGGTTAAGTTGAGTTTATACGCATGTTTGAACGGATTCAAAACAATGGAGCGGAAGGAGCCGAAAAGAAAACCGTATTAGAATTTTAAACAACAAACTATGGGTCAACAATATGAAAAGGAGAGAACGAACGAGGGGAGAGAGTACTTTAAAAACGCGCTCTAAAAATATAATAGATTATACGAAGGGCGGAGGAAACCTAGTGAGACTCGGCATGAAAACCCGACGAAGTTTCCGATTCCGATTTGGAATGAAGGAAAATAAAAAGAAAGCAAAAGGAAATTTTTGTGCGAGTTACGATAGCGCATCCACGCTTCAGAAGGCGCACCACATCGTTTTCGCTCTAAAAAGTCCCGTAAAACGTGTGCCCTTAAAAGTATACAACTTTCACCCATTTCACATCAAAACATCCTTTTAACGATATTTTGATAAAAGAACGAATGAATAATGTATAAAATTAAAATCGGAAGTTTCAAAAAGATTGAGTGCCTTCCAGAGATGATTTCTGATTTGCAGAAAATCACATCTGCTTTTTGGTTTGGCGGGAAAACTCCCCAGTTTTCCTTATGGAATAGGTTTGAGTGAATTGAATCGAATCATCAATTTTGTGAACAAACTTGATCAATCTCTCCTGTGTACTCCATAACTGCCTAATGATTGGCAAAACTGGTCGAATTGAATCAGTCTTTGGGAAAATCGATGAGCAAGGCAATTTTTGGATTCTGGTTGCAAATGTGGATAATTAAACAGTTTATTGGAGCAAAGTTTGACTAAAATGTGGCGTTTTTTCTTCACGAATGAATTTAGAGAAGAAAAATCAAAAAATTTATTCTCAATTCCATTTAACAACTCAATAATATATCCAAAATACATTACTTTTAGTGGTTCCGTGAATGGGACAAATGCGGACAAATTCTTGGCGCACCCGGCCCATTAGCGCACCTTTTTCGCGTTTTAAAAAGCTCTAAAAAGCTAATATTAACCAATTTCCATTCCAAAAGCTGTTTTTCTAGGTAATTTTAGGGCGTAGAGTCTAAATTTTGAGAGGTCAGAGCTTTTGGAAGCAATTTGAAAGATAAAACGAATAGGTCAAATTACTGAAAAGGGTCACGGGTCGGGCCAGCGGGTCACTTTTGACCCGATCCGATCCGATCCGACCCGACCCGATGCCCACGTCTACAGGAAACTTGGCACGGAACTTGGCAGGCGGCCGACCAGGGCGAATGGGGACGCGGATTTTAAAAGACCCTCTACCCACCGTACCCCATTCCCCATTTTGCCCATTAATTAATATTCAGCCGGTGATCAATGATTTATCACCAAAATAAGCATAAGTACTTTCAGTTTGAATACTGTTTTCTCGGCTTACTGTGATGATAAAAGTCCCAAGTGCTTTCCAATAATTTGCAAATTTTCATTCATTTTCAAATGAAGTGTAACTGTTGCTTTTTTCTTTATTTTTTTGAAAACAAGATTTGATACTAATCTTTCGATAATTTCGAAAAGGATAGCATATATAGAAAATGAGTAACAGCTCAATGAATGTGGTAAAATTTTATTGAAAGTACACTCATAACTTTTTACAACTTTTGTTTTCTTTCTCTTTTGGTTGACAATCTTCTTCCCTTGATTTATTATTTTACAAATATGAAAGCCAATTTATCAAAAAAAAATAGCATAAGAACATTAATTAGCCAATTTGCATTGTTGACTGATACCTAACTCGATTATTATTATTGTTGTTGTTGGTGGACGATTTCTGAGCACTGAGATTTGTTGTCGTTTTCGTTTCGATATAGGAGATGACATTTTGCGAGAGGAAACGACGAAAGAAACGGAGAATTTCACGTCTCGATTCACTCGAAACAGCAAGAAGCCAATAGGATTGATAGTAGCCGACAAAGAGGAAAACCCAAGAGCTCTGAATATTACGAGGATTTCTGTTTTTGAGTTCAAAGTTTATGTTACCATTGAATTGAAGACAGCTTTTTCCAAAATCGGATCATCAACAAAAGCCGTATAGGACATCAAAGCCTAAAAACATTCTTTTCATTCCTTACTAAGGTTAATGCAAAAGAAATTTCGGTTTTTTACAAACATTAAATTTAATCAAAATTGCTTTAGGTAATAATTTATTCCAAATAATAAGCACCATTGTTATCTAGAATATCTCTCCAACGTTGCTTCAGATTTCGGATCCCCTTATCAAAGAACTCTTGATTCTACGATTGAAAGTAGGCAGTCAATCAAATTTCGACCTCTTGCGCATTCTTAAACTGGCAATTCGCAAGGAAATGTTGCATCGATCTGAATAGGTGAAAATCAGATGGTGATAAGTCTGGACTATATGGCGCATGCGGTAAGACATTCCATCCTAATTCCTCTAACTCCATACAAGAAGCTTTCTTTGTTCATACGTTTATACAAGAAGCTTTGTTCATACAAGAAATTCATACGATTAGTCTTTCCGATTATTCCCAAATGGCGGACAATTGTTGATTGATCACATTGGAAATGTTTGCAAGCTCTGGTGTTGTTTGCATTGAATCGGCTTCAATAAGTTGTTCCAATTCATTATTATCGATCGCTGTCGAGCAATGCCCATGTGGTTCGTCTTTAAGAGATTCAATACCTTCTCGGAATTTAGGCAAACCAGAGCTGGCAGGATCTTTCGGCCATAACTCGTTCTCCAAAAGCGGAACAGACGGATCACGATGTGATTCGGGAGCGTTTTTGCCCACCTTGAAGACACGCGCGCACAAAATACTTTTAATCCAGCATGATCTAAAGCAAATTTGACTTAAAAAGTGAAAGCTTTGACTTAGAAAAAGCGTAAAAATGAAGTAAATATTCAAGCGTACAAATAGACAAAAGAAGATCAAATATATCAAATAAGATTTCCAGATTTAAAAAAAAGAACATTTTATACCGACCGAAATTTCTTTTGCATCAACTTAGTACTTTCAAGGCCTAAGACGCAATTCTAGTAGTCTTTGCTGGAGTTTTGTTTTTTTTTTATTTTAAGAGTTAGTAGTGGCATCTTTTATCCCACAGATTCAATCTGATCCCAAATAACTACCGTATAAAGATCACCATGCCACTTTCAAAGCATGAAGCTCAGCCAAGCCCGAAGCTCAACCAAGCCGCTCAACCATGCACCAACTTTTCATTTACAATTAGTACACCTTATTGAGTTCAGTGAGTAGTTCTCTTTTTGAGGTTTTTCGGTTCTCATGGCTACAATTTCGATTAGCCCAATCACCTGATAGATGGTTGATGGAATAGCGAGTAGAGTGCTGAACACCGAGATGCCTAAGAGGCTCCATTGACCACGACGATTGATGTGTCTAAAAGGGAATTGATTTGAGAAAGTAAAAGCTTAAAACTTTACAACCTCATCTTTGAAATGGTCCACACGTTCATCACGGCACACGCCACTGTTGTTACGGTGGACTGAAGAGCGTAGTAAAAGCGATTCCACTAAAATTTAGGTTGAGATCAAGGAGTTGAGATGATTAGCATGGCTTAATGCTTTAAATTTGACCTGACTTGTTAACAAATAATAAATAATAAACTAATAATAAACGTTCTTTACTAGAACAATCATTTTCATGATCAGGATCATGATCAATCGCTTACTTGATCAAAATCGGGAATCTGTGGATAACTCAGCTTCTCATCTTTCCATCCCCACAAAAATATAATCAAAATTGTGTAAGCATTTCCAAAAAACATGAGAAAAATGCAGAAAGCGATGGCTCGATAAAGATTCGGTGGTTGCCACATCTGAAAGACATGTTGTAAGTTCAAATTTGTTGCATAGACTATCTTATGCGCTGAAGTTAGCCTAAAACTAGGCAATGTTTTGTTTCAACTGAAACAGTGGAGTATTTTCTTTAATTTCTTGGCGACCTTTGCATGTTCAATTGGAAAGAGGACGATTGTTAAACGATTCGCTGACATCAACACATCCAAATAGGCATGACCGTCACGAAAGGACTGAAAAATCTGTTGTACTCGAAGTGCTTTTTTCAAGTGAGGAAGTCGTTCTATTTGTATTTAATGTTGCTGTAATGTCGCTGTAATACAGCATTTACGGACATACTGCTATTGTAACAGTGTCATTTCGAGAATCATGCATACCTTTGTCATTAACCCAAGAAGAGTCCTGCCTGGTCCAGAGTCCACAAAAAACGGTTTCATTTGAAAGAATGGGAAAGCGATCAGATCAACAAGACCTGAAATCATTGGGGAATGGGGAAAACTGGGAGAGTTCATTCCGAAATTGAGTATCCGACAGTCGGTTGTCTTCACTCACAAAGAGATCGATTGCACTAGCGAGTGCTTGTTTGAGATTGACCACAAAATATCATAAAGCCTTAAACTCTTTACCTATTACAAGAAATATTGTGTAGAACGGTGAGTGAAAGGTCCTATTCTTGCTCGTCCAAATTGTGTACTCCACAAAAGAATATAATAGAAACGAGAAATACTCGAATAGCTGGCTCCATGAGGGCATTCGTTGACAATTTCAACGTCCAACTAATAGTAGGGAAATTTTGTCAAGATAAATTATACGCTGGGAATAAAATTTTCTTTTTAGTTCCAACAAATTATGCTGTGAAAACCTTGATTTTTTTTGGTGAGTAAAGATCTTTTCTCTTGATTTGAGTGAGAATTTTCGATCAAAGTTGTGATTTTTTTATAATTTCTCCCATTTTCGCATAGGTATTATGTGCAAAAATGTAGAAATTTCCGAGAAAATCTGAAAAAAGGCGATCACATAAAAACGTGAATCATTAAAAAGCTGAAAAAAAAGTGCTGAACTGACTAATTTTGATGGATACAGCATTCTTATAGTAGATCCCCGTCAAAGCATTGTTGCAATCGGCAACTTCCCATCCTTTTGCATCGTTTTGTATCGCAGAAAATTCGACTGCACTGAATTCGACTGCAAGGCAATTGCTTCACTTCTTTTGTGAACGAATTCAACAAACTTTAGATTTCATTCTCAGAAGTAAGGAAATATTTTATTGACCCAAGAATAAATAAAGCAAGAGGAATATAAAGATAACCGAATTTTAGACTTTTTCAGAAGTTTCGCTTTTGTAGAGCGATTCGATTTTTTGAGGGCATCTTGCAAACGATCCTAGAATACGCCAGATACATGTTTGTCCAACCCCAACTTCCAACACCACACGACGCATCGTTTCCAATCTTAAATGTGAGATATTCAAAATTTTTGACAAATCAGTTTAAAGTTTATTGTTAATGCTTTAACCAGTTGAATGCTAAACTTTAGTTTATTAAAAAGCCATAAAGCAGTCTAAACCGAACCGATTTTTATTTGTTTTTTGTTTATTCACAAGAGTCTAAACCGAATTCTCTACGATTTTTGTCTTACTGTTAATGAGGCAACTTTTTTTAGACCATTGGTTGTCAGCCATGGTCCAAAAAGATGGCTATGGGATCGCAATGGGGAACTTACATTGCAAATAATATGACAGTTATCTTCTAGAACCTGTTAAACTAACTATTTTGAGATTAAACTCCTTGAAAAGTGAATCTCCTTGAATGATCAAGTGAATGTGGATGATAGTTTCGAGTAGCTTGATCTAGCATTCACTAACCACCCAAAAGAAATCTTGCGGCGGTTGCCAGTTCGGAGGCGTCCAATCCACCGGTGATCCATCAGTCCAAGTTCCCTCTCTAATTGTAGTATTCCCGTAATATCCAATCCATGCCCACTGATATCCACATGGGTTTTCATTGTTTGGTGCCACTCCTTTCAATAATGCAACATTTGAAGCCACGAGATCTGTAAATGGATCAAGGTTGTTTCTTACAAATTTTAGCGTCAAACGATTTGGTAAAAGGCGCAAGTACCCGATTTTAGGTTCAAATCAACTTCTTTTGCATCTTGTCAACTTTAAAACCAAACCAGAAACAAAGTCGTTTTCCACTTGAGAATGAATCGACACTAAATGTGAGTCCAATCGTTGGCAATTTGCTTCGGCAGCACTAACATTGTAAAGAAGCCAATGAGAACCGTCAGGATAAGTAAAATTCTGAAACTATATGTAAAGAGCTTTTAAAATTTGTTACTTGTAAGAAATAACAATAATCCGTTTTCGCATTGTATCTCCAACCAGTTGGGCATTGGAAAGCTGAAAAAGTAACCTTTTGAAGTTTTATGATCTGCTTTTAGCTAGATTTAGCAAAAATCTCCAACAGGTTAAAAAAGTTCAACATAAAAAGTTGTTTGTTTGGGAAACTGATAATGAGAGTTTCATTGGGTGGAATTGGCTGAACCTTTATCAGCTCAACGAATGAAAAATAAACATATTTTGTTTTTATGAGCACCTGACGCAACTACAGTCAACTCTCTCAGAACTCTACAGGGTTTTCAAAAAAAGCCAATTCCGCTTAATTTTCCAAAAATTTCTAGTGTCTCCTGGTTTACATAAGCAAAAACGCTTACTTGTTTGAGGATATCTTAGGCTGAACAAATCTGACGATGCGTCGCATATCATTGAGGAAAACAATAGGAATTTCTAGTTTCTAGTGGCTCCTGTTGGTCAAAGTGAATAGTGAATGCATGAAATTTCTGAGCCACCACCATGAGACTTTCGCCATAAAATTAAAACTTTGTACTGGCATCATGGTGTCATATTAGAGTTAATCTATAAGCTAAAATATTCAGCCAAAAACTTTATTTATCTACATTATATGATAATCTATCATACATAAGAGATTTTCAACTCGTCTTTTTTAAACAAGTATCCCGCTTTTCCAGAGAAACGCAGACGAACGGAAACGCAGAAGGCGCATAGTTCAAATTTCTTAGTTCAAATTCACCTTTTGAACTTTGATCCCTAATCGAAATTCATTGTCTTCTAGTAAAAATGAGCTAGATTTTCGTCTTTCGTTTCCTTCGACTTTATCGCCTATATCAACATGCTCTCACTCATACGCTCTTTTCGTGTTCATGTGAGTTGGCCTGACAAAATCTAACCAGACTGATAAAGCGATAACTATTTAAGTTTATTTCAAATAAGGTTAAAAAGCGTTTAGTTGAGTAATGCACAGGGTGCGTCATAATTTTCGCAACAAGGTATCACGCGCAGGACAAGAACTCGTTCAAGAACAATAACTCGTTGTTTTAAGCTTAATTTCTGGTTTTCTTTTTTGTTTTTATTATATTTGGAATATAATTGAAACTTTTTTCATATAAAATGTGTTGTTTTTTAGAATGGCTGGAAAATCCTCCGTCGACAATCGATCATCGAATTGCACAAGCGAGGAGTCTCGGCGCCGGAGATCCATAAGCGTCTTAAAGTCGACAGAAGTATCATTTCTGGCACTATTCAACGCTACGAAGCTACGGGAACAATTGCTGATGTCCCAAGAAGCGGTAGACGCCTAACTGTCGTCGCAAAGACAAATATCAAGCCAGTGAGGGACCGAATTCGGAAGAAGCCAAACTAGTCGACCAAGGCAAATGGCAAAGAAGATGGCGATTTCAAGCACCTCATTGCGTCAGATCCTCAAAAAGAAGCTCAAACTTACTGCTTACAAGAAAAACAAGGCTCAACTTCTTTCGAATGCTGCTAAAAATAAGCGAAAACTCAGAGCAGGGCTCGGTTTCACCACGACTTAATACGTATTAAGCTAATACGGTGTATTAAATTGCTAATACAGCATTTCACCACCAGCTAATACACTGTAGTCTAGGTGTATTAAGTTAATACACCATTTCATCACCATTTTACCGATTTTGCCGATTTTGCACCGGATGATTCGATAGATCTTATTTGTTTTATTTTATATGAAAAAAGTTTCAATTATGTTCCAAATATAATAAAAACACAAAAGAAAAACCAGAAATGAAGCTTAAATCAACGAGTCATTGTCCTTGAACGAGCGTGATACCTTGTTGCGACAATTATGGCGCACCCTGTATTTCAATATGAGCCGGCTTATTTGAGTTGGTTTATTTATTCAGCTTTTCAATGAAAAACTTGTTCAAATTAGGTACATCAAGCCGTGAACCATTGCATTAAGCCGGTAAAGCATTACATTTTGAAGCCAGAACTTACCCTCTCCATCAATCGAGCAAATGAAAGGACGGGCAAAAGTGCATTCAGCCGAAAGCCACTTTCCATTTTGTGGATCCATAATGGCACAAACTGTTGTGTTGCTTGCATTGTTTGGTTCATCTGAAAGTTTCACGAAAAAGGAAATGACTCAAGGTGGCATTTATGAATCGGGTCTTCTTGAATAAGAAAAACTAAAAGCAGATTTGAAATCAGTGTTCAAAACTGTCAGATAATCTAGGTCCAATTCAAAAATCCGACCTTGAGTTGGCGCCCTTCTTGGCCGCGCCCCTCAAGCTTGGTTACAACGCAAAAGGATTCCTCTGTTGGCCAGAAGGATTCCAAAAGGATTCCTCTGTTCGAATGTGATAGAAAATGTTTGAGCTTTTATGGTTCGCAAGGTCTACGACGGAAACAAGACATATCGGAAAGTTGACGAGCTCAAACCAGCGATCATTGATGCATGGCATTGAAGTTGATTGATAATCTTTATCTGAGCATGGACACCGAATGTTTCAACTGATTCGCAGAGCTATCATTGGCTTATTTAACTTGTTGTTTTTGTTATTTTACTTTGCTAATAAAGTAATTTATCAATTGAGATTATAATTATGTGAATTTGCCCAAAGACAGTTTTTTCGAAAATTGCAAAATAAGATTTTTGCCTGTTTTCTATTCGAATTTCGTGTTAATAGTAATTTTTGTGCTCAAATTTGTCACAGATTCTTATTGAAAAAATCACTTAAAAGTTTTTTGTAAAAAATATGAGTGAGGGTATAATTATGTGGAGCAGTGTAGTATCTTTATTCGACACGAATCATGAATTACAACACAACGGAGGAAATTTTTACCCTTAGTTACCCCTATTACCTAAATGTTGTTAAGAACAAAAAAAACCTATAGATGGGAAAGAGAACCGATCCTTCTGGCCACCGGGATCGAACCTTTGACCCCCATTGACCCCGGCTAACTAGGAGACAAGACTCCTATCCGGTCGGCTACGACGGCTACTTATGTGGAGCAGTGTAGTAAGAAAAACGATCACCATTGTACTGTTGGGTAAAGTTTGATGATGAACTCACTGAGCGCCCAATTTTGATAGCCAAGTGTACTTCCATCAGCATAGGTCCACGTATTGTTTTGCTTTCGTTCAACTCCAATGTATGGAGCCAGTCCATTAGCTTCTGAAAATGATAATTTCTGGTTAAAATCATAAAAACCTGGAGAGATCAGTGAGAAAATAAAGCGATTTTCGCTGATGTTCTGAATTTTTGCCGGAATTCCGCCGAGAGCTGCACAACTTCGAATGACGTCATAATAAAATGCACCTGAATCATCTTGCATGATAAAAGACAATCAAAATTTCCAATCTTTGTCGAACTTTCAATCCATAAGCTTTTAAAAAGTACCTTGTGTCACGCTGAACATGCACACTTCCTCATTTGGCACTTGATCACTTCCACTTGGGCATTGGAATGAGTAAATATTCAAGAAAACTTGTAGTAGTACAAATAAGCTTCCGATTAGCGAGTTCATTTTGAAAAATGAGTTTGCTTATCTTATTTTTTCAAAACTCCGAAAGCTGAAGTGGCTTCAAGATAAGGCAACAACTTGACCCGAAAGAGACAAAAACAAACGACTTCTCCTTAAAGTCTTCTCTTGTGTTTTTGTGGGTTTTTTAGTAAAAACTGATGGCCTAGAATTCGGAAAGACGATCAAAATCACATACTCTTCTATTAGATTGACAACTTGAAAGTTGGTACACTTATTCATTGCACTTTTTAGAAATAACAATTGCTCCAATTAATTACATTTTTTATCAATAAAAAGGCACATTTATTTTCTCAAGCAGCATAAACACTTTTGCTTTAGAGCAAACGATAGGTTAATTGATGAATTTTTGACTTTTAAGTAAGAGAAATGGCAAAAAGACTTGCTTGCCAATCAATAAACAACCAGCCAATTGCCAACCTTTGCCAGCCTTGAATCTGGCACGTGGAAATGTCTCATTGTCTCCCCGTGATTACTAAATATAGTAGCCATGTTGAGAACTTTCTCAAGAGTGTAAAGATGAGATGGCTATTTCCAAGACTTGAACAAAAAGAGGCAATAAAACTTCGAGCATTCAAATTGCACATTACAATTGAATAACATTCTTTTTGCCATCAATTACTGATTACTGACATCAATCAAACTCTTTTTTGAGAAAGATAGTGAGAATTCTTTATTCTTTACATATCAAACGTAAAAATTAATAAATTTTCTTTATTTGCATTGCATCATATCCTGACAAACTGATGTCGATGTTTGACCTAAATCATTTTAGGAATCACTTGGAGTTAGACTTGTTACAGTTCATTGTTCTGATGTCAAACTAGAATGGCACTAATGTTTAGGAAGTTCGGATGATCTAAATTTGTACTTCAAAACCTTACCATTGACAAGATCAACAAAGATTTTGTCAATGTACTGATTGACGGAATTCACGCAATTCTGAACGACTGATTGATCGTAGGCACTGGAGAGTGATTGGCAAAGCTAAAATAAACAGCTTTGATAAGTATTTGATGAGTACTTTGATAGCTTGATAAGTGCTTTGAAAGTCTATAACTTCAAAGACTACTTACATTCAACAATTCGGTTTTCAGTGCAGCCTCGTCAGTGACCTTGTTATTGAAGTAGTTTCGGGCCTGAATTTGATTTTGGTATTGCTTCTTGGAGACATAGATGTTCAGCAAAGCAGAATATCTTAATTGATAAAAACTTGAGTCCAGGTCTAAAACTGGGACTTAAAGTGAAGATATAAGCTCGAATTAGGCTTACAACATTCTCAAGACCTATTAGGCTATGATATGGTTGTGATATGGTTCAGATCTAGCTCTGAAATAGTTATCAAACATTTTATCAACCTTACCGTATCAATAACAGAAATGCAGATAGGGCATGGATCAACCGGTGTTGTTGTGGTCATTGTTGTAGTCGTTGTAGTCGGTGTCGTTGTCGTCATAGTTGTGGTTGACTTGGTGGTTGTGGTGACAGCAACACTGGCAGTCGCCGTTGCTCCCGTAGCTCCCGTTGCTCCTGTTGTGACCGTGACGTGGCAACCATTTGGCATTTGGGTTGTTCCACCTGGGCTTGGACCGGCACACTCGCCCATATCCTGGCAGATTTGATTCGTGGAGGCTCCTGGAAAGATGATTAAGATTGATTAAGACAGAAGTTTGCCAGCTTTATCAAAATAGCAAGTAAAGGTGACGGTCCGGGTTACAACATTTTCCTGATCACTGACTAACATAGTCCTCAAACTTTGAGACTAGATCAGTCGGATTTGTTCTGAGCTAAGAGTAATCCCAAATCACTGACCATGTTGCAAATCACAGTAGATAACATCAATGTTTTGATGGACCCAGTGATCGCAATCTTTCACCGCCTGATCACCGTAGAATCGCTTCAATGTGTCACAATCCTAAAAGGTTTCTGGATCTAATCCGTTCTGGTCATTTTTAACCACCAGTTATAGGTTTTCAATAAAATTGGTGTCATCTTTTTCTAACCAAAATTGCCATTGTTAAAATTGTCAAACTTGCATTCACTTACATTGCTCAATTCTTGTTGTACCGCGCCCTTCGACTCTCCATTCTTGTAGTGTTGTTGTGCCTAGAAAAGGATGACATTGCTCTACTCTAACTCATTCAACCTGATTGATCACATATTGACACATGGCACATGGATCAACTGGAGCTTTGGTGGTTTGCTGAAAAAAAATAGAGATCCTTATTGTTGAATTTTGCACTAGATAATAAGTAAATATGATAAAACTAACCCCGAAAACAATTCCGAAGAAGACGAGAGAGGCCAATGTTAATGAATGCATTGTTTCTGGAATTTAGACTTGACAAAGTTGAAAAGGATGGAAATTAGAAAAGAAAAAAGAGACAGAAGTGTTCCAACGAATTCTGCATTTGCAAGACAGACCGACTCCGGCTTTTCAGATGGGTTGTTTTTTTATCCACTCTTTTACGCTAAAGCCAGCTGTAAACTCTAGCTAATAGTAATGGCCTACTCTGGAAAAATCGGTTTTGAAACATTCCTAAAAGACAATTCACCAAAAGGTCAAAAGGCAATTCACCTCACAAGCTTCAGGTTTAACCCACACAGTTCAATTGCGCCTAAAAGTGTGCCTAGAAGTTCAACTGAACGCTGGCAGATGCTCTAAAAGTTTCTTGATTTGCAATATTACCACTTTAAAGTGTTACATACATCATATATTCACTAAAAGCTAGAATTCAAGGATAAGAAATCCCGAAGAAATGAATTTTTGGTGTGGCAATACCCAAAGTCAAAGACTGAGGAATTGGAAGTGCGAGAAAATCTCTGTTTTATTGCTCTTTATCAGTTCCGGATCCACTTCGTTCTTCGGTCGATTCACTTCAGATTTATCAGTCCATCGAGTCTCGAAATGCGAGTTGTGGAGGCACTAATTCCCATTGTGCACGCAAAATTTATCAGAAAAGTGAAAGTGCTGACGAAAGCCGAATAAATCTCAGACATTTTTCTGTCATCTGATCAGGGACACGGATTTGGAAAAATCCCGGAACTACAAGTACACTGGAAGCAATCAAAATTCATCAGACTTATTCCACTGCATTGGTTAGGCCCATTGTTTGATATTTTTCGAGGTTGTTGTTGTTGGCTCTAATTTTCTCAGCATTGTGATTCTATGAGTTCTGCTTGATCCGATAAGTCTGATGAATTTCATTGCTTCCAGTGTACTTGTGGTTCCGGGATTTTTCCAAATCTGTGTCCCTGATCAGATGACAGAAAAATGTCTGAGATTTATTCGGCTTTCGTCAGCAATTTCACTTTTCTGATAAATTTTGCGTGCACAATGGGAGTTAGTGCCTCCACAACTCGCATTTCGAGACTCGATGGACTGATAAATCTGAAGTGAATCGACCGAAGAACGAAGTGGATCCGGAACTGATAAAGAAGTGATAAAGTACCCCACGCCTTTAATAATATCCCACCTAACGCGTAATTAAAAACAACGCTTAAACGCGGAAAATTTTCATATATTTTCGGAAATCATTTGTATTTTTAATTTTATCTTATAAATTTGTTGATTTTAAAATTTTTCTCGTTTGCTCACTAAGTTTATTTTCTCAGATATGGATCTCGATGGGAAATCGCTCAATGGATTTGAGGAATCGCGTGATGAAAGAGCTGATGAACAAGATGCCAATGGAAACTGAAGCGCTGAAGCTGAAGGATCTTCAAGTGAATCGGATGAGTCACCTACAAAGAAAAAGAAAAAGGCCATTGATGTGAAAACGAAATTTACTGTTGCAAAGATGAGCAAGGATCTTTCGTTTAAAGCAGCCCCTGCATTCTACAAGTTTGATCGAAAATGTGTGTATTTCTACATCAAATAAGAGGTCGAGGTCCTCGAGAAAATCCACAGAATTCGATGGAGCCTCGATCTCGAGAAGAGACTCGATGGAGTCGGACACCACTTGAACTCGGCGGAATGGTTTGGCTGAATGGATACGAGATCGTCGAGCCGAGAAGAAACGAGTGACACGTCGGTTTATCTGGGATGCAGCGGCTCGAATCGACGGGATTTCAAGGACAGGAGTTGATCAAGAAAATGATGTATTCATTGACCCGGATGTTTCTATTGATTTCGCTTGTTAGTTGTTTTGAAAAGGAATGTAGACACCAAACCACTTCCGCCAATCATTCCAACCATTCCCACCCTTCCGCCGTTTAAATACACGGTATGATTCATTTCAAGAAGACATCTTGCTAGTTTAAGCTTAGATTTCAAGCACTTATATAACGATTTGTTCAGCCTAGACCACCGGGCACTTGCAAATACGATTCTCAATGCGGCTTCAATGAAAGCTGCCTCGGTGGGCGCTGCAGAGATCCCTTTGGAGGAAAATTTACATAAAGAATGGTTAAATTCAAAATTAATAAAATAAATTGGCCTTTTACCCACATTTCATTTCTTTTAAAGAATACACAAATCCTTCTTCAACATCATTTATTCATTTAAATTATTACATTTTTCAATCAAACACCGATTTTCAATTATTCTATGAATTTTGAGCTTGGTTAAAGTTTTGATGGATGGAATAGTTGCTTGCGAATCATTTATTACATTTTTCAATCAAACACCGATCTTTGAACTGACGCGAATCGCACGATTCAGATTGTTGATCGAAGAGCCGGCACTGGCTTTAGATTTGGCATTTGGAGGAGTCGTTGGGGTAGCCGCGCAGAAAAAGGGCAATTTCATCGACCAATCTGCCACTTTCCACTTTCGTTCGGCCAAATCGATGTACGCGCCCTTGGCTTGATCATCTGAATCACTTCATAACTGAAGATTCTTTCAAAACTGTTGCCCGATTTACCGAAAAGTTAGTTTAGGGCTATTCACTAGTACTGTGGTCTCTTCAAAAATTGAAACCCCCTCCCCAGCTTTTCAGTTTTATGATCTAGACTGCTTCTTCGATTACCTATTTTCGAGGTTTTCTACGAATCACTGCTGATCTAAGTTTAGCATTTAGCAGATCTGAAAGAACAGTTCACGTGGAGAGATCGGTTTAGTACCGAATTTGACATCATACTATTGTGAAAATCTATCTACTTCAAGGTCTATTAAGATACAGCAACATACCGGGTGACGGAATATCCAGTAATCCGTACATGTAGTTGAAGTTTGTTCCATCGAACCAAATCCAGTTATTGCCTGGCGGTTTCGTAGCCCCAATCCAACTGCGTGCCACACCGATAGCTGAAATTGGAAATGTCATGAGTGCACGATTTTTAACTGCCTTACTTTGTTGTAAATCGAAGACGAACGAGTTTTCGAAGGAGTTATGGATTGATAAAAGAGATCCACCACTCGGTTTGCAGTACAACATGTTGGCATCCCATTGGGTAGCTGAAAGTGTGCTTTGAAAATGGATTAAAAACAAGAATTTTAGTCAATTTTGCTCAAAGTAGAGGTTCCAGCAATTCATTGTTCGATTGCACTACAAGGATAGTGTACTATATTGTGACTTTATCATTAAAACATGTTGGAAGCACACCCGGCTTGGCTTCTGACGGACCCAGGAATTTTCCTGGGTCAAGCTAGGATAAGACTCTGATTTAACCCTGACCGTAGCTTGGATCTGGTCTGGTCATGGCTCTGATCCTGGCTCGGCTTGGTTATGGCCCTTCCTTTACTACTGTACAGAAGCCAGGGCCAGCTGGAACTCGATTCAACCAAAAACAAAACAAAAGCAATTGGTCATTAAGTAGCTAACTTTAGTTGGATCTAGTTCCACCTGGCTTCTTTGAAGATAGTTCACAGCAGGTGAGAGCCGTATTGGTCTGATCTGGCTTCAGCTGAGACTCTACAGCAAATATCTATCGACAGTACTCTAAGGCTCGAAAAGCTTTGAGTCTGAACATCTTTTGCTACTGTAATACTAGAATATTGATGCTCGATTTGACTATTTTTCCGTAAAAAAATAAAATTGGTACCTGGAACATCGAAAAACTTGATGCATTTGTTGAAGTCGCTCGAATAGGAATAGTCAGTTGGACAGCCATTGTCAGAGGCAACGATTTGCAGAAAAAGCAACACAAAACAGAGAAGAGTCAACATTTTTGTTGATACAAAACTGGGGAATTCAATATGTTTAAATATCTCATCTATCATCCAGGAGCCTTTTCCAGTCACCAAAAAGTGAGTGGGTGTTGATTTGGGCACTCTTATCAGAAACAGCAAATGGACCCGGGGATTCTTGTCTGGGTTTAAGCTAAAAAGTGGTACCTGATCTTCTACAATCTTACAACGCCGGCCCATGAGTCACTTTTTCAACTTTTGAGATCTGATATGAATTGTGCGTACTTGTAACATGGTTGTTTTGTGGAAAAAGTTGCAAATTTTTCTATGCTTGCAGATTGGTCTGTTTCTGATAAGAGAAATTTGTGCTTGGTGGTTTCCTGGGACGGGTAATCGATTAGCAGTGTTCATTTTGTCGTGATATAAATGAGCACCAATTTACGTCACTCACTTTCCATTCAGGTGATGGGAATGAAACCAGCAATCACATATCTTTCCCAGAAGAAAAAGATTGCAAGGCTCAGCCATTAGGTGCTCTCCTCTACCAAATAGTGTAAAAAGGTTTTGAATTCGATTGGTCATTGAAGGGTTGGATAAATTGTAAGTTAAAAGGTCAGAAATGGCCATTTTCTTTAATTTTCTTTTCTAGAATGTCAAAAATGACCATTTTCTAGAAAACGCAAGTCTCAGAACAAAAATGTTGGCAGGCTGGAGTGAAAAGGCATTTGTCGACCTTGATCCCTAAAAAATAAGTACTTTTTCCGCATAGTTTTCTTCTTTTTCCTGCATAGCTCACATAATCACAGTTCACAGCGCAAAAATGTCCACCAAAATGTCCACTAACCTCCGCTCCCCTTATTTCCTATTGAAGTTGAAGAGATTGGTGTCCACGAGTCTCCACCAACTGCTGCATAAATAGATTCATTGAAGCACAGCTTCAATACAAACAACTCCTTTCAAAGTTTCAACAAACTTGTTCAAAGATGAAACTTCTTGTACTCATTCTTTGTGTTACCATGGTCTTTGCCATGCTTGCTGTCAGCGTGTCCACTCATCCGATGGAGGAAGAAAAACTCGACACCACTCCCTATCAACCGAAGCTGCGCAGCACTCGTGACACTTGGGGAGGGATCAACTCTCGAGGGCAAAGCTACTGCAACACGTGCTCCAATTGTCGCGGTGGCGGTTGTTGTGCCTACATTTGTTAGCTCCTTTACATCAAAAATGTTAACTTTTTTGTAACTCGTTCCAAATCTTAGTGTGCATGACTTCTCTTTCCAATAATTCTTGAGCTAATAAAATTTTAAAGGAATTAGCATTTCGACAAAAAAGACATTCATCAAAACAAATTCTAGACATTCTAGACAATTTCTAGGACATTGAAAACAATGCTGAAATCTAGGAACGGGCCATTTTTGACATTCTAGAAAAGAAAATTAAAGAAGATGGCCATTTTTGACCTTTTAACTTAAAATTCATCCAACCCTTCAATGATCAATCGAAATCAAAATCTTTTTGCACTATTTTGTAGAGGAGATTCACGGCTTTCGAACAGTAAACAACACTTATTGGCTGAGGCTTGCAATATTTTTATTCTTGGAAAGATATGTGATTGCTGGTTTCATTCCCATCACCCTAATACATACAAATTCAAAAATGATATTAATACACCTAGCTGCTGATAATTTGTTTTAATGAGAATCGGCTCTATTTTGGACACTCCCTTTAAGTGAGTAAGCAAAAGATCAGGTAACACTTTTTGGTTTGAAGCAAGATAAAAGATTTCCCAGTGCACTGCCTGTCCAGATTAGAAGACGGTCATAAAGTCGCTCACTCACTTTTTGGTGACTAGAAAAGAGCTCCTGGATGATAAATGAGATATTTAAACATATTGAATTTTGCTTCTGGGTTTTGGGTTGCTTTTTCAATGCCATTGCCTCTGAAAATGGCTGTCCAACTGGCTATTCCTATTCGAGCGACTTCAACAAATGCATCAAGTTTTTCGATGTTCCAGGTACCAATTTTGATCTTACATAGGAAATTAGTTAATTTTAAGGATCGTAAAGCTACAGTATTCTGGCTTACCACAGTATTCCCGTAGTACGGTAGGAAAGGTGTTCAGTGACAACTATACATTCCGAGTGTCCCCCCACCCCCCTCTGCCAAATTAAAACCTTTAAACACCGGTCAATCAATCACTCAACCATTTCTACATCTTTACATCTTTTTTTCTGTCTATCTTTCTGTTCCGTTTTTTGGTTTAATTACCCAAGTTTTGGGCAAATGACTTTACCGTTGTGTGATTGGATTCTGCAACTTTTCGATACATCAGTTAGATTAAATCATTTAATTGTATTTAAAATCCGCTCGAGAAACCCTTTGTTTGGCACATTTTTCAAAATTGACTAAAAATTGGCTAAAAATTGACTGTATTTTTATGGTCAATCGATTCGAGAAATTAATTCACCGTTTTCACGGCTAAATTTAGTTTTTTTTTTACATTGAAATTCCCGACAGACTGTCTCCACGGCCCAATAAAAGTTCTTCAAATCTTCAAATCAAATCACTTTTCAAATCAATTTGCTGAAATCGAGGCAGCAAGATGTTAAAAATTTTCGTAATATTTGGTTTATTCGGTGAGTGTCTTTTCGCAGTTAGACTTGTTATAAAATTAACTGGATTATTGTAAAAGCAACTTTTCAAATCAAATAAAAGATTTCAGCCTTAGTTGCGTGTGTGTGCGAGTATTCTTCGTCCAGCTACCACCCTTTTTGTGACGGATTCTGTAAATATGAAGATGAAGAGGTTTTCAAGTTTATTTTTCTATGAGAACTTAAGCCATTTTTCGTCGTTTCCAAAGACAATTCCAGTCCAATTTTCCGAAATTCGGGCATTTTGAATGAGTCACCAAGCTTTGATGGTCCATAACTTTGCCTAGAGACAATATTATTGCTGACTTTTTATATCTTTGTAACGAGGAAACTCTAGGCTTTCTAATGACACTAAATACAGCACACTAAATTCGACTAAATAATTGGATAACTCAGTCCAGCAAATTCAAACCAACTTAGCAATACGGTATCCAATTCAGTATCCAATTCAGAGCAGATCGAATCGGATATTGCTTATTTTTCGTGAGAATTTATACCTAGTCCTTGAACTTTATTGAATACCAGCAAAAAGCAAAAGATTTGGCGGCGAGAGGAGTCGAACCCGCGGCCTCTCTCGTTCGTTCTCTCTCATCTATTCGTTCGAGAGACGCGCGCGTTAACCACTCGGCCATGCTCTAGTAGATGACGCAGTGCGAGCGCACTTGTCTCTAGCCCGCACTTCCGCCCGCGTCGGTACTTTTGATTTTTTGGAAATTTAAAAACATGTTGCACAACTACATGGAATTCTAAGCCAAACTAACTAGTCATTTGAAACGGTCGGCTGGGTGCAGAGTAGTGTGCACAGACAGACAGACAGATAGACAGACTGGCAAGGCTCTTTTATATATAGTAGATTATCGGAAGACTGAAATCCTCGTTGGAACTACATAAAAAGTTAACAAAAATATTGTTTCTGAGTAGTTATAGACCATCAAAGTTTAGTCGCTCAGTCAAAATGCCAGGAGTCTTTCGGCCAAGCGCCGAAATTTCTGTTCTATTTCTGTTTGTGACTTCTTGAAAACGACTCTGGAATTTTTACCGCCAAAACTATAAGCTTTGTTTAACGTAATAAATACAAATTTCAGCGCAATGCAGCTGTTGCACGCTGCTGCAAAGTGAGAATAATCAGGGCCGACGGCGTTTGTGAATGGTGGGGTTTTCCATATTTTCGTTATTACGCTTACTGTTGTTGATATTGTTCAGGCAACAAAAATAAACTTTATGCACATTTTTTATCAAAACAATGAATGCTTTTATTTGAACGATCAAAAAATCCCGAAACTATTTGGAGTTACATTTAAATTTAAAAAGTCTGCGATAACATCTGGTGCTTTAATCGTAATCAAGTACATGAATTCGTTAAGGAATGATTTCATTAAGCTGTGTTTTAACTTTCGCTCAGCTTTCGATTCGATTCATTCATTCAATTCGATAGCTCACTATTCATTCATTGACGGTGTGAGGAAAAATGCAAGCAATGCTTATGGATAATAAAGAAATAATTGCTAGGAAAGATTATTGAATTGGATTATTGCTGGGACAGATTATTGAATGAGTCGAGTTCACAGTAATAGTTTATCGGCTGGCTTTTTTCAAGCTTTCATAGTTCGACGGCAAATGAAAAGCGATAATTTTTTTTGGTTTTTCTCTTCATATGCTCCCTGTGCTTTATTTGACAAAAACTTTGTGTTTTACTTTGTTCGAGTTGTGTATTGCGCTCGTTATCTACTATCTGTTGAAGTCGCTCGAATAGGAATAGTCAGTTGGACAGCCATTGTCAGATGCAAAAATTTGCAGAAAAAGCAACCCAAAACACAGAAAAGTGAACATTTTTGTTGATACAAAACTAGGGAATTCAATATATTTAAATATCTCATTTATCATCCAGGAGCTCTTTTCTAGTCACCAAAAAGTGAGTGGGCGATTTTATGACCGCATTCTAATCTGAACAGAGAGTGCACTGGGAAATCTTTTATCTTGCTTCAAACTGAAAAGTGTTACCTTATCTTTTGCTTACTCACTTAAAGGAAGTGTCCAAACTAGGGCCGATTCTCAATAAATCAAATTATCAGCAGCTAGATGTATTAATATCATTTTTGAATTTGTATGTATTGGGTTGGGGAGAATGAGTCGGCGCCGAAAATCAAAGAAATTTCTAAAACTTATAGCAGACTTTGTCAAATGATATGCGTTTGATATCCGTAGAAGGGTAACTAATTCTCTACAAAATAATATTTAAAAGAGAACTCAAACAGCGCCTCAACTCAACAAAGGATCATTTTTTCACAAAATCGATAAACTGTCATCTAGAGTAAACGGTTGGAGGGATCTTCCTGAAAATTTGGTAACTTATGTAATTGAGTGTGCTCTATCTTTTTTATATAAACACCAAAGGAGGTTTATGTGGAAGAAACTGTTCAAGCAATGAGTCGGACTTTTTGTCATTTTGATTAGCTGTGTTTGGGAATCCATAAAATCCCAAAAAAGAAAAGCTTTGTGGAATCTCTCAAAAGCCATTTTGTAAAGAAATAGTGGACCATTTTGATGAAACAAAACGTGTATTTAAAGAAGGTTTTATGGGTGCAAAAAGTTCCTTTAAATTTCGGCGCCGACTCATTCTTCCCAACCCAATATTAGGGTGATGGGAATGAAAACAGCGCTCACATATCTTTCCAATAATAAAAATAAGCCTCAGACAATAAGTATTGTATACTGCTCGAAAGTCCTGAATCTCCTCCACGAAATAGCGCAAAAAGGTTTTGAATTCGATTGGTCATTGAACGGTTGGATGAATTTTAAGTTGAAAGGTCAAAAATGGCCATTTTCTAGATTTCAGCATTGTTTTCAATGTCCTAGAATCTGTCTAGAATGTCTAGAATTTGTTTCGTGAATGTCTTTTTCGTCGAAATGCTAATTTTTTAAAATTTTATTGGCTCAAGAATTATTGGAAAGGGAAGTCATGCACACTAAGATTTGGAACGAGTTACAAAAAAGTTAACATTTTTGATGTATCCTGTATTTAGCACGAAAGCTGTCATTTCCCAAGATTATTGAGGAAAACTTACCGGTGACCAAGCAGCTGCAAAGCTGATAAAAACCAGTAATGCTAAAATCAATAAAAATTTCATTTCAAGAGAGTTTTCAAGAACAAGTCTTTAAAATGTTTTAAGATGGTTTGACTGAGAATTCAAAGAATTATTGATTCATTTCGTGATTCATTTCGTTCCCAAGTTCACTAATAATTTTCAAGAAAAACTTTCAATTCTGAATTTTTTTTGATTCAAACGGCATTAGAATGGCTAGAAAATTGGACAAAATACTTCTCAAGAGTCTAGAAGACACAATCAAGCCCTGTAGCCTCATTAAAGTACTTCATTTACCCCTGATCTTTAAAATTCTCAATTTAAAACTCTCAATTTCTTCAAAAGAAATTGCAAATTATAAAACACAGTTTCCTTTTTCCCGAAATAAGATTGAGCGCTTGGAGATTGAGGACAGAAATTGAGGACAGTCCAAAGATCAGATTTGATTGGAAAAAGAAAAAGAAAAAGATTGGAAATCGGGAGGAAAACCTCATTTTCGGGCATTTACGATCCAGCTATTCACGGAAATATTCTATAGTGTTTGATTTTTCTTCAAAATTATTAAATGATCGTTTTGAAATTTGAATGATGATAAATGATGATGAATGATTGGCAATTTGCGCGATGAAAGTCCCATCGATTCATCACGAAATCGTGATTGTCATCTTCGCTTTGTCGATTGCTTTCAATACGCTACTTATTTGGTTGATCCTGCGACACACGCGATCTCATCTACAAATCTATTCACGTTTCATGTTATCCTTTGCTATTTTCAATATTTTATATCCAACTCTCTGTTTTGTTACAACACCGGTAAGTGGTTTGGTGCAAGTCATTTGCGTTCAGACAGGGTGACAAAAAATTATGGGCGCACCAGTTAAAACCTACAAACTTTTGAGTTTCAAGCAGTTTTAAACATATATGTTGTTGAAACATAGATTTTGTTCTCATTCTTTGTATCTTATTTGTATCAATGAATAATCTATATGTGTTCCAACAGGATTCAGCGCCGGCTCATAAGGGAGAAAAAGTTCAGTACTGGTGCACTAAGGAGTCGATGACTGATGAAGTCCTAAGCCTAGGCTTTTTTTAGGCTTAGGCTTAGGCTTGGACTTAGTGCGAAGGCTAGCGGCTAGCGCCTAGCACTAAGTCTATTTGGGTTTGGGCTAAACCCCATTTTCTGGATCTCAGCCAGTTCTCGGAGCTAAGGGACTTAGGCTTAGGCTTAGGCTTAGGCTTAGGGCTTAGGACTTCATCAGTGCTCAAGAATGGCCCCCATATTCGCCAAACCTGAGCCCGTTAGACTATTCTGTTTGGGGAATTTTGGAAGCCAAAGCTTGTGCTAATTCTTATTCAAATCTCGAGTTGTGGAAGAAGGCTTTGGTCAAAGTTTGGGATGAAATCGAGATCGAGTACCTGCGACGAACTGTTGATGCGTTCCCCAAGTGTCTTCATCAGCGTATCCAAAAAAGGAAAGCAGATTGAAAGTTTTGATTGTTTGTTTTGATTGTTTGTTCTTTAATCTTATTCGTTGTCATTTTGAATAGGATATCATCGAAACTAGCCCAATTTGCTACTTTTATACGGGTTTCTATAATAGATGCGCCCATAATTGTTTGTCACTCTGTAGAATGAAAAAAGTCAACTATTGCCAAGGAAATATTTTGAGGTTTAGTTCGCTTATTTGTGGGCTATAGCCTTAAGATATTACATAAAGCACTATTGCTAGAGGTTTTTCAGTTGACTATGAACCTTGGAATTGCAAGCAGGCTAGAACAGGCCAGGCCAGAACAGACCAGACCAGAACAGGCCAGACCAGAGCAGACCAGAACAGACCAGTTCAGATCAGAACCCAGGTCAAAGCCAGATCCGTTCAGAACTGGGTTTTAGGAGTAGGCAGGCAGACCAGAAAAGATCAGAAGGCAGATCTGGCTTCATCTGGTCGCCGGAATTGTCAATTTTGGTCACAATTCTGGCCTCTGAAACCTCGATGTTCTTTAGTCAAGTTATAAGAAATGTAATAAACTGTAATGTATCAAGATTTTTAGGTAATTTTCTCATACGGCTACGGGTTCTTCATGTTTTGCACAAATCCTTTCGTTATGTATTCAAAATTTCTTTCAGGTAGCTTTCTTTTTGGGTATGATGATCAAATGAAAGTTGATGAGTTAAAAGATTTCTTATATAAAGTCCAAGAAATATTTTGAAGTGTAATTATTTGATAAAGAAAGTCAAAAGGTTTAACACACTTTATGTAATATAATAATATATTATTTCAGCTGCCGGTTTATTGATCTACGCCTCAGCGTACGCGCAATCATTAGCCCTTTTGTGCTTTCATTTTATCTATCGATATTCGCTCATTTGTCGGTGAGTGGCTAAAGCTTTCTTGAATATAAAAAATTTAGAATGGAAGTGCTTCGGAATATGGATAAAAAGAAGATAATTATGAGTATGGTCATTTTTTATGTTTTTATTGCTGGTGGTTATGGAGCAAATGCTTTCATTTTCCTTTATGATAGTCCGGTGGTTATTCATGATTTCACAGAACCATTGCTGGAGATTTTTGATGCAAATATTCAAGAGATCAGCTCACTGGGATGCATTTATTTTGTAAGTTTGTTATCTACTATATATAAAAGAGTACTGTCTGTCCGTCCAGACGTCCAAATGTACGGGCTTTTTTCTCAGATCCATTGTTTTGTAAAGTTGCTGGAATGAATTGACGCATTGTCCTGTTGAAATTGGCTGTTTGAGGGTTTTCTGCCATAAATGGAAGCAAACTTGTATCCAAAACATCAACATCTAAAATGTAGTCTTGGCTGTTCCTTCTCTTGGAGACAAAGCTCCAAAGACAAAGACAAAACAAAGACAATCGACCAGCCCATCGGTACAGAAAGCTGCCCAGCACATGACATCCCCTCCTCCGAAATTTCTTTTGCCATTAGAAAGATTGGATCTTTCCTTACATCTTACCAATAGTGAGTGTAACCGTCGGGTCCATCGAGATTCCATTTATTCTCGTTGCTGAAGATGACGTTGCGATTAGTGCCTGTGCAAATGCCAATCTAGCATGAGATGCTCCTGTTTTAATGCTGTTTCATCAACTTTTCCTGGGTGATTTGAGGCATTTTTTAAAGAGATCGCCAAATTGTCATTTTGGATACACCAAGATTGAGCTCTTTTTTGACTTGAGATAACGATTTTCCATGAATGCTGTTTGCAATGACATCTAGATCAGAAAGCTTCTTCTGATAGTTTTTTCGTTTCTTTTTCCATATTGAGCGGGTTTTCAAGGTATCTGGGAATCATTTGATGAGAAGTTTTCACTTTTGTAGCAAGTTTTCGATTGGAGACTCCTTAACTATGTAGAAGATCAATTTGGCCTTTTTGATAATCGGCTAGCGACCCACCAGGTGCTATTTACCTGAAAAAGTTAAATATTACAGTGGTAGAGAAGAAAACTAAGTAAAAGAAGGAACAAAGACGGAAAAATATAAATGAAAAATCTAGATCATGCTTTACGTTGCTTGACATCCAAAATCATAAAAAAGAACAAAAGTTTCCATCAAGATTAAAGGGGGTTAAGAAACTAGTTAGGGGATGGTCTAAACGATGTGATAAGGGCTGTATTTTAAGGCCAAATCCAAGTACGGGTTTATGTTCTTCCAGTCAAACACTAGTCAATCAAGTTTTTGCCTGCTTAGCCATTTAGCTTCAATAAGCAGATCAAAAGACCTCTTTTCTAGACGTACCTGGATGGCCAAAAGACACTAAATTTGAAGTCTTGGATTGGAATGGGCATTTGTATGACGGTAATCTCATCGGCTTTTGCAATTATTTTCTTTTGCGGCTCAAAAATCTTCGCCACTCTCAAAGGAGCCACGATGAGCAAGAGAACGAGAAAACTGCAAATGAGCCTGTTCAAGGCACTCGTCATACAGGTGAAGGCTCTTTTTTAGTGAATGGAAATCATTTTCAGACAGTCGTCCCTGTTATCTTCGAGTATGGCCCAGCGGGTGTCATCCTGCTTCTCCCAACCGTCAATATGGCGGTCGATACAACTTTTGCCACAGTCTCTTTTGGCGTTTATTCATTCGTCGAACCGGTATTTCAGTTTTATTGGACAAAAATAGGACTATTAGCCAGGGAAATCGTTGGAAAATCTACAATTGCTATCTCAAAGTCCGTAATTTGTACAAATTTGCAGTTAGCAATGATCTACTTTATCACGGATTACCGTAACGCCGTGCTTCGTCATTCTTGTCTCCCAGCGGGAATTACAACATCTTTGATGAGTGCTGATCTCAATGCAACTGAGACAGCCGCTGAATCAAAATCAAAAACTATCAAATGGCCATTGATCTTTCGCTCGTTGAGAGTTCGCCCGAAAATTGCGACTCATGTTTTGAAGGTTGTTGTGATAAGTTAGTTGGATTGTTTTTGGTTATTGAAATGAATATTTATTTGAAAGTTTCCACCAAGTTTTTCCATTAATCCTCAGATAAAATGGTTCAAAGTCTTCTTTGAAAACGAAATTGAATCATTAATCATCTTTCATCCCTTTATTTTACATTAAATTGTCAGAAAAAGTCAGAAGATCTAGGAACTAACAGATTAACGGAACAAAAAAAAATTAATGGAATCATTAACGAATTTTCGGGCGTTCCGCTGAATTGAATCAATGCTCAAGCCATAAAATTTTCAATTAAATATCGCCGAAGTTAATTAGAACTTTTGAGAACAAAGCTCATCATTTCTAAACCAAAATTCATGGCCAATAAAAGATCTAGTTCAGAAATATAATACAGACTTTTTGACAAACAAATCTCTGCTTTCTTGATCAAAAATTTGATCGATTTTACGAGCAATAGCAAAATAAATAAAGCAAAGCAATATAAATGTTGTTCGGTCGAAAAACGTGAAAATTAGGCTTCTCAAATATATATTTTTTGCATTTCTTTATATAATATATTTCTTGAATATCGAACGGGCTAGTTTCTTAATAAAAGATACATAAATTGAACATCAAACATCAAAGAAATCATGACCTACAAAAGATTCTTCTGCTTTTTATATTGCTGGCTTTGGAAAACCTTAATGCTTAGGCCAATTTAAGTAAAGAATCAAAAATGGAACTGGTTCAACAATTTTCCAATCTAAAACCTGATTTCTTTTTGATCGGACAACGAGCTTAAATAATGTCAAAAATGCTTAAATAATCCAAACCAATGCAATTCTAAATTTAACAAAGCTTTACCGATTTCATATAGCCAATTAGGGATCGGCAAAACAACAACAACAAGAACCACCAAGAAGCCAAAAACAAACACAACAACTAAAAAACCGACCACAAGAACTCCTTTATTCAACCACCAGATGATAGATCGACGATAAATAATGTATCATAGCAAGAGTGAGTTTCCCTAATAAGCCCCGACTTGGCGCTTCAGCCCCATTTTGAGATACTTTATGTTTAATATATCAAAAGAGCCCTAACTATCTTTGTATATTAAACAAAAATATCCCAAATGGGGACGAACAGGGGGTGTTTTTAGGGAAGTATCACATTTCGTGAGTTTAAACGCGTTATGGAAGCACAGAGTGTAAAGGTTTACCAAATTAAAGCAAAACAGATTTGACTCATTGTTAGAGTAGATCTGACTGAATCAAATGCTCATTTGTTAAAGCATTACCAACAATTATTTGACCACTGACTTCCGGTTTTAAGGGACTGGCGCGAAAACGGGACGGCGCGCTTTCTGAGGCGTGGATGCGCTACCGTACCCCGCACAAAATTCCCCTTTGCCATTCTTTTCATTTTCCTTCATTCCATGTTGAAGTCGGAAACTTTTTCCGGTTTTTAAACCGAGTCCCGCTAATTTTTCTTCCCCTCGTAAATCTATTCTTTTTTTAAAGTACTTTCTCCCCTCGTTCGTTCCCTTCTTTTTATATTGTTTGCCCATAATTTGTTGTTTAAAATTCTAATAGAGTCTTATTTCGTTTCTTTTTCTTTTCGGCTCCTTCCACTCCATTGTTTTGAATACGTTCACACATACCGTATAAACTCAACTTAACCAATTCCTTTTAACTAAAACGCAAATCGAAATAATCTGCCACGGCGCGAACTTCTTGTTACTTCATTTTCGTCAATTTTTTCCTTATCTTCATCGTCATTTTCGTCATTTTCGGTTTCGTGTCAAATAATTTTAGAAAAGGGTTGGTAAATCTGAAGGTGTTGGGTAAGGGAGTTAGTTACCAACTCTAAAAGTCTAGTGCGCAATACGGTGTATGCTTCTTCTTTGGAATTTTTTAGAAATTTTCTTTGCAAAAGGCTAACTCTTTTTATTTACAGGTAGCGAAATGGAGAAGCAAACGTCAAACAAGATGCCGTTCAAGATGAGAAAGATGGGGACATTTCCAATTGAGCGTTTGTGTTACGACCTGAAGTTGGAATCCCTGGAGCAAATGGACCCAAAAGATATCGTCGAAATGGCCAAGGCCAATCAAGGATTTCGAGAAATACTTGCCAGGGATCTTGTTTTTGGTCGTCATGCCCATTCGATTTGCATCAAATATCACAAAATTGGACTAAAGAAGTTCTCGGAATCAGCGTCAATCCGATGGGATGCCATTCACTTCCCTTTCATCGGAAAGATTCATTCTTGTGCCTTCGTAAGCGTTGCCTCACGCGACTTCTTTAATGATGTGATCGCTTTTCTCAAGCTGTGTCTCAAGCAATCGGGCATTTATTTTCAGATACGAGAATGCCTGTTGAAATTTCAATTGACATTCTATGACCACATTTATTTCAGGGATGGCGAGCAGAAGACAACGACTTTAATCAAACGGAAATCACGGAATTTACAACTACTTAAGCAACTCGGCCAGCTTAGTATTGCCAGAAGAATCAAACGAAAGTATAGGATAGCGCCAAAGAAAGTGATGGGCAAGAGAATTTTGGAAAGATTTCTATATCCAGTTCAAACGTTAAGCTTATTTTCCAAATCTAAAATCACACGAGATGCTCATCGAGTTTATTCAAGCCATTCACCAAATTTTGCTACTGAATACATGATGAGAAAGCTTTCGGATTCGATTACGAGCAAAGTGGAATACGTGATAAAGCAAAATGTTGTTATTTTAAAGAACATAACCAGTGCGGTGGAATACAGGCTCTAAAACATCCCATTGCAGGGAAAATGCGGCTTGTTTTCAGCGGAGATAAAGGCTTTGAAACAACTAAAATTGCATTGATGATTCCTGACCGATCGATCAAACCATAATCGCCCTATAATCACCTCATTATAGCCGTTTGGAAGGGCTACGATAACCACCAAAACTTGAAGCAGTTTCAACAAGTGTTTGAGGAACTGAAATGAATGAAGACCCAGTTATTTGTTACTGATGATCTAAGTTTTTTGGCGAGTTTGTATGGTCTTTCAAATGCACCAACTTTTCCATGCATTTGGTGTCACTTTAGGGTGAATAAAAAGAGGGGTGTAGCTGGGCTAATAGAAAGCTTTGACCGTAAAAACTATCAAGAACGAACGATTAAGGATTTTGATGCCCGTCTCAAGGTTGATCAAAAGTTTCCCGAACAAAGGATTGGCGTTTTTCGCAAGTATGTATGGCCGATAGTACCTACCCAATGCGTTCCTCCCTCTCATCATACAAAGCTTGGCATAGAAAACGCGATTTACAAAGAGATGGAAGCTGAGATACGAAGCCCAGGAACGGTATCTAAAATTGATGATTTTTAACGGCTAACAAAAAAGCTGGGATTTGTTAAATCTTACAAAGCGGACGATATAAACCGTCCAAAATTCAAGAAATTTTATCTATCCGCTATTGAGTTTAAAAGATTAATCAGTTCTCCGCGATACATTCTACTCTTAGATTGTCTAGATGCATTTGCAAAATTTCCTGAGCGGATCGGATCAACGAAAAAAAACATGGGTGACAATGAAATCGAAAGCATCATTGAGGCAACTAACGAGGTTTTAGAAAAGCTTAAAAAGGTAACTATCAGAGGAAAATCTGTCAAAGTTCACGTTGCGCTGAAGCACGTACCGCTCTTTTGAAGCGAAATAGATGCCTGGGCTCAATGTCTGAAGAAGGACTCGAAAGCTTACATTCAATGTATGAGCAGTTATGCCGAAGAATTAGAATTAGAAGAATTAAACGAAGTAATGAAAACGAAATTTTACTTTACGCTGCTCGAAAGTATGCTGTGAACGTTATTCTTTTTGATTCTGGTTACTTAAATGTTTAATTTTGCATTTGCTTATTTGAATGTTTCAATTTTGTATTTCTTGCTAAAGTCTATTTGTTTTTAGATCTAACTCAAAAGTGAAAGATCAACCCAAATCTGCTAGAGCTTCTTTTATTGGCTCGCTCCACGTCGCTTGCCCATCCGCCACAAAAAATTCTGCAAACAAAGCGATCTGTTCAGGTAATAGCTTAAAAAAACTTAACTTTTGTTCTTTGGATGAGAAAAGACGAAAATGCAGAGAAATAGCGTTAATGAAAAAAAGAAACAAAGTTCAAAAATTTAAACGTAAATTTTGAATTGATTGCATTTTAGAATTCGACGCTTAAGCTATTGTGCATGGGTTACGGTAAGTTACCCATTGCGATTTTAAAAACGATTTATCTGACCTCAAAATCAACGGATTTTGACGTTTTTGTTTTGGTTTTTGTTTTTTGGTCTTCAGCAAATGAGACTCAAGTCTTTTATTCTGATTTTTTTCTTAAGTCTTTTTCTTGTTTGAGTAAAATTGCCCAACTAAATTTAACAAAGAAATCCCAATTTTAATCTTTTCATTGAGTTTGTAAACTCTTTTTAACGTTTTTAATGAATATTAAAGTTTTGCGCACAGAGATTTCAGCGTGTTCAGAAGAAGAAAAAGTCTATCAGATTTATTTTTCATATCCAGCAACCATTCGCTGCCCCCGTTGCTGATTTTCTTGTTTTTGCAATTCGATTTTTTGATGGCTTCTTGCAGACAGCCCGAGGCCATGCGTTATAACCATAAGTTCTGATCCATACACGGGGTAAATTACATCGAGAATCGTTGGCTATCTGCAAGTTTAGTTAAGCAGAATAAGATGATATTTGCAATTCGTGTAACTAATAAAACCCCTACCACCCAGTTTAGAAAAACATCGAGATTAGGCCGATAATTGATATAATCGACAGGAGATCCATCAGTCCATGTTCCGGTTCCAATAGTCCCATTTCCATAATAGCCGATCCAGGCCCATTGAGAACCACAAGGATCATTGTCTGGAGCGACGTTCGCGAGTCCAGAGACATTTGAAGTGGCCAGTTCTGTAAAAACAGTAGATTGATATTAACGGGTCGGATTTTATCCGAAATTATATCTATATTATATCTATATTATATCGAAATTTTATCCGAAATACCCAAGACCAATGCACAGCAAATTGAGGGCATCAAGCACTCAATTTGCTTACGTATTGATAGAAGTCTATAGTTAAGTCCTAGGGTTACTTTGAAAACGGATTTCTAAAACCCTGGCACTAACCCATAACAAAATCGTTCTCGACATCTGAATGAATCGAGACCAAATGGGAGTCCATTCGTCGACAAAGCGTTTCCGCTGTTGTTTGATTGTATAATTGCCAGTGTACACCGTCTGTATAAGTAAAATTCTGAACAGAAATCTTTGGTATAACCATAATTTTTTCAGAAACCTGTAAGTAATAGCAATAGTCGGTCTGATTGCTGTACACCCATCCATCAGGACATTGAAAATCTAAACAAAAGAGCTGTAGGTTCCACTTTTTTTCGCAAAGTAACTGTCTCCATCGATCGAGCAAATGTACGGCCTAGCAATGCTGCATTCGACTGAATACCATTGTGCTGTTTGTGAGGACATGACTGCACAAATGCTTGTGCTACTTGAGTTGTTTGGTTCATCTAAAAAATTGCATTGAACGGCGTCAAGTTGTCCTGGCTTCTGGTGATAGCCATGCATGCTTTTTGTCTATGCCAGGAAGGATCAGGCCAGGATAGGATCAACGGAAGCCAAATCTGTAGGTAACCAGGTACATAGTACTTCTTTAGGACCCATGTATCCAGTTACTTTTGACCAAGCACCTATTGTAACCAAAAATTTTATTTTACGTGTTTTTTTGAAAGATTTCATGCTCATGACGCCAAGTTCAAATATTTTTGAATCTGTTATTGCGTATGGGATTTAATTGACGCTTTTCAAAGTGTGTATTAATAAATTGTTCATAAAGAACCTTCAGATTACCAAAAGAAAAACATTCTAATCTTGTTTGCAGAAAAACGCGAGGATTTTCTTCGCGAGAGGATCCGAACCCGCAAGGAAGAGTTCCGAAGGCGAGGACACTACTAGGCCACCCGTCCTTCCTGGTTTCGACGAAGGATAGCTTATACCACCAGCTTGCAAAATAAAAAATAAATACACCATCGAAAATTCTGCATCCGATGGTCTAGGTCTCATTTTCCATCTCCCCATCACCCTCGTCACCTTCCCTTGTAAGTTGAAACAGTTCCCTAGTTAGTTAGAACAGTGTCTGAATCGGAAGAATTAGCTTTAAAACCAACTGGGCCCCCAATTCTGATAGGTTAACGGTGTTCCATCAGCGTACGTCCAAACGTTTGTTTCTTTTCTCTCAACTCCAATAAAAGGAGTCGCTCCTTTCAGCTCTAGAATATTGGATTGGACCTTCGTTTTTCAGCGATAGTGCTGACAAACCTCCTTGTAACATGTATGAGTAGATAAAAGAGTTCTCATAGAGGTTTTGGATTTTCACCGGAATTCCATCAAGTGAAGCGCAGCCTCGGATGGCGTCAAAGTAGAATTTAGCTGAATTTAAATGTCATTTTGAAGTCTAAAGCTGAAAAATGGCTATCAACCGATTCCGATTCACTCAATTCATTAAACGGTAAGATAGCTTTCAAATTTAATTACTTTCATTGATCGCAAACATGCAAACATCCTCACTCGGCACCTGATCGCTTCGATTCGGGCATTTAAACGAATTCACACCAAGAGTCAATAAAGAAAATGTAAACAATAGAAAAAGTCTCATTTTCAATAATGCCTTTCTTATCACAAATGAGCGAAATGCCTCCAATCGGCTTATTGAGTCTGAATTTTTTGAAAATTTTGAGCAAACATCTATTTGATTTTAAATTGTAGTTGTAATATCTTTGAAGTTTCAATGGTTTAGCAAAATTTCGAAAGTTTCTTTTTAGCTAAAAAGACATTTCACGCCGTTATTCCGAGTCTTTTAGCCGGCATTTCACACATTAGGTATCAAATTAAAGTAGAAAGATAGGGGAATTTTTTGAGCTATTACATGTATTTTTAGCTTTAACCGAAATTGGATGATATTCGTTTTCTTGCTTTAATCTATCCAAGATAAATTCGAATATAATATCTGACTATGAGAAAAACAAGTTTGTCATAATGTTAGCAAAACAATTAAGAGTTGTTTCAAATTTTAAACAATTCAAAATCCAATGATCCTGGGGTTGATTGGTGTTAATTTAGTGATTTCTCATCAAAATCAAATTGAAAGAGAGAAGTAAGCTTCATTCAGCTAAAAAAGGTTCTTGTGTTTGCTTAAAATCATTTGTTAATGCTTTAAATATAGATATAAATTAATTTTCTTTTCATTTTCCTAATTGAACGCAAGGTTTTAAGATCATTTTCCTGAGAAAAATAGTTTCCCCTTCAAAAGATTGTGTCATTTTTCACAAAAGCCTCTTATCTTCTAATATGATGGGTCAAGGGGTAGAAAAACATTTCAAATGACTCATGAATCGTAACGAATTCATTCACAAAAATGAATGCTTTAACACTTTTCACAGTCTTTTTTCTTTATTTCATCAAAATCAATGCCATTTTCTACTGTCCACCTGAATCGTTTCAAATGCCGAATGAGAATGTTTGCGGGTTTGCTGTTGCACAAGGTGAATTCATTTCAAAATGTGAAAAATAAAGTTAAGATTTTGGGAAAGATTCGTTTTATGTAGAATCTTAAAAGTCACTAAGCTTTTAACTGTAAAAATGTAAGTTAAAAGTGACATTGTTACTCTTAAGAGTACTAAGAAGCCGTTTGCAAGACAAAGCTGGAACTCGTGAACTTGTAAAGCATCCAATTATGGCATAAGTTATTCTTGCAAGCTTTACATCAAGTAAACATCTCAACAATTGCTATTCTAGCCAATTATTACCATGATGTGGTGAGAGAGTGCTCAAAACGAGGCGGAATTGTGGCGAAAATTCAGAATGCCTTCGAGAATGCAGTTTTCTACGCTTTGATTAGTGATGGTCGGTTAAATATATCGTTTAGCAATGGTTAGCTTTAAGAATCTCGTAATGATAAGATTGATCCTCGTAACGCTTAATTCAAGAACACAAGTTTTCGAGGTTATAACTAATGCAATTGTGAAGTATTTGTGTATTTAGACTTTGACAATCAGCCTCCATATATTGGAGTTGAGAAGAAACCGAATGGAAACTGGACGTACACTGATGGAACACCTTTAACTTATCAACATTGGGCATCGGGTAAATCAAATCAAGTCTTTAAGACCTGAATGATTAGGAGAACCAAAATCGGCGTCCAATTCGGTTTGTGCAATAATGGACCCATCGAACGGTCAATGGCTTTCAACAGATTGTGCTGTGCCAAGGCCATCCTTTTGTACAGCGATTGGAAACGGTAAATGAATCGGTTTAACAGATTCACACGAATTTAGAGGGTCCTTGTCCATCCAATTGGGTTTACTTCGATCAGACAAAATCGTGCTACTATCTACAGGTTCCTTTTGAGCTTAAAACCAATTTCAAACCTTGTTTTTGGTAAATCTTAACATCTTAACAAAGAGATTTTGTTTGGAATCCTTTCTAATTTCAGAGTTTCATCTACCCGGATAGTCAGCACTGGAAATACTGGAGTTTCACCGAAGCAGAAGCACTTTGTCAAGGAATGCATGGCCATTTGGTGTCGATTCATTCAAAAACCGAGCACGATTTTGTGATGGGTGAGTCTAGTCTGTCAGTTATGAGTAATCATCATGTAATCATCATCAAGGGTTGCTTGGCAAGTAAACTCAATAGTTGATCTCAATAGATCTCAGTTGATCACCTCAATTTCAGATCTCATTGGCACGAACCTGAATACAACCAATCATTTGGGCTTTTTAAGTCTAGACGGACAACACGTGTGCTGGTGGGACTGGATGTGGACTGGCTTAGTTGGAACGGGTGCCATAAACAATGGATATTGGACTGATGGGACACCCGTCGACTATTCACCACCAAACATCTACAATCCGCAGGAAAGGAATCAAACTAACAATTGGGTTGTGAGTGTCTGAAAATGTTAACTAATCTTTAAAATTAGAATTTTCAACAAGTGAAAGTTTTCAGATGAGTAACGATCCGACATGTCAGCCATGGACATGGTACACAGTAACGACTGTGCAGATACATCCCCGTCTCATGTGCAAAATGCCGGGCAAGAGTCTCATTGTGTAATTAACCAGAGGGAAAAATGCCTTCATTCATTAACCTTATAAATATTGTTATTAAACCTTAATCAAGTCTTTTCCCGTTGCTCTACAATCTTTACACGCAATGCAAAATTCAACGACGCAGAAGCACTTTATCCATGGGCATTTAGTGCATGGGCTCCATGCATGGGCATTTAGTGTTGATCCACTCAAAAGTTTAGAAAGATTTTGTGATGGGTGGATCTACGACCTATTAGGTTGGCAACTTAATAATGACGCGTTTATGTAACAAATCATTTATTTCAAAAAAAACACAAAAGAAGAGCTTTCAATTCGAAAGGTATTCTCTATTAGTATCTCTGACTTCTTCCCATCTTCTGCGCAAATCCCGGATCCCATCCTCGAAGAACTTGGGAGTTTTTGAGGCGAAGTAGTCATTCACTGCTTTTATGACCTGAGCATGATCATCGAACTTTTCTCCCTCCAAAAAGTGCTTCAGCGACCGAAACAAAAAGTAATCTGAAGGAGCCAGATCAGGTGAATAAGGCGCGTGGGGCGAAACTTTCCAGCCAAGTTCCTCGATTTTCTTATAAGTGATCTTTGCAGTGTGAGGTTTTGCGTTGTCTTGTAAAAATCTGACTCTCTCCGGTTTGAGCCCCAATTTCTTCAAAGACTCGTTAACTCTCATTAATTGCTTCGAACAAAGATCGACGGTTTGGCGAGGTTTCAGCACTTCATAATGCACCAATCCTTAAGTTCCACCAGTAACAGAGCATTATCTCCTTCCTAGGATATCAGGTTTGGGAGTGGTTTGAGGGGTCTGATAGCCATTGATTTTTGCGTTTAACTTTCTCGTAGTTGATCCACGTTTCGTCAGAAGTCAAAGCCCTGTGAAAAAGTCGTTTGATTTACATTTTTGTAGCAAAATTGAGGCGACATTGACACGGGCCATTTTGTTGATTTGGATCAATTCGTGAGGAACTCATTTCCCAACACGATTCTTTTTCCCAAGTTTGTGTAAATAGTTTTCGATTGTCGTATGGGATACTTCAAATATTTTTGCCAACTCACGAACGGTGAGTATTGGGCAATCTTCGATTAAGGCGAGCAAGTCATCGTTGACCACTTCTGGAGGATGTCCTTGGTGTGACTCGTCTACGAGGCTTTCATCACCGCCTTGGAATCTTTGAAACCATCGTTGACATTGCCGAATGTGTATACTTTGCTCTCCAAAAACAGTGATGATCGTGCGATGAGATTCAGCTGGTGATTTTCCTTGTTTAAGATCGTAGAACAATGCAGCTCGAATACGGAATTTTTTGTTCTCCATTTCCTTGCCAAAAAGCGCAGGATGAAATTCGCAGCACTAAAAGTTATTTATGCAGATATCTTTTACTTTGTATATATGCAAAAAAGAGGGAAGAAACGGCGCTTGAAATTACAAAAAACATGTTAAGTAGTGACGCGTCATTATTAAGTTGCCAACCTAATATTAAACCAATCAATCTTTTGATTTCAAAATCTCATCGGCACAAACGTGAATGCGAATAACAACAATCATCTTTTCTCTTTTCCGGCTGTCAATGGAGTTCACATTTGCTGGGCGAAATGGGTGTGGATTGGATTGCATTGGAACGGGAGTTGCTCAAAATGGATATTGGACGGATGGGACACACGTTGCTTGGACGCCAAACGTTGGAGCTTAAATGCCGTCGGGGAACGTAGTTCGAGCGGGTGGGGCAGTATTCTTTCCCATTCATTCGGGCAACGGAGTTAGGTATGTTTTTTCTCTCATGAGCGGACTCAAGATCAAATCTGGCTTGTGAGTTTCGAAAGTTTACATTTCTCGGGATTTCTTTGGTCAAATTCTAGTTTTCAGATGAGTAACGATGGATCTTGTAATGAAAGTGGCTGGGATATGAAACTGGACTCACATGTCTACACCCGTTTTGTGTGCAAAATGCAGCTAAAAGTATTGCGACGATAGAGTAAAGAATTCTTTCTGTCCTGGATCAAAATTTAAATTTAACATTTCTTTTGTTTCTTTCAAGTAAAAGTTTTCATTTCCGTTCATTTAATTTCATTACAGTTTTACTTCAAGAACTATTATCAAGTTTTATTATTTGGGAATAGCCTCAATCAAGAACTGATACCCAAAAGACAATCTTGTTCAAGTATTAGTGCGAGATGTCTGCAAGCAATCTTTAATCAACAAAAAAATGAAAATTTGCGCTTTTTTACAGAAAGAATCAATGCTTACTCAAAGAACAATCACCTACCAATTCTGAGTAAATTTTCTAACAAAAAATTTTAAACGAAACGAATTCACGGATTCACAACTCTTAAAGCACTCAAAAAATTCAGGCGAAGTTCTGTGGAAAGTGTTGGCCAACCGTCGAAGAAAGCTCGTTTACCAAAACGGCTAATGAACAACTTTATGGGATTAAGTGGAATCGATGCGGAAATTTTTGGGAAAATCCTTGAAAATCTCTCCGTTTACACTTAAAACGTCGACTATTTCACGTTGCAAATCACTTTGAGAAAAATTTTCTGGATTGTTTGGTGGACAATAAATTCTCTATCTTGAGCCTAATTTCCCAAGCTGAATTGGAAAAGGAGGAGTTCATATCCAAGAAGCGGCAAAATTCGCGAAAGAGATCGATTTAGCTAGGAATTTTTTGTATTTTTCCAAATATCTGAACATGAGTTAAAAATTTTATAGACCCTATGTTGTAAAATGAGTTTTTTCGTGTTTTCTTGACAAAAAATAGCATTTGCAAAGCGATAAATAACTTGTACTTGTTTTGTTGCCAAGAAACGTAATGTTTCGACCTCGCTGAGAAACTTTGGCAAATTTCCCACTTTTGGCCTACCACCAAATCTTTATCGATAAGAATCAACAACTCGGTTTGAAAGATCATTCGTTTAGTGCTAGGCTTCCTAAAGACAAATGTCAAGAAATGTTATCCATTTTACTGTACTCTGGAAATTTTTAATAAACTCTTTCTTATTTGAAAGTGTTATTATACGGATAAACTCAACAATAACTTTTATTGAGTCAACAGTAACGATCATGCAGAATTAGTTTCACTAGTTGAGGCTACTTAGGGTGGCAAAGGTATAGTAAAAGCGAACATTGCATGCCCATATTCACCACTTTTCGGTTTGAAGCGACGGTACTTGATTGTCTCATCTATGTTTTTCTTCATAATGTAATCGATTGATGTGTTCTAAATAATTAATCTTTTTGTTCTTACATCAAATTTTAATATTGTACAATATGTGTAAATTTATGTATCTGTTTTAGGTTTTAATATTAGTGATTGGCAACAAGTAATTATTCGTCTCCACTAGTTATTTCATCATCTACGTTTAACTATCAGACTAGCTTGTTTTTCAAATGTCACTATTTTAACTATAGGTAATTTCGGGTTATGTAATCAGGTTGAACCATTTTTAAGAAGCCAACCTTTTTGGTCCTCGTTTCGGTGTTCGTTTTGGTGTTCGTTTTGGTCCAACTGTAGTTGGTCTTCAAACGCGGATCAAGTACATCAGTGCAGCCCGTCCCTTCCTCCAGATCCTTTCGGTGTTTACATTTTAGAAGATTCAAATCGCCGACGGAAATCGTTCGCTTTGTGTCTGTAATTTGGATGAACTTACATGGTTGTCTTTACACATACCAGATTTGAGGTAATTGATTAGGTTGTTTTTCGTGGCGTCCGACACAGGAGGAACCAGATACACACATCTCAACACGTGCTCGACGTTTCCAAATTTAAATGTTCCAGAGATCGCTTCCATGCGATCTAAAGCTTGATTCAAGATTTATATAATGTTTTTAATACTATTGCTTCTAGGCCTATCGCTGTTGATCACAAATTCGAATTTTCCATTAGCTTCTTTTCGAAAGAGAATAGCCGAGCCACGCTTTGATCGGCCTTGGTCCCCAATCGAGGGTGTATAGCTTAGAATAAAATTTGTTTTAACAACTTTTTGGAAACATACATGCATGCATAGCCAAGCATATCGGCCAATTTCTTAATTACTGTGTCGCCGTCAACTTCTATCTACAATAAATTTTGTTTACACATTTAGAAAAAAAACAAACATCTTTACATTTAATTTCGCTCAAGAAGATCAGGTCTGGGCACTTTGAGATAACAAGTTCGCGGAAAATTGTAGGCTAAAATTTCAATTGACAGGTTTTATTTGAACTCAAAACAAACGCTCTCCAGTTTCGAGAGTAAGCCTCCACAATTCCAGAAAATGCATCGAAGCTATAAATATTTCATTTCTCTGTCTAGAAGTTTTGTTGTATTACTTTCTCATCATCCGATTCCTTATCCTCCAATTCCTCACCATCCGCTTCCACACCATCTGGTTCCTCATCCTCCAATTCCTCATCATCTGGTTGATCATCATCCGATTCCTCCTCATCCGATTCCCCATCATCTGGTTGATCATCATTCAATTCCTCATTCTCTGGTTCTTTTAACGAAGTGATAGTTTTTCTAAATACTGTTAAAGATCAGGGATATTGCCTTTCTACCCGTTATGTATAGTTGTTGCAAAATTACCACTCTAGCCAAACGTGCCCGAAGATTTGCGTAAGTATTAGATTTTGCAGCTCCATCTTTATATCCCCCAACTAGAATGGGTTTATAATTTTCCTTCAAATGCCAGCAAACCACAAAGACCGAGATCACCATTACTCTCGACAATGCTCTTGGCTTCATCAAGCCAAGTGGACATCTGAAACATCTGACACAGCCGATTTTTATCAGAACGATGATTCACGTTCAGGATCAATCAATTCAAGTAAAAGAACTGTCTTTGGGATAAGAATTGTCAGTTTGAATTCTGGTTAGCTAACAATGAACTCACTATTTTGAAAAGAGAAAATGAGTTTAAAAGTTGTAAGCATGAGAATGAGTTGTAAAAAAGGTGGCAGGGAAAATGAGAGCCGCACATCCGCGCGAAACAAGGCAAAAAATTGTTTTCTATTGGATTTTCGCGTTTGAATCTTTTATTCAGCGCAGAAAAATGTGCTGAAAATGAATCTGAAAGAATTTTTTAAATCCGTCTTGCAGCTTTTTTGAAAATCGACTTTTTGTGTTTTCCAAGTACAAAAAAATTAACTCTTTTTGTCTTTATCGATTCATAATCCACCTATATCAAAAAATAATAACAAAAAGAGTGATAACTATTAAACTAGGATATTTTTCAAGCATTTCGATACCAAGAACGTGCAGATCGGCTGGACACGCAAAAAGTTGGAGCACTTCGAAGATCGCAGGTACCGTTTTTGCGAGTAGGCACGCTATAGCATGGCAAAACTACCGTAGTCAGAGTACTAGTATATAGCCAAATTGAAACGAATAATGCTTATCACTTTTATCTATTACAATTTTTCGCATTTCTTTTCGCTTCAGCATGAATTTCACACTTCAGTTTTTATTTAGATTCTTGCCACCTGCGAACGATACCGGCGCAAAAGAGGCCACTGTGTCAGTCTAATTTTTATGTAATAACTTTGTCAAGTAACTCAGTGTTTTTATGTCTGATTAATTTTTTTAAAAATTTTAGCAAAAGATTAAAACTAGCAATATACAGGTTGAAAAACAATTAAAGCATATCCTTTAAATCAAAAAGAATAACATTTATAGCATGTTTTTTAGCTGCAGATAAAAGTGATAAGCATTATTCGTTTCAATTTGGCTATATACTAGTACTCTGACTACGGTAGTTTTGCCATGCTATAGTGTGCCTATTCGAGAAAACAATACCTGCGATCTTCGAAGTGCTCCAACTTTTTGCGTGTCCAGCCGATCTGCACGTTCTTGGTATCGAAATGCTTGAAAAATATCCTAGTTTAATAGTTATCACTCTTTTTGTTATTATTTTTTGATATAGGTGGATTATGAATCGATAAAGACAAAAAACAGTTCATTTTTTATACTTGGAAAACACAAAAAGTCGATTTTCAAAAAAGCTGCAAGACGGATTTAAAAAATTCTTTCCGATTCATTTTCAGCACATTTTTCTGCGTTGAATGACTTTCAAACGGAGAAATCCTATAAAAAACGCACTAAGACTCACAACTTTATGCTTATGAGTTAAATATCATATGCGAGGTGACTATGCGAGGTGACAAGCAATCTAAAGTAAAGAAATTAGAAAGTGATTGTAACCAATTTTGTGTTAAAAAGAACTTGGGTTAGCTAAAGGTGATAAACTATTTGCAAGAGTGCATTTAAAAGAAAGCTGGGAGACGATTCTAGACTCTTTTCGAAAGCGTTATCACTTCTGCAGCGCCAGCACGCAAAAAAGGAGGCATGAGTTTTTCCCTGTTTCCCCACACATTTTTTATTTGTGATTGCAATTTGTAATTTATTGAAGCCAATAAATTACATTGTGGCTCCAATTTCAAAAAGACTTTTGAAAGGAATTACAATAATGTCTCTCCTCGTTCTTCCCTGTCTAGGGATCGATCGTTCTTTAAGCATTTTTTTTGCACTAAACCGCAGTTTGGATTTGGTCTAACTACAAAGAATTTAGTATACTATAAGTAATTTAGTATATTTTTAGTATACTAAAGGTTACTAACTTTCTTCTCCAACATTCTCAGCTTCTCCTCGTTGCACCCTGTGCGACTCAGCCGCTCATTCAATCTTTCCGACAAGGCGACGTTCACGCGCACCGGTGTGAGCATCAATTCCTGTGTAAAACTGTGTAAAAACTGAACTTTTTGAAAATGTAACAAAACGCTTCAAGTTTCTACATCATATATCCCCAATTACCGTAATCCTTCTTCATGTACCGGCTATCTTTTGTACCGGCATGTACCAGTTTTTGTACTTTTCAATATACTTGCTGAATCCTTAACAGAATCGGATCGATAAATAGCTAGATTGGATAAAGCTAAAATTTGGATTACAGTAGTTTATCAAAAGCTGGCGCGTTAGAATCTTATTACTTGAGAAAAGCTGATTAATAAAGAAGTGAAAGAATTGGCAAGAAAAAGTAGATTGAACCCTCGATCTTTTGCTTTCCGGGTAATCGCTCTACCACTAAGCTATCCGGTACCTTAACTTACCAAGAGAAAGAAGCCAAATCGGGCTAAATTTATCAGCCGCAACATTCAATGCAACGAGGCCCACGGAAAGATGAGAGTCTTCATTTTGTTGATTTTGTGTTGGTTTACAATCTCCTTTCCCTAATATAGCCGATTTTGCACAAAAAAAAATTCTTATGCAAAAGAGCAGGGTTATTTTTGAAAAAAAAACTGTCGAAATGGCTAATGATTTGTGAGGAATATTCAGGTGTTGACGAAGAAAATTCAATTGAAAAATTAGCTCTCGATTTGGAATAAACAGAAATTGTAAAAAGAATAGACGTTAGCTCCAAATTGAGCTAAAGAAAAAGCCCTAAAAGTCTCCTGAAAGTCTCTATTTCAATCAATGACTCTGAAATGCTTTTATTACGGCTCAGTTTTAACTTTAATCCCTCAATTCGATCTTCCATACTGTTTCCGAACAGAATACAATCCGTAATTGTCTTGATTGAGTGGTGGGATGCGTCGAAAATAAATTAATTTTCTTTTCATTTTCCATTTTCCTACTAGGCCACCCGTCCTTCCTGGTTTCGACGAAGGATGGCTTATACCACCAGCTTGCAAAATGCACCAGCTTGATCGCTTCATTCGGGCATTTAAACGAATTCACACCAAGAGTCAATAAAGAAAATTTAAACAATAGAAAAAGTCTCATTTTCCATAACGCCTTTCTTATCACAAATGAGCGAAATGCCTTCAAGCGGCTTATCGAGTCTGAAGTTTTTGATTTTTTTAGAGCATTTTAAAAGCATTTAAAATGACTCGTGAATGGTAACGAATTCCTTCACAAAAATGAATGCTTCAGCACTTTTCACAGTCTTTTTTCTTTATTTCATCAAAATCAATGCCATTTTCTACTGTCCACCTGAATCGTTTCAAATGCCGAATGAGAATGTTTGCGGGTTTGCTGTTGAACAAGGTGAATTCATTTCAAAACGTGAAAAATCAAGTGAAGATTTTGGGCAAGATTCGTTTCATGTAGAATCTTAAAATTCACTATGCTTTTAACTGCAAAATGTCAGTTAAAAGTGACATTATTACTCTTAAGAGCACTAAGAAGCAGTTTGCAAGACAAAGCTGGAACTCGTGAGCTTGTAAAGCACCCAATTATGGTATAAGTTATTCTTGTAAGCTTTACATGAAGTAAACATCTCAACAATTGCTATTCTAGCCAATTATTACCATGGTGTGGTGAGAGAGTGCTCAAAACGAGGCGGAATTGTGGCGAAAATTCAGAACGCCTTCGAGAATGCATTTTTCTACGCGTTGATTAGTGATGGTTGGTTAAATATATCGTTTAGCAGGTTAAATATAGCATTTAATTCAAGAACTCAAGTTTTCGAGGTTATAGCTAATGCAATTGTGAAGTATTTGCGTATTTAGACTTTGACAATCAACCTCCATTTATTGGAGTTGAGAAGTAACCGAATGGAAACTGGACGTACGCTGATGGAACACCTTTAACTTATCTACATTGGGCATCGGGTAAATCAAATAAAGTCTTTAAGAGCTGAATAATTAGGAGAACCAAAATTGGCGTCAAATTCTGTTTGTGCAATAATGAATCCATCGAACGGTCAATGGCTATCAACAGATTGTTTCGATCCAAGGCCATCCTTTTGTACAGCGATTGGAAACGGTAAATGAATGAGTTTTAACAGATTCACACGAATTTAGAGGGTCCTTGTCCATCCAATTGGGTTTACTTCGATCAGACAAAATCGTGCTACTATCTACAGGTTCCTTTTGAGCTTAAAACCAATTTCAAACCTTGTTTTTGGTAAATCTTAACATCTTAACAAAGAGATTTTGTTGGGAATCCTTTCTAATTTCAGAATTTCATCTACCCGGATAGTCAGCACTGGAAATACTGGAATTTCACCGAAGCGGAAGCACTTTGTCAAGGAATGCATGGTCATTTGGTGTCGATTCATTCAAAAACCGAGAACGATTTTGTGATGGGTGAGTCTAGTCTGTTAGTTATGAGTAATCATCATGCAATCATCATCAAGGGTTGCTTGGCAAGTAAACTCAATAGTTGATCTCAATAGATCTCAGTTGATCACCTCAACTTCAGATCTCATTGGCACCAACGTGAATACAGCCGATCTTTTGGGCTTTCTAAGTCTAGACGGACAACACGCGTGCTATTGGGATTGGGTGTGGACTGGCTTAGTTGGAACGGGTACCATAAACAATGGATATTGGACTGATGGGACACCCGTTGATTATTCGCCACCATATATCCACAATCCGCAGGAGAGGAACCCAACTAACAACTGGATAGTGAGTCTCTGAAAATGATAGCTAATCTTTAGAATTAACGAATTTTTATATTAAAGATTTTCAGATGATTAACGATCCTACATGTTACACATCACCCGGTTGGTACACACTATCGGCACAAACTTGGTGGAAATATTCCCGTTTCATGTGCAAAATGCCAGGCAAGAGTCTCATCGTGTAATTAGCCAGAGAGAAAAATGCCTTCATGCATCAACCTTATAAATATTGTTAATAAACCTTAACCAAGTCTTTTCCAGTTACTTTGCAATCTTTACACGCAATGAAAAATTCCAAAATTCTTGCAAAATTCAACGAAGCAGAAGCACTGTGTCCAAGAATGCATGGGCATTTAGTGTTGATCCACTTACAAGTCTAGAACAGTTTTGTGATGGGTGGGTTTACGACCTATTAAACAAATCAATCGTTTGATTTCAAATCTCATCGGCATAAACGTGAATGCTAATAACAATAATCATCTTTTCTCTTTTCTGGATTTCAATGGAGTTCACATTTGCTGGGCGAAATGGGTGTGGATTGGATTGCATTGGAACGGGAGTTGCTCAAAATGAATATTGGACGGATGGGACACCCGTTGGTTGGACGCCAAACGTTGGAGCTTAAATGCCGCGTGAGCGAAGCGAGCACGGCCGCAATCGGGGAACGTAGTTCGGGCCTCTGGGGCAGTATTCTTTCCCATACTCCACATTGAAATCAAAACGCCATTCGGAAAGTGTTTTATTTGCAAATCGCTTTCTTCGATCAGAGCATGGAAAGATTTTGATTGAGTTTTAGCTATTTGTGATACAAAAGAGTCGGGTTATTTTGGAAAAGAAAGAAACTATTAGCGCTGAAATGGCGAATGATCTGTGTGGAAGTTTTTGGGTGTTGATGTAGAGAATTTCATTCAAAAATTAGCTCTCGATTTGGAATAGATTAAAATTGTGAAGGGCTACTTTATCAAAAACATTTTTTAAAATGTTTTTCTAGAAATGAGTTCTGCCCAAGAGTCCCAAAAATAGCTCCATGTTGAGTTAAAGAAAAAAACCCTAAAAATCTCCTAAAAGTCTGCATTTTCAATCAATGATTCTGAAATGCTTTATTATTGCTCAATTTTTACTTAAATCCCTTAATTCGATCTTCCATACTGTTTTTGAACCGAATACAATCCGTAATTGTCTTGATTGAGCGGTGGGATGCGTCGAAAAGGGCCACAGGGGATTTGAGTAGCGTTTTGATCTGAAATTTCGAGAGAAAGCTCAGTTTATGCCAGTAATCTGGGATTGCCTTGGCCTAGATTGGCTTACAATTCGCTTTGACTCTGTCTTGGCTTTGGGACACCTTTTTTGGCTTAGGTTTTCGGGTTCAGCCATGACTTTTTACTCATACCTTTCATGAACATTGTCACTTTCGGTTCCCAATCACCTTCCTCATTGCGAACTCCCACAAAGATTGGAATATCCCAGCGATCGGTGGGATTTCTGGCAAAATTCAGGATTAGAGCGAAACTCTGACAGTTCAGAAAGTGGGAAACCCAAATTTGCAGCCGATTTTGGACATTTGATACAAACCTCACCCCTTCTGCCATTGGCAATCTAACTTTGAGCTCAAATTACTTGGTGTTAGGCTGTTCATTTTAAATAGTTTTTGTACCAATCGACAGAGAAAGACTTGGCGCATCGAATGCTACCAAGAATATTAAAATTGGATAGCCCAACACCAAGATATTTGAGCTCAAAGTTAGGCTGCCAATGGGGAAGGGAGGAGCGTATAAAAGGTCCCACAATAGCCCCGCCTCCTTTGCCATTAGCAAGAAATCCCTTACTTTCCACACGATTTTTGCACCAGCGTCACATATTCTCCGTCGTCGTAGGCGTAAACCCTGGGAAAGCCTGACTAACCATTTCGATTTGGATATATTTTCCATGAACTTTCAAACCTGGGTTGTCCATTGTTTGCAAAAGGATTTGAAATCGAAATCCTTCAATTCTCCAGTCAAATCCTTGGCCACCGACTGCAAAGCTTCTCCGAAGTCCTCTGTGGACATTTTGGCATTGGGGGATTCGAGGAATTTCTGGAATCGACTAGATATAAAACAACAGTCCGTCCATCTGTTTGTACGCCTGTCTGTACGCTAGTTCTCGGCTTTCCATTAGCCGATTTACATGTTTTTTTAGTTTGTTAGACTTAGAATTCTATGCAGTTGTGCATCTCATATTTCATTTTTCAGAAAGCAAAAATCACGACGCAGCCGGGAGTCGAACCAGGGCCGTCTGGGCCGTAGATAAGCGGGTTGACAGTAGATGACACTAGCGGAAGGCGGAAGGCAACCAGCGGAGGGATTATTATGATTATTATATTATAATCTTATTATAAATATGATATAAAAAACCCAGCTTGAAAAAGGCGAAAAATCCGCTATTAGGCTTTTAGCCACGAACAGACAGACGGACGGACAGGCAGACAGACGGACGGACAGACGGTTTTTGGCTGACTTGGCGGCTGGTTTTGGCCATAATTGCAGAATTGCAGAATTTCTCCAAATTCTGTAATTACCTTAACATTTAACTTCTAAGATGTTAACACTCACCTCGATCGCTTTTTTCATTTTCTCTTTCCCAATCATTCCCTCAATCATCCGCAAGAAAATTGGGCCCTAATTTCGTAGTTTTTTGTCAAAAAATTCGTGCATTCACCTTCAAATCTGTGGCCAAACTTCTCGGAGAAGTCTTGGGGTTTCTCTGTGACAAAATTTTTTGATAAATTGATTTCAACTTTTTCAAATTTACCGGCACAATCTTACAAGAGCTTGATTTGTAATCATTGGCCATCACTTGACGCATGTCTCGATCAAACTAGAAAATTTCAACTTTTCAACCTTTACTAGGCTTTAGTTTTTTTTTAAAAAAGCTTCACAAACAGTGCAATAATGCGGGCTAAAATTGGGTAATTGAACCGGCAAAGTTGGCCTTGAATTTTCACCGATTCAACAACAAGTTTAGCCAATTTTATTGCTGATTTTCAAATTTCCATTCAACTCACCGCTAACTTAGCCGATTTTTCCCCAAAAGCACAATTCTTCACGTACTTCGGAAAGCTTTCTTTGAGCCAGTTCTCGTTTTTGTCTTTCGGTTCTTTTTGATTAAACCACTGAAAAACCGTATTACTTCACAAAATATTCTAAAAACCTGTTTAGCAATTTGTTCAACCAAATTCGCATTGTCGATCTAAACGCTCTAAAAACCGAAAACTTTTCTTTACTCACATTGCTCGTCGAATAAATGCATCCCTTCGTCGAATTTGCGTCAATTTCTCCATTTTTTGAAGGAACCATGCAAAGATCTGAAAGGAAATTAAAGAATTTAGGTTCAGAATTGTCCTTTCTTAGCTAATCTTTCCATCACTCACTCATTTGTTTCCCCTTAAAGTCGGGAAGGGTTTTGGAGGCTTTTTCGAAGCAACTCTGGAACTGTTCCTCACACGATTTCCCCTTTATCGACAATTCCTTTTTTGACATGAACATTTGAAGCTGAAAGTTGAAAGTTCTGTAGAAGCTTGATGTAAAATTCCATTTCTAGAACTTCTGAAGGTCTTCATGAGCTCATATAGCTCTTTATGAGCTCACAAGATAGGTTCAATACTCATTGTCAGTCTTGATTCAAGTCCTATATTCTTCAAGCAGCCGAAAAACTTGCCCAACGGCGGGTTTTTCTCGGTTTTGAGGCTGGCTCGTAGGTTCATGGTGGTTCAAGGTGACCGGGCCAGTCGCGCAGTCGGAAGGGCGCTTGTCTACGGACCGCACGACCCGGGTTCGACCCCCCGTAGTGCCACTCAAATTTGAGTTTTTTATTTTTTATTTTAAATGGCACATCTATATTATATTCGAAGACTTTCGAAGACAAAATTTCAGTTTTTTTCGTCCAAAGACGGCGGTACAGACAGACGGACAGGGTTGGGCAAAATTATCTGGACAACTTTTTGGAAAACTAGTTGTCGCACGCTTTACTTATTTCAAAGTACCAAGTGCTATATAGAGAATTGTAGCCGTTAATCTTGGCTACATTTATTAACTAAAAACTTCCCAATCGGATTTATGCAACTCAGTTTACAAGTCCTTGAATGAGCATTAGTCGATCCAATCCGGCGCCGCCATTTTTGACGATTTTCCACATAAAATGTCAATATTTATTTTATGCAAAAATATTATTAAACATCATTAATAATACTAAAGATAATTTTCAATTGTTTTGGCTAACTTCCTACCAAAAGCAAGCTGATGACTAGCTTCTTTGAAGACAGAGGGAAAAAGGTGAAATTTGATCCAGCTTCATTCAGTCACCAGCTTAGTTTTGTTATAACAGATTAGCCAAAGCAATTGAACATTATTTTTAATATTTTTAATGATGTTAAATAGTATTTTTGCATCAAATAAATATTGACATTTTATGTAGAAAATCGTCAAAAATATCAAACCGCCGGAGTGAGGCCGACTTGAGCTCATTCGAGAGCTTGTAAAATGAGTTATATAATTCGAATTGGGAAACTTTTAGTAGATAAATGTAGCCAAGGTTAAGGGCTACAATTCTCTACATGACACTTAATACTTTGAAATAAATTGAACGTGCGACAACTAGTTTTCCAAAAAGTTGCTCAAGTAATTTTGCCCAACCCTGTAGAGTAGATTTTCTCCAAACTCACATTGCATCCACCTTTCCCTTTTCCGCATGATGTTGGCCGTAAATCGCTTCCTTTACACCCGTGAACATTTTCCGGGAATTTCGGATCGAGTGAGCCTTCGTCCGGGGAAGCGGAGGTCTAAACGACTGTCAACTTTAGCCCTAACATAATCTTCACATATAATCTAAAGCTACTGGTCTACTGCCAATTGTAAGCTGCAACTGATCAAGTGCGTAAAATTTGACAACGAAATCCTTTCTGATTAAACAATCCCAGTTTATCTGAATAGCAATCTTCTCTCCAACGTATTCTTACCCCTTTCGAATCGGTGTCATTCATTTCTGGTTTAGCGCTCGTCATCACATCACCGTCATCACTGGGACTTTCTGAGACTTCGGCTAAAGTTTTCTTGTGCAAAAACTTGTAACTTGCACAATGTTGAGCTGTTTAAAATGCGCCAGCTAATTGTTTTTCACACCAATATCAGTTACTGAACCAAAATCCCTCAAAAAGTCATACCTTTGCTCGAAATAGTGCTCGGAAAAGGCTCGAAACCTTTGCCCAAAGCAGCACTCGCAAAAAGTAAAACAAAGAAAAGTAAAAATTTCATTGAAATAGTCATCTTTTACAACAAATAAGGAAATTTGAAGATGTTCTGGTGAAAAATTTCGTTAAATGCCACTTATTATTCCCAGCTTTGGCAGTTGTTTCAAACAGAAAATGAGTCGTTTCTGATTTTCTTTAGAAAAGGGAAGAAATTGAGGAAATCTAGTGATTTTTCGTTTGAATCTCAATTGTTTTTCCCTGAATTTAGGAAAGATTGGAAAGAAATTTGCCTAGATCAAAAATCTTTTATTTAGATTTGGATGATGGACGGACAGACAGACGGACCGACGGACGGACAGACAGACAAACGGACGAACAGACAGAAAGACGGACAGACGGACAGACGAACGGACAAACGGACGGACAGACAGAAAGACGGACAGACGGACAGACGGGCGGACAGACATACGGACGGACAGACAGACGGCCACACAGAGGGACGAACGGACAGAAGGACGGACAAACGGACGGACACTTCTCTTTTATATATAGTAGATATTCGATGAATAAACAATTTATACAAAAAAATGTACAAGAAAAATGAAAAAACAGAACTTAAAGATGAGTAATATATTAGAATTTTGAGGTAATTTTTTCAAATCCCTTCACTGATCGTTCTTGATACAGCAGAAATGATTAGCGCTTTTTGATCGATTTCCGTTTTGCGGGTTTCTGAAATGTAAATTGATCGAATAACTTATAACTTTAGATCAAAAACTTTAAATTTTAAATAAATAAGCTTAAATTAAGAAACCTGGTAAATAAAAGAAGAGAATTAAAGTTGTGATGGCGCTGAGAAAAATGAAGGGGAGATAGCTGAGGGTTGAGCCGACTAGCTGAAGGAATTGCAATTATTAATTGTTCTATTTGAAAAGTTTCCTGTGTAAACTTCTTTAAACTGACAAAATTAGCTGTGCAAACTTTCTTAAACTCACATTTTGAAACGGTAAATATAAAGAAGTGACGAGGAAAGAGAGGCCGTAAACGACAAACACCGAAAGGCTCATTGCAGTGGAGCGGTACTGGAAATAATGAAAAAATCGTAGAAAAACGTGCTACTTGTAAATTTTACATTATAAATTGTTCATTCTACTTACTTTTGGGCTGAAAAGCTCTAGATTAATCACCCATGGTAGTGGGGAAGCGATTCCGAAAAGGAACATGTACAACAAAAGGGCAAAGATCGTTCCGTAGGCTGCCCAGAGTTGCTGAAAATTGATCAAATCTTGATCTGGCTTCAAAGTCTTCTCTCGAACAAACAGTTTTTTTGCCCTATTTTTTTTCTTTTCATCAAATCTTGCTAATTTAAATATTTAACATAATTTTCAATGATTCTGCGTTGAGTGGTACCAAACAATGATGGTTGGACGCCCCTAGACCCACTCATTCATAATCGACTGAAATCCATAATCGGCTACTGGGTCCCGCCGATTTCGAATGAAATTTTTAAACGAAACTCACAAATTTGGTACCAATCGACGCAGAATTGAATTCGCTACAAAGTGATATAATATATTATGTTGTCAAAATTTTAATTGACAAGAAAAACTGGGAAAAATTTGAGTACGCGCCCTCACAACCACTAAGAAGAACGTAATTGCGCAATTGTTAAAGTAAGAAGAATGTAATCAGTTTCCGTAATTGCGCGCCATCCTGTAGACAACGCGAAAGGTCATAATCCCGAAAAAAGTGACTTAAACTTGTTAAAGTATATCTGTTTGATGTGTTTATTTCTTTCTAAACATTAGGTTTTACAAAACGAGCTTTAAACCTTGTGATCTATTGGTTTCCATAAATATTGAACACTCTGTAGAAGGATTTTTCATCTCATTGTCAGTTTACCTCTCCATACTGTTGAATTGCTGTGAAAGCAGTGAAGCAAAGTAATGCGAAAAGTGAGGTGAAACGCTGAAATCTTATGAACTTTTGTATCTTAAACCTTTTTACTTGAAATAGATAAAATGGACGACGACGAAAACGATCAATGATGAATGGAGAAATGCAGGAACTGATGAAATAAATCACACCCACACCGAGAGTCCCGTATTTGGCCAGCCAGCTAAATTGTGGAGTTAATAGAAGTGCAAAAATGCTATTGAAATCGATTGTTGGACATTTGAGACGCGTCTCACCGCTTTGCTATTGGCAATTCGACTTTGAGCTCAAAGATCTTGGTGTTGGGCTGTCCAATTTAAATATTCTTGGTAGCATTCGATGCGCCAAGTCTTTCTCTGTCGATTGGTACAAATACTATTTAAATTCAACAGGCCAACACCAAGAACTTTGCGTATAAAAGGTCCCGCAATCGCCCTTTTATACGCGTCCCGCCCCCTTTGCCATTGGCAATTCCACTTTTCAAATATCTTGGTGTTGGGCTATCCATTTTAAATAATTTTACTACCAATCGACAGAGAAAGACTTGGCGCATCCAATGATATCAAATTATTTAAATTGAATAGCCAAACACCAAGATATTCGAGTTCAAAGTTAGACTGCCAATGGGAAAAGGAGGGGGGAGCATATTAAATGTCCGATAGCCAATAAAAGCTGTCTGATTTGACCTTTTTGGTTGCCCAAAACTTTCAAAAACAATTTGAGTCATTTCTTTGATACTTTTGTACTTATAAGCTGTTTTGCTTTATGAGATGACTTTCGTTTAAGTTCAATTTGCCAACTCAATGAACACAAAACTAACGGCTCAAGTCGGGCGTTTGTGAACATATTTGTTGAATAGGACATCACCACGGAGAGGCCGTTGAATTGGTTCTGGAAATGAAACAATTTGAACCAAATATGGTGTTGATGGACTGGCTGAATGAGAATTGCCGACAACGATTCGATCTACAACTTGATGAGGTTTTAATAGATTGTCAGATTATTGACCAAATATTGTGTTGATGGACTGGGTGAATGAGACTCACCGCAGACATCACCAAAATCGCAATGATTGCCGAGGAACGGAGCGATTCATTCTCGAAGAGATCCCGGAATGAGCCTTTTTCAGTCTGGAGCTTCGGTTTTTCTATCAAAAACCCAACAAGATCTTACTTGGTACATTTTCTCCTTAGTTTCATCAAGTAACTTAAGATATTCGATAGATGCTTGCTGTTTTCCATAAAGTTCATTCAAAGCTTCGAGTGTTGCAGCAGGATCTTCTTTGCTTACCAGCAAGTACCTAAACCCGTCTACGATATAAAAGGGAATTGTCTGTCCGTCCGTTTGTCTGTAACCGCGAATTCTCGGTTCCCTGTGAGCCGATTTACATAATTTTTAGTTTACTAGGCTTAGAATTCTATGTAGTTTTGCATTTCATATTTTGTTTTTTAAAAAGCAAAAGACATGACACAGCCGGGAGTCGAACCCAGATTATGTGGGCCGTAGACAACCGCGTTTCCGACTGCGCCACCACGACTCAAAACACCAAAAAACCCGCTGTTAGGCGGGTTTTTCGGCTAATACTTTAAAAATTCGGCTTTATGGAGAGGTTGATCAGTACTAGGGAATTGCTATTGACAATTTGGTTTCAGTTAACCCACTTTGGTGACTCCGGACAAAATGGGAGGTAGAGGCACAAGGCAAAGGCCAGAAAACCGGGCACAGCTAAGGCCAATTCCCAATTCTCCTCATTTCCAAAGATCTCCGGGAGTCCAATCAATAAGGAGAGAACATTTGAGAAAGCCGAAGCTATCTAAACTTTAGCATTGCTTTATTCGTTTCGGTTTTGGTTAACAAGCACTTTTACTAAGCATACTGTAATGATCTAGATGTCAAATTTGCCAAAATACAGTACTCATCCGGATACTAATGACATTCACTCACCAAATGCAAAGCCTCGGCAGCACCTTGATGCTTTTGTGGAGTGATCTCTTGAATGTAAAGCGGAACAATTCCAGAAGTGATGCCAATGTTTACCCCAAGGAACAAGCGGCCGATCACCAAGAGTTCTGGGAGACTAAACATATGATTTTAGTTATAGAAATTGTCTATAGAAGTTATAGAAGTTAACTTCTATAGCAAAGTTATTTGTTTATGCAAAGTTAAAACTCACCCCCTCGGTTTCGCCAAATACATAATCTCTGCCGCAATCATATTGAAAACTCCATTGATGAGAAGACCTCCTTTACGGCCACAATTCTCGGAAAGAGGTCTAGAAAAGATTCAACTAAAAAAAATTGTAAACTGTTTTATATATTTGCACTTATATTAGAAGAATTGCATGTTTACCTAATCAAAAGAGCTCCAAGAATGGCACCGACCGAGAGAGCACCAACGATATTTGACCAAATTATCGAAAGGGTGCTCTGAAAAAGGGAAAACTTTGCGAAGCGATTGTAAAAAGAGTTCAAACTCAAACTCTATGAACTCGTTTGTTTATTATAATCTAACTTAAGTACAGTTAAACCTCGATAACAAAGCCTAAATAGTAAAAAAACTCGATAGCAAAAAAACTCGTTAACAAACAGACTTTTCCGTATTCCGACGAGTAAAATTAGTATAATTTTAGCCTCGATAACAAACATTAAGGCTTTCCACACTTTGCTAAAGGGATAAAATTGCAAATTGCTTTGGGAAGGTAGGAATTTTTATCGATGAAGATACAACTTCAATGTAAGACGATGAGGAGCTCGATGAAATGAGTAGTTAGCTTGGATAATCAGCTCAAATCAGCTTGAGTAACCAGCTTAAATCAGCTTGAGAAATCAGCTCAAATCAGCTTGAGCTAAATGGAGAAGTTGATCGAGACTTATGTCTTGTTGATTTTCTTGATATCGACAAAGATCTTATCACGACTGAAACTCGGATGACAAGTGAAATTGCGTCATTGCTTGCTCAACCTATGAAAATTGATAAAGATTCAACCGATGAAAATAATCAGTTTTTTTTGGAAATGACAGAAAAAGAACGGCTTTCAAAGGGCTTAAAAGGCTTTCACCACTTTTTCCTCAATGTTGTTAATGATTCAACAACGATTAATTCGTGCAACAAGATCGAGAAATGCCACAAGAATGTTTCCAGAATAAAATTATCTTATTTGGGTAAATGAAAACATTGGTGATACCAAAGAGCACATTTTTCTAGAGTTTTTGACTGTTTTTAGAGGATTTCTTAGCATTTTGAGGTAAAACCTCAATAGCAAAAGAGCAAAAAAAACAAAAAAAATGATAACAAAAAGGTTTTTCAAAATCTCTTGAGTTTCTTTGTTATTGAGGTTTTAATGTAGTCATAATCTGGCAATCTATTAAAACCTCATCAAGTTGTAGATCGAATCGTTGTCGGCAAGTCTCATTCAGCCAGTCCATCAACACATCATCCATTGGATTCACGATACAAAAGCTAAAGAGGTAAACTTCATGAAATTTTATGAGATCAAAAGAGAAAAGAGATTTATGAAAATCTTTTGCAACCATGACATACCAAAGGATGTTTTTATAGTTCAGAAACTGGTTTGATTTTCACAAAAATTAATTTTAAAGGACTGAACTCAAAGTGATTTGCGCACAAAACACCAAATTTATTAGGTTGATGCAAAAGAAATTTCGTTTTTTTACAAACAATTTACCGAATTTACTCGAATAGAAGACCGGCCTCGATTATAAGATCGTCTCGAATAGAAAAAGGAAACAAATCTGTAGAGAAAAGGAACCAAATCTGTGAAGAAAACGAATCAAATCTGTGAAGAAGAGAAAGGCAACCAAACCTGTACCGAAAAGGAACCAAATCTGTAGAGAAAACGAACCAAATCTGTAGAGAAAAGGAAGTCTAGGGTCTAGTAGAGGGGTCTAGGGGGTGATTGAAAAAAATAGAAGACCGGTCTTCTATTCGAGCAAATACGGTAATCAAAATTCCTTTAGGTAACAATTTATTCCAAACAATAACCACCATCGTTATCTAGGATATCTCTCCAACGTTGCTTCAGATTGAGGATCTCCTTATCGAAGAACTCTTGATTCTACGATTGAAAGTAGTCGGTTACCTAAATTTCGACCTCTTGCGCATTCTTAAACTGGCAATTCACAAGGGAATGCTCAATTTGAAGAGGTGAAAATTAGATGGTGATAAGTCTGGAATATATGGCGCTAAGACATTCCATCCTAATTCCTCTAACAAGAAGCTTTCTTTGTTCATACGTTCATACAAGAAGCTTTGTTCATAAAAGATGTTCATACGATTGGTCTTTCCGATTATTTCTAAATGGCGGGCAATTGTTGATTGATCCAATTGGAGATGTTTGGCAAGCTCTCGTGTTGTTTGCATTGGATTGGCGTCAATAAGTTGTTCCAATTCATTATTATTGATCGCCGCCGAGCAATGCTCATGTGGTTCGTCTTCAAGAGATTCAATACCTTCTCGGAATTAGGCAAACCAGAGCTGGCAGAATCGGTCATAACTTGTTCTCCAAAAGTAGAACAAAGATCACAACGTGATTCGAGAGTGTTTTTGCCCATCTTGAAATCGTAGAGAAGACACGCGCGTATAACATACTTTTGATTCACCATGATCTAAAGCAAAAGGAAAGCTTTGACTAAGAGAAAGCGTGAAAATAAAGTAAATATTCAAGGGTAAAAATATGTAAAAGAAGATCAAATGCCGTATTTTCTCTAATAGTAGTGCACGCTGAGCGTCGCCTAAATTGCTCGAAATCTCGAGAACCGCTTATCAGAACCTATCGATGTGGGGTCGGAAAATGTAGCTGACGATGAGATCTAGTGGGGGATTAGAGTGTTGAGCTTCTGCAAAAAGCTTGGGAACCGGAAAATAGTCACCAACTCGACTCACCGGCGTGCATTACTATTAGAGAAAATACGGTATATCAAATAAGATATGCAGATTAAAAAAAAAATAGAACATTTTATACCAAGCGAAATTTCTTTTGCATTCAGCTAGTAGATTTAATTCCATTTTAAAGGTCTTTTAAAACTTTATCTAAAGCTTTTTAAAGTTTAAAACTCTTTTCTTTTGTTTACTTTTGTTAAGAAAGCCCAAATTTATAGAATTTTGCATAACCTGTAAAATAGAACCTGTAAAATTGCATACTTCCACCAAAAATCAACGTAAAAATTGTTAAACAATATCTAAAAATGCTTTATTTTCAAAAGTAAGCATAAAACTCACTTGAAACTTAAACCATCTCGCTTTTTGGTATCCATTGTAGAGAATTTCTGAGTTTTTGAATTTATCAGACATCCTTTTTACCATTTTTATACAGTTTACCCTTTGTTGTTTCAAAGGAAACCCAAAAAAATAACCAGAGAGCGTTCACTTTTCGCTCAAAAACCACATTCTGGCCATTTGGAAACAAAAGAGAAAAGAAGAAAAGAAGTGAAATGATCAATGAGTGAAAAAAAGGAGAACAAAATATTTTCCAGCATTTAGGTGATCAGATTAAGTTTTGTTTTTTGAGTAGAATTTTGTTCTAGAGTTGTCTGAGTAATCTGTAATTTCCTTTGCTGATTACTGAGTAAGTTTGTGATGATTTTTGTTACAAGACACTGATCAAAATGAGTTTTTGTTTGTTTTTTTTTGTTACAGACTTTGAAATACCACAATTTCCAGGCATTCATCGAAAAAGAAGAAGGAAGAAAATGATGACAGAGCGAAAATCAAAAAATTTCCCGATCACATTCCCAAATTTGATAAGCTAGGTTGGTTAGGTTGGAAAGGAACATTTTTTCGGCGTCAAGGTCAACTCATGATCGCATTTTATATTATAGCTTACTTATTTTGTTTTAGAAACTTTTTCAATAAAGGCAAAATGAAGTTTTTTATTTAGAGAAAAGGCGCAAACTTTAGTTTTTCTATACTTAAAAGGTTTAATAATTGATTTTAAATGATTTTAGCTGATTTTAAATGATCTTAGATGCTTTTAAATGATTTTAGATGTCTTTAAATGATTTGGAAATGTTTTAAAATAATTCTAGATGCTTTTAAATGGTTTTAGATGCTTTTAAATGATTTTAGATGTCTTTAAATGATTTGGAAATGTTTTAAAATAATTCTAGATGCTTTTAAATGGTTTTAGATGCTTTTAAATGATTTTAGATGCTTTTAGATGCTTCTAAATTATTTGAAAATGTTTTAAAATGATTGATTTTAATGGTTCAGTGATTTTTAAACGTTCTTAATGATAGTTTAACCAAAGTATTTTCATAGATGCGCCAATTATGGCTGTTCGTCGTACTTGGGCTTCACCTAGCAATGGGTCAACTTAAAAATAAGCCATGTGACAAAGCTCCGCTTGGGTCTCCGGCTGTGTTGAAGTTGATCTGTCAACAATTACATCAAATGGACGAGGAGAATAGGGTTTTTTTAAAAGCATAGTCACCTCTAAAAGTACAAAAAGAAACTAAATTAGTCGGCAAAGTGATAAAAGTTATTGCTTTTCACTTATCTAAAGTTTGCTAAAGATAAAAGTTACTGCTTTTCACTTAGCTATAGTTAAAATCACAGCAAGAATCGCTCGACTCAAATCTCGCTCCTCCCGAATTCCCTGCTTTGCACGATTGTATGAATATAACATGTGTTTGTTCGGAGTTGAATTCTGGTAAAGCTGGAATTAGTTAAGGTGGAAAAATGTCACTTTTAGAGTCGATTAAAGGCTCCGAATGCTTGTACAAAGGAAAACGGATGGAAAAGGTGGGAAATTGAACGATTTAAACAAAAACGATTTGAAATTTGAACAATCAGCTTTGAATTTAGCTTTGAATTAACAGTAATAGTAATAAACAAATTTTTCTAGCTAATTCGCAAAGAATATCGGATGATGTCTGATGAAGAACGCGAACGTTTTCACTCGGCACTAAACACGATGAAGAAAAATGGGAAATTCGATGAAATTGGTTGGGAATTTTGCTTTGAATTAACGATAAAGTGTACTAACGATGTACTTTTCAAAATTCAATCCTTATTTTAAGCCTAATTTTTCAATTTTAGCTGCAATTCACGCGGGTTTTGGCAATATGGGCGGTGCTCATTCGGGACCAGCTTTCCTGCCCTGGCATCGCGAATATCTTAAGAGGTGAACAAAAATAACAGCTTTCTTGACGTCAACAAAGTTTAGACTGGAATTCGAGCTGCGGCGGGTTCATCCGGAAGTTTATCTTCCGTATTGGGACTCGACCCTTGACGGTCATCTGCCAAGACCGGAGGACTCGGCTATATTTACGTGAGCTGGTTTCTTTTTCCTAACTAGTTTTTTACAAGGTTTTGAGGTCAAATTCTAGAATCTAAGAAGAATATCTTAAAGAGAATATCGTCATTTATTAAGTAAACTCAAACGAAATTCAGCACCGAATTGTTCGGGACGAGCATCGGTCCTGTGCTTGATGGACCGTTCGCCAACTGGAAAACAATGCGTGTTGGTTGATTTATCAAAAAATATTGCGTAATTCATGGATTCAACTTCAAACTAAACGTCTACCACTTTTCCAGGGCAAACCCCTTTTGCGGCAAGTCGGTAAACGACAAGACGCTCAACCTTTCATGGTATACTTAACAAATGAGCGCTCAAATATTCTCTGATCTAGGAGGATATGGTCACGTTTTTTCTTCAACAACCCGCCAACCGTTTTTTGGCGTTCTCTGCCAGTCGCCAAGTTCGGTCATGCTTTGTGAAAAGATTTACATTTTTTTTAGGAATGCCCAGAGGCGACCGAGTTCAACTCGTTTGAGTTCCTGCATGCGCTTGTTCACAAATGGATTGGTGGTGGGCAATTCTTTGTTTTCCACTTTTATCTACCGTAAATACTGTAATAGAAGTACCTTCTGGAGAGGAAGGGAAAAGATAAAGCCCCTTCCTTTTAATAGAAGCCCTTCCCCACATTTCTTTTGATCTGGGACGACAAAATGAACATCTCGGTAATGCTGACAGGACGATCTGACGGAAAGAAACTAAAAACATTTGTGGTGATGCCGAGAAAAACATTTGACAAAAAGATTTGATGAATTTCAATCGAAATTATTGTTTTGTTGAAAAGAAAAGAAAAACAAATGCTTCGACAACGATATCACAAAGGAATTCTTGGAGCCAACTTTTAAAAGACTTAAATTCTTCAACAAAAACGAGGTCGCTAATCATTTGGGCGGCAAAAAAAAGGAGGAAAAAGAAAAAAAAAAAAAGAACAAAAAAATGATTGGTTGGGAAGAAAGAAAAAAAAAGAAAAAAAAAAAAAGAAAAAAAAAAAAAAACAAAAAGAGAACATGGCTGGATGCTTCGACAAGCAAATGCATTAAATCTACAGGATTTTCGCAAAGAAAATGGTCCAGAAGAAGCCGATAATTTCGTTGACTCCGTTGTTTCGATTGACTTTTATTTTTAGTTTGATCATTTTCAATTTGTTTTTGCGAAACTTGGTTGGTCTTTGCACTTGTTTTTGATGTTTATACTGTTTTTGAATAAAATTAAAAGAAAATTAGTTTATCGAACGAATCTATCTATTGGTATATCCAATTTTGATAACTTCAAAATTTTTCAAAAGATACCAGGGGAAAATTAGAAGCCCTTTAATAGAAGCCCTCTCTCGAGGGGGAAAGAAAAAAGTAGAACCCCAGGGCTTCAATTATAGTATTTAGGATAATTCCTTAGGTGACATGTTCGATCCAATGACTTCGGGAAACGATCCAGTCTTCTTTATGCATCACTCGTTTGTCGATTTGATTTGGGAGAACTGGAGAACGTGGAGACAAGTAGGCCTAGCGTTTAAACTTGATTGAATAGCTTGGAATTTTAAACCAATAGAGACCAAATACAATTTACATACAATTGACACACAAATTACATACAATTTACATAAAATTGACACTTTTAAGGACAGAACATTGCGTGAAATTGAGTACCCGCTCGATGACGGACGCTGCATGTCAGCAAAACATTTCTTGAAAGCTCCAATGATTCCTTTTTCGTCAGAAAGTGGACGCGCGACCACGTTCGTTTCAAAGAAATTTGCCTAACTGAAAAAATTTGACTGAAAATTGAGCACTTTCAGAAACGCGGACGGTCTCTCGAATCTCTACACGGATGAACTTTATGAATACGCTCCCCAGCCAACTTGTCGATCGGTTAAAGAGGGCTGCGGGAGTCGGCGAGTCAAAAATAAACATGCATTGGTCATTTTTACTTGCAGATTTTTGTTCTGTGATACTTCTGTCGGAAAACCGCGCTGTGTGGCGAAGATTCGACTCGGTGGAAGTGTCAGTTAGCAATCTATTCAAGAATTTATTTGGCATAAAGAAGAATTGTAGCTTCTTTTAGCGGTACCTGGGTATTTTAGTGTGGCCGACTTGCTCCAGGTCAAGATGTGTGCTATAACGGCCGTTGTGTTGACGGATTCTGTGAGTGGGCTGAGGTAATGAACAAAAGAATAGCTTCAAAATGGCTACTTTAGGATTTGCAAACTTCGACTGACGACATTGAAGTGTCTGAATCCGAGGAAACTTCTACCAAAGAACTTGAGGACAAGATCACAAAAGAACCAATGATTGAATCAACAACAGTCGAAGGACTGGAAGCCACAAACCAGACTCATTCGGACAACTCGGAAAATGAAACGAGCACGGAGTTGTTTACAACGGAATTAACAGAAGGAAATGTGACAGAAACGGCGGAAAAACTGAAGTTGAAGGTCAAGACAGACGGAGGTTCTGAGGAACTGAATGAGAATCTGGCTGAAGATCAGGATTCGTTTGACGAGGAGGAATTAGCTGATGATGGAAATGGTGAAATGGATGATGAGAATGATGACCAAAACGGGATAGAGGATGATGGAAGAGATGGAAACGAGAATCGGACGGAGATTGGAGATGAGGATGAGGAGATCAAGCAACAGAAGAATGGGGAGAAGGAGGAAGAAAATGATGACGATATTGGTGACAATGATGAAGATACCAAGATGAATGCTACGACAATGACTACTACGACAAAGACCAGCACAACTGCCACAACTACGACAAGTTCGACAACTAGAAGGGCTTCAACCACTACGGCTACACTGACGACCACAACAACAACCACTTTGCCGATTTCAACAACTAGATCTTCAACAGTTACAACAGCCTCATCAACTACAACAACTACAACAGCTTCGACAACTACCACTTCGCCGACTTCGACAACTAGATCTTCAACAGTTACAACAGCTTCATCAACTACGGCTACACCGACGACCACAACAACCACCACTTCGCCGACTTCGACAGCTACAACAGCCTCATCAACTACAACAACTTCAACTACAACAACAACTACAACAACTTCAACAGCTTCGACAACCACAACACCCGCATCGACAAGATGGAGCTTGAATTGGGTAGCTCTTTTTTCACTGGGGAACGACCAGATTTCATGATTGCGAATCCGAATCAAACCAATATGGGTTTCGCCAGGCGAACACGGGCAACACGATGGCATTTTTAGTTTTTGCCTAAACGCTCTGGATTTTTATAAAAACGCAAAAGAAATTCCCCAAATTAAATTCCTTATATGAACTGGACGGGTATATAAGGCCGCCATCATCAAATGAACGAAGTGCTTCCGTGGTGCAGTGCAGGGTAGTGGCACCGTTTTTTTGGTAATCTCTTTTTTGGCACCCGAGTTCGTTCTTTAGTTGATAAAAAATAGAGCGTTTAGGCAAAAACTAAAAATCCCATCTTGTTGCCCGTGCTCGCTTGGCGAGACCCATATTGGTTTGATTCGGATGAATGATGATGAAATCTGACCGTTCCCTAGTCAGTGACAAGAAAGATTCGATTTTAGGAACCGGTAGCTACAACAGATTTCACAACAACAACAACATCAACGACTGAGAAAAAGCTGGAAGATTTTGTTTGGACTACACGTGCGCCAATGGTGACTTTCACGCACATGGTTGCCACTGATACGGTAAACAAAATCAATCGTTAAACACCTGTTAGTCTAGGTTAGAGATTTGGGTTTAGCCAAAAGATTCCAGGCACCTTGCTTCAATTTCAACGAATGTTGTCAAGAATGGGCTTTGCAAGGGCAATGCTCGTCGAATCGAAACTATATGGATGAACAATGTGGAGCTTCGTGTAATGCATGTATCCCCAGCACTCCAATTGTTGATGGTAAGTAGATAGATTTTAGATAGCTTCAAGCAAAGATTTAATTGTGCTAAACCATTTGTAGATTGTTCTGATCGACATGAAAAGTGCGGTTTCTGGGCACGGGCACGCGAGTGCTACAGTAATCCTTATTGGATGGCTGAGGTAAAGAAATAGTCTTTAGAAACTCTAGAGACTTTGCAGAACTGTCGTCAAAGTTGTGGTCATTGTGAGAAAACGAGAGCTCAAGTGTGTAGCCGAAAAAGTCAGCAAATTGCAAGCTCGAGTAGCGATTGGGTGACGAGTACGCAAAAGCCGCGTGACCACGAGTGCTACAATGCTGATTGCTCGGATAAGTACAGTTGTTGTTCGCATTGGGTCAAAAAGGTTTAAAACAAATCTTCAATTCTAAATGCAAAAGTTCAGGGTGAATGCCAAACCAATTTCAAATTCATGATGTGTAATTGTCGATCGGCGTGCGGAATGTGTGGATCGATGACGGATTGGAAAGGTTTGGTGGATGAGTTTACTTGATCTTTTCATTATAGATTCACCGAAAGCCTCTGTAGACTCAGACAGATCCAATACGGTGACTACAGAAGCACCCAGCTGGAACGCGATTAGCTGGAGCTCTCAGAAACAGCAAAAGAGTTGGGGTTGGCTGTTTGAGGCAAAGCCGATTAGTACGAGAGTTTCGAATCGATGGAGCACACCTGTGAATCGACCAGCAACAACAACCACTTCGCCGACTTCAACAACTAGAAGATCTTCAACAGCTGCGTGGATCTCATTGACCAATAGACCAGCAATTATTGAGCCAATCAGTTCAAGAGTTGTAAATCAGTGGATCGCATTGAGACCGACTAGCACTGCAAGCCCAAGAAGAAGACGACCGACGGCCAGTTGGGTTTCGACGTCGACAAGACGCACTCCAACCACAACACACTTCAGAAGAGTACTCTCTAATAGATACACAACTAGACAGAGCCATCCCCGCCCACGAGCTAGAGTTAGCTCAACTCAGACCATATCGGCATAGACAATCAAAACCGAGGCCATCAGTGAGACGAAATCATCCAAGACAAAGGAATCCGGCTAGAAGAACCACACGGCGTCCACGAATCTTCCGCTACTATGTTAAAGCTACACCGAACAAAGTGACTCATAATAGATCTAGACAACGCAGTCGGAGTCGAGCCAGAAAACCAAGCAGAAGTGGAACAAGATCGAGACAAAGGAGTAGATCGAATCCGCGGAGGACGCGCCATCGAAGGGCTGGTGAGTTATGAATTTTATCTCTAAAAGACTCTAATAAACAGACTTTTAGACAGAGAATTTCAAGAGAAATCTATTTAGCTTGCATGGATCAACACAAAGAATGTCCTCGTTGGGCTGAAAGAGGGGATTGTCGTCAGAATCCTTGGATGGAGAAGAATTGCCCAACGAGTTGTCAGTCTTGTTTCGGGGAATCGGACGACGTTTGTGGATCGTCATTTGACATTCAGGGGTTAGTTTGCAAAAATAAAACCGCTAAAACAGTCAATTTTTATTATAGATGAACTGCGATCAAGACCGGAAAAGAAAAAGTTTCCTTTTCATTGTGTAAAGCATTGTTGCATTGTTATTGTTTCATTGTTTCTGATAAATTTTTGTTAAAATTATTATAGCAAATGGGAAATAAAATACGAAAAAGACGAAAAAAGACGAAAAGAAATTGAACAAAATACGATAATTTCCAATCAGTAGGACTCAACAAGAAATCAGCACTTTCTTCGAGCAACGTGAATTTCATCAATACTAACTGTTTGTCCAGGTTCTCCGATTGCTGGTGCATTGAAATAGCTGTCGACTAAGACTTCTCGGAACTATTGGTGCCATTGGACAACTGTGTTGATGCTCATTTCCACGTCGGACGCTTGCTGCTCAAGCGTTCCAAGATCGTTCAGCCACACGTATGACAACAAGAAGATCGATTTGCGACTACCATGAGCATTTTCAAAAAATATATCCAAAAACGATACTTTCGCTATAACGGGGGGAATTTTTTTTTGTTCTGCACCGTATTTAGACTCAGTAAATTTGTTTTATTTGCTTGTTTTTACTTCTTTTCTGCAATTTTGATTCTACAACAACAGTTCATTTTACTCAAACTCAAAGTTTCCCTTTAAGCAGGTATGTTTAGCTAGGCTTCAATACAAATAAAGCGGCACTGTAGACGACGCTCGTGAGAGCTTGCAGCACACGTGCCCGTTCACACAACGCCACACAGGCACAAACCGCAAAAAAAATACCTATAGGCAGGTGCAGACAGTGCAAAGGCCACAAAAAAAGCATTTGCATAAAATATGGCTGATCTTTAACATTTACTACGATGATTTGTAGATATTCATAATCAGCGCAAAAAACTGAGTCAGAAAAACCACTTTGGTAGATGGTCAATCCTTGGATGGAGAAGAATTGTGAAGAAAAACGAGTTGTCAGTCTTGTTTCGGGAAATCAGGAACTTTTTAAAAAAAAACTGATGATTTCTTTGATACTTTGTGACAGAATTTGATGTGTAAAAAATAAAAATAATCTAATCTTTATCAGTTTTGTAAAATTCTCCTCTTTCAACTCCATCCATTCCCTTCCCAGCCACCACCAATCCACGAATTAAAGCCATTTTGGTCTAAAATACAGAAGAAACTTTAAATTTAAGGTAAAATGGTGAAAGCTGAAAGGAAATATTACGATAGTTTCTCGAATTATCCACATTTTACCCGCAAATTATCCACAATTATTCACGATTATCCAAATAAAAATCCACTCACCCCGGTTTTGTGTCATTTGTTGCTGCATAGGCTGGCGTTTATCCGCAATAAGTCTAGTAATAATGTTCAAGAGATTTCCCTTGCCACTCACCCAATTCCTGCGGTCGATGATCCGCAAAGTGTTTGCAGATCAAAACGCGAGAAACACGTTTGACAGCTCGATCGACAGTTCTCCTCCATCCACGGATTTCGACTGCAATCCCCTCGTTGTGCCCAAATCGAGCATTGATTATGATAATCCATGCAAGCTTAAAGATATAGTTTAGAGTTTATGACTTTTGAAGACTTTAGAAGACCAATTTTTACACTAGCTATTAGTCAAGAAGTAGAAATCAGTAGTAATCAGCCTTTCCTTTATTCACAATTTTGCAATCACCAAACCATAGATCTTTCTAATATTTTAGTATGCGAGCAAAGAGATTAACAGAGTTGTACAATGTTTAAACTCAATCTGATGGATGGGTTTTGAGGAAAAATCTTGATTCTAAAGATTTCGGCTCTTGCGTAGTTTCTGGGTATATTTAGAGAATCTGGGTATCGTGGAAAAATCCGGGTATTTTGTACGGGTCGTCATGCTTTGAAGGCCTCTAACTTTATCTAGAGATAATATTATGGCAGACATTTTATATCATTGTACAGAGAGTATTTCAGTCTTTCAAATAATACTAGATAGAGCTTGATTGGATAATCCAGTCCAAGAAAAACAGAGCCAACTCTGAGCAAATGAGACCGATCTAACTCGGGTGTCGTGTCACCTTGTTTGTATGGGAATGAAAAGTTCACTCAAGCTTTATTTGGTATCATTTGAAAGCCTGAAATGTCCTCTGTACAATGATATAAAAAGTTGGTAAAAGTATTATCTCTGGATCAAGTTATAGGCTTTCAAAGCGTGACGACCAGTTCAAAAAACCCGGATTTGTTTTTGGAAAATTGTAAATGAAGGAAAGGCTCATTACTTATTGATTGACCTTATTGATTTATAAGTTATTGATCTTTTTATTGAGAATTGAGAATTCCTTGCAAAAACCTAACCTCCCAATGGATGATTCGTCGGTTTACAAACTGCACACGAGACCCGACAGTTGCAGATCATAAAATCGGGATTACTCGTGCATTCGCCCTAAATCCTCACTTGTAGATGCAATGATCTTTTCCAAAACTTGAAGTGCCCAGTACGGACAGCATGGGTACTTGTTATAGCAATCAGTCATCGGTTTGCATTGAGCACGAGCAATAGTCTCTGTCGCGTTATCTGCTGAAGTGCTTTTATTTGAGCTGACACATTTCAGCCTACCTGTCTCCACCAATTTCCGACTCGAGCAAGCCTCGGCACGTGTTTTCCCGCAGCGCATGCAACTTTGTCGGCAATTCTGGAATAAGTAGAGGCGTTTGATAGTTTCAATAAGTCTGGAATAAGTTTTGGATCCGTCTCAAGTTAGGAAAAAAATATTTTCTCAAGATCTCAACGAATTTTCAAGATAGACAGGCTGGCCCTCACAGTTTTTAGGCTAAATCTTTTCTGCAGCTTTGAGAATTGGTTTAATTTCTTTTCAATATGAAAATTGCGGTAATTCTCTACGGAGAATTTCTTTCTACAAATTGTAGGATGTTTTTGAGATTTTTATTAAAGACTTGAAAGGCTTGAATGTGCCCAAAAAAACTATTGAACAAACTGCAGCTATTCATGAACAGTTTTTAACGGCGCTCACAGAGTTTATTTGACTCTTTTCTAGTTAAAAAGCTTAAAACAAATGTTTTTCAACAAGAATCTTCAATCATTTAGTGTTTTTATGAGGATGAAACATGAAATCGGCTTCTTGAAGATGAATTTTTCTTAAAACTAGCAAATTTCATCGTTTAGTTTCATAAATTAGCAAAAAATTATCCAAATGGTACTATTAAAGCTTAAATTTATTAAAAAAAAGCGAGAAAATTGATTTTATTTTGAAAATGAACTAGAAAGAAGTGAAGAATTTGTTGTTTTTGGGTGTTTTTTGTTTTTTCAAGGGTTCTTTTCTGGGCACATCTTCTAAACCTTTAATAAAAATCTCAAAATCATCCTATAATACGTATAAAGAAATTCTTCATGGAAAATTATCGCAATTTTTAGATGAAAAAGGAATTAAACCGATTCGCAAAGCTAGAGCCAAGATTTGGCCAAGATTTGGCCCAGTAAACTTCACCTCGGTCATCCAAAAAGGATTTTTTGCACACTCTCCATTGATCACCCAATCAGCGCACGATGGATGACGATCAGAACAGTCTAAAAGCTGTGAATACGTGAAGAAATTCCTTGTCTACCATCCGCTATTGAATCCTTTGGTTTACAATGCTTGCACGAGACCGGGCAAGCAGTTTCCATGTATGTCACATTCCATTCACAGCCACCATTCTTTGCCCACTCAGAGCAACACTCATATTGGTTAAAGCAACTCTAAAATAAATCATGAGATAGTTTTGAGAAAGATTACTGTATTCTTTGATTTAATGGATTCATTTGATGGTTTTAAAGTTGTCGTTAAAGTAGCTAAAGTCGTCGATGTTTCGGTGATGCTTAGATTCTAAAATTGAGATCATTGGTGAATCAAAAAATCTTAAAACCTCTAGAGACAAGCACATTTTTTCGTAGCAAAAAGATTGATAGCAGACATCTTCGCCGTTGTCAAAGCCTTCACACTGAATTTGCTCTTGTAATCATCTGAACCTTGTAAAAGTTATTGGGTTGGTGAATTGAAAACTCCCGGCTATTGTCATATGTGGCAGTTTGAGCAGTTTCTTCAAAAGAAATTCATTTTGGTGTCAATGGAAAAGTTGTGGAGAATCAAAAATTAAGCTTATATCCAAATTTTCAGAACGATTCAAAAACTGGTCTTCAAGAAATGCCAAATTTACGAATTTTCACAAAACTTGCATTTTAAGCGAAACTACTAAGTGTATCTTTTTGGAAATTTGGCTATAAGCCTAATTTTTGATTCTCTACAACTTTTCTATTGACACCAAAGTGGGTTTCTTTTGAAGTGCTCAAACTGGGACATTTTCAGTCCTCCATTTTTGAGTCTCACACTTGTCTCACACAGAAACTCGAATTCTACAACGAAAGAGGAATCCGCAAATTGCCTGTAAAATGGGTAGAAGTCGTCAATAATAATGGAAATCATTTGAAATGAATTTATGGTTTTATGTTGAATAAATTTTAGTTCAAAGTCCGGCAGTTTTCAATCCACCAACCCAATAGAAAGGGAAACATTGACTTGTAAAAAAAACTTGCACTGCCTCCTATTCGAACTTTTGCTGCACATCTTGGACTTCCATGAGAAACATCGCAAAATAGGAAGCTGAAAATCGAAAAACTAACGATAAATAGATTTTGGCATAACCAAATACTAAAATTTTATCAGATTCTAGTATTGAATCGGTTTTTGAACTTGTACAGATCTAATTAACCAGATTTTTAATCTTAGTGTTTGTTTGTTTTGTTTTTTTGTTATTTGCTTGTTTTGTTTGTTGTTTTGTTTGTTTTTTGTTTCTTTCTGTGTTGTTTTTTTTTGTTAGGAAAATCTTGAATACAATTTTTCCCATTGTTAGTGCAGAGAAGCTTTTCTTATTTATTTATAAACGTAATTTTGAATTTCTTGGGGTAATTTTTGCTCCTGAACACGAAAAACATGTTTTTAACCGAAGTTTTTAAGCGAAAAACTGACGAAAAGCTTTTTGCCCTTTTTATGATGTGACCATCTCCACTAAAACCTCTGTAAAAGACTTTAAAACGAAATGAATCAAGAAGCGGCTTTTTTGAATCCGCTTGATAATTAGCTTTCGAACGAGCGTCCAAATTGATTAAAAACGTCCAAATTGATTGAGTTTGAGAGCCTCTCCCAAAAAAACCGCACGAACTTTTCGTCCGAACCCAATAGTTTACTAATCATTCACTCTCACCGACTTCCGCATCCTCCTTGAATCGATTGACATTTCGGCCGAGGAGCATACTCATAGAGTTCATCAGTGTACAAATTCGATAAGCCATTTCCATTGCTGGAATCGTTTTTTCATTCATACTTTATTGTGAAATTCTACCAACTGGAGGTTCTACGTTCTATCAGGGTTGCACTGTGGTTCTACCTAGAGATACTGAGGACACGAAGCAAAAATCTGATTGCAGATTCGGATTCCTCGCCCTCGAAAACTCCCGAGTACAAACTTTCAGCTTTCTAGCTCACTTCGTTGTAGTTTTACGTTAACGTAATTTGTATTGTCGCGTATGCGTGACGGACGGACTTTTTATTTTTTGTATATAGTAGATAAGTTAAGCTTCTTTTTACTCACGTCATACTTCTTTCGCCATTCGCCGATTGTGGTAGCATCATTGGAGCTTGAACAAAATGCCGTTCTGATGTGCAGCGCGAATCATCATTCGGATATTCTTGCTCTCGAGTGCTTCTATCCTAAAACAACACTTGAAAGCGAGTTTTCTTTTACCCATAAAATTTCCATCCATTTCAATTTCCATCCATTTCAATTTTCATCCGTTTTAATTTTCATCCTTTAAAATGAAATCTTATTCAATACCTGTCTCTTCAGTCGATAGGCTTCCCAAATGAAATCGACAAACGCATGATGCAAAAAGAAAATTGGATCACTTGCAGAAGCCATTGGAGAGTACATGTCACCTAAAGAATTCTCGTGAGAAATCTCTTTCAACTTATGAAAACCCAACCCCCGACCCAAAAGTGTACACTTGAATGGAGAGCTTCGAAAGAAGAGCGATCATACGGGTATGGGCATTCCTGAATACGTTCTTTTCAAAGTTTAGCTTTAAGTTTATCTTGGAATATAAAATAGTACAGGAGTACAGGATTAGTACGTGATAGAACTGACAAAAAGCTGACAAGATAGAGCTGACAAAAAATGAGCAAGAGTACTTACTGGTCTTGGTGCGGTGTGGGCAAGAAAGGCAATCGTTTGCCGCTGAAGTAACCATTCAAGCACGTAATCCTAGATTGTATTAGTTTTGGTGCATAAGTCTTGACAATTGTTTTCAAATTTTCGTTCCTATGGTAAAGAATTCTTTACTCAATCTGTTGCTAATCTAAACTATTAAAAAGGGAATCATTTCTCTACAAAATGGCTCTCAAGAGAAATCTCAAAGCTCGCCAAAACTCGGTAAAAACGCTTTCTTTGCCTAAAATTTCCAATTGCCTTAGCTTGACGAATCATTTTCGAATTTTACAGACTTATGTAATCAAATAAGCTCTATCTTTTTTACTGTGATACCAAAATCGGTTTGTATTGAAGGAAGTGTCGAAATTCGGACCTTTTGAGTGGTGTCTTTGTGCCTTTGAAAATCCACAAAAACAACTACTTTCAAGAATCTCCCAAAAGCTATTTTGCAGAGAAACAATTAGCCTTTTTTATAGTTCAAATAGAAATTTTGTTGGTGGCGGCATTATTTTTAAAAGAGGTTTGGAAAAAAATTGTAAAGACTTATGCATCAACCTAATAAATTAGTCTAATCTTCAACTTTTAAGGTGTAAAAGTCTTCAACTTTAACAAACCTTGAACGGTGAAGCGTCTTTCCGTTGACCAACTTGTCGCAGAAGAGGGCGTGACTCCTGAAAGAAAAGGTTTAACGTGGTGAATGCTCTGGAGATCGAAAAACCCTAGTGAAACCCTTTAAACCAATACCCTAGTCAAAAAAGTAAGCTCTTCGCTCACATTGATAACTTTCCACCCAGCAAACGGTCCATGAACCACCGGTCCGGTTCCCGTTCCCATCAGTTCTGGGCTAAAATTTTCATCAAACTGATTGAATCAAAGGATCAGGGTTATTCCAGGTCCGGAGTGCCTGGATCGGTCAAAAACTGGCAAGATCAAGCCAAGACCAAGCCTGACCGGGCTTTAGGCTTTAAAATTCGATTGGAAAACCCATTAAAACTAAAAACAGTTTACCTGAAAAGTGTTGAGAATTCAGGTCTTGGTAAGCGATCCTCGAGAGTTGAGTCCCAATACGGTATATAGATTTCTGGATCGATTCGCCTCAACTCGAATTCCATTCTGTGGTTGGGATTGTGAAAGTGAAAGTGAAAGTGATCAGTTTCCCCAACAAAAGCCAACATTTTTGACTCTTGTTGGGCTCCCAAGCTATCAGACTCCAAAAGATCCGAGAAAAAGAAGACTCCATTTGCTCAAAGATTTCGATTACCTTTTCAAATACTCTCTGTGCCAGGGTAAAAACGCGGGCCCAGCATGAACACCGCCCACTTGGCCATACCTCTCATGTATCGATGCTCAAAAGGAAAATCTATGAAATCGTTTCTTTAACACGAACAAACCCATTTCATTGTATTTTCCATTCTCTTTCATCGTTTTGATCGCTTGATGAAAACGTTCTCGCTCTTCATCGGTCATCATTCGATACTCTTTTCTGATCAGCTAGAGTTTGAGTTTGAGTTTCATTTCGACACTATTCAATTCAATTTCGATACTATTCAATACTATTTCTACATTAACCTAGAGTTTTATACAGTATTTTATAGTATTTTTAGAGTATCTTTACAGTAATTTTACATTATCTTACAGTATTTTTACAGCCATTCAAGCTTTTACAGCTATTCAAGCGGTTAGTATGCTTGGTTAGTTTCAAAATATTATTTACCTTTCTCATCGGCTTATTCTGGTAAATACATGTGTTTTCAGCAACACCTAAAAATGAAATTTTCCAAATGAAAAAGGAAAGCACACCCTCACCCGTTAACTCTCTACAGACACAACTCATTGACATACAGCTATGCAAAGTTATATAATCTGTCATTGGCTTCGGTACTTCCTGTAATGGACGCTTTGATTAACTTTGATTGACTTTGATTGACACAGTTTGACTCGAGTTGAATATGAGATGCTTTATCTACTTAGATTTGTTTTATAGTTATATAATTTACAAAATTCTATTGTTTTTTTAATCAGGAATAGACTAAAAGACAAGTTTCTAAAAAACAATGCAAAAGAAGCAAGAGATGCCCAAGAGCGATCAAGAGCTGCTCTTAAACGCTATTTGCACTACTACAATCGCTACATGAATCATCAGCAATCGTTACGGCTTGAAAGCAAGCTCTACGCAACTCTACGGACAAAAATGGATCAGATGCAGCAACTTGGAATGAGTTGGATCGAGGTTCAATTCCTTCTACAGGTTTGCAGTGGGATTTCCAGCTTCATTTTCATTACTTTTAGTCGGTGGATGTGCTTTCTGATTGCCGCCGAACTCTGATGTACACTTATGCGTTTGCTTTCTATTTGGTCAAGGACGACAATCAATCGATTATTTTTGAGGACAACCAAAGGGCGAGTCATTTTTGTGTTCAACTTTGAATGGGAAATTCTAGGACCTCGAAATGGCCACCGAGCAACTATCGGAATTCTTGGAAGGAGAAGTTGCGTTTGAGAACTTGGTGGAGGACCTGGCTCTTAGCCTAAACTCAAAAATTCTCTATAAAACCAAAGACAATAGTTTAGCAAAACAGAAACACTGAAAAAAGTAAAAAGAAAACAGATTTGTTTACATGATAATCGTTGATAAGCTTAGACTCGATTGATAGATTGATTGATAGATTGATTGATAAACTAGTTTGATTGATAGACTTGATTGATAGACTAGTAGATTGATTGATTTGATTGTAACTGACTTGATTGTGCGAATCCATCTCGTGCAATTGTTTGCAAATAGCCCTCTGAACATCATCCAGAGAATCACATGCTGAGCTCTTATTTTGGGATAATAACTCGGGGAGAAACAAAAATATCGTTAACAAAAATACCCACATTCCAATTGAAAGTTACTTTTTGAAAAGAACTTTGAAAAAGAATCAAGAGCCTTTTCCCAATCGAGTCTGATCTTTACCTTTCTTTACCTTTTCCTTTTGCTCAAGTTTTTGATTTCCCCAACTTGATCCGGCTACTTTTATCAAATTAGAGCAATGAGCGACGGAGTTTCGGAAAAAAGATCTTTCTTTTCCTTGGCTTTTTTAGATGAGAAAGGTAGAAAGGTAAAATGTCGATGAGAAAGGTAAATGGGCGCTTGAAAAGACGTGCTTATGTAATTTAAAACCTAGTTTTTGATAAGTCTTTAAAAAATGGGGGACAAAACTAAATTACCGTGACAAAATCAAATATCGTACACTCTAACCGACGAGAAACGGTTTATTTTCAAAGAAAATAGTACAGTCTTGGAGAAAGTTTTGATGTTTGTGTTGGATAAAGTCTGATATCTTTGTACTTTGCAACAATCATGCATTTCAACGTTGAAATAGTTCAAATCTTCGATATGTGAAGTGCAAGAGTAGCTTTTAGTGTTTCGAAATGAAGAAATATATTGAATGCAAAACTCTTGCAATATTTCTCCCCTCGTGAGCTTTTCCACCATGAAAAACTTAAGCTAAAAATTTTGGAGGGATATTAATCGCGGCCGGGTGGTCACAAAAATTTTTTTAAGGCCACCACCTGTTTGTCTATTTTAATATTTCTACTTTTATTATGAAAAGAATAAAAGTCACCCTTCTAGAGTGATTTGATGGGTTTACAAAGTTTTGGAGACGTTGCAAGTCTCGCGTAGTTCATTGTGCGTGGTTCATCCCGCATTTCAACGCGCAGTTCATCTACAAGTTCGCCACGCGTAGTTCACCGCGCGTAGTTCACCGCGCGTAGTTCATCGTACTTCATCGCGCAGTTCATCTACAAATTCATTGAGCAGTTCATCTACTAAGATATCAGTTTAAAGTTATGTCACAAACATTTTGTAGAACAAAAACCAAAACATTATATTGGATTGGCTAATTGATAGCGGATTTTTTGAGAGATTTCTTTTTTTAAACTCAAATCTCAGGAAATAGACGTAATGTTAAAACAAATTGGATATAAAAAATTATAAAAATCACGCCAGAGCTCGCTCTATGGCTAAACTAGTTTTTCAGGACCAAGCAGGCCTATGGCCGTAGATTGGCCGTAGATTTTGACGCCGTTGAGACACGGGAAATCCGATGCTGTATACAATTTTTGCACTTTAGTAGTAAGCAATTTAGAAACGATAAAATGTTTTTCGCTAATATTGCAAAAGAAAACAAAACTTTTTCCCGGAGTGGATCCGAACCTGCATCCAAAAAAAACAAAAAGAAGATTGGGATACGCGAGCATTTACCACTACACCATCCGGCTACATATTAGGGGATGGGAAAAGAGCCTTTATCAGCCCGACTTTTAAATTTGTCGATTTCGCGACTTCAAAACTTTGAACACTTTTTTCCCGGGTGCTTTTGAATATGGAAAAAAAACAGAATACAGCATCGGATTCCCCATTTCCGGTAGCGTCAAAATCAATCGATCAAATCAATCAAAGCGTCGATTGCATCTCAATGGCGTCAAAATCTGCTACGACCATTTTGTGGCATCCCCTTGTTAACCTGCACTGATCTTGGCCCTAAAAATGCAGATCATGCTCATAGCTCTGATTATGACTTGGAAAACCAGCAGCCAGCAACCAGCAGCCTTCCTTTTTACCAAAACAATTTCCTTCTAGTCAATTCAAACTTTTGCACTAATGCTTGCATAGTACAAAAGTTTTTGCAGTTTTTGAGTCTAGTCAAGTCTTGTTTAAGTCAAGTTTACGATTTATTTACAATCAAAAAGTGAAAACTGACCAGAAAAAGCATTATTTAACAGCAAAATTGATTTAAAACGGAAAAAAGTGAAGTAATAGTTGAACTCGATAAAAAAATTTGACAAGAATACAAATCTAAAACCTGGACTGAAGAGAAAAACTTTTAAAAACGATTTTTTTCAACTTTTGTTTTTCATCTTCTCAGCCTCGAGCTCCAGCACAGTCTAAAATGGCTAAACATTCGAAAACTCGAAAACATTCGAAAAATTACAATCAAAAAAAGTGAAACCCGACCAGGAAAAGCAAATTTATTTAGAAGAAAAATGATTTGAGAGAGAAGTGTAGAAATAAATCGAAAACCAACTTGATTATGGTATTCAGAGAAAAGTGAGCATAAAATCTTTGCTATGACGTATTTTTGTTCTTCATTTTCTCAGATTCCAGCTCAAGCACAGTCTAAAATGGCTGAACATTCGAAAGCTTTCAATTTCTCTTTACCTCATCATATTTTTGACTTAATTTCTTCAGCGCTTCATTCAGGTTTTTATTTTCGGTTTCCAATTCTTTTACTCTTTTCAGCAAACTTCTCAGATCATCATTAAAAGGAAGATTCAATCCTTGAGATACATCAAAAGCCTAAAAATATTGGGATTTCTAGAGAATTTGAGTAATTTACTTGTTGATTAGACGTTGATTGTTGTTGTGTTTGGATTGTTTGAAACGGGAATTGTCCATTGTAATCATTTCCACCAACAGCATTCTGTCCATCGTATCGGAAATTCATCATTGGCTGGAAAGGAGGTGAATGTAAGAATATTGTGGTACTTTTTGGTATACTAACTCTATCAGGCATTCAGTTACAGTATTTTGATCTAGTACTGTATTTGAACTAAACTAGAGCCTGGATATTCAGTTTTGAACTCGCTATGTCTGTCTTGAAGTGTACTTTTTGGTACTTGCAACCTTTTTCTGAGAAAATCCCAGCTTGCTCTTTTAAAGCCTAGCAAAATCATCAAATTTGAATGAATAGAAGAAGAAGGTTTACTGTAGTTTAACCACAATTTAGAACGCTAGCCTGGGATTCCTTGGAAAGTACTTTTGTCTGTACAATATGATCGCAAATTATAGCGACAACTTTTTGGAAAAGTATCTGGGAAATGCCTAATTTCTTTAAAAGTAGCAAGGATTATATAGAGCATTGTAGCCCTGATTCTTCGCAATACTTATCTATCAAAAACTTTTGAGTTGGACTTCTACAACTCATTTAAAAAGCGCTTGAATGAGCGCTAATCGACATCTCTTCAGCAAATCTATCATTTGGCTACTTTTCTATGTCAAAAAATTTCATTCGGAAAACTTTTTTCAGTTAAATTTGTGGTAATCTTATCTAAAAAACTATTTTTAACAATTTATAGCGATAGAAGAGCTGATATAACGAGATACGCAAACAAAATTTACTTAATTTTCACCTTTTTCCCTGTTTCTCCAAAAGGATCTTCACATTCTCTTAAATTTTGTGATGCCAAAACAGTTAAGTGTGTTTCTTAATGTCATTAATTGATATTAAACGCTATTTTTGCATTAAAGAAACATTGAAAAGCATTTTTTGACCATAGAGAAAAGCGGCCAAATGACAGATTCGCTGGAGAGATGTGGCGCTCATTTGACAAGCGCTCATTCAAGCGCTTTTTAAATGGGTTGTAGAAGTCCAATTCAAAAGCTTTTTGTAGGTAAATATTGCCAAGATTCAGGGCTACAATTTCCTATATAACACTTGCTACTTTTAAATAAATTAGACATTTCCCAGCTACTTTTCCAAAAAGTTGTCGCTATACTTTGCGATCATCCTGTACAATAACTGTCCTACAATTCCTAATTCTGCCTAATTCTGTAATAACTGTCTTACAATTCCCAAATTCAGTTAAATCCTGTTTTTCTCGACCCACCACAATTGTCGCTCCTCCTGTTTGATATGTTTGATTCGACGGTGCTGGCACCAAAATGGCTCTCTTGTCATCGTTTGGTGGTGGCTTTGAAGCAGTCTAAATTTGATCAGCTAACGAAAATCAAACAATAAACGCCAAGTAACAAAGCTTTTTGTAACCCAGTACCCAGCCAGCTTTCAACCTTCCCACTTACCACATTATTCGCTTTCCGTCCATCATTCAACCCTTGCGAATAGTAATATTGTGTCAATTCTGGTGCATAATCCGGGAAACATTGTTTGGTCATTTCAAAGAGTTGTCTTCTACCCGGTTCGTTCTTACTGTAAATGAATTGCATTTAGGAGTCAAGCAAACTCAATACTCACCTCAAATCCACAATTTTCAAATTTTTCTCGTGCACTTTGTCATGTTTTTTTCGTTGATGTCGTTGAACAGTGTGACGAGATTTTCCTTGATAGAAGCAAACTGAAAATGGACTGGATTGTGGGCTATTAAAGCTCTTAAAACAAAAGGTTCTATTATTGTTTAGATAGAGATTCTTGATGACAATTATAAATCAACAGTATTTCTCAAGCATTTGAAGCGTTTCTTTCTGAAAGCTGAAGATGGACCGTATCAACGTCACTGAATCTCATCCATTTCGATCAGAACTCAAAAACCCCATTGTTACATTGCATTCTGCTACATTAAGCGTTAACATACATTAAGTAATTCTACGGCATTGTATAATTGGTAATTACCAGATAGAGGCCAAAGCTAGAGTAGAAATTTTGTGCAAAATGTAAAGTGGGCAATTTTTAACTACCTTTTTTTGTTCAGGGACAAGATTCACATCTATCAACAACAGCTTGCTGATTACATTAGTCAATAAAAGCTTTAGTATATCGATTTCTATATTCTCTCAACTATTTTCCCAACTCACGCGAACACGAGAAGAACGATTCTTCCATATGCGTGAGCGCGTGTTGATGAAGACGATAAACTCGAAGGAAACGAAGCTTATCCGGCAATTTGTTCGGTCGACCACACCGCTGAATGAGATTTTTGAGTAGTTTACATCAAAATAGAGTATTTATACGAGTAGAAGATTGTTTAAACTATATTTTCTCATTAGAATGAGTTGTAAAATCTGTTCTTAACAAAGGAAAAACGTTTAAAAGTTTGCTCTTCAAAAAATCGATTGAAACAACACAAATTTTCGTTGCTTTTTCCATTTTCTCCTTTTGTTTTGTGATTAAAAGCGTTTCCAAAACGGTTTTTTTCAAAAATCCAAATCAGATTCATGTTTAAATGTTGATAAAATCTAGAAAACCAAACCAACTTGGCATTTCGTGAAATTACTCGGCCAGAGAGTTTCATTTTGTGAGCAACCTTGCTAAAAATAAATAATAAAAAGAAAATCTCTTCAAACTTTACCCCAATTTCATTCATTGTTGAAGACTTTAATCGAAAATTGAAGTTTTTTTGTGTAGGAAAAGCTGAGAAATGAATAGCTGAAAAAGTCATTTAAGCCAAGCCATTACGTTGGGGAATCTAGCGTAAACGAGACAATACAGTGAACAAAAAGCTTTGTGGGTATCTTGGAGAAACTGGGAGAGTGAGTGAAAATGATGGAAACCAATTGGATAAGTTGGTTTTTGTTAAAAGAAAGTGGCATCTTTGAATAGAAAAGTATTCGATTGTTGTTTTCAAGTAAATTTGAATGCTCTTTAAAACCTTTTATGACCTTATCAAGGTCTAAAACTGATCAATTCTTTTAACAAAGAGAAACGAATCGATTCAGGAAACACGGGAAATTTTGAGAAAAGAATGTTTGTTGGATCAAAATGAATACAATAGAAAAAACGGCTTTTGTTGGATTTCTAGGTATTTTGAATAACTCGTCACACTTTGGAGGTCTATAACTTTGTCTAGAGATAATATTATTGCTAAGTTTTTATATCATTGTATAGAGGACATTTCAGGCTTTTGAATGATACCAAATACAGCTTTATTAGTTTTTTTGATTGATTGACTTCTTCTTGATTTTTTTCGATTCATGCAAACCAGGCGACACTGCTTTAAAAGTCTATAACTTTAAAGGTTTATAACTGTCTAAAGCTAATATTATTCATAACTTTTTATATCATTTTATTAAAGATATTTCAGGCTTTTAAATGATCGAAAAAAGAGATTGTTTGATTTTTTTGAATGTCGTGAAAATCGAGACCAAAAGAGATTAGTTTCATTCTTTTGTAAAGTTAACTATAAATTTTATAAAATCAGTTATTTAATGAGCTTGATAACATGAAATATATAAGGCTTTCAAGCCATTTTGTAGAAAGTACTCAAATCATCTCTTAGAATAGCTCAACAATGGCCCAAAAGCTCAAAAAAATGGACAAAATGAGATCAACGCTCTGTGAGCTTAGCGAAAACTCATGAAAGTCCTTGACGTATAATATTACGTTTTCTATTATAATCCTTTGTCAACTTTACGAAAAACTAAAGCCAACTCTGAATTAATTCCTCGAATTTGTTGTAGTATTGGCAAGCGTTTCTTTCGTATTTCCATTTCTTTACATTTCTTTACAATGTTCAAATTCTTATGCTTTCTCCTTTTTTGTCAAGTTTTAACTCTAAAACTGCCAAAAATCCCAAAAATCCCAAAAATCCCAAAAATCCCAAAAATCCCTAAAATCCCTAAGATCCCAACGATCCCAAAGATCCCAAAGATCCCAATACTAAACGGAAATAAAGACACGAAAGGCACAAAAGGATCGGATGAAAAGAAAGGCCCGTTGGACTTGTTGGGCGGCTTACAAGAACAACTCGACAAGGCCGAAGATTTAAAAAGTCTGATCGAAAACCCGGACCAGATTTTCAAAGATCCCTCGAGTCTTCTAGGCGTTTTGCAGAAAATCCCTGGTATGAAGGCGATTCCCGGTCTAGACAAAGTGGAAGCAATCGCAAATTTCTTGCAAAAACCCGAAATGTTGACGAATTTGTTGAAAGATCCGACGAGTTTATTGAAAAATCCCGAGTTGTTGACATCAGTTCTGCAAATGGCTGTGCCCGGGTTACAAAGTGTGGCCGCACTAACGGACGTTTTGAAAAAAGTACCATTTTTAAAGGATTTACCATTGATGCAAGATCTATCAAGTATAATCGAGAACCCGGGAAAGCTTCTAACGGATCCGAAAGCTCTCACGGGACTTCTGAAGACCGTGCCTGGACTTGAGTCGTTAGCAAATCTGCCCGATTTGCTTGGTGGCTTAGGGAAATTGCCGGGAATCTCGGAACTTGGAAATCTTTTCAAAAAGATCGGAGAAAATGAGTGAGTTTATGGAATTTTTTTTGGGAATTTACTGTAACTTGTTGAAAATTTATTCGGAACAAATTTCAGAGACGCGAAACACTGCGAAGAAGGTTGGAAATACGCGCGCGAGACGACGTTTTGCTATTTTTACAAGGTGAAAACATAATTTTGTATGAAATTCATCAATTAAGCTAGAGTTTTGTAGGAAAGCGACGAGAAGTTGTTCTTCTCAGCCGCTGAAAGCGAATGCCAGGGAAAACAATCGCATTTGGCGTCAGTACACTCGGAAGAGGAAATGAAGTTTCTCCAAGGTTTTTCTATGATCTCTATTAGCTGACCAGATCTCCAATAGATAGAAAAATTGGCTTTAGAATGATACCAAATTAAGTTCAATCAATTCACTCAAAGCTGAGAAAATTCGGGTCAATGAAGCTTATCGAGTGAGCTCGTGCTGCTCGAGTGAGCTCGAGTGAGCTCGGACTGCTCGAGTGAGCTCGAGTGAGCTCGTACTGCTCGAGTGAGCTCGTACTGCTCGAGTGAGCTCGTACTGCTCGAGTTCGTCAGCGTCAGCTTCTTTTGGTACCATTCGAAAGCCAAAACGGTTTTTATCTAAAGAGAAACGAAAGAGTTGAAATTTTTGATGTTTAAAGTCCGATTACTACTCAAAATACCCGGAAAGACCCGGAACGGACCGTACTCGCACGTAGTTGAAGCGATCGAGTCAGACTACAAACTAGACATGTACACTCGGTTTGTATCAGTCGTTCCGATCTCCATCCGGACCGAAGCCTCAATTTTTCAGTCCAATCTCGGTCCGGGTCGGACCGAAGCTCCAATTTTTCAGTCCGATCTCGGGCCAGATCGAGGCCGGATCGAGGACCGAAATGAGTGCACATGTCTACTACAAACTACTATAACTTTCTTTAGCATTTATATTTTTGGGTGTGCTTTATTCGAAAGCTATTGAAATTCTCTATTTTTTGAGCTATAGATCATGTCAATCCAGCAGATTTGAAGCAAGTTACAAGCGTTTGTAGTGCCCATGTCTACTTCCAAAAAATAAACTCTAATTGTTTGAAAAAAAAGCCTTAGACCTGGCCAAAACGAAAAATTGTGGAAAGCCAGAGAGTTTCGCGTGGATTGGACTGAAGGTGCTCGACGGGAAGCGAGTGTGGGCCGACGGGAGTGAGGACGACTTTGTGAGATCGGATTCCATGAATGATTTGGCCAACTACGGGGTGATTGCAAAAGAAAAGAAAGCTTTTGGAGAATAGTCGTTGAGAATAGTCGTTAAGAATAGTCGTTGAGAATAGTCGTTGAGAAATTTGAAAGGATTGAAAGTGATCGAAAAAGACTTAATGACTGTTAGATCTGTTCTGGAGAGAACCCATCCGACTACCCGATCCACCCTCTTCCAAAAAGCGACGAACAGCAACAAAGCCGATACATTTGCAAAAAGAGATCTAAAGATAATGAATGAATGAGTTCAAATAAATTGCATCGACTTTGTAGACCCTGTAATATTGGTTTTCAATTCTTTTCCAACAATTAAAGTTTTCATTTGCTCCCGAGAAGCAGCTCTTTTTGCAAAATAGCGAAACTATGGTGGAGTGGAGGGATTGTGTCAGAGATTGAAGACCGACCCAGTCAATGGAATCTCCAAGAAACCAAATTTAGAGCTAAGGAACCAAATTTAGAGATGAGAAACGAATTTAGAGAGATAAGGAAGCTCTAAATTTGGTTCTTTGGAGATTCCATTGACTAAATTTGGTTCCTTGGGAGGATAGTGAACCAAAATTGTTAAGATAGGGAGCCCAATTTGTTAAGATAGGAAACCAAATTTGTTAAGATAGAGAACCAACAAATGGCTGCAAAGAAAGAGATTGTCTGAGAAAATACGTAAAAGAAAAGATAGGAAAAGACAAAAAGATTTATTCAGAGATACTTGATTATAGTAGAGTACTTCATAAGGATCTCTTCATCTCTTCAGATCCAGATTTCTTCATTCTACATTTGAATCTTGAGCGAGAGCTTGTGAACGGTAGGCCTTGAGTAGGGTCTAATGTTTTACTGTCTACTTAAAATGCAAAAATCTTATCGGCCACATATAGCTTTCATTTTCATCCACCCATTCCCGGGAAACTAATCGGAAACTAATCTCGGAAACTAAACTAAACTAACTAATCGGTCCAATCCATGGAAAAATCGTCGACCAATAGGTGCCATATTTATATTGCCATACCATATTTCTGCCACCGCATGGGAAGAGTTTACTGATACAAAATTCGGGACAAGTTTTCCGCTTTTGTCTTTTCTAAATAGTGAGAAATGAGTAAAAAATGAAAAAAGCATTTAATTTAAAATGAATGCTGTAAAAATATAGGCTCTAGAATAACTAGAATTCTCGCTATTAGTGAAAATTCTAGTTATTCTAGTGCAGTTCTAGCTATTCTAGTGCAATTCTAGCTATTCTAGAGCAATTCTAGCTATTCTAGGGCAATTCTAGCTATTCTAGAGCAATTCTAGCTATTCTAGGGTAATTCTAGCTATTCTAGAGCAATTCTAGCTATTCTAGAGCTTTGTTGCTAAAACTCAGCAATGTTCCAAGCCAGGCAAAACCAGAGCCCGGCCAGAAGCCAATGTTAGTCCTGAGTTATGACAAATATTACCGAAATTTCGTGGATATTACTGAAATATCGTTAAGAAGATTGCAAGAAACTATCGTTTCGATAAAGAATCTCGTTAGAATAGTGTAAAATTGTTAAAATTTTCATTAGAGACAGATAAAATCACAGTTCACAGATTCACAACTGAGCACTCCTTCACTTCACTATTTAATTCTTGCTTACAAGTTATTTTCAGATAGTTTATTTTTATCGATTTTTATCGATAAACGATTTTATCAAAATAAAACGAACAAAAACGATGGCCAATTGAATACATTTGAGATTAATGAGGTTATTTTTGGAAGCATTTCCCCTTTTGGAAGGCCTTTCATTTCGTAGTTTAGTAAAAGTCCCCCGTTTTTCTCGAAAGTTTGCCATTCGATCTGAAAATTGAAAAAATCGTTTGATTTTCAATGATTCACTTACATAGGAACCCTTTGTGACGAGATTGTATGTTTGATTTATGACCGGCATCGGACTAAATGAGAAAAGATTTGACGAGGTTACAGATTGCAATAAGTGTTTACTCATGCTTGGATCTACAGTATATACCGTCCCTTATAGTATATATCTACAGTATATAGCGTATTGTACCATTTGAGTACCTAGTAAATGGCAGCAGATTGCAGTTGAATTGCTGTGGTTAGCATGGCTTATCAATTAGAGTACTGTACAGAGCACAGTGCTTCACAAACGGTTAAACACTGTGGACTGTAAGTAAGGATTAAAACTAATAGTGAGATTGTAGATTCATTCTAGGAGATGGAGTGAGATTCTTTTTAGGAATTTAATGGTAAATAACTTGCATTGCTTACTGGATTCACAAATCAGACTAGTTAAGGGTTACTGTATTTTCTCTAATAGTAGTGCACCCCGGCGAGCCGAGTTGGTGACTATTTTACGGTTTTCAGGGTTTTGCAGAAGCTTAGCAATCTAATTCCCCACTAGATCTCATTGTCAGCTACATTTTCCAACCCCACATCGATAGGTTCTGATAAGCGGTTCCCGAGATTTCGAGCAATTTAGGCGACGCTCAGGGTGCACTACTAATATTAGAGAAAATACGGTAGTTTACTTAAAGATTACAATATACAGTGATGTCTTTTGGCTTGAGATTGTATTTTGAAAGATTGTTGAGACTTCCTAGTCGGGGAATACCTACAGATGAATCCTTTCGTATTTTTCAACCCAATCCGGGAAAGAAGTGATGTTCAAATGCCCGTTGCGACCCGATGCCCGATGAGCTGACAACTTCCACGGAAAATTCCGCATCTGGATCAAACTTGCCGTCCTCTAGAGTTAGCTTTTAACGAAAATGAATATGACAAACTTCAAATGAAAGTATTTCTTGATGTAAGGGCAAGATCTGGATAATAGTTGTCATAGTTGCCTGGATATTCTTTACTTGCCACAACTTGCCTGGATATTCTTTACTCGTCGCCACTCTCTGAACAACTCTGATACTGATAAATTTAATTTAATTATCAAATATAAAACGTTTACCCTGATCATTGCTCGTCAAAATAGTCCGGAAAGCACAACCAGCCGGTACAATGAGCGTAACGCTGGGAACGGAAAGGCAAGTACGGACAAATTTACTGGCACGATCGCTTCTGAAATTGAAAAGGCTAAATCGGTAAAGATTGGAACTCACGTGAATGTATGAAGCAACATTCGACTTGCTTCTGCTTTTGATGGAATCCCGGAGACGTACATTGGGACTGAGCAACTGGGTGACTAAAATGTGCCTGGAATTTTATCGGATCCACATCATTGCAGACCTAGCTCCTGCTAGAAATGATAGCAAATCAATTTGCTCATGCTCAGTTAATCTTAACTTTTTTCGAAAAGTACTAGTGGTATATAGGTGAAATTTTATGAAAAAGTTTAGCTCCAATTTTTCTTTTTTAGTGGTTGTTTGCTACGGGTTACCGGCTGGATACAAACTTGCAGCTGAAGATCTTCTTTTTGTGCCACTTTGATCTTGTTCCTCGAAGTTCAATCTTTCACTTACCAGAGTAATATTTCCAATGCATCCCACATTATATTTTAGGAGAATCGTGTGCGCCTGAGTGTGTCTTTTCTTTGTGATATTGATTGATTGACGATCCTTGACCCCACAAACCAACTGATAATCATCCAAGCCCATCCCTATCCTTTCAGTTGGATCTAAACAGTGAGCTATATAATTTTCTCTGAACTTACCGTAGCTCGTGAATACGGTCAGAAAAAACTCATAAAGAGCTCGCGGTAGAACTTTGAGATGCGGTATATTACATCTAGTGGACCTTGGAAAGACGAGTCAAATGATGGAAAAATTAGCTGCTTATGAGCATTGTAAGCACACTAAAACAGGTTAAGAAGTTTTTGCCTTAAAATTTCGCTTATTATTTCATTCAGATCTTCAACCTCTTCCTCTAAGTCTTGAACATTTGATGTCGATTTTCCCGGTCTCGGAAATTTTTCCTTTCGTACTTTTCCAACTATCTTTCTTCGTTTATTGTTATTTATTTAACCAAACCTCGTTTATTGGCCCCATTTTCTGCTTGAGCGTAAATTCCCCTTTGGATTTGGAGAAGCAATAATAAATACTAGTAATGGCTCTTTCACCTTGTAGCTCGGCTCGGCTGAAAGAGAGAACAGTCAACATGGTCCGATAATCGAAAGATTATGGCGATTGAAGCGGATGAAAGATTGACCTTTTTAATAGTTTAGACTACAACAAATTTGGTAAAGGATTCTTGTTTATAGAAAAAAAATTGAAAAAGATTATATATGCACCAACTTATGCACCAACGTTCCGGTGAAGATCTGAGAATCTTCACCGGAACTTTAGCAGTGTAGAGCTCTATTCTAACACGAGAGAATGAAAATCTTTTGCTGAAAATTTGCTGAAACTTTGTTTCTATTAAAGCTAAAACTGGGATTGCTATTATTTTCAGATGAGAGTCGGTGATGAATGCTTGTACCTCGTGAATTTGCGTCAATGAATTTGCACAAAGAACAGAGCAAAGAGATCGTCAAAGCGGCGAATGACTGAAAGAACAAAGAAGTGATTTGTAAAGTGATTGTGATTGAGTTTTTTGATTCAATCACATCGACATTGTGATTGAGTTTGTCAGGAATTTTATTCAAATAATAATACGATAAATCAAATTGGAGTAAAAACACTGTCCTCATTCGGGACTGCAAAAACCCAATCATCGAGATCTTTCATCGCATCGTAACACGTTGTACCCGTCGTTTTTAAACATTTTTCTCTTTTGGTGTCGTTTTTTGATCTGAAAATGAATTGAAAAGCTTTTTGTTTGCAATTTTGAAATGGAAATAAGTGATACAATTGGGATAAAAGCTCAATATTTTACTTATCTTTCAGAAAAGTCAGCCTGAAAGTCGTCAGGGATCTAGGGCTATCCCTTACAGAATTTTTACCTGTTTTTAAGCTGAAATCTGTTAGATTACTGTAGTTTAACTTGGCTACAGTATCCTTAAACTGTTCAGTATCCTGCCGTATACCTAAATTACCGTAATCTTCGCACTTCTCACCTCAATCGACACTCGCTGAGCACTGGCAAGGTTATTTCCGTTTTATAGCTTGGCGGAATGGGAAAGATCTTATCCAAAGTGTTCCTCATTGCCTCAAGTTCGTCATCCTAATGAATTTGGGTAAATGCATTGCTTAAGTTCCCGTAGTTTATCAAGATTTTCAAGCTTTACCTCAAAAAGTCTCAAATTGGCATCAAGGAGCACTTGTTTGCTGGTTCGAAAAGTCTAAAAACAAAGTCTAAAAAGCCAAATACGGTCAAACCTTGATGGCAAAAAGATTTTAAGGTTTCATGAAAAAATTCTGAACAAAATGGCTTACAAGGAAACTCCTTTAACTTGCCCTCGAGTCAAAAAATGATTTAGGTACCATTCGATTAGAAAAAAAATTAACTATCCAAATCTGGTGTCCAAATTGTCCAATGCGGCTTTAGAACGGAAATATTCAAGGTCAAAATTCAACTTTGAAAGCCTTTCTCAAATTTCTGGAATACTATTTTCTTTTTTTTTGTTATCGAAGCTAAAGTTATACTAATTTTACCCGTCGGGATACGGAAAATTCTGTTTGCTAACTAGGTTTTTGTTATCGACGTTTTTGCTAACAAGTGCGCTTAGGCTCAGGATTTGCGCTTGTCCGCGAAACTTTTTGGGAAGGGTTCAATTCCCGTGCTTGCTCCCTGTTTTTTTGCTTGCTTTCTTTTCAAAAATTCGTTCGAAAATTCGAAAGCGTGGGAAGAGCTCGATCCAACCTATTTGGTCGCCACCGTTGACTTCCCGAAACGTCTGCGAGCCTGTTCAAATCCTAATGGTGGCCGATTCGGATTTGATAATTGATTTATAATTGTTAATCTACGATAAATGTTATTCAGTTAGAAATTTGTCTGTTTTGCTCTTGTTTTCCTTAAAATCAGAACCCTTGTTGCGACAATTATGGCGCACCCTGTAGTTCAAATCCATTGCAAATCAAGTGATCATTTTACACGATTTTCTGCTTCGTATTGATCAAAATTTTCTTCAGATATGAATGACTTTGATGCAAATATTCTACTTGGAAAGCTTGTATTATTTTTTGGACAGAAATAAACGAATTTTTGAAAAAAAAGCAAGCAAAAAAACAGGGAGCAAACACGGGAATTGAAAGTTTCGCGGACAAACGGGAAGTTTCGCGGACAAGCGCACTTGTTAGCAAAAACGTCGATAACAAAAACCTAGTTAGCAAACAGAATTTTCCGTATCCCGACGGGTAAAATTAGTATAACTTTAGCTTCGATAATAAACATTACGGCTTTCCACGCTTCACTGAGTAGCTGAATTCTAAAATGCGCCCCAAACCGCAACTATTCAGTCTGTAGCTGAGTACCTTTAAGCAATGAACGTATAAAAGGATTTCTTTTCTGTATTTGTAGATATTATTATATTTATATTATAGAAGAGATGAGAAGCTAACCTCGGCATTATAGTTGTTCCGCATGTGCAAGTAAACGGCTTGATCCTCGTTTAGCTGAAATAGAATGGGTTTAAGCTGATAAACTACGGTAAGAGCAAACATTTTGCTACCTCTAGCTAATTGCTAAGTGTTTTGCTTTGAAAATTCTATCACAGAGTCAACAAAACATACCCTAATCTGTTCCTTTTCCCCAAAAAACTCGAGCATCTCGTGAAGCCACGGTTTCTTTGCTGACGCCGTCTCGTAGATGTACTGAAAGCAGCTGATTTCTCATTTTCAGCAATTTTATACTTTTGTGTATTGTTCAGATCGGTATACGGTTGTTGATTTGAGAAAATTCAATGTCTTGAATTCTTTGTAGTTCCATTCATCCGCACTCAAGCCACCACTTGGAAATGTGAGAGCCGTAGCCTGCAAGCCGAGAGCGCCCACTGAAAGCTCCCGAACAATTCTGTGATTTGTGACCCTTTCCCTAACAATTTTTAAAGTCAAGTGTAAATGTAGATTCATAGACAAGTACCAATTTCGCTTTACAAACCAGTTTTTAATGAAATTTCTGTTGCTCGACTTCCCATAAGTCTTTGTGTCAAGCTGAGAAGATTTTCTGATGAATTCCTAGAAGCGATGATTTGAACCTTGTGATTTGAAGACTAACCTGACATAAAACAACTCATCTACATCGTTCATCGTTGTGTACTTGCTGTCCGACCAAACTGAACAGATTTGCGTGGCGATGTGAACAGAATTATAAAAGATGTGATCATTCGGGTTGTAGTCGGCCGTGAAGGGCATCCACGGGAAAGTGCCGACTTCGACAAGACCCTCAAATCGTAAAGAAATCAAATCAGAGCTGAGTGGTTGGTAGGAGAGTTGGGCTAGGGTGGATAAGTTGTTAAAATAACCACGGAACAGAATGTATATGTCGTAGCCGATTTTGAATTTCAGCCGAATTATAATTCGGCTAGCCGATTTCTAACGAAAATTTTCCGCTAACCAATTTATAACAAAACTGTAGCGTACTTTTTTGAACTTATGAAACATTTCTATTTTTTTTATAGCTACTATTAATTTGTTTTCATTACTTTCGTAATGTTTCCTTTACTTATAATATTTTTCTATTTCAGGTTGGAAGATCGAATTTCTCAAACGATTGGAGGATTTTTTCACCAATTTTCTCACCGATTTTCTCATCTTCAAATTACCGATTCCCTCGGCTGACAAATACAACGAAATAATCGAGAAGCTTAAGGAACTTGCAGATAAAGGAGGGAAGCAAAAGAAATTACAAGAAGAAGGGAATCGAATATCATGGAAAAGAAGTACAGTTGACTCTCTCTATAACGGAACTCTATATAGCGGAAAGCTCTATATAACGAAATGGAATTTTGGTCCCGACCGACGCTAAGCTATTTTAAATATAAAAAACTCTATATGGCGGAATTCTATATAACGGAAACTTTCTATAACGGAGGAAAAATTTGGAACCGCTTGTATAACGGCCCCATATATTACGGAATAGTTAGGATATTCAGTCATAAAATTGACTAATTTACTGTTAAGCTCTTCAATATTACGTAATATTTTATTTACATAGTGCTTAAGTATACATATGTATTTAAAAGTTTACGTTTTATTATTTTAGATCTTTCTTACTCATTTTTCTTTCCTTTTTTGCTCTTTATACTATCTTATTTTAGGGATGGTGATGAACAAACGAATAATTTTCTCTCTTGCGCTGAAGGCTCAAGTTATCGAGGATAAACGAGGAGGAAAATACACGAATGATGAAACTCAAGCCAACTGTTATTGCCCTTTTTATTTTTTTTTTTTATGTTTTTTTTGGACTTTTTTTTACTGGGTTGAAGAAGACTGTTTTTTATGCGATTTTAGCACAAAGCGAATCAATATTAGAAGAAACTTCGACTTCATCGCCAACAATCAACAGAGCACGTGTGGCGAAGCACGAAACTTTAGAAGAGGCGATTCTATCATGCTTCAAGAAGCAGCGCAGCCGAAATACTCCGATTAGCGGCCAAATTCTTTGTGAGAAGGCCCTCTCTCTTACAAAAGGCTTTGGAAATACCGATTTTAAAGCAAGCGAAGGATGGTTGTCGTCTTTCAAGAAGCTCCACTCGATTTAAAGAAAGTTTTGAAGATACTGAAGGATGTCAACGTGGCCGAATTGGCTGTTTCGAAGATAATTTTCCCCTCCAGCAAAGGCATGACAAGGTCAGGACAGTGTCCAGATCTCGACCTGGCTTTTAGCTTTGTCTTACTTAGTTTTTGATCTGTCCTATGCAAATCTTCAACCTGCCAAGGGTGCACTTGGCTTCTGAACATGCTTTAGCTTGACTGACCTAGCTTATCAACCCAAGAACCAGAGCTGAACCGAAGCAAATGAGAAAAAGTATCCACTGCCAGGTAATAGATGGGTAATCCATTCAAGATTTCTCTTAAACTCACCTCATTCACATAATAGTCGATCAACTGCTTCGTCACTTTTGACAACGAATGAATGTGAATGAGAATCTTCTTGATTCCATTTTTTCGCTTCCACCACTCAAAGAAGACAAACAAACGAGGCCAATCATTGTACCTAAACTGATGATTCGGATTCCAATCTTCTTCAAATGATTCCTTTCACCAACCAAAATAAGGGTGACAAAATGCACGATTTCATCTCATCTTTCTCTTCATAATTCTGAGCGATTTGGTGCAATTTCACTTTTCTGCTCTTCGTTTTCCGGCTGATCACAATCTGAAATTGGTAAGAACTTTAAAGCTATTGTATATTGTATACCGTATTTTCTCTCATAGTAGTGCAGCCTCTAATAGTAGTGCGGTCCTAGAGGGGGTCGAAAAAATAGTAGTGACAAAGTAGTGACGGCGATTTCGCTGCTTCGATTGGTTGGCGGAATAATTTTATGGCAAGACACGGATTTTCAACCCCTCGTCCCACAACTTCATGCCAAAAGGAGCCGAAGGAATACGTGAAAGCGCTGATCGAGTACATCTTTTACATGGAGGAAATGCGCAAGAAGAACAATTACGCATCGATTTTGTGACGATCTTGACCTTTGGGATTTTTCTTGACCAATCGAAGAGTTTAACAATCGCCGATAAAGGATCCAAAGAAGTAGCAGTTCTCTCAACAGGACACGACAAAATGCGAAACACTGGCATGTTGGCGGCTCGAGAAGACGGATTCAAATGCAAGAGGGGGTTGAAAAAATAGTAGTGCGCACTACTATTAGAGAAAATACGGTATAAGCTATGGCATATTGTATATAAGCTATTGTACATAATGAAAGCTATTGTATCTGTTTTCAGCTGGATACTGACTTCGTCTGAAACAGGACCCTCGTGTACAACGGTTGCGAAATCCATTCCCTGAAGAAGGCAATCGGCACAGCCACCAGCTAAACATAAACATATCAATTTCTATCTTTATTGCTTGGCATGGTATGGGCAAGCTGTGTACTTTGTGTTAAAGAGTTGCTAATACAAGAGTTACACGACACGACGACAGGACTACCTAAGAGCTCTGCCAGGTTCGAACAGTTCATTCATGAGTAAACAGGGACGCAAATAAAATGTTGAGCTTTTTGTGAGCGAATAAGATTTAGATGCGAATCAATCCTTAAATTTCAACCCTCATAAACCTCACTGCTGATCCCGTTTGCCCATTCAAGAGGTAACACTTCCTGTCCATCACCCACATCAACCGTAATTTCTTTTTTGTCCAGATCACGACAAACAGCGTTTGCCAAAAAGCGAATCCTTGGCCCAAGTGGGTCTCTAATTGTGAGTTTAACTTGAAAAGATAATAGCCGAATACCTGATGTCATAGTAAGCATAATAAACAAACATCTCTTCACCAGTCAGATTGCGATCGATTAGCTCGAAATCTTTCATTTTGAGTCGCTCAAAACGTTCAAGAGATTTGATCTCGTTATCTGAACTTTTAAGTTTTTTGATGAATTGAAGAAAAAAGTGCAATTGCAGTCTAAAGCTTCACTAATGAGAAGTTAGAGATTTAAAATTAGGACAAACGACCAATTTGATTCATATTGTACCTTGAAATTGATTGAGTAATGAAATTCCCTTTTAGAATGATGAAATTCGTTGAATTTTAAGACCAAGTAAGTAAATTTGCATAACAAACCCTTCGCAAGTGTACTTTCTGCTTGATCAACATTGCTTAGTCTGCTCATCCATTCCATCATCGAAGTCTCTTCGTTACTTTCAACCTTTTGCACCTTTAGAATAATGAACACAATTGCCAAAAAGGCTAAGAAATAGAAGATACGATTGATTTTGCTCATCTAAAAGGAGTAGACAGTAAAATGTTTTAAAATTAAATCCTCAAAGGATAAAAATCCATGAAGGACCGTAATCTCCGAATAAATCTTTGTGCCTTGTCGCTTCTTTTCTTTCATTTATCTTCTCGGACAATCTCTTTCTTTGAAGTCATTTGCATATTTTGCAAAAAGGGCTGGTTTTTGGGAAACAGAATAACATTTCTGAATGAATTACTTATGGTTAATTGTAAGGCAAATTAAATCTTTTTAAAATGTAGACCAAGGTGCGTACTTTTTGTGCAGACACAATCGCGCTTATCGCCATTCATCAAAATCTGCTCGATTTTTTCGTACATCTTTAATTTAATTACCCAAGTTTGAGATTTTCTGTCGGGCGCTCAAACAAAAACTAGTCAGCAAAGATGTCGTATATGCTCCCGCATCTAGAAGTTTGGTTGTTTTATTTGAAAAAATAAGACTCACCTTTTGCTTCTCCCGCAACATTAAACGATCAGGAACTTCTTCCCATTTGAATTCTTTTGATAACGCCGCGAGGATAACCGCTGTTTTGTAATTGTCACGCATTCTAAGCAATTTAATTAAATAAAGTGAAAATTAAGAAATCTAGTGCCAGCATTTTTTTGTTCCTTACCACAATGGCTATGCGTCAGATAGTGCGCGATTTTGCCTGCCACACAAAGTTTACTTTAAGATTGAGAGCTGAAACAAAATCAGCTCTAAATGTAGGAGTAAAATAAACAAAATTTAGTGTTAAACAAAACGTTACGCAATATTTAGATAACCAAGAAACCTGGAAAAAAGTATTTAAACAGTCTTTAACAATAGCAAAAAAGTTGAGCCGCAGCCGAATCTGACAGGGTCAACTGGATAGGCTGACCAAATGACATGAGCCATAGACCTATTCAATGCACGTAGATTCAATGGTGGCCGAGTGGTAGTCAACTAGAATGCTAGGCCTCTCGGGTTCGAGTCCACAGTTTAATTTTTTTTTTTTAAAAACCAGCCAGGGACAAAAAAGAGTGAGAGCCTCGCACTATCCACTAGGCCAGAGCTCATGTTTACAAACGTCTGTAGACCCTTTATGACTTGTAGTTGCACGGTTTTGGTGGATGCCCAATTTTGACGTAAAGTTTGAAGCTAAGTATCTCAAAATTTTAGGACCGTCATCTCCAAACGACATACACCATCGGAATCAGTGCAAAAAACTGAACAAGATGTGCTAGGTCTCGGCCCAAAACCGTGGTGTAAATCCAAAAGCATCCCTAGTCAACGGGGTGTTGAAAAATAGAAGCACATGCACTTCTATTGGAATAATTACGGTACGTAAAAAGTGAGCCTTTTTGGTTCTTGACAAGCTCTAGTCAAAGAAAACTATGCTGTTAATTGAAATGCTCAATCATTTCGGTGAAGGTTATTTTGAGGAAGACCAAATCAAGTGCATATATAGAATAGGCATATCAAATCAATGCATTTACAGCAATTACGGAGATATTTCATTTCACTCTTCAGCAAATTCTTCCTCTTTAGAACAGTTTCAGTTTTTTTCCTAATCTTTTTATATCGATGAACAGTCAAGAAGATGATCATCAAAATGAAAATGGGCTTATGAAAAATGACTTATTAATTATGTCATTAATTAATTACAAAATTAATTACAATATACAAGCACTTTCTTTGTGTATTTCTCGAGTCTCAATATGTGTGTAATGGAGAGAAAAAGAAAGAGATGTGAATGAGCTGAGAAAAATGCGATGCCTTTTTTGATTGACCTTATCAATCAGTGAAAGATTTGTCTAAATTTGATTTTCTTCATTCCTGTTTTGAGGTGAAGATGAATTGAAATGAGTGATGATCGAAAGAACAAAAAGGTTCAGCTCTGAGCAACTGAGGTCACTGAGCAAATTCGAGAGTCTTTCAGCAAGTTATTTTATTTGCACCTTTATCAAACTACGATGCTATGCATTCAAGCTAGAGATTTTCACTCTTAGCAACAGCTTGACTCTCTTTAACATCAACTTCTCGAGTGCCGTAAAGTCTGTAAGAAATCCCTATACTATCATTAACTTTGCGCATTCCCTTTGCAAAGCTGTTTTAAGCCACAAGTGAGTGTAATATACAAAAAGATAGCTCTGGATTTCAACTATTTTTGTAGAACAAAAAGTGAAATTAGAGCTCTTTCAGGTGATGAGATATAGGCAAAAAAAGTCGAAGGAGCACGATCACGCGATGCTCCTATAGAATGGAGCTATTGCAGATTTTGCAGTAGAAAAGATGATTTTACGGGGTCAAGCGGTGTTTTTCTTATTAACCTCTTTTCACGTTTAGACCAAAAAACGATTCATTATCAATGTGCTTGGTTTGAGGTTTTCAAAAGTTTTAACCCTCCTGAAAAGCGCCCTTTAAAGGTTTATTTCAATTTTCTTCAATTCTTGAAAGTCCTTTAAAGCTTCAAAGTTTCAACTCAATTTTTACACGTTTGCAAGCTTATTTGGCAGATTTTGATTTAAGATTATGAATCTCTATACTCGATTTAGTCAGATGCATGTGGTCCGGATGCAAAAGCTCACGAGAAGTTCGTGCCTTTCCCTAGTCAGCGTTATTCAGATGATTCTCTTTTTGCTTTTAAATCTCTGCCTGATCACATCGGCACTCGACTTTCCTGACATCGACAGCAAGGGTAGGTGAAAATTCATGTTCACATATCGTTTTATTAGGTTGTAACATTTTTTTTCATAAGCCCATTTTCCAGTGAGTGAATTTACCGATCAATTTATGGTTTACTCTATTATAAAGCTATCTCTATTATTTCTATTATTTCTATTATTTCTCTACAAAATGCTATTTGAAAAACTATTTGAAACTTATCAAAAGCTTACATTTTTGAGTTTGCTGAAAGGCGGGTAGTCAAAAAAAAGTCGATAAGTTGATGAAGCGATTCGAGCACTTTTTTTGTTCTCTAACCTATTTTGGTGTCAATAGAAAAAAAGATAGAGCATCGAAAGCTAGACAAATAGTCAAAATTTCAGCTTGTTAAACCATTTTCATTGTATGATTGATTTACGAATTTCGAAATTTTCGAAAAATCAGAATTTCTGCTCAAATTTTCCACCCAAATTTTTTCAATTTTCCAAATTTGCTTAAACATACAGTCAGCAAAAAAAAATTCAATAATTTTAATAATTTGTAGCAGCTCCTTTTGTTTGAATGATCTTTTTTAGTCTTCTGGGGGTTTATGAGATTAAATTGAGCAATATTTGTTCAGAGATTGCCTTCCATACTTGCTCCACATGGGTCCATAGTTCAGCCTGGTTTCGAAATTTTTGTCCTTTGAGTTTTCCCTTAGCAATTGACCACAAATGTTCAATTGGGTTGATATCGGGACTGTAGGGTGGTGTTGGAAGTAATTCCAATCCATTTTGACGAAACTAGCCGGACATCCTCACAAAAAATCCCCTTCGAATCTTTAATTGACGTCCCATCATGAGCTGACTTGTGTGCTTCGGGTCTCCATCTTGCATGAATAACCACCCCTGTCCCATTGTGGCTTGTGCATGAGGTAGCATATAAGTCTCCAGTATATCCATGTACTTTTGGGGATCCATGATTCCGTCGATCAAAATTAGCGGACCAACGTCGGACGATGACATGCAACCTGAACATAAACACAATTAAGTAGTTTCTAGGAAAACGTGAACAAACCCCATATCATGATTCCACCACTTGAATTTGATCATAGGACAAAGACACTTGAGTTTCTAGCGTGTTCGAATAGGTCGTCAAATCGTTTGACCACCATCCGGGTTGAACATGCTGATTGTAAGAGAGAGAACTCTACCTACCGTCCAATGTTTATACATCTTTGCGAAGGCCAATCTCAATCGCCGATGCCTCAGAACCATCAGAGGCTTTGGTGCTGGTCGTCGAGCAAACAATCGGGTCGATTTGAGTCGATTTCGAATCGTTTGAGCGGTACCTTAAGTCCAAAGCGAGATTGAAGCATCTTGATACCGTTGGTACTCGTCCTGTTTGGATGCTTTGAGAAGATCCTGATCACTAAACGATCCTGTCTGATTGTTGTCTTAGGTAGTCGACCACTTTTTGGATGTCGTTGCACATTTCCCTCTAGTTTTTGTCGTTTGCAAAGCCGGGAGACGGTAGAGTGGTCAACGATAAAGAGATCACAAATGGCTAAATAAATAAAACTATACAATGCATATTTTTAATCGAACAAACCTTAGAGTGATTGGTTGATTTTTCATTAAAAAAGGGCACATGGCTAAAAATGACTCACCAATTATGTTACAACCTAATATTTATTACAGTAATCACACCGCTCGGTGGCCACAACGTGACAACGGAAAGGGTAACATTTTTGACAATATTAGCAACTAAATTTTTCCAAATGCTTAAACAACGCTGAAGCGACTTTCGGATTTTCAATCAAATTTGATTAACTAAAATCAAAGAAATTTAAGTTTTTTCCGTGATATAAACGAAAAATTCAGCTAAATCAAGGCTTCGGAGTGGAGTTCTGTTTGATAGGAAAGACGGGCATCACGATCACCCAATATATTCTCTGCGATGTACTCAGAGAGTACAAGGGTATTCCCTATGTGCCACAATACAAACGACAGCTTCACTACAAAAAGTAATTTTACCTATATAACCGACTCTCGATTTAGCGATTTCCGTTTTCGTTCGGTTCCTATAGAGGCATTTACCGTATAAAGACGTTCGATATGACGATTACTTGAAAAATTCTGGTACCTTGCGAATTGTTAAATCGCGCTTCAAGTCTCTTCCTTTTTTATCCTGCTACTGCTTTTTCAAAGAATAGCTTCCCAAATGATCCTTGTGCTCATCACTTTTAAATAAAATGGTTTTTATGAAGACGAATGAGCAATGAGAGTTATCCTTTTCTTTAGAGATTTGTTAGAGTTTAGTGAATGCCGAGAACACAAAAACTATCGCTTTATCCGAGGATCAACATGGGCGCGTCCAACTTCTGAACCTGTTGTGCGTTTCACTCTGGTTCGCGAGCCGCTTGACCGTTTCATATCACTCTACGGATTCGTATGCAAATAGTGAGTTAAGTGCTACTGTAGAGAGAAGCAATAGAAATATGTATACCCCAAATTTGCCTTTTCAATTTCCATTTGAATAACTATGGAGCACCAAAAGTAAAAATCTGCTTTTAGCTTTTTGTTTATTCCGTATTCACTTCTCAAATGTAAACAAATGCAAGTTTAGGGCTTTAGCTAATAAAGGTATAACGAGAAGCAGTTCTGAAACTATGAAACTTGCGCCGTCGTGAAAAAACGAAAATTGCGCCGAATGGAATTGTCATTTACGAAAACTGCGGCTTCTTTTTCTATCAAAAGGTGCCTTAAATTCGGCTACACGATGGAAAAATCTTTTAGGAAAACTGTTGTTGGAAGAAAAAAGGGGCAAAGGAGGGGCGTGCACGCAATACTAACAGAGGCCGTCTTTGTATGGGTGTGTAGTGTTTGTCTCTCCTTTTTTTTTTTTTTTTTTCGTTTAGACCATCGTGTAGCCGAATTTAAGGGCTACATTTTGATACCAGATTTGCACAAAGCAAAGGCCCTGGTAAATAGCAATTCTATTCGGTACGATTTTCGTTTTTACACAACGGCCCAATCTTCATGCTCCTGCAATTTTTAACAATTTGGTGATGAAAAGCTTTATTTTTGCCGGTGTAAATGCAAATCTTTAGTGGCTTAAAAGCAATATCGCACAAAGCTTTCTTTAGCCGATCCGAATGCCCAGCGGAAATCCGGAACATTCATCGTTTTGCTCGCTGGCTCTATCACAAGCAAAAGATGGCACTTGCCGGCAAGCGATTCCCGTCTGAACGTCTTGAAGACATTTTGGCACATTCTTGGCCTCAAACAAGGTAAAAAAAACGGAATATGATGGCAAAAAACTATTTTAAAACAAAGAAATTGAAGAAAAAGAGACTCAAGTACAGGGTGTCCCACAATTATAGTGACGAAATATCAACAAAAGTCTATCGACCTTATTTGTAACGTTCCAAACGTTTTTTCATTGAATCGGTCAAAAAAATGTCCTTTTATCCCTTTTCTGACTTTCATTCCGGCTGTTTTGAGGATTCGATAAACCGAACTTTTTCCAATACTAACAGACTTGGCGATTTTTCGAACAGAATTCTTTGAGGAGTTGGGATTCCTTTTAAGTGAATCAAAAATCTTTCGACGATTTGTTGAATTATTGGCAATCTTTGGTGGACCTCGTTCTTTACGATCTTCATTGGAGCCCGTTTCTTTGAAACGCTTCAGAGCCCGGAAAACATTCTCTCTTTTTTCTGCAAGATTCGAGATATCTCTGCGAGTGTTTTTACTTGCTGAGAGTTTTTACTTTGCTCTTTCTTAGGCTTCATACCTAAAAAACAATTGAATCGTCGAGTTAATAAGAAGGAAAAAAAAAGAAAGACAGAAAGCAGTTAAACATAATTGCGCAACCATCATTAGTGGGCTCAAAATTTCGAAAGTTTTAGATTGTTGAATTTTGTGTGTAAAGCAATAAAGCTCAAGAGCGTCCTTTTTGACTTTGGCTAAAGACAGAATTGGGGGCAAAAGGAAAGACCATTGTTGATCACGAAATTACGAATGTCAAGATTTAGTTTTTGTGGCCTAAAAGATAAGATGAGCGATCTTACCTTTGTGCATCACTCGACGAATCGAACAAAGATGCAAGACGAGATGATGAGCGTTTTCGATAAAGCTCATGTCCCCGCGGAAGTCGCCAAAAAAGTGAACCTTATTGAAAATCTTTAATACCAAATATAAGCTGGCCTTAGTTTCAAGGTGAGGATGAAAAAAGAGAACTCGTTTTTAAGGCACTCGCTCATTTGACTCGATCGAGCACGGCTCACGCTGGAAAGAGCGAGAGCAAGCGGGCACTACTCGAGGAGATCAAAGGGAACGCCGACACAATGCGCTACATCAACGCCATGTATCACGAGGATTTCGAGTTCTTGAAGACACACACTTTTACTTAAGTGATCGATCTGCTTTTATGCTTTTTATTTATTGAGTTTATACTAACAAGGCTGAGGTCAAATGAACGGCCAAATGCTTTGCGACCTCTATTATTCGACGCGGAATTTTATGCTGGTTCCGAATGTATATTCCGTTTTTGCTAAATGACAATCTGCCAGAAGTTGCAAGCGTCTAAAGTTTTGTTAGGGAAATGTGGAGCTTAACCTTGCCCTTGGGGATCCATTTGAGTGCACCCGTGGCCGGGTGGTACAGGGTTCGTTTCCAGAGCGAGACCTCAAAATTTCGGTCCCCACTTTGGCTTTTTTTTGCTTTTTTCAAGAAGTGCTGACTAGTGTTTGTGCGCTCGTACCACTCGGCCACCGCGGCACCGAGTCGGGCCCGTAAGGAGGCCCCTAAGACCCAAATAACCACAAATTCTGCGTCGAATGGTATAGTTCGCATAACAATTGACCGGCTCAGCCAGTTGACCTTCCCTTGTAAGTTACAAATGTTTTATTTTGTCATATTTAAACAAAAGCTAGGAACTTTTCAAGGCAATTTGAAAAGTTTCTGTTCACAAAAATGAAATTGTCATTATTTTGCGTAGACTGTACTTGTTTTCGAGACAAATTCGAGTGCCAATATTGCGCATATTTCAAAGAACAAGGAAAATACGTCAAAAAAAAATATTAAAGGCTTGATGCGTCAGGCAAATTGAGTCTTTTGTTGTTATTGTCTCGAAGAAAAGATAGCATATTGTAGGCTGAATATCCTAGCATTGTCTCATATCATGAGTACCTTGGCTTATAGCTTTTTCGTTTCTAAATTTCCTAATCAGGACTTGAGCTTGAAGTCTGGGATCAAGAACAAATAAATCCCAAGTGAATATGAATGGCATTTTTTTAAACTCGATTTATCTTTTAGACATTGAAAAACGAGGTTTTTCAAGTTGCAATAATAATTTTATTCAAAAATTCGCTTTCAACGGGAAGAAACGACACGCCATTTCCAGTTACTACGGAAAAATGACCTCGACCTCGAGAATTCTAGCCAGGCCAAACCAGAGCCCGACTAGAAGCCAAGGTTAGCTCTGAGTTATGACAAGTTCAGGAACTTTTGTGGGTATTTTTGTTGAGAACATTGCGAGAAACTGTCGTTTCGATAAAGAATATCGCTAAGAATAGTGAAAAAATTGTTGAAAGTTGTTGAAAGTCTCATGGCGAGAGACAAATAAAATAACAACTGAACACTTCTTCAGTTCTTCAATTTCAACTTCTTCAACTCAACACTTCTTCACTTTAATTCTTGCTTACATCTTATTTTTAGATGCTTCTATTCTATCGATCGAGCATCGATGCGTCGTACGTCTATTTCTGTACGTCTGTGCTTTATTTTGAGATAGCTATGTGATTTCAATCGTTGACACGTTGTAGTTGGTTTAAAATAGTACTGACGAACAGTATTTACTTGGGTTTTGTGGTTGTTAATAGTCTCAGAAAACTCGAGTGCTTTCACAAATTATTCGCAACTTTCTTGCAAACATACCGCGTCAATACCCCATGCTCGTTGTGTGGGAGAATCGACTCAACATAAGTATTGGAAATGTCGTTGCACATCTGAAAATAATGTGTATCATTTTTCCGAATCTCGCCAACCATCCACCACTGATTCGATTTGCCGGGCTCAAAAGGCGGCACCCAAAAACGATTGACACTTCCATCGACATTCACCGCTGTGCCGTTCACTTGATGTATACCTGATAAAAACGTTACTAAAATCACAGAGACGACTGACCAAGTAAACCGAGCAAACCTGGCGCAATAAAATAGAACTAAATCAGCCCCGTATTCAGTTCCAATCATTCATTTCCAATCAGTTGGGTTTATTAGCGAGACTATTAGGTTGGTAAAAACGATTTGAACGATTTGAACTTTGGAACGATCTTTGGAACGATTTGAACTGGAATTCAAAAAGCAAAACAACGAAAAATCCACCAATTTAAGAACACTTTATTCTATTATTTACAAGTCGACTCCAAGAAATTACTCGTAAAAAATGAGTGCAGCTTTCCCTTAAGATTTTAGAGATTTTTGAAAAAGGTTGAAATGCTGAAAAGTTAAAGATAAAGGTAAATTATTGGGTTGTAACATTGAAAACTGGCCAAAACTTTGATAAAACGTGAAAAACAGCAACTTCTCTTAAAAAACCCATCTTGACCGTCAATGGAAAAGTTGTAGAGAATCAAAAATTAAGCTTATATCCAAATTTTCAGAACGATTCAAAAACTGGCTTTCAAGAAATGCCAAATTTTCCAAAAGAAATGCCAAATTTTCAGAAAAGTTGCATTTTGAGCGAAACTACCAAGTGTATCTTTCTGAAAATTTCGCTATATACCTAATTTTTGATTCTCTACAACTTTTCTATTGGCACCAAAATGATTTTCTTTTGAAGAAAGTGCTCAAACTGGGACATCTCCAGTCCTCCATTTTTGAGTCTCACACTTGTCTCTCGCAGAAACTCGAATTCTACAACGAAAGAGAGATCCGTAAATTGACTATAAAATAGGTAGAAGTTGTCAATAATCATGCTAAATATTTGTAATAATTTCATGGTTTCGCTTTGAATAAATGTCTTTTTGAAAAGTGCTCAGTTTTCAATGTTATAACCCAATAATTAAAATTTCCCTTAATCCCAAACTTTCCCTGTTTTAAGTACTTGATTTTAGGTTTTGAATGGGACCGATTGCCTATTCATTAACCCATTAAAAACTTGTCTAAAGGCTGGTCACTCAAAAAGTGACCAAGGCACTTCAGCTGAAGAAATATCTTATTTTTTGCCTGAGGCCCACTGATTTTTTTGTCAAAAACTACTGAAATATCAAGTTTATTAAAAAAAACTTGCGGCGAATCCATGGCTTGGATTTTGCGAAATCACCGTGCAAACTTTTTCTACGAACTTTCTTGCCAACCTAATAGAAACTGGGTTTCGGCACGTTCTACATTTCCAGGTGTAGACCAGGATAGGTCCAGGCCGAAAACCTAATATTAAGCCAGGGCATCGCTCTTCTCTTAAAAAACCCATCTTGACGTCAATGGAAAAGTTGTAGAGAATCAAAAATTAAGCTTATATCCAAATTTTCAGAACGATTCAAAAACTGGCTTTCAAGAAATGCCAAATTTGGGCATCGGTCTTGTCCTCGATCCTGGCTCGGCCTAGACTAGTCTAGTCTTTTTTACCAGTACATACCTATCCAGACGTTATGGTAAGCACCACAACCGGCATCAGACTCCGGAACTTTCAATCGTGGTCTCAAATTCGAAGAAATCATATCTGAAACTGTTTTTGTTTGAATGAACACACCAAATCGTGTTCACCTTTTACAAATTCTCTGATTTGTTTGATTTTGTTTGATTGTTTACTTTAAAACTAAAAACTGATGCTCACCTTTCACAAATTCCCTTTCGACTTTCGAGTGAATTGACACTAAATGAGCTCCTTGCTTTCTACAATTCTCTTCCGCCTGAGCCCAAGTGTAAAGTGGGGTATTAGTGAGGAAAGTGTCAGCATAGTTCTTAAATAGATATGGTGTTTCCCTTTTTCTCTACACAAACAAACTTTACCTGAAGATAATAGCAAAAGCCGGTATGTTCATTGTGAGCCCATCCGATGTCACAACTTTCATTGGATTTTATCGTGTATTTGATTGGTGGTCGTCGAATTCTAAGATTTTCACAAAGAATCAAGTTTTTCCTTGATCATCTCTTCTTGCAAACACACCTTTTCTTGCAAACAACTCCATCGGGTCGATAGGTTTCATTGAGTGACTCATTCAACCCAACAAAATACCATAAACCGTTCATTTTTGTTTGCTTACAACGAATGCATTTCTAAAAGATTGAGCAAAATATCTACCGTAAATACTGTAATAGTACCCCACCCCCATAATGACGCTGCGGAGTGTTGCGTAGTCTAGCTTTGGACGCGTTTTTCTGGACACTGGTTTAGGCTACAATGCGCAATTAGGTATCAAAAAATAGCCCTGAATTTCAGCTATTTTTTGATATTTAAGCGCGCATTGTAGCATAAACCAGTGTCGAGAAAAACGCGTCCAAAGCTAGACTACGCAACGCTCCGCACCGTCATTATGGAGGTGGGGTCCAATTACAGTATCTACGGTAGGCAAGATTACGGTAGTTTTTGGCACATTTTAGAAAACGCAACAGGATCGTAACGATAAAACAGAACGATAAACTTTTAGAGAAGTAATGACTGACTGACTTGGTGAGTTTTTTTTCAATTAACGGCTTACCGCAGTGTTGGGCTTATCTGGATAATCCTCAAACGCGGAAACTTTTCCCTCTGGCCGATTTACATTGAGAATCGCTGTTTGAGCTGGTTTTTCAACCGTTAGATCAAGCCAATTGCGATGCCCCTAAGAAATGAAATGAAAACTAAGAAAAAGAAAAAATAAAAAAATGAAATTTTCAAGGGTTTGAGAACTCTTCTTATTTACTCTATATCTCGACTCCCAGTAATCAGATCGACTTGAGGTTGGTCTTAAAATGATCCTCATGAAATTTGGCTAAAAAAAGTACAATTTATCTTGTACACTCAGGTATAAAAACATAGAGAAAATTTGTGTCAAAGTTGAACTACCTACCTGGAAAAGTTGATCAACTTTGACGGTCTATAACTCGAGGTAAAGAAATTGAATTGACCCCTTCTATGTAAAATAAATAAATCTAACAAACCCATAACATTTCAAGTCCAATCCAAATTTTTGTGATGCTCGGCATTTCAAGAGCCACTTCTAAAACAAATTTCCTTTACAAATGTTTTTTCAGGATTACTCTGAACGAATACATCCTCGTCCAATGATCTAATGGAGATCACATTTCCATTATGGGATCGGCACAACATTTTTGCGATTGAATAGCTAATTCCTGGACTGTGCCAAGCCTTAACTTTTACTTTAAAAGAAAAAGACAATCGCCCTGCGACAATCCCAGATACATTTCCTACTATTGGGTTGGTGAATTGAAAACTGCGGGACTTTGAACTAAAATTTATTCAACATAAAACCATGAATTCATTTCAAATAATTTCCATTATTATTGACGACTTCTGCCCATTTTACAGGCAATTTGCGGATTCCTTTTTCGTAGTAGGGTTTTGGTTTGTGTGTGAGATAAGTGTGAGACTCAAAATGGAGGACTGGAGATGTCCCGGTTTGAGCACTTTCTTCAAAAGAAACCCATTTTGGTATCAATAGAAAAGTTGTAGAGAATCAAAAATTAGGCTTATGGCCAAATTTCCAAAAAGATACACTTAGTAGTTTTGCTTAAAATGCAAGTTTTGTGAAAATTCGTAAATTTGGCATTTCTTGAAAACCAGTTTTTGAATCGTTCTGAAAATTTGGATATAAGCTTAATTTTTGATTCTCTACAACTTTTCCTACAAAATTCCTACAAAATTCTCTACAACACCAAAATGGGTTTCTTTTGAAGAAAGTGCTCAAACCGTCACATATGACAATAGCCGGCAGTTTTCAATTCACCAACCCAATAGATGCGAGCTCTAAAACCAAACTCGATAACAAAATCCAATATCTTCATCTTGAAGAAATTTCCACTCTTTTTCGCATTTCGAATCGTTTTCATCGATGAATTGAGAAATTTCTGAGATTTCCGTGTATCTATGGAGATTGTTTGCATTTCGAATTGGATAGATCTGCTGTTTCAAATATCTAAACATTGTTCGTAATCCGAAAATCAAAAAAATTTACATTAAGTATCCAATAAGAAATAGAATATAACAAGTGGCTCCGATTGAGAAAGCAAAGGCAAACATCGAAAATTTGGTGCTTTGCGGCTTTGTTTGATTGATCACATCACTCGAGACACTGATTCTAAATGCATTTGACCAAACTAGCACAAAAAAACTAGTGTGTAGCGTTAAAGCTTTAATTTCTCATTGATTTACCTCAAAGGTAAAGGTGAGTGAGTGTAAATCTCCTCATCAATCCGCTGATCATCTTTTTGGTCGATCATTGATGTAAGAACTGATTAGAATTAGGCGCTCAAATGATCTAATGCAAGGATTTGATGGAAAAGTGAAAAGAAATTTCTCCGTAAATGATCTTTGCTGTAAATGCATTGATTGGATATCTTGATTTGATGATTGGTTCTATATATGATCCTGAAAATGAGCCTTTTTGGTTCTTGACAAGCTCTAGTCAAAGAAAACTATGCTGTTTGTTGAAATGCTCAATCATTTCCGTGAAGGTCATTTTGAGGAAGACCCAATCAAGTGCATATATAGAATCAATCATCAAATCAAGATATCCAATCAATGCATTTACAGCAAAGATCATTTACGGAGAAATTTCTTTTCACTTTTCTATCAAATCCTTGCATTAGATCATTTCAGCGCCTAATTCTAATCAGTTCTTACATCAATGATCGACCAAAAAAATGATCAGCGGATTGATGAGGAGATTTACACTCACTCACCTTTACCTTTGAGGTAAATCAATGAGAAATTAAAGCTTTAACGCTACACACTAGTTTTTTTGTGCTAGTTTGGTCAAATGCATTTAGAATCAGTGTCTCGAGTGATGTGATCAATCAAACAAAGCCGCAAAGCACCAAATTTTCGATGTTTGCCTTTGCTTTCTCTCAATCGGAGCCACTTGTTATATTCTATTTCTTATTGGATACTTAATGTAAATTTTTTTGATTTTCGGATTACGAACAATGTTTAGATATTTGAAACAGCAGATCTACCCAATTCGAAATGCGAACAATCTCCATAAATACACGGAAATCTCAGAAATTTCTCAATTCATCGAGGAAAACGATTCGAAATGCGAAAAAGAGTGGAAATTTCTTCAAGATGAAGACATTGGATTTTGTTATCGAGTTTGGTTTTAGAGCTTAGTTTCATAAGTTTCCTATTCCTTTCCAGGAAATCCCTTGTCTTTTTGGTAGCTCACTCTATTCAGGCATGGGCCACTCCAGGAATCAGCTTCGAAAGCGCAAAAACGATGTGTCGATCCTATGATGCGAACGTCGTCTCATCGATAAGATCACATTCGGAAGATGTGTTTGTGCAAAGTAATCTCCTCATGGAGTAGTTTGTTTCCGTTTCTCTCAATCGGAAAAGCCCAATTTCTGTCAATTTTAATAGTTTATCCTTTTCAAATTGTTGAACTGTGAACATTCAAGAAACAACACATTTAGATGTGGCTCTTGGTGCGCCTACCATCACGAAAATTTGGATTGGACTTGAAATGAATTGGGTGAGAGTTTTTAATAAAACTGATAAGTTAGAAAAGCTGTAGGGCCTTCGACATTGGCAAAATCGAGATCCACACATAACGTATGGGACGGCAATTTATGGTGTTGATTCACTGAATCAAAGGGTTTCTGCTTTCATGTCCGATGAACAAATGCGATTTGTGGCTGTGGGTTTTTGCTATTATCAAATCGCTAAACAGTTTGTTCAATTTTTGCAGAAATGCATTCGTTGTAAGCAAAGAAAAATGAACGGTTTATGGTATTTTGTTGGGTTGAATGAATCACTCAATGAAACTTATCGACCCGATGGAGTTGTTTGCAAGAAAAGGTGTGTTTGCAAGAAAAGATGATCAAGGAAAAACTTGATTCTTTGTGAAAATCTAGAATTCGACGACCACCAATCAAATACACGATAAAATCCAATGAAAGTTGTGACATCGGATGGGCTCACAATGAGCATACCGGCTTTTGCTATTATCTTCAGGTGAAATCTTTGGCTAATTCTTCTTGGCCAATTCTTCTTGGCTAATCCCCGTTTAGAAGGCAGGGACAAAAGTATGGACAAAAGTACGAATAACTATACAAAAGTAGGAAAGTACGAATAACTATACTACAAAAGTAGTATAGTTATTCGTAACAAATAAAAATCTACTATCAATACTTTGTGGCTTCTCCCTTTGCCAGTCGAATTGCCTTAAGCCTCCTGGAAGGCCAATTGACGAGTTTCTTCATTGTTTGGGGGTCGATCCTGTTCCAAATCCGTTGAACTTCGCGCCCATAAGAGATCACGATCACGATTGTTTTCCTCGCAATTATTGATAGGTGTGTGCCCACAGATGCTCAATTGGTGCATAGGGAGGAGTTCTCATCAATTTGTCTCCATTGAGAGAGAACCAACCGGGCAAACGGGCCCTCTGGCCGCCGGGAAGTCGACACATCGCCGGGAAATCGGTCCCATCATCAGTTGTCTCATGTGTTTTGGGTCGTCGTCTTGTTCATACATCCATTCTTGGGGTATGTTTTAAGTGGCAAATGGGTGCATATGTTGCTACCTAATGGCCCATGTTGCTGCCTAATTGAATGACATCCATGTTTCCTTGAACTCGTACTAACGGACCAACGAAGCTTCTTGACATGCAGCCTAAAAAGGTACACAATATTAAGATCACAAAAACCATTGACTCACCGCACACCAGAATGTTTCCACCTCCAAATTTGACCGTTGGGCGGATGAAATGACCTCTATAAATTTGATTAACCGGTCATCGGATCCAAGAACCACCATCTGAGTTGAACAAGTTGACCTTGTCTCATCGCTTCACAGCACCCCCCCTTGTCAACCCCGTGCGGCCAATCGTGTTTCCGGGGCGGGCGTCGGTTCTTGGTGGCTTGGGGCCAGAGGAGGAACTGTTTTTTGTGTGATGTTGAGGTCAGCTCTCATAATGCCTCAGAGCCGGGTGGGGGTTTTTCTGCCCCTTCGATCCTCCCCTGGTGATTTTTGTGGTTGTCCTGATTCCTCGGATCGTGACATCATTCTGCGTTGTTTTTGCTTGGCGAAAATCTTGGAAACAGCCGATTTGGTGATGAAGAACCTCTGGGTGATGTCGGTCATCTTTTCTCCCTTTTTCCGCTCATCAATGATCCGCTCTTTTGTCGGTGTGTTGAGGTAGGCCATCTAAAATAAAAATAAAGTAAAGCTATTAAGAAATTAAGAATAAAAAAAATAGAAGAAACCCGTAATAAATACTTTTTTCCATACTTTTGTTTTTTGGAAAAAGGTGCATTTCCAAAAAAGTATCATAAAAAAACTCAAATTCCATTTTTAGACTTAGTTTTTTTTTGTAAATATTGTTCTTATTCAGATTTGCAATTTTAATCCTGGGCACAACTGCGAAAGTTTAAAGAATTTTGAGGAAAGAGCAAAAATTTGAAATTTTTGAAAAGTTTTCATACATTTGTCCATGACTGTAAATTGTAACTTAATGATTGTGATAAGGAAAAAAAAGATAACAATTTCCAGAACTACAAGCCTTTACTAAACGAATCTCAACTATTCACTTGGAATGAAGCAGAGAGTGACTGCAAAAAACGAGGATCTCATTTAGTCTCAATACACTCGTTGGAGGAAAGAGAATTCGTGAAAGGTGGACACTTTTTGACACTTTCTGTCACTTCCATCGCTCATTTAGATTTGATCACATCCGATCTACAGTCACAACTACCCGAACAAAGTTGGTTTGACGGCTGTACGTTGGGTCACGGTGTTTGGATCGGCTTGCACAGAGTGAATGGCCGAATAATGAACACCGATGGAAGTGCGAGTCGCTTTTTCCCTTCACTTCACTCTCAACATGACGAAGACGGATATTGGTGGGTGAGTGAACGTTTACGCTTTCGCAAAGTTTTTACTGATTGTTTGCAGATGTGCAATGATCGGGCGAATACCTATCCGGAAGCGATACAAACGACATATGATTGGGGACAGGTTTGGGTGGTGTACGGAAAATCGCGACGTACTCCCAAAATGAGTCGCTATGTTTGCAAAAAAGCTGTTAATAAATAGTTAAATTATTCTTGGGAGCATTTCGACGTATCGAGGTATCGAAATTGGTTCTGTAATTGGTAACTCCATTAACAATTAGAAAGAAATAGGCTTTTGAGAATATAGGCTTTTGATAATATAGGCTTTCGTAAAAGAAATTCCTAAGCGGTTTAATGTACACTTTATGGTGATAAAGTAAAGATGGCCATCTGTTTGCAAACTCACATTAAAAAGCAAATAACTTGAAACAAGACCCTGAAAGCTTAAGAGATTGTGGCGTAATCGACAAGCCGAAGGAAGTCTTTAGAAATGAATGGAGACTACACTGAATAAATTTCACCCTCTTACACTTAAAGGCGTTTTAAAAAAGAATAAAAACGTCAATTAAGCCTTATTAAGAGAAAATCCTTTATTTTTGCAGAGATTCTGGAAAGAAATCGTTTGGAACTGTGTAAAATTGAAAAGAAAAGGGCTGTGCAAAATTTTTACTTCAAGGATAACTTTTGACTTTTTCTTATTCTTGCTTGGCTTCACACTTCTGAAAATCAAAAGGGTTGCGGCAGAATTGTCGGTGTAGTGAGTCGCGACAAAAAAGTGACCATACTATAAAATTTTAACCCTAAATTTGTTATTTCTTTGTTATTTTCTGTTTGAATTTGTTTTTCTGGATTGTTTTTATCAACGATATTTGCTTTTTAGAAAATGGTTCGATCTTCAACGCATCGACAATATCTCGTGGAGCTTCATCGGAAGAGGCGACCGTGATCACAAGAAAGCTGCGGGTGCATAGGAACGTCATGTCTTGTGCCATTCAACGCTACAATGATACTGGATCAATGTCTGATCGGCTTGGAAGAGGCAGGCGAGCGAGCATGGTGACCAAGAGCAACATCAAGAAAGTACGCGATCCACTCCGCAAGAAGCCTAACTAACCCGCTCGAAAGATCGCCAAGAACATGGACGTATCTGATCGATCCATTCGCCGAATCATCAAGGACAAACTCAAATTGAAGCCCCACAAGAAAAACAGGTCAGCCATGCTCTCTGCTATCGCTAAACTGGAGAGAAAAGATCGATGCGCCTTTGTTTGAACGGGATCGATCACAGAAACATTTTGTTCACCGAAGAGAAGATCTTTACAGTGGAAGGGATATTAAACAAGCAGAATGATCAAGTTTGGTCTAAAACCCAACCAAATGCAACGGTTAGCCGCAGCGGACGCACGAGCTTCGATCATGGTTTTTGGAGATTTGACGTCGACCGGAAAGACTCCACTTATCTTCGTTCCTCAGGGGAGCCAAAGTGAACGTAAATTCAGATCACCTTGGCCAAAGTCTCCAGGTGAATCGTGGACTATTGGTTATCAGTCCACGATTGATCCAAAATCACGTCATAGGCAAAATCGGTGGATCTGACTTCTGGTGGACCAAACCCTGACTAATCAGTACTTTTAGTGGGCTATTCTTTACCAGAAGCATTCATCACCCACTCTCATCTGAAAATAATAGCTCAATTTTAGCTTTAATAGAAATAAAGCCTCAGTAAATTTTGAAAGATTTTCATTCTCTCGTGTGCAAATTGAGCTCTACACTCCTAGAGTTCCGGTGAAGTATTAGGTTAGTGCATAAGTCTTTACAATTTCTTTCAAACTTTTCTTTCCAATAGAAAAGAATCCTTCACCAAATTTGTTGGCCTTTAAACTATTAAAAAGATCAATCTTTCCTCCGCTTCAATCTCCATATTCTTTCGATCATCTGACCATGTTCTTTGTTCTCTTTTGTTGACTGTTCTCTCTTTCAACCGAGCCGCGCTACTAGGTGAAAGAGCCATTACTAGTATTTATTATTGCTTCACCAAATCCAAAGGGGAATTTACGCTCAAGCAGAAAATGGAGCCCATAAACGAGGTTTGGAAAAGAAAGATATTTGGAAAAGTACAAAAGGAAAAATTTGGACCAGAAAATCGACAATCAAATTTTCAAGACTTAGAGGAAGAGGTTGAAGATCTGAATGAAATAATAAGCGAAATTTTAAGGCTATATAGCAAAAACTTCTTAACCGGTTTTAGTGTGTTTACAATGCTCATAAGCAGCTAATTTTTTCATCATTTGACTCGTCTTTCCAGGCTCTACAATATGTACTATACCGCATATCGAGCTCTTTGTGAGAGCGGAATTGTACCAATGCTTTATTCTCATGGGTTCTTATCCTTTTCGATTTTGCATAGATTCCTACCAATTTCCGATTTGCACCTTTCTTTTTGTTAAAAAGCACTTCAGAGAAATCCTTTTCGCAGTCAAAGACAAAAGGCAACCAAGTACAAAAAGTGGCGAATAAACGGAGAAACTAATTACCCGGCTGAGGTACGCTTTTTGGACTCAAAAATATTAGAATACATTGAAAAAGGATTTTTTCTGGTTATAAATTTTGGCTTCAGTCAAAAGACATCAATTTTTCCAACAATTTCCTAGCTTACCACATGAATTTTGATTCTGAATAGCTTTAAAATCAGATAAACCTTTAGAAATCAGTCGCTATGCCACTTTTCCTATTGCTGTTTTTAATTCCCTCATCAATGAGTGACATTGTTGAAGGTGGGGGTTAAAATATTATGATTTTAAGTTAATTACAAGCTTTAGTCCCTCAAATGTACGCATTGGATGACGAAAATCCATCGTTTGTTCTCTTCGGAAGTGATGTGAGAAATGGGGTGAGCAAGGGGAAAAAATCTTAGAGAAAAATCAATAGAAAAACTATATCCTACAGTATACCTCATTTAAAATCGTCAAAAAATCAAAAACCCGAAGTTATCTAAAGCTAAAGCTTTCTTTAGTCCACAATTTTGATCGATATCGGCAATTCGACCGATTCTTTACAAGGCGGCGCCGGTAGTTCTCTTAAGGGAGGGTCTGCAAGAAAAATTTTTTCCCAGTTTTCACAACTTTGGGTAGGGGAGGGGGGGAGGGGTTTTTTTTTTTTTAATAAATTTTTTTTTTAAATGCTCTTTTTGAAGATCTCAACAATACCGATTTTGTCCTGAAAGCTTACAATGGAACAATATTTACGTAAGTGATTTCCTTAAAAGCCTCTCTATTACTAAAGTAAATAGCTGCAACTCATAACTAGCTGGTAGCATAGCTTATTACGGTAGCTTCTACATCTTTTAGGAAGTCTAGAGGAACAAAAACTCCTTTTAGCCATCAACACCTTTTCGATCAAGGTAGAAAAGGATTGATCTTTGGCGGTCCACTCATCACATTGCTTATCGGAAAGAGCTCATCAAATCGCTTCTACATCTCGTTTACCCGAAATTTTTACCGTTATTCGAAAACCTTTTCCAGTTTACAGTTACTTTAGGTCACGAGATCGAAATCGGAATTTACGATCCGAAAGCTACCAAAAACTTTTACGAGCTATCCGCCTATGAAAATCCTCTAATGTTCACCGTCATCAACAAGGGATATTCGAGGGAAAGTTGCCACGAGTTTGAGATTGAAAATCTGGATGTAATTGGAAATGGATACAATAATCTGGTTAGTTATTGACTAATCAGAGGTACTGTAAAGCTACAGTATTGATTTTTTCAGGTTAGACCAGATCAGAGCTAGCTGCATGGCTGGTTTTTGATCTGATCTGACACAGCTTGGTACACAAATACTATTGGGTTGGGGAGAATGAGTCGGCGAAACTTTAAAGGGACTTTTTGCACACATAAAGCCTTCTTTAAACATACGTTTGGTTTCATCAAAAGGATCCACTATTTCTCTACAAAATGACTTTTGAGAGATTCCACAAAGCTTTTCTTTCGTGGAGTTTATGAACTTCCAAACGCAGCTGGTTAAAATGGCAAAGAGTCCGACTCATCATTTGAACAGTTTCTTTCACATAAACCTTCTTTGGTGTTTATCTAAAAAAAAGATAGAGCACATTGAATTACTTAAGTTGCCAAATTTGCAGGAAGATCCCACCAATGGTTTTTTCTAGATCACAGTTTGTAGTTTTTGTCAAAAAAATGGCTTTTTCTTGAGCGGAGGCTCTGTTTGAATTTTCTTTTAAATGTCATTTTGTAGAGAATTAGTTAACCATTCTACTCATATCAAACGCATATTTACTGGATTGACATGATCTATAGCTCAAAAAATAGAGAATCTCAAGAGCTTTCGAATGAACTAAAGCACGCCTAAAAATATCAATTCTAAAGAAAGTTACAGTGGTTTGTAGTCCTGACTGGAAACGGACCGTACTCCCGCGTAGTCGAAGGCTATAGACCACTTTTTAGCTTACGTTTGTAGTTTGTAGTGCCCATTTCTATTTGGTGAGCATACTTTCCAGTTTCTCTTGTAAGTTTTGACATTTACACTTGCAGACTAACATCTTTGCCCGTGGGTGACTTGAATTCCGTTATAGTTAAACTCTGATGTCATTAGATAAAGATTGCATGACTCGGCCTTACACTTACTCGGGTTCAGGTTAATCCTGTGAATCAATGAATTCCCACCTTGCTGGCGCTATTGCCATGAAAAGCCCGGCTGTCACAGTAACAAAAATCTGCATCCACTTCTCATTCATCGAATTAAATGGCAGGAAAACGAGGAAAATCGGCCAGAAAAATATAGCAGCAAGAGCTTCGATTTTCTGGTTTTGCTCAGTAGCTTCTAGAAAGTTAGCTGTTAACTTTTTAAAATATACCTTGTTTAAGTGCAAAGATGGAAGATAGCATTCCAAGGAGAAATTGCCAAAGTCTTGTGAATGGATTGTAGAAAGCGGTGATTGGGGTGGATTCAAGGCGAAATTTCAACGATGCGAGTAGTATCACAATTAGTATCAGCGGACCAACATGATAGTCTATATTTTGGATCTTTTTTTGAATAAATCATGATAGCAACAGTGCCTTTTATGCACTTTGAAGGTAGCTTTGGTTTGAGCTTAGAGCTCAAGTCATTAGAATGTTTAGAAATCCGTGCTAAACTTCGATAACGACCAAATCTCCAAATAAGAAGAGTTCGAAAGATTTTGGAGATTTTAGAGATTGATTAGATTTGAGATTAGAGATTTGATCTTTCTAACTAGGGAACATCGCCAGATGCCCGTGAAATTTTAAAACGAGATCAACTCCATCTTATAGAATCGACTACGCTGATTCCGAATCCATTTTCGATTCGAATTCGAACCACGGTGCTTTGGACTGAAAACGGATTCGGAATCAGCGTAGTCGATTCTATAAGATGGAGTTGATCTCGTTTTAAAAGATCACGGGCATCTGGCGATGTTCTCTAGTAAGAGTTGACGGAAATAAACTGGTAGCTAGTATTAGTTTGGTATTTTAACCAAAATACCATTGATTCTCATTTTCGAGCAAAGAAAAATGATCGGTGCAATGAGATAGAACTGCATCTCGACGGAGAGTGACCAGAAATGGAGGAATGGCGTCTCTTCATTGATCTGTTAACAATCTGAAAGTCGTATTTGAAAATCACTCACTTGTTCAAAATAATCTCCATCGATTGACACCATTTTTAGATTTAACGCTAATAGTGTTGACGAAATGTCTTTGTGCCCAAATGGCTGAATAGACAAACATTGCAAAGAAACCTGAAAATGAACAGCTGCATTCGCTGTTTTTTCTCAATTTTTCTATCTTTAACTTTTCCTCATTCTTAAGCTTCTACTTTTGACACTCAGAAACGATTTTCTGATTTCTTGTTGAATTTTATCACGATTTTTCTTTCAACAAAATCATTTTCAAACAACAAAAGACAGAGAATAAAGCTCATTTAAAAGAAAAGAGCTATTTTTTCAGAAAAAAAAGCGACTTTTCACGAACCGAATAATTCATTACCTAAGAGCTTTTGTGAAAAAATGAAAAATTATCTTAAAGCCAGTCGTTTTTTGAGAAAAAATGTTTAAACTCAATGCGATTTACTTGTTTCTGAGTGTACACTGGTGGTCATATATATTAGTACCCTCTTGCAAAAAATTTTCTCTTAACGATTGCCCCCCCTTAAAAGGCAGCCAAATTCAAAGTGCTAAAAAGCATTTTTTGCTAACAAGCTCTAGTCTCTAAAACCACAAAAAATTTGATTCGAAATGTTTATTATCTTTTTAAAAAATAGCAAGGACGGAAAAGACACCTCAAAAATGGTGGACAAAAGTATTGACCCCTTGCAAAAACAACAGTAAATTTAATGGTCTATTGGGCCTCCTTTGGCTTGAATGAATTTTTCTATCCGTCTGGACATCGAGTCGACCAAATTGTGCAAAACTGATGATCCAATTTGATTCCATACAAGGCGTAGATAGGACCAAAGCTCGACTTTGGACGAAAAGTGTTTCTCCTTCAATTGCGCTTTCACAATCGACCATAGATTCTCGATAACGTTCAAATCTGGTGAAAAGGAGGTGCTTTAATCAAAGAAACACCATTAATCGCAAACCAGCCCGGAAATGGTACCCGTCCTCCGTTCGAGAATCTTCCGACAGGTTCCATCATAAGTTTGCTTGTATGAACTGGCGAGTTGTCCTGGTAGTGCAATCATCCTTGAGGTAATGTTTTGCTCGCAAATGGAAGTAAACGTTGCTCAAGTATTCCCATGTATCGCTGAGACTTCATGGTTGAATTGATCATCTTAAGTGGACCGACCACATTTCTTGTCATCGCTCCTGCAAGTTGACAGTTATACGAAGAAAACTATAGAAATTCATACCCCAGCACATAATATTTCCACCCCCAAATCGAACCGTGGGTTTGATTTACTTGAGTAGTAGCCGCTTTCCAATCGGTCGCCCGCTCAATGGAGGTCCATCCGACTGATAGAGATTAACTTTTGTTTCATCAGAGAAAATTACTCGACTCCAATCGTCACTCGTCCAACTTTGGTACCTCCGAGCAAAGGCTAAACGAAGTTTCCTAATTCGAGGAGTCATACGTGGCTTCTTTATTGGTCGTCTAGCGTACAACTTTGCTTTGATGAGTCGCATCCTCACGGTCCTTGCTGAGATATATTTGCTGAATTGTGATTTATACAGGCGGCTTCCGTCGGTCGAGGTGAGACTTGGGTTCTTTTTGAATTCCCCTATAATCGATCGATCCTCGGCAGTTGTTGTTGATGGATGTCGACCAGATTTAGCAGCTCTGTGTAGAGAACCAATAACCTTTGATTGTTTAAAAAGTCGTTTCACAGTGCTTTCGCTGCATCCAAATTGTTCAGCCAAATCTGCTGTTTTCATTCCATTTCTTCGACCTTCAACGATCTTTTCTTTGATTGGAGTCGGTAGATACGGCATCTAGAATTAAATATTTTAAAAAGTCATCAAAACATGAATGTAAACAAGAAAAAAAATAAAGGAAAAGCTAAGGTGTCAATACTTTTGTCCACCATTTTTAAGGTGTCTTTTCCGTCCTTGCTATTTTTTAAAAAGATAATAAACATTTCGAATCAAATTTTTTGTGGTTTTAGAGACTAGAGCTTGTTAGCAAAAAATGCTTTTTAGCACTTTGAATTTGGCTGCCTTTTAAGGGGGGCAATCGTTGAGAGAAAATTTTTTGCAAGAGGGTACTAATACATATGACCACCAGTGTAATTTTAAGCAATACCTGCTAGAAAAACACTGAAGAAATAAACAGGGCATATTCTTTTTACTCGTTTATAATAAAAATCGATGAACATCTGTAACGGCGCCATTTTCGCTGATCTTTCAAGTACTACAATCATTAAATAGCCAGAGATAACGAAAAATCTTAAAGCTGGAAATGAAGGTTTTACTTGGAACACTTACATATCGACTCCAAGATAACCAGATGGGAAAATTGTTGGCCAAAAGTGAAATGACAAGACGGCCAAAATCGCTAGAGCTCTCACCAAAGCAATGTCTTCTCGAAAAGCAGGTACTGAATCGAAAAATTCGAGAATTTAGAATAGAATCGTCTATTTTCCGAGTGTTTTAGAGTCGTGATTGGACTTTAAACAGGAATTTTAGACCAAAAGTGGACAAAAGTCTGTGATTTGAGACTTGAGATCAATTAAATCAATTAGAAACGAATTTTCCTGCAACTCACTTCCCTTCCGATGTTCTATGACTTCTACATATCGAATTGATTCATGAATATATGCAGATTTCTCAATATCCATCTCTTTCATTTAGCAATTGAAAGAAAAGAGCCAAAAAATCGAATCCACTTTTTGTTTTCTCGTTGACAAGGCCGTTGTAAAAATTCAAAGGCGAACCGAATTCTTTAGGCGTTTCTGTTGCACAGCTTTTTCAGAAAATCCTTAACAAACAATGCGTACTTGAGAGAGAAAAGCTTTGAATGACGCATTAATCTTTATTTTTTTGACCAGATTTTTAAAGTGTTGCTTGTTTTTCAAGGAAGCGGTGTTATGGCCGAACTTCGACTTAACGATTGAAGTCGACTGAGGCCTGAAATCGTTAAATCGAATCGAATAGCGTTAACGTTAACCGAAAGAGTATTAACAACACTTGCATCGGCTTTGACGTAGCTTCGAAACATTTGGAAACATCTTCATGTATGCATCTTTACGAGAAATCGGGTTGACAATCTCGGCTACTCCTTCGCCTTTGCTTTCCGATGATGATAAGCTATTCGATCGATTTGCAACAGCTGCCAGCTCTTCCGTTAACCGAAAAAGTATTAACAACTTTTGCATCGGCTTTGATGTAGCTTCGAAACACTTGGAAACATCTTCGTGTATGCATCGATGATGATAAGCTATTCGATCGATTTGCAACAGCTGACAGCTCTTCCAAAGTTTGTAAACCGGTTCATGCACCATTTCATCAACCAAATCATAATCGTTTTCCTCTGTGCAAGTTGATTGTAGAAATAGATCATAGAAATCATTGATTGCGGTGGCTCGAAATGCATCGACAACTCCTTTGGTTCTTTCGAAGTCGACAGAGAGATGATTTCTTGTTTCAAAGCCAAATCGATTAGTTTTCGCTTCACTTTTCCTCGTTCCATTACCTAAAATAAAAAAATTATTAAAGAAATCGACAAGAAATAAAACAAAAACAAAAACAGAAACACATGGCCCAAATTTAAGGTGAAGGATTGGATCGGCATAGTGATAGAAAAGGTATTTCGGACATTGAGAATTCGATGATGTATTTAGTTTTTGCTTAAACCCCCTGGTTTTCAAGAAAAACGCGTTGCAAATTTGGGTACCTACGCTACTGACCGAATCTCCGGTTTATAACGGCTCTTTCCCTTCCAATCAAACATGACCGAATGGCGTAACCGAACCAAATAAATGTACGCGCTTTCAATCTCACTTTTGCCTTTTGCCCACGCGTTTGGATCCGTTTCGCGAAAAACTTTTTGCTTTGTTTTGCAAAACATTTTAAAATACTTTTTATGGACTTCGAAGTGTACATTGACAATTATTTTGCATATAGAACACTCTAAAATAATGGTTTAACAACTGAATCCTTTAATTCGGATGAATTTGTTCCTTTCTATGCTTTTCCCACTATGGCAAGTCTTTTATAAGTACTTTTTTTTTCAATGTTTTTAAGACAAACAGAAAATTTATAGCAAAGAATAATTTTGAAACCATAATGAAACGATTCAAAGAAATGAGAAAAACGATAGAACTTTTTGCACCGGAGGTTCGGCCAGTAGCTTACCGCAAATACTGCAATAGGGCCCACCCCCTCGTACAGTCGCGTAGTCGCAAAGTTTTTTAGTAGTTCATTTTTTTCAAAGCGCCCGTACTTTCAAATGCGTCTTTGGTATCAAAAAATAGCTAAAATTCAGGGCTATTTTTTGATGTCTAAGCGCGCATTGTAGCATAAACCAGTGTCGAGAAAAACTCGTTCAAAGCTAGACTACGCAACACTCGGCACCGTGATTATGGGGGGTGGGGTACTATTACAGTATTTACGGTAGGTACCCAAATTTGCAACGCGTTTTTCTTGAAAACCAGGGGGTTTAAGCAAAAACTAAATACATCATCGAATTCTCAATGTCCGAAATACCTTTTCTATCACTATGCCGATCCAATCCTTCACCTTAAATTTGGGCCATTCCCTTGTTAGGATTAGCTTCTTGTGTCAAAATTTTGCTCAAGTAAATATTTTTTTGATTTCAATAGAAATCTGCTGCATTTTTAGCTGAAAATCGAAAATGAAATGTGCATTCACATCGCTAAACTGACGAAATCACTAAATTGAATGCAAATTTCACATCGTTAAATCGAGGAAATCTTTAAATTGAAAGTCGTTAAATCGTTAAATCGAGAGTTGACTGTATAGCACTCAAAAAGCGTGTTATGATTGTTGAATTGCTATGGCAACTAAAATTATAAGGTCTGAAGTACAGCATCCAAGTGCAAGATCTAAAAATCATACAATTGAATGGGTCCAGAACACACAAAGCCTATATTGAGTTGCAAGGAGAAAATCCCCAGTTTAACAAAGAACTGTATTATTAGGTTGTTCGGATATAAACGAGCGTTTCAGTAGTCGACAAAATTTACCTTAAAAACACAAACAACACAGTTTAATCCAAAGTATATTCATCATTATTATTGATTGCTTCTTGCCATCTCTTGCGAAAAGAATTGATGCCGCTCTTGAAAAACTCAGCCGACTGTGACTCGAAAAACTTGGCGACCCAATTTTGGACATCTTCACGGTTTTTGAATTTCTCATTGGCCAAGAAGTTTTGAATCGACCGGAATCAATGGTAATCTGAGGGAGCCAAATCGGGAGCATACGGCGGATGTGGTAAAGCCTCTCATCCTAGATTCTCCAGCTTTTGCTGAGTCATCTTTGCAACGTGAGGTCTAGCGTTGTAATGGATGAACTTTATCTTTGATGTGTCTACTCCTTGACGAATGAGAACTTCATTGACCCGATCAAGTTGCTGTTTGTAGAGGGGGGATGTGACTGTTTGGCCGGTTTGTAGAAGCTCGAAATATATAAGGACCTTGTTATTCCACCATACTGAGAGCATGATCTTTTTCCCATGAATGTCCGCTTTTACGGTCGGATTTGGCCGTTCTCCTGGTCCTAGTCATTTCCGTTTCCGAATAGTATTATCGAAATGGATCCACTTCTCATCTCCAGTAACGAGAGAATCAAAAAAGCCATGATATTTAGCGTGGCGGATGAGGATTCCGGCGATAGCGACCCGTGAAGCCTTTTTTGCACTGTTTAACTCGTGAGGAAACCATTTCCCGCATCTGATCGTCTTTCCAATGGCGTGGTGATGCTCATCAATGGTAGAATTTGGACATAGAAACTGTTGAGCAAGTTCACGCGTCGTTTGACAAGGACCCGGTTCGATTGCAGCCCTCAAAATATCGTTGTCTACCGCTTGAGGTCGACGAGAGTGTTCATCATCCTCGAGACTTTCACAATCATTCTGAAAGCGTCGGAACCAGGCTCGGCATCGGCTTTCGGACAATACATCATTCCCAAATGCTTTGACCAAATCTCGATGGGATCCCGCGACTTTTTTTGCCCAGTTTGAAGTGGTAAAGTAAGCAGACGCAAACTTGATCTTCGAAGTCGGTCATCTAAAGCAAGAAAAAAAGATCTTAAAAATAACAAATTATCCGTTTAAAAAGTTTCCAAATATGCGCAAGATACTTTTAAATACAGAAAGATATGTTTTAAAAGCTTCTCTCACGACAAAAAGTTTAGCAACGATTGTTTATATCCGAACAACCTTATATTTCTTAGGATCAGATGTAATTCTGGAAACGGAAATTCATCAAACATGTAAGCGTGGTCCATTTTTTTGGTCTAAAAATGGATTTTGTCTTGATTGTTGAACAGAACAAAGGTGTCCTATGTTACCAAGGGTTTTGAAAAGATACACTCAAAGAAAAAGGTACACTTTGGGGGAAATTTCACAAAAAGGAACACCCACCCGTTTGACTTTTTGGTGTCAATGTTTGGAAAGATGGAAATTTATGAAAAGGAGCACTAAAACGCAGAAAAACCCTTTGTTTTCAATAGAAGATAGCGGAAGAAAGATGGTTAAATATTTATAAAAAAAGTGGTTGAAAGGATTTGGAAAGTCATTCTTCTACAGTAGATTTTGGCATTGGTTTTGAACTTGGTTTGCAATGGCCAAGTATACTTTTGCTTTGCTATTCGTTTTTGGTTTGATTGAGTTGAATCAGGCACAAGTATGTTTGACCAGTTTACTGCGATTAACTTAAAAAGACAGCTATGTCTAGCTACCGTATTTCCTCTCATAAACACCTCCCCTCGACCAACTTTAGACGCCTCGTTCTCAGCCCAATTTTGAGATATTTTTATGTTTAGTTTACCAAAAAGATAGCCCTTAATGTCTTCTATTTTTTTGGTATATTAAACATAAAAATATCTTAAAATGGGGCTGAGAACGAGACGTCTAAAGTTGGTCGAAGGAAGGCGTTTATTAGAGGAAATAGGATAGGTACTTTGCATAGAAGCTGTAAATTAGCATGCAAAATGAGGCTGCAAGTACAGGGATGTCCTCAAGCTTGACAAGGCTAGACAAACCAGTCAGTCCAGGCCAGAATCTAAAAGATTTCGGATCAGTATAGCCGGGTCACCCTATAGCCAGGAACTGAAGCAATAAATAGAGGCATCTATCGGTGATTCAACCCAATTCTTTGTTTTAGCTGCTGGCAATAAACCCGAATCCCGCATTTCAACCGGTTGGGTGTCCAAATTGGGGTCTTTGTGCCGACAACAACTATGAGGAGGGACTCGCTTATTATCAGTGTATGGAAGGGTCTTGTGTGGTAAGTAAAAGTGGTTTTATTCGATTAGAATGCTTTCTTAGAAAGGTATTCAAGCAAAAGCTGCCAGATCATTGGCAAAAGCTAGATCGTTGGTTTTGCGGACTACAGTAGTTCTTATTGCTTAAATTGAAACTGGCAATTGGAAAGTCACTCGAGCAAAAATTCGGCTCAGCAACGAGTTTAAACTGTGATAACAGACGCCTAAAACAAACGGGATACGGTAACTTTTTTTCAAGTTCTTCTTTTAGGAAACCTTCCTTGAAGAGATTTTCATTTACCAGCAACTTAACAGTCATTTACCAACCATTTACCAGCCATTTACCAGCCATTTACCAGCCATTTACCAGCCATTTACCAGCCATTTACCAGCCATTTACCAGCCATTTACCAGCCATTTACCAGCCATTTACCAGCCATTTACCAGCCATTTACCAGCCATTTACCAGCCATTTACCAGCCATTTACCAGCCATTTACCAGCCATTTACCAGCCAATCCTTACAGTGTAACAACGGAACCTACAACTCCACGGTTGTCCAGATTCCGGCCGTCTCATCGACTCTTGGAACAAATTATCAAGCTTGTGCAATTGGTGAGTGAATTTTCCCAAGTCAAGTAATCTGACCAAGTTCAGCAAACAATCCGTGTACATCAAAACCTTGTCCTGCAAACTCAAACTGTATTCGGTCGAATGTCAACTATCGATGCACTTGTTGGGCCAATTTCACGGGAGCCTCCTGCAACATTTGTAAGCAATCTTTGAATTTCGGTTCTGAATTGAATTTCAGCGCTTCCGACGGGAGTCTGTGCGAGTTCTCCTTGCCAGGTGAGCGATTGAGATCACTTTAAATTTGAACGGTGAAATTTTTTGCTACTGCCAAGTATTGGTAGTAAATAAAGTATTCAAACCAGGTTCTCGGACATTTGCTACGCGCTCTGCCCCTTTTGCCATTGGCAATCTAGCTTTGAGCTCAAATATCTCGGTTTTGGGCTGTTCGATTTAAATCTTCTTGGTATCCTTAGATGCACCAAGTCTTTCTCTGTCGAATGGTACAAAAGCTATTTAAATTGAACGGCCCAACACCAAGATATTTGAGCTCAGAGTTAGATTGTTACGAGAAAGGGGGCGGGGCGTGTATAGAAGGTCCCACAATCGCCTCGCCCCTTTTACCATTGGCAATCTAACTTTAAGCTCAAATTTCTTGGTGTTGGACTGTTCAATTTAAATAGTTTTTGTACCATTCGACAGAGAAAGACTTGGAGCATTTAAGAATACCAAGAATATTTAAATTGAACAGCCCAACACCAAGATATTTGAGCTCAAAGTTAGATTGCCAATGGCAAAAGGGACGGGACGCATAGCAAATGTTCCACAATCGAAATTTTCTGCTACTTCCAAGTATTGGTAGTAAATAGGTATTCAAGTCATCCCTGATTGTGATTTTAGCATATACAGACCCAGTGATCAACTGGTATCAACTTCAGAACGGTGCCACTTGTGATGACAACGGAGATGGAACGTTCAATTGTACTTGTGCTGCGAATTATATGGGAGAGCTTTGTGAAAGTGTGTTAGAAAAGGAAAATTCGCGAATTTACACTTTAAAAGTCTCTGTTTACTGGTAGCTGGTGGCTTGCTTAAGCAGTCTCTTCCAGACTTCAATTACTGCTCCAACAACAATCAATGCTGGAATGGTGGAAAATGTCTGCTGTTGTTCTCGGGGGAGGATTTGTTTGTGAAAGCGAATTTCGTGACTCTTTTCCCCTTTCAGCTATTGCAATTGTACTTCTGCTTGGCAAGGGAAACAATGTGGCACAGCGACTCTGATACGTGAGTAGTGAAAAAAATCCAGAGTTTGTAGCTCTCAAAACAGTCCGGTTAAATCACAAGTACTAAATTTTAGCTCGATTTTTCAGCTGCTGACACATCGGCTGGCTGCTGGGCAACTTCAACAACGAATTCGCAAGGGCTCAACGATGCAAATTGCACTACAACCAGTAGTATCTCATTTCCAACACCTTGGGGGTTCGATACTAGTTTTGGGGTTTAATTTCTCACATTTAGTTGCCGTTCCCTTTTCCAACAACAAGTTATCAACGATGCTTCATTAGCATATTACTGTGAGTTAATGATAACTTTTGGACGAAATGCATTTAACCTACCGTATTTATTGCAATTGAAGAGCCCTCTTTAGCCTTTTTCTTTCAATTTTTCATTTTCTCGGATTTCTCAACTCTCCGATAGGAAAATGTTCAACTTTTTAAAGACTTTCAAAGGCTTTAAATAATATTAGGTACTTGCAAAAGAAACTGCGGAAAGAAAGCGAGGACAAAAGTTTTTTTCATTTGGAAGGTCATCATAGTACGATGACCCAGCCTAAATGTTATTCTATTGTATTATTATCGCTTATTTATTTTAATTATTTTCACAACTATTCATTGAATATTAAATAATTTTAGATACAAGATGACGGATCAAAAACTCTATGAATTCAAAATGAAGAAATCAGCATCCAGTCGCACCGGAATCTTTGTAAAGCATTCGGAGAAAACATTTTGAGTGAAAGGACTTGCCAAGAATGATTTTGACGTTTTCATGAAGGGGATGAGAGCTTGGAAGATGAGCCTCATGGAGATCGTCCAGTTGTTCTCGATAATGCGGAGTTATTGGAGATTCTCGAGTCGGATCCAACTCAAACTTTGCCCGAAGTAGTCGAATACTTTAAATGCGATCCGAGCCGATTCTCGGCACCCTTTGCTCATTGGAAAAAGGAAACGTTGTGGCCAATGGGTCTCACATGAATTATCCCCTGAAAACAAAGCCAATCGAGTTTTATTGTCTCGGATTCTATTGAAAAGGGCTACGGGCGGTGCTTTTTGAAAGCATGTTGATGATGGACGAAAAGTGGACATATTTCAATAATACAGCACGCAAAAGACAATAGTTGAGCAAAGGAGAAAGGCCGACTTTGACATCACATCCGGAACTTCACGGAAAGAAAGTTATCCTGCCCGTTTTTTGGGATATGAAAGGAATCGTTTATTTTGAATTACGAAAATCTTCAAAAACTATAACCTCTCAAATCTACGCCGAACAGCTGAAGAAAGTTGATGAAATTCTACGAGAAAGAGGTGTTAATCTAAGGAAAATCCATTTGCTCGATGTCAATGCCCGGGTACACACATCCTCAAAACACCATAGAAGAGTTAGGCTGGAAACTTGTGCCTTATCCGCCATATTCGCCTGATATTGCTCCCTCAGATTACCACTTGTTCCGGTCTATGCAACACTCTATTGCAAACCTAAAGTTTAACAGTCCTAAAGAAGTCGAAATTTGGATGCAAGACTACTTTGCGTCGGGGGACCTCGAGTTTTTCGAATCGAGCATTCGAAGTCTAGGCAAAAAAATGGGAAATAAGAGTTGGTAATAATGGCAAATACCTTTTGGAATAACGTTTTTTCTTATTGATTTTTGGGTTGTTCGGATGTTGGTTATAAACTGTAGTTTCTTTTGCAAGTATTAGGTACGGAAAAAATTAATGTCGTATTTGTGGGTCTCACTTTCCGGCGTTGCCTACGCGGCTGCAAATGCTTATTGACCTTGGGTCTTTTTATGTATTTGAGTATTTTTTTCTCAATTTTCTTTTCTGTTTAACACTTTTGCTTAGACCTTCCTTAATGGCTTTTTTCAGGTTGTTTTACATCGATGGAAAATCGAGACTTTCGCCTTCTCTTTTTGTATGAGTTCAAGCTTGGCCACAATGCGTCAGAAGCGACCCAAAACATCAATCAAGTTTTTGGGGAAAACAAAGCTTGAAGTTCGAGCGGTTCAGCGCTGGTTCAAACGATTACGGGAAGGCGACAAGGATCTTAATGACAAGGAAGGCCGAAAACGCCATGATAGTCTCGACAATGACGAATTAAAGGAGCTGGTAGAAGCGGATCCCAGAACAGCGGAGGCAGAATTAGTAACGCACTTTGGAGTCACTCCACACACAATTGGGAACCATCTCAAGGAAATCGGAAAAGTAAAAAAGTTGAAAAATTGGGTGCCTCATCAGTTGAACAAATATCAAAAATTGCACCGTTACTTCACATCGTATTCATTGCTGTTTCGTAACCAAAAGGAGTCATTTCTGGATCGAATTGTAACTTGTGATGAAAAGTGGATCCTCTACGATAACCGAAAACGCAAAGCCGAATGGCTAGATAAAGGATAACCATCGAACTCCTTTCCGAAGCCCAATCTACACCCAAAGAAGTTTCTTCTCAGTGTTTGGTGGTCGCAGAAAGGTCTGATCCATTATTCAATTCTACCAAACGGAAAAACGATGAATTCTGATCAGTATATTCACGAAATAAACAAAATGTATGCAAAAAATTTGAAGGATCGATCCAACTCTAGTGAATCGGAAGAGTCCCATCCTATTGCAACACAACGCCCGCCCGCATTGTTCACTAAAGACTCTTCAAAAATTGAACGAGCTGCACATTGGAGTCCTCCCTCATGCCCCATATTCTCCTGATTTGTCGCCTACAGATTTCCACTTTTTCAAGTTCCTCGATCACTTCTTATCGGAGATATGCTTTGCTACTCAAGGGGAGGTCGAAAATGGCATCAAAGAGTTTATCGATTCAATGGGGTCCGCGTTCTACACTTTAGGAATGTACAAGTTAGCCAAACGTTGGCAATCATGTATAGATTCTACTGGTTTTTACTTTGATTAAATTGCTTTTGAAATAAAAATTTTATGAACGTTGGAACTTTAGTGAAAAAATACGACATTAATTTTTTCCGTACCTAATACTTAAAGAGAATTTTAGATGAATATTGAAAAATGCAAGAGCCGGCTCTTCTATTAGAATGTTTACGGGAATTCAAAGTTACAACCAAATTTAGGCGTTGGTGGTTCAACGTGCAACGTGTGTGACACAAATCCGTTCTCGTGGACGGTACTCGACCTAACCAGTCTTAACTCAAACTGCAAAATGCAATGCTATAACTCGGCGTCAAAGCAGAACAATACGTACGATGGGTGGGTGGTAAAAAAACCGATTTCATGATTGGGTTTTCCCTGGCTCCTGTCAAGTTCTCCATTTTCAGTTGGAATCAAACCTGTGGTTGCTCATCAAGCAGCGTTTGTGGATCCAGTGGAAAAGTGGCTAACTGCTATAAATATAAGGATAACAGTGAGCAAAACCCATAGAAAGCAGTCAAATTTGGCAATTTAGTCGATCCATTCGTTTGCAATTCAACAATTTGTGCAAACGGGGGTTATTGTGTGGAGGAATCGGGTACAGGCTATTCGTGCACTTGTCCGAGAGAGTTCGCCGACGGAGCACAGTGCAAAACTCGTTAGTTTTGGGGAAACTAACAATTCGATATTCCAAATCTTCTAAATCTGACATTCAGAACCCAAAAACTTTTGATTTCAAGCAATTTATTTTCAGCAAAGGGTCCCTGTTCATCAACTCCTTGTCAGCACAGTGGTCAATGTTTGAATGCGACCCAGGGATGGGATTACACATGCAATTGTACAGCCAGCTATACTGGAACCAATTGTGAAAGTAAGCTGATGAAAGCTGATGTTTGACTATAAACAAGTAGAAGGATCTAATAAAAGCAAAAAGCTGAAAGATCTTGTACAAATTGAACTAATAAAAAACTCGCTCTTTGGCTGAAACTCTTTGATCTGACTTTAAGAGTTTAAGACTTTAAGATTTTAAGATCTAAAACATCTCAGCCAAAACACCAAACATCTACAATTTTGAGAGTAATTTAAGCCAAAATCCCTTGCGTTCCGAATCCGTGTAAATATGGAGGGATGTGCACGAATTCGGACGATTTGAACAGCTTCACTTGCACGTGCTTGAGTCTATATTATGGAACGACATGTACTAGTGAGTTTTTTTGGGTAATACGTAAAAGCTTTGCCAAAGTTATAGCTGGTTTGGAAATCGGTATGAATACCGAATTGAAGAAACATGATTTCAGAACTAAACTAGCCTTTTAGACCTCGATCTTTGTTACACAAATCCTTGCCAGAACGGGAATTGCTCGACAAATCAGAACTTTTTCAACTCCACCTGGTCGTGCGATTGTAATCTGGGATGGACGGGGGTTAAGTGTGGGACTAGTGAGTTGAAAATCTAAGCGAAAAACAACGAAAATCAAAATCTCTTTCTAGTGATCGATTATTGCGAGAGTACACCATGTTTCTACCAAGGGACTTGCGTGAATGTGAGATTTCCGTAGCCTTACAGGGTGCGCCATAATTATGGTAACGAAAAAGTAAATGCGGAAAACACAAATCTTTCTCAGTAAGAACTTTTAGAAAACAATATTTATTAACTTTAACAAAAACATTATGTAAACAACGATTATTGCTCAAAATGATCACCATTAGCCGCAATACATTGGTTCAAACGCTTTGAAAATTCATCGATAATCTTTTGAGCTGTGGTCGTTGAGCAAATCGTTCCAAGTCTTAGTTAGTGCCCGTTTCAAAGAGTCTACCGATGTGTAGGACTTTGCACATGCCTTGCTCTCTGCTCTCTCGACCAAATGGAATAATCCAAAACGTTCAAATCTGGAGAAATTGAAGGCCATTCTCCCGGGCGCCGTGGGCTGTAATCCACTGTAATCCAACCAAGAAAGTTGTTGGCTATCTAGTCGTGTGTTTCGACGAACCGAAGTTGCTCCTATGCCAATAGCGGTGGCGATTTTCCGAGTCGAGTTCTTTGTGGTGGTTGCATTCCTCTTGAGTCTTGTGAAGATCTTTTTTCGATTTGTCAAAGTGTTGGCTGTAGATGAGCGTCCCCTTCTTTTGCGGTCTTCATTCTTTCCCATTTCGTTGAAGCGTTTTATAACTCGGAAAACAGTCTCTTTCTTTTCTTGCAAAAGTTGCAAAATTTCAGCAATTTGTTTGCCTTGCTGATGCAAACGAATGATAGCTGGGCGTAGATCCTTTTTGGATTTCATACCTGAAAAATAGTTGTAGAGTTAAATATTAGAAAAATAGAAATATAGAAAAATATATTCAATATAGAAAAAAAAGACAAAGACGTGAAAAAAGTGAAAAAAATGAGATAATTCGGGCGCGTTACCATAATTTTGGCTCACCCTGTAAACTACACAAAACAACTCATTCAGTGGTAGCTTATTCACTGATAGCTTGCCATTTTTAGAATCGTCCACCAGATGCATCACGTCCTCTCTACAATTGCACATGTCAAGCGGGCACTCTCGGAGACAATTGTGAGACGAGTGAGTTCACTCGTTCTAACCGAACTAGAGTTTGCGAGAAAGGCTTGGTTTGGCTCATTGTGTACTATTGTAAATCCTCTATTAGACTGGCACTTAAAAGGGGTATCGAAAAATAGAGCGACACCCCAAATCAACATATGAAAAATATTAGCATTACCTAGATTTCAAAAATTTCAATTGAACGACTTAATATCTTTTGTTTCCGACTTTCTTGATTCTGCTTTTTTTATTTTTTTTTGCTAACAACTTAACATGTTTCTTTCAAACTTTATGCTACATTTATTAGTATTTTCTTTTTAGGTGATGGGAACATCAATCGAAGAAATGGTCAATAAACAATCACTCGAGCAATCGTTAGATGAAATAAGCGAGGATTTTACCAAATTTTGTCATTATCAGGATTATGAACAAGAGCTTTGGTAACAATGGAAGTGAAGACGGAGGAGATAAAGGAGCGAGAGAAACAACCGAACGAGGAAACGATGCAAATCAACGATGCCAAGTGCCAGAGGAGCAAGCATGAAATTCAAGCTCAAAGTGATCAAATACGTGAAGCAGAACTCAAACCAAGGGGCTGCCAAACATTTTGTAGATTCTTAATCAATTGTGTCACCGAAAAGTCAGAGATCATTAGAGGAGAAAACCCCAAATCAGCATCAATGGAGCTCTACTTGGAATGGATTGTTGAGGCGTGGGAGAAGCTTTCGGAAGCGATGATTGTGGATTCATTAAAAAAAGCAAAATCACTACAATCGATGGATCATAAGACCAGCTCGTTCATTTTTTTACCTATCCCGATCGGATATCAAAAGCTGAAGGATGCTCGAATGGATCAAAAAGTTTTGGTTCTTCTTGAAGAACTAGATACCACCGAAAATGATGAATGCAACCTTGATTTTGATACACCATTAGAGTTTATTGATTAGATAGATACCTTCTCGTGTTCTTTTATTTTTGTCTATTAATTTGTTAGCGTTTAAATAAAATTAGACGTTCATCTTTTGATGATCGAAATGGTCAAAAGAGGTTTATTTTGGCTTACTTTGGTAGATGGTTTGGAACATTAGAGCGGCATTTAAAACGGGTATAGAAAACTAGAGTGGCACGACGGTCTAATAGAGGATTTACGGTAATTGACTAGCTTAAGTCATAGGGCACTAGGGCAGGGATGCTTTATACATGAGCAGATGGGCGATTTTCTGTCCTTTACTCCGTTGATCGATTTTCCGTGGATGTTGTTCACAATTCGACGTTTTTGTTCAAGGAGTTAGCTTCGGCTTTGAGCCATTCGACGTCTAGGAGCAGAAACAATCTTTTTTGAAGATATCGACGAATCACCCGATCGTTGCAACTGCAACTGTCCAATTTCTCTGATCGATTTCTTGTTTTGCAAGTGCGTGTCGTCTTTTTCGTAGTCTGTCAGCTGATTAGCTGAAGCCATTGTACCTAAAATCAATATTATAACCATAACATAAGGCAACGGTAAGCATAAGAAGCAAGAAAAAACAATCTAAAATGACAAAAACTGTTTGAAAGCTAGATGCGGCCAAAGATTTGAAATAGTTAAAATTTATTTGTCTTATTCTTAAACTTTTTTGAAAGTTAATCCTTATGGAGTGTTTTTAAGGGTTTTCGGCTACGCTCTTTCTAACAAAAAAGAAATCTGAACGCTAGCTAAAATAGTTTTGATGAAATCGCAAAAAAGGGATGCGGCGCAAGACTTGACTTGTAGACCAGAAGGCCTAGAACGCACTGTAGCTGTAAACCAGAAGCCAGATATGAATCCGGATGGCCTAAGACTGTAAGCCAGGCCAGATCAAGTCTCAAAGAACAAAGCAGACTAGAAAATGATATCTTTTTACTTATCAAACCGTTCGATATGAGTCCATTTCCATTTTAGACCCTGACGACTGCAAATATGTGACGGGAAAGGACGGAAAGCAGCACAGCACTTGCAATTTGACTGACTCGGCGGTCGGGTTTTCGATAAATTGAAGAAATTTTGCTTCAAAAAATTACTGTTTTTGTAATAAGCTATGAAAATTATAAATTTAACATGTAAATTGACGTTGTATGATGTTTTGTCCAAGTGCCAATCTTCAGGCAATTTGCATTGATGGCTTTAACTCTTTTGTGTGCGAGTGTGGACCCGATTACACTGCGGCCGATTGTAGCATTCGTGAGTTTTGCATACAAATCCTGTAACTGAGAATTTATACTTAAGATCAGTTCTAGAATTGTTAAAACTAAAGCTTCGATATTCAACCAAAGGACTATTTAGCAATGATTGTGTGGAACGCGACAATTCTTATCTTTGGGCCGGATGTGGCTGTTAGTTCGGACATCATAAATGTAATTTTGAAGATTATACAAGAATTTTAACATTTATTTAGTTGTTAACTGACTTGTTGAGTAATCCGACGAATATCAAAGACATGGTGCCATTCATTCTCGGTTTGGAGACGGAAGAACAACGGTAAGTTTTGACTATTTCAGGATTTGGATCTGGAATTAGATCTATTAGGTTGTCCAGTTATGAATGCGCGCCTGCTCTTGAACAGCGTACCTTAGGGCTATACAATTTTATCAAACCCCATTCTCTATATGTTGTTCAAGATTTCTTATTTATTACAACTTTTCGTGTTTTTGACGTTAAACTAATTCATTTTTGATTTAATTTCCGTGTTTAAATGACCGAGACGAAGTTTCGTCATCGTACCAGTCTTTGTTATGACTTCAAATTGGGCAAAAATGCCGTTGAATCCCATCGAGATCTCTGCAAAGTATTTGGCGAAGATGCTATTTCGGTCGCCGATGGTTTCAACGATTTCGAGAAGGAAATGAATCTTTGGAAGACGAAGACCACCAACGACGACCTCCTGCGATCGATAATGCACTACTGAAGCAGGCGATAGAAATGGATCCTCGACAAACGACGCATGAACTTGCAGAAATATTTAGAGTAAGCCCTCAAACCATTTCCGAGCATTTAAATCAATTGGGGAAAACAAGCCGACAAGGGAAATGGGTCCTCATCTTCTCAGCAATGCCAATAAAGCTACTCGTGTCACTATGGCGGGGTATTCTTCTTCGTTTGGCAAAAAATACTGGGTTTTACGATGAAATCCTTACTTGCGATGAAAAATGGATTCAATATGATAATTCTACACGAAAACGGCAAAGGCTAGAACCTGGTGTGGAGCCAATACCAACACCAAAACCCGACTTCCTTGACAAGAAAGTAATGCCTACTGTCTGGTGGAATTCCCAAGGCATTGGGTATTTTGAGCTGCTTAAACCTGGGCAAACAATCACGGGTGAAACGTATGCACAACAATTGGAACGAGTGAACAATGTATTGCTACAAAAAGGCCTTGATCCTTCAAACATAAAGTTCATTCAAGATAACGCCCGTCCACACGTTGCAAAGATTGTTCAGGAAAAACTCGAAGAGTTGGGCTGGGAAACTCTCCCGCATCCGCCATATTCTCCGGATATTTCTCCTTCGGATTACCATTTATTTCGCTCAATGCGAAGCCACTTGGCCGGAAACAAGTTCAAAGAAGTTCAAGAGGTCGAAAAATGGATAGCCGACTTCTTTGCCTCAAAACAAGCCAATTTTTACGCGGAGGGAATTCATTCTTTGCATGGAAGATGGCAACAAATAATGTTAACAAATGGTGAATATATTGTTGATTGAGCTGTTAAACTGTTGGTTTTAAAATAAAGAGTTGTTATCTTAAAAACGCGCATTTATAACTGGACAACCTAATAGAATTAGAATTAGATCTAGATCTAGATCTAGAATTAGAATTAGATCTAGATCTAGAATTAGAATTAGATCTAGATCTGGGATTAGAATTAGATCTAGAATTAGAATTAGAACTGGAGCGCACACAATCATTTCATAAAATAATCTTATCCTGTTTAAACGTTTAAACGAAGCTTTTCGGTAGCTTTTCACCAGGTCGCCTTCTAGAAAATAGAGTCTAATTTCTAGATTTTTCTCTATTTTCCTATAGTTTCCTATATTTTTCTATACTTTTGATTCAATGCAATTCTCCCAATCAGTTGAATTTCTCATCAAATGATCATTAGCAAGCGAAACAGCCAAAATCTAAAGAAAAGATTAGTTTTCTAAATTACCCACCATTTAGAAAACTCATTGCTCACTAGGAAAGACTCTAAGCAGGAAAAGAAATAGGCGGCTTGTCGAGTGATTCCAAACCATGAGGTTTCCTAGATAAGATTGAGATTGAGTGAGAATTTTGCTAAATAAGATTGAGATGATCTCATTTAGCACAAATAAAGCTCAAGATTTTACTTCTTTTCAGCATGAGCATGAGCTGGGACTATTCCGATATGTTTTCATGGGCATCTTACGAAGAGAAAACCCTGCAATTAGAGTAAAAAGCTATAAGAAAAGCTAAAGGAAACCGCTGACTTTAGACGAGATCTCTACAAATGGAATGATGTGACACTAGGCAATTGCTTCACATTCAATCATCGAAACAACACCGATGCTCAATATTTGGGAAGAATGACCGGCATTATGGGAGGTAAGTGAGGAAAATGGCTTATAAACGAAAAAGTTTAGGCTTTCTGGCGTCATTGAAAATCAATAGTAACGAGTATTGCCCTTGGGTGGATACAATGGGAATACAGGTACGGTAATTTGAGGCAAAATTCAGAAAGCTTGCTCATTGAGTCGGAGACTTTACTTCAGGTTTTTGTGCATCCAGCTGAAGAGGATATCTTCTCCGAATCAGTGAGCACGATGTGTCAACCGGGTGGCCAAACGGATATTTATCCATTTATGGTCATTTTTTTCTTCATTTTTAACATGAAATCGGCTTTTGTCAGACAGCTTACACGCGTTTGGGCGGTCAATATGGAACTTGTATCAAGGAGGCGAGCCAAGTGAAGCAATACTTCTACACTGGCGCCTATGCGACCGATGTGAGTATTTGAAAAGAAACTGCAGTTGATTAGGGTATTGCTTAAGTTATTCAGGGCATACTGTTTGCATTTAGCATCCTAACATATATGCAAATGGCGTACAAGAGTTAGGCTAATAGGTTTAGCTCATTGTCAGCACAAACTGTCCCCAACTTTTGACTCAACCAACCGAAAACAGGATCAGATTCGGTCACTTACAAGGGAGACTTGAGGACAAATAGTTGATAAGTTTAGTAGTCTAGCAGACTATCCATTAGACCCCCGAAGGAATTGTTAGCGAAGTGTGTCACGGCCTCATAAAGAGGAAATTCAAGGTGATTTTCTATGCCAAATATCTCGCGTTTGCAAAGCGTTCTGCAAAAACTAAAAACAGATTCGGGATCCTCATGGCCGACTGTATAAGATGAACTTGTTTTTAAGTCAAAAAGCCAGTTTTACTCCATGGCTTTCTATTGTTAGACTAATCCGACTCAAGGTGATTTTCTATGCCAAATAAGGAGCTATTTGGCATAGAAAATCATCGATATGGATATGCGCTGATTAGCTTTAATCGATTTTAGGGATGTCTTCAATCTTGCTATCAACAAGCCTGTGAAAACATTTGTGGTTGTATGGATCCCCGATATCCGATGTCACAAACTGCGAGCGCTTGTGGACTCACGCAAAGTCGGTCTTCGTTTGAGCTTAGATCCTTTAATGGTCAAGCCAAAACACACAACTTGAATAGTTTTTGGAGTAGCGAGAGGGTACAATAATTTAAAGATCTTTCAAAGATCTAAGCCAAAACTCACAACTGATTGTGAGTTGTGAGGAAATTCAGGAAATTGTGTCGATGAAGTGACAACGAATCTCGGCGATCCGTCAAGCTGGGATAATTGCACTTGCCCGAATGCTTGTTCGGAAAGAGAATACGATGTTTCCTGGTCAAGAACGATTTTCAATCAAAGGGTTAGGGAAAAATAGAGGTGAACTTGATTCAATTTAGCAAATCCAATGCAATCAAACCGGCATCGCGACTAACAATTGCACGGCCGATTGGGAGGTGATTTTTGCAGGATTTTAGCTATTATCCCTAGGATTTTAGTAAAAAACATTCGATTGCTTGATTATAGAAGCCTTTAAAAGATCGAATTTCTAGTTTTGAATGCTAACTTTCAGGACACGGTCCGAGTTTCCATCATAATGAAAGACTTTTCGTTTCAGCTTTTTGCCGAGACGCCTGCTGAATCGGTAAGGTGTTAAATTGCATACTTATGCAGTAAACTTTAATCTTATCTAGTATGATTGAACAGAAGTATTCCGTTCAAGATTGTTGACCCGGAATTTCAGCCCAGGTCAATTGCTTTAGCTTAGGCTTTGGCTTTGACTTTGGCTTTGGCTTTGGCTTTGGCTTTGGCTTATGCTTAGGCTTTGACTTTGGCTTAATTTTTCAGATTAGTCAAAACCAGGCCAAACCCCTGACTTTACCCTTGCCTGGCATGGCTTGGCTGTACTTTTTATATTTTACTTTCGATCTACAATCGACTCTAATTATAAGTCAAGTTCATTGCAAGATTTCATTGATCAAGATCACCATCAATCAAGAGCAAATTAATCAAACTTCATCAAACTTTTCAGCTGAATTCCTTCATCGGCAATCTCGGCGGTTTATTGGGTGTGTTGATGGGCGTCTCGATGATCACTTTCATCGAAGTCGGCTTTCTTTTCATCGCACTGTTTGCCGTTCTCTGTTCTAGGAGCGAACCGAAATGAAGCTTGAGAAAATTTAATAAATAAAAAATTGTTCTTCGAGTCAAAATTCTTTATTTACTCAAGATCAACAATGAAAAATTCTTGTTTACGTCGGAGAATTTGAATGTATCAAGACCATGATCTTGTTTTTCGTCTTTTTATTCACTCTTTGCAATAGAAGCAACGTGTTTATGCTGAATTTGAAGTTGATTTGGATACCACTGTTTGTTTGCATTGAAGAATTCAGACTTATAGCTCGAATTCTTAGGTTTAAGAGTCAAGAACTTAATCAGAAATGATCTTTGATCTATCTAGATGATTTCTTTCAATCACATAAAAATTGTGTTTGCAAAAAGTTATTTGGCTGGCCATTTTCAAGTGAACGTTCAATGGAACCCAATTGAATCGGCACAAAAGCTAGCACTTTCATTTTTACTCAAATGAAGGAATAGAAAACTGTGAATCTGTCGGAGAAAGACATTCAGAATCTAAAACTATATTGCCAGAAATAGAACAAGACTAGAAGACTTGAATGCAATGATGTCAATGGGAAATTGATGTGAGTCAAGTAGAGAAGACTATAAAAAAGTTAATTATTAATTTTATTTCGAAACTTTTAAACTAGCCAACGAACTGCGCCAAAGTTAGCAAAGTTTGCTGTAATTTTTTGAGATTTTTTGAGATTTTAGCCCGATTTTGCCTCTTCAAGATGTTCTCCTGAAATTCCTGAATAACCTTAATAAATTATGGCTCAGCTTCCTAATAATTCTCTTATTTGTGGAAGCAAACCAAAATCGAGTCCATCTGCTGATCCAATCGCACTTATTGCCCAGTTTTTTTTTTATGGAAGACACTTTGAAATGAAGAACCATGTCTCCAAATCTGTGTCTAGTGTTCAAACCCTTTTCTGTGAGCTTTTCAATAAACTTTTTAAACATATGTAACTTTTTCAAAATACTATAACTGTTGATTACCTTTTCTGATATCTCAAATGTATCAATTTGATAATATTATAACAATTTTTCAAAGAAAACTCATTTATTCACTTTTTACGCAAGTTTTCTTGTTAGTCCTGTTGAATTTTTGTCTTGTGATTGATCCAGAGCGTATGAAAAAGATAAAAAACAAAAAGAATCCTACAATATCCACACCAATTATGCCAATTTCCCTTTTCTCGAAATACTTAGCACGTAATCATGCAAAATTGTCTCCCCAACCTTTCCCACACTGATTAAAATTCACATTTTCTTCTTCCTCTTCAAAATTGACTCTTGTTTTTGCAGGAAAAACATATTTTCTCCATTATAGTTCTTTAATTGTTAGTAAAATAATTGGGCTTTGGCCGTTTGATTGAATTTCTAGGCCCAACTCTCAGGAAAATTGCTTTCAAATGGGTTTTGTTCCTTTTCGATCAAATAATCCCTTTTTCCCCGAGATTTGCCCTGAATTTTCTATCTAATAGAGGAAAAACCTTTCAACTTAGTTACGAATTTTCAAAAGTTTTCTAGAAAGTGGCGAAATTTAAGCAATACTATGCGTGAACGATCTTTTCTATGGACAAGCATACGGTAAACAATTTCACTTCTTCATTGATCGACTGGACGAATCCGTTTATTCTATCGACGAGCTCTCCGGAGTTCATTTTCGATGTCCTCTTCATGGCTATTGTGAGTCATTCATTTTTTCTTTTCTTTGTTCATTTACGAATTCTGATCGAATCTATTCTGATTGGCCAGTAATTTATTTTTTGACGAAACTTTTGAAACATCCAATTTGAACAGTTATAAACTAGGACAAAACGTTGAAATCAACTTCAAAATCTTTTTCTTTCTTCCCTAATTTGACCTAGTTTATTGCTTAGCTACTAGGTTGATGCAAAAGAAATTTCGCTTTTTTACAATCATTTTTATGTTATTTTGCAGAAAAATAATTGGTTTTTCTAATGAAACAAACCGTAGTTCAATTGGTGCATTTGTTGATTTTAAACGGAAGTACGAAAAGGAACGAAAAGACTTTCTGGACAGCCTAATAACTTTACCCAGAGCCCAAAAAAAGTTAAAAATTGTTTTGTTTTGGATGAAGGGGCGAAACATTTATATTCTTGTCGCTTATCAGCTCTGGTCGGTCTTTTTAAATTTTTTTGCCACTGTTATTTTTGATAATACAGATGGCATACAAAAAAAGCCATCTTCTTTACGGCTTATCGGCCTTGCCCGGGATTTTATTTTTGTGTCACATAAAATGTGTTTTTAATTTCGAAATTCAAAAAATTAGCTAACAAGGGAATGATCTCTCAATTTCTGCAATGTTTTTCAGTTTTTCAGTCGAGTCTGGCGTCTGGCTGTATCATCGAAAAACATCGAAAAACATATTTCGATTGTTTTATTGAAATCAATCAATAATTAGAATGCTTTATTCAAATATTCCGGATAGGTGTACAATTCTAAATAATCTACTATACCGTATTTTCTGTAATAGTAGTGCGAACTACTATTTTTTCAACCCCCTGCACTACTATTACAGAGTGCACTACTATTAGAGAGTTTCCTTTTTTTCACTAGATCCATACCTTTACCCGGCAATAATAATAGGTATCATGTACGTATGTCATCCCTTTCTTCCAAGTGAATCGAGTTGTTTCTATATATTTAGAATCCAACAAAGAGTATCAGGGTAAATCAATTAACAAATATCAATAGAGACATCACTATCAAAACCATTATCATCCAAAACAATATTGGCAAGATGATCGTTGATTTCATTTGTTGCTTGTTCAGCTCGAGCATCCGAGAGACGTTTTGCTCCCTCCGGAATCGAACCATTTTTTTTAAGGAAGCAGTGGATAAGGACCACCACCTTCAAGGCGCTTCAATTGTTTTCCTTTTTGTTTCACAAGATCGTCCTTTTGCTTACACCACTGGAGAACATTTTGCCGATGAACACCAAAGCTTCTAGCGGCGGCTGATTTGTCCGCCTTTTCCGCAAAAGCGACAACCATAAGCTTGGTCTCGAGGTCAAAACAGCGTTTTTTTCTTCGACCCCATCTCGGATGGGATCACTTTGCGTTTTCGAGAAGGTTCCTCATCAGGCTCCTCTTCGCCAGTTGCCAATAGGTTATCAGCAATGTCCGTTTCATTTGCATCCAAGTTTATTTCATCTTCAGGCACGAGAAAATCCTCTTTGCATTGAGCGTTCCAATCTCGAGCATCCTTTTCGAATTGATAGTGTTCTTGCTTTGTACGAAATTACCGTGTAAGCAATCAATATACTGTGGAGCACCAAAAACTAGTATCTATATGAAAAGAAGAATATTTTCAGAGTGAACTTTTTAACTCGCACAGCAAACTTCGAAACGATCTGCTCTTCTCCCCTTCCTATTTCCGCAGCACAATTGCAGAATTCCTTCAAACATACTTCTGAGCAGATCCCCACCTCTCGAAACCTTATCTCTTCTCGGAACCTCTCCCTCTTCCTTATCGCAATCAACAACTTGCCCTCCTTAGATTAACATTCACAATTGTTTCTGAGGCGTCCTCGAATATTTTAGGGATCATATCGTTCACCAAAGCCAACATCTGTCACATTCGTAAAAATGGAATTTCTACGGTTTCTCCTACCTGTTTGAATTAAATGAATCCTGTAACTAAAACCGAATTCCAGACTCTCTGTCTACTGGCCTTTTGCCATCTCGTTGAGGGATTACGGTAAACTTCGAACTACATAGATTGGGCTGACAATAAGAGATTTTTCAGTGCTGGTGGCCGAATCAGTGTGCCGGGAGGTAGGGTGAATCATCCGACCAAAGTCCCCAGACTCGAAAGAAAACTCAGTTTTTCTAGTCAATTGAAGCCACTCAAAACACCCAATTTCAATGAGCCGAAACCATACCAATTGCCAATTCCGGATAAGGGAATTTATCATCGGCATTCAGTGCCTTAATGCCTTTAAAAGTCAATCTGAGAATGTTCAGTGAGTACAAGACGCCGATCAACTTTCAACCAAGACGACACAGCTACGATCCCGGATATCGACCGAATCACGATCAATATGTGTAGTGTCAAACAGAAAACAAGTAGTTCAAGAAAGTTCAAGAAATAGTAGTTCATACCTCTCTAGATCAAAATACACTGGCAAAGAAGGATACAACTCGATTCACTACCCGGCAATCAATGAGTGAGTGATTTGAAGAATCTGGCTCAAAGACCCAAAACTCACAGAAAGCCATCTGGTCATCTCAAACCAGAACCCAGTTCATATATAAGAAAGTGATTAATGATCATTGTTTGAAAGCATCTCTCTTCATTACGATCACTTAATAACTACCCACAACAATAAAGCTCTCATTCAAGCCCACACGGGCTTCTGTCTTTTGTGATCTCCGGAAAATCTCCACCTACAGAACCAACAGTGAGAACAAAAAGAGAGAAAAAATCAAAGACGAATCGACGA